CTCGGTTTGACCTTTTTTTTCCTTAATGTAAAGGGTTCCCTTACAAACAGCGCCACACATTGAAGAAGAGTCAACATTTTTACAACCACTACACATAACGTCTTCAATAGCATTCTCTTCATCAGATTCTCCATCAAGAATTGACTGCTTTGAATAATTGGTTGAAATGACCTCATCATTGATTTTGTCAATCATTTCAGCCAATCTTTTATTCTCAGTGTTGTCCAGAGCATGAGATTTCTTGCATAGTATTAGTGTTCGATATTTTCCGACGTAAATTTTGGGGAATCCTTTGGCAGCCGTACAGATGGTGCAACAACTACATTCTTTACCGCTAAGTTTATCAGGATGAAGCTTTGGAGAGACATCTTCACTGAAAGTCCCTAAGGATTGTGTTTGAGACATTGATCCCAATGTTGCTGGAGCCGTTACAGACCTTCTTTTATGGGGAGTGGTTGAATTTTGTATTTTGTGGAGAAAATCACTATCATGTGTCTTTATTCCTTTTCATGTCAAACATGTGCACAGTGGAATCTCTTCATTGGCAACACATGACTGATGATAGCATTTGGGAATGTGACGATTGAACGTAAATGCATCAATGTTGGTGTTGCAAATAGGACAATTTTTCTCCATGATGTGCTGCTGTTTTTTTATCTGTTTTTGACTGAGGATTCCGTTTGCTTCTTCACGTTTTATGAATTTCCGTTCAAATTTTCGGAATTTTGCAAAACTGATTGGAAATACCGAGAAAGAGGCTGAAGCATTCGGAAAGCATGGGAAAGTTATGAATTGTCTAAAATTTTCTGGTGATTTTGCAATTTCCTTCGTATTTCTTTCCCATACCCCCGAAAACATACAACAGAACCAACACTATGAATTGATACAACGATTGCCCACAAATATGAAACCACATATTCTTGGTAATGATGGCATCATGGCGTCCGTAAGGTTTTCGGTCCAATAATTCTCGATAGGGTGGTTCGGTGGCTAAGGCCAACGCTGCAAAAGTGTCCATGATCAAATTCACCCACAATAATTGAATGGCAGTCAATGGAGGTTCTAAACGGAAGGATGTGTTCGATGAGGGATCAGTATGAGTTTCACTATTGTTGGAATTGGTCGATTTCATAATCATACCAGCCACTGCTGTTACAATGGTTACTAATAAGGCACAGACATTCACAGTCAATTGGAACATTAAGAATTTACGAATATTCTCATAGATGCTACGACCCCAGAGGACACTTTTCACAATGGAACTGAAATTATCATCCAAAATGACAATATCTGAGGCCTCTTTCGCGATCATGGTTCCAGATAAACCCATACTCAAACCCACATCGGCTTCTTTCAAAGCAAGACCATCATTAGTACCGTCACCAGTCATGGCCACGACACGACCGTTCTCTCTGAGACGTTTCACAAGACGAAGCTTATCATCGGGAGTGGATCGGGCCAGCACTTGCAATTGAGGTAAAATTTGATCCAACTCGTGATCATTCAACTCGCAAAATTCCTGACCAGTCATACAAATACCATCTTCGAGTAGAATTCCACACTCTCGAGCAATGAATTGAGCAGTGAGAAGATTGTCTCCAGTGACCATCCGAATGACTATTCCAGATTTCTTACATTGTGAAACAGCTTGAATAACTTCAGGACGAAGTGGATCCTTAATACCAACCAAACCGAGGAGTGTTACACCATTCTCAGTTTCTGTGGAATTTTCAAGATTTACATGTTGTTCACGACTATTCATGTCCTTATAGGCAAGCACGAGCGTTCTCAGTCCCTGTGAAGCCATTTCTTCGATGGCATCTAACCACCTCTTTCGATCTTGTTCAGTCATTTCAGAAATCGTGCATTGAGGTGAAGAGACAAAGCGAGAACACAAATTCAACACAATTTCTGAAGCTCCTTTGAGGTACAATCGAAGATCGCATGGATATTTTGGGAGTAATAGTCGTCATGACCTTGCTGCTCCATACTAGAAGGTGGTATTTTTACAATCATGGACATTCGTTTACGAGCTCCAGTAAACGTATTGACTTTGACAATTTGACCCACCTCATCTTCATAGAGCTTTCGAAGAGGTTGATAATCAATACCCATTTCTCTGAGCATGAGTAGAAGAGCAGCTTCGGTTCGATTACCGCTCACTTCATAATCTTTCCCTATTGTTCCGTTTTTAGGCTTGGTCAAACATGCTTTGGAATTCACAGAAATGCCATGACTGACGAGATGCAATACATGTTGGCATACAGTCGTGGGAATGTTCGAAATCAAAGGCAAGTTCTGTTCGTGAGATTCTTCATCTCTCTGAAGAGTTTCACTTTTAAATTCAACACCTGCAATCATGGCCTTCACTACTCTCATTTCATTCAATGTCAAGGTTCCTGTCTTGTCCGTACAAATATCTGTGGCACCTCCCATGGTTTCACATGCAGCTAATTGTCTCACCAAATTATTATCCTTCATCATCTTTTTCACGGAATAGGCCAATGATATGGTCACAGCCAATGGTAATCCTTCAGGAACAGCCACCACAACAATGGTTACAGCAATGATCATGAAACTCACTATGGAGGATAAATCATTCGAAGTCCATTGATCTTTTCCAGAATTGGTTTCAATCACTTTTCGAATAAGCCATCCTAATAACAAGATCAAAAACGTGGCAATTGCAAAACCCACTCCAAATTTACCAATCCATGAGGCCATTCGATCCAACTTTTCTTCGAGAGGAGTCTTCTTGTCTTCATCCGACTTGTTGATCATTGCATTTAAGGTTTTACCCCATACAGACTTGACACCCACACAAACCACGAGCATTTTGCCATAACCTTCTCCCACAGCAGTTCCTGAAAATAGAAATGGAGCCTTCTCAGAGGATTTGGGAATCAATCTTGTTTCACCAGTCATGGACGATTCATCAATTTTTAAATCATGTCCCTCAATGAACAGACCATCTGCTGGAATGCAATCGCCTTGATCAATTTCAATGACATCTCCGACGACAAGTTCTTTTGCTGGCAATAATATGAAATTCTCTCCAGTATTATTCGAAGACGAAGAAGCATTATGATTATTATTGGTAGCATGTGCAGTGTGTTGAAAGGTTGTGGACGTTATGGAATTTTCAGGAACTGTCTCGAACGAACGAAACGTTTTGATTTGAATTTGATCATCTTCAGCAGTAGAAAGAGCTCTAAATTGTCTCTCTTTTTGCCAATCGTTGAGTGCACTCACTGAGGAAACAATGAACACAGCCATCAAAATAGCTGCTCCTTCAATCCAACCTAATCGTCGTTCTTCTTCCTTCAATTTCTCATCCTCCACACCAGGAGCGGGGAATACAACTCCCAAAACAATGGATATGACTGCCAAGACCATCAAGACAATGAGCATGGGTTCTTTGAGGGCTTGTAAAAAGAGTTTCCATAATGGAACAGAAGCTTTCTTGGGATAGGTGTTGGAGCCGAATCGTTCTCTTCGTTCATGCACTTCATGACATGCAAGACCATGTTGCAGAGAGGTTTGAAGATAAACTTGAGAGAGACCGTGGACATGTCCTAATTGTTCGAGAAGATTCATATCTTTGGTTTTCATCATGGTTTCCAATTGTTGTTGAATGGATTGGGAGTCAGGATGAGAGTTGTCCAAAGAAATCTCAACTTTAAGATTTTCCATAGGTCCATGCAACATGGACAAATCATTACTCGAATGGAGGTGGATCGATTCGTTCATTTCCAATGAAGTCTGGTGTTCATTGGAGTGTAAAAGAAGTTTTGACCTTTGGTCAATGATCGAATCGTTGACAAGACTTGAAGGGTCGTCACTGATGTGACTTGGGTTGTTGTACATTTGGATATTTCTTTTTGTAAAGTACATCAATGATGAGAAAAACCACTCCAATTATACTAGGTCGATCTTTTGAAAGAGGGTGCCCTTTGAATATTTTCAAGGGCGGTTATGTGTATTGTAATGAATTCCAGGTCACAGTAGCACGTGATTTTTCATCTTGAATTCAAGAAGAAAGAACATTTGAGAAATTCATCTCAATCTCTCTTGGTCATTAAGGACACTTAAACTTCCTTAATTTAAATATTATTCTAACCTTATCCACTTTATCAGACTTTCTACAGAAAGATCTAAGGCCACCACTATGAACCGACCGCATCTTTCTGAACACTTGTCATGAAAGTGATCCATTTCCTTTAATGTCAAGTAGACCATTTCCAAAATGCACAAGTAGATTCCAAAGGGATTGACAGAGATCACTCGAGAGAGATATCAATTTGAATCTCGGCTCGCAAATTCACCCGCATGTCATCCTTGTACCAACAGTCTCCTGAGTCTTGACCACCACTCAAAACAAAATTCATCAAACAGTACCAACATCAGAATGACAATACTCACACGCACGAACACTAGAATCGTTTCCTCCACTGTTTCCTTCCTTCTCGCCATTGTAATTGTACAATTATTGTTCATCACCCATCGATTTACTTCCTCTCACACTCATGCCAATCCCATTGCTTCCATTGAATTCAACCAGGCCGTGGATGCAGCCATGTATGAGGTCGTTTCCTCTTCCTCCTTTCAACAATATATTACCAAGATTGTTGGCTTTCCCGTTCCCCTCTGTTCCACCAAAATAAAATATCCCACTCGATGGCCAGTTTCATCTCTGATCACGGAATTGAAAATGTGCTACGATGGCTCTTCATACATTGCCGAACCATGGCCTTCCGTGTACAAGGAAGTGGGTAGGAGAATGATTGAGGCTTTCAATGCACAATACAGTTTGAAATTAAGTGCAAAATTTGTACCACTCGTGATGAATGAAACATTGGGGTATTTTGAATCGTTGAGAGTAGCTGTAGAGAGTGGTGAATGTGATGTTGCTGTTGCTGATACGACCCTCACAGAGGAACGCTCGGCCAAAGTCAAATTCAGTGTCTGCCCCTATGGAGTCTCGGTGAATGCCTTTCTGAGATCGGATTTGGATAATACCACTCTCACTGGAATTACTGAATTGAAACATTTGAATCGATCGGGATTGAATGTTACATACTATGAAGGAACTATATTTGATACCATTGCTCAACAAGAATTGCAAGCAGCCAACAGAGTACCTTCAACCTATGAAGGGCAATATACATTGGTCTTGCAACGAAAGGTTCATGCCGTGTTGGGTGATGTGTTGGATCAACAAGCATGGTTAGAGGCGAATCGAAAAGATTGTGTGAGTTGTTATATTAAGGCTTTTGGACTGGGAGGATCATTTGGAGTGTTTACTCAAGCAACCACACGATCGAGCGAGGCAGTAAGACATGGCATATGGCCTCATTCTCTCATGGGTGTGGTTGTGATGGGCATGTTAGTATTGCTCATGGTGGAAATGTTTAGCAAGCCTTAAACACACAAGTGGCTTTCATACTACATAACAACTCAAACAATCCGTACAACGAAGGGAGTTATTTTTAGAAGAAAAAAATTTCTGAACCCTTACTACGATCTCTGAATGGATGAAATGAGAGATTAGTAAAAGGACACCGCTTAATTTTTTCATTCTTTGTAAGAGATGTTGTGTATATTGATCTCTTGATTTTCTAGGTTATTGAATGAACCTGATGCATCCATGATTGACAAATTGGAATTGACGTCTCTCTCCATGATGCATCAGATCTAAATATCTTCCTCTCTCATGATGTTTGTTTATCCTTTTCAACCGCAAAAAACAAATCTTGGAAGCTGTTTTTTGGTTTCTTCCGAAATGCATACCACGACTGCTCATAGAGATACTACTTATCCATCCCGTTCCATTAGGTCCATCTACAACGTTACTATAAAGACGGTATTGGTCCTCACTTGGTTAGCACTTCTCTGTAGTACTTTGGTCCATGCCAATCCCATATCATCCATAGAATTCAATCAAGCAGTCGATGCAGGCATGTACGATGTGGTTTCCTCACCGACGTTTCAAAAATACATTACTGAGGTCATTGGTTTTTTGGTCGTTCCCTTGTGTCAAACGAAAATCGAATATCCTTCTCGATGGCCAGTTTCATCATCCATAAGTGAATTGAAAATGTGTTACGATGGTTCTTCATATATTCCTCAACCATGGCCTCAAATTTATCATGAAGTTGGAAATCGATTGATGGATGCCCTCAACAAACATTATCAAATGACAATGAAAGCAAAATTTGTTCCTTGGTCATGAATGAATCATTGGGTTATTTTGAGAATATGAAATTTGCAGTTGAGAGTGGACAATGTGATGTTGCAGTTGCTGACACAACTCTCACCGTGGAACGAGCAACCAAGGTCAAATTCGCCACTTGCCCCTATGGAGTCACCATGAATGCCTTTCTAAGATCAGATTTGGACAATACTACTCTCACTGGAATCAATGAATTGAAACATTTGAATCGATCTGGAATTAACGTGACGTACTATGAAGGAACCACGTTTGAAATGGTCGCACAGGACAGTTTGCAAGCTGCAACAAAAATTCCAACGACTTACGATCATCAATTCGTTCTCGTTCAACAACGAAAAGTTCATGCCATGATTGGAGACGCACTGGATCAAAAAATTTGGTTGGAGAATAACAAGAAGGATTGTGTGGGATGTTATATTCGAACTTTTGGATTTGGTGGAGCCTTTGGGGTGTTTACAGAAGCTACGAATCGAACGAGTGAAGCTGCTGGAGAGTACACAACACAGTACTCGGTTCCTGGTGTTGTTTTTCAAAATGTGGCCATAATCATGATGTTGCTTGTATTACTGCAAGTTCTGTATCATTAAATCCATCATTAAACCAATTTTCCAATCCGTCGTTTCAAAAATTGCGCCATTACCATTTACAAAAAAAATGTCTTCAAGAGCGGGATCCACGGCTGGCTCTTCAAAACCAGGTACTTCAAGTAGTAATCGAAGAGGAGGAGGAACAACGAGTGAATTGACTTCTCCGAAAGGAACTAGTAATAATAACAATGTGGGATCTGATTCGGGACCTATCGGTGGGTTTGCTAATCGAGAGGAAATGATTGCCTATTTCTCAAAGGAAAAAATCACTCCAAATTTATCTCCTCTCTCCGATTATACTTTCATTCATGGCTGCATGAATAAAAAGGAGAATGAATTATTGGAATATTTGAGCAAACAGTTGGGAGTTGCGGATTATTTGGTCGATTTGAGATCATCAATCTATTTGGATTCGCTATGTCACTACGTTGCATTTTGTAAGGAGCATTCATTTTCGACAAGGCAAACCATGGAATTTATCAATTTAATGGAAACGTTAAGGAAAGGATGTCTCTCTTCTGAAAGTTCAAATATTCCAATCAATACCGTTATTACTAACAATCAGATGCCAACCGTTGCTGGTGCACCCAAATTTTCTTCAGAGCTTGAATTACAAGAGTTTGTCAAGACACAACTCTTTGAAATGAGCAAGCCATTGTCACAAGAGCAAGTCTCTGATCTTGAAAAACAAATCCAAGACGAAGAACGAAAGTTAGAGGAAGAGCGTCTCAAACAAGAAAAGGAAAAAAAGAAAAAGCCACCTAGTTCATCTAGCTCTTCCAAGAAAATGACCAAAGATGAAGAGGAAGAACTTCTCAGAAAGCAAGAGGAAGAGCAGCGTCTAGCCGAGGAGAAAGCCATGATTGAAAAGAAGAGAAAGGAAGAATACAGAAGCAAGCTTCCACTATTCAATATTGATGACGTTGCCATTGTTTCTGATTTCATTCTGAAAACGGTGGTACAACATTATCACCTGTACAAGTATGTCTATGAAGAAAATCAACCCGTACAAGCATGTGACTACCAAGTCAGTGTAAATTCCATCATGTTGGATTGTGTGTATCCTCTCTCTGCCATGTTGCAAGATGTTGCCTATATGCAAAAGAAAGAGGACGAACGACGAGCTCTTGAGGAAGCAGAAACTCGTAGACGTCAAGCAGAAGAAGAGGAACGTCTACGACTTGAGAATGAAGCTAGGGAACGTTATGAAAAGGAAAAGGCAGAGAGAAATGCTCCCAAATTGACGGATGAAAACTTGAAGGAAATTGCTGAATATCTCAAACATGAAGTCATGACTGGATTGGAAGATAAAGTCTCAGTGGTTGAAACGAGAGTGAAAGCAACGGAAGAAACAGCCATGTCACTTCCCACACCTCAAAAGAGCAATAGTAGACCTCAATCTTCAGCAAAAACGAAATAGTTTCCATGACACGTGTAACAACAACAACAAGTTCTGGAGGTCCTGTACCAGCACTCGACATCATTGTAAACCAAGTGTTGATTTGAATTGTTGTAACATGTCTCGAAATGGTGAAAGAATATTTGGATGAGCTGTAGCGCTTCTTGGTGATGATTCCACCGTCACTGAAGTGATCCTCTTCTCATGATTGTCAATAGTACTATAAATTATTTCCTTGTTTCTATTCCAATATCTTTCATAAATGGATAAGAGGTTTCTATCATTATTTCTCTTGTTAATGTGTAAATATTGTTATTATCAAATAATTGTGTTAATGTGTAAATGTTGTTTGATAATTATCAAATACCATTACGTCATCGCAGAGTATTATTCAATGTTTCAAATTAATAAATTATGGTTTACGTTTTGCAATAACATTTTCAAAACAATTATTTTCATCGTCGTGTCCGAACCTACATGTAACAAGAATGCAAGCAATCCCGAATAATAAATCACCAATGCTCCCAATCCTAATTTTATATTTCTCAATTGTTCAAACGATTTAATTCTTCCAACAAATTGATAAATTAAAGATAAAATTGGCATGGTAATCAATTGTTCAAATACACTTGTTCTTCCACCAATATTCAATTCCGATGATGATAAATGATTAGGACTCATTTTCGACCTTGATGGTGTGGCCAACGTGGTTGTTCTTCGGAAAGTATTATCTTTCATTGAAGATTTATCTTCGACTGAATTCAGGTTGTTCATACTTTCATTTCTATTGGCAATAATGATATCATTCAAACTTGAAGCTTGTTGAATGCTGCTCATTTTGGTCAAGCTTTTAATTTTTTATAACTTTCAAGAACGCCTCAGCATGTGCTAGTTCAACCACTATTGTGATTCAACTCTGAAAAATTTATAATTGATTTGGAAGCACGTTTCAACCAGAAGATGATGCATGAACTTGTCGTGTGTGGTTATGGTAAACTTCATTCTTTTCTAGTGAGGCCTTTCTTTAAATGTGTGCTTTTGCATTTAAAGAAACTATTTCAATACTCATTCGTTGTTGTTTCAATACATGACTCCAGTATTCATCTTGACCTATTCCAGGATCTTGTTGAGAGCAGGTAATTCAGATGACAGGGCAGCGTCCTTAGTTGTATGCCATTGTATATCAAAGACGCTTTTGATAGAGATGGGGATATGTATCGACCTCAAAGTGTTGCATCTTTCAACACACATTTCGACCTGTCAACCATCAAGAAACACTTGAAAAAAAACCGTCAAAGAGCCTTACCAATTTCGAGGTGGTTTTGTGTTGGTGTAAACAACTCTTCATTGGAACCACAGCAACACATCATTTCCACTCATCTCCAAGACATCAGTTGTAAATTATACTGCAATTATACATTCAGTGTTGGTTGGCCACGTGTTGAATCAAGTTCGGACTCTGAACAACCGTCGTTTCATTCATTCATTCGAATATTCTTTTCAACAACACTAGCAGAAACTCCTTGTGCATTATTGAAAAAGATAGCACACGAACGAACTGCATCATCACCATTTCAAAATTTCCTTTTTAGAATTATTCATCATCATTCATCATTCAAATATATTCTTTATCATCATCATCATTCAACCCAACACCAAAATGAGCAATAACACCAACAATATTCTCGATCAATTTCCTCTCTCTCCCTTCTATCAAGATTCCCTCGCCTATCCCTTTTCCGTCTTTCAAAAACTCTCTCAAAACCTCACCCTCAACCAAACCATTCCGTACTCTCCCATCTATCTGGGAGGTATCCTTACTTCTCGTGTTGAACTTCTCGACAATACCTACATCTCTCCCGTTTCATGGACCTTGTTTGGAATTTTTACGGTTTGGTTTTTTGTGTTATTGGCGCTCGTGATTTGGCGCCGAAATTATCAACCGGTTAAGGCGCGAGATGTGTTTTTAATGATTGTGAGTTTGGTGGCCACGTTTTTTGTGAGTGTCATGGTCACGTTTCGATTCTCGTTTGGACGTTATGACTTTCCGTGTTTTTTCTTTACCTTCTTGTTGATTTTGGCATATCCTGGATTGTTTTTGCCTTCCATTTTGAGGTATGTTAAGGATTTTTGAAATTTTAAATAAGGTCAATTGACGGAAATGTAATGGTTACAAAATGTCAATCCTATGGTCATCCAATATATTGACACACATTACATATATTCAAAATTTCAATAATTTCAATCATTTGAAAAAAAACATTATAGATGTTGGAGATTACTCTTCGTTTATCTTCTCAGCAAACACAAACAAAAATTCACAAGTATTGTCGAACGAAGAGATTCTGTTTTTAAGAAATTAATTCCACTCGCAACTGTTCCTAACCATGATTCCAACAAACAAGAATCTTCAAATAATCCAGTCATTGCTCAATCGCCTTCTTTGGGACAAGTCGATTCTGGAACTCCTCTCACTCCCATGAGTGGTAGTGTCACAACTCCTGCTTCGATCACTCCGCTCGGTCTTGGAAATGAAACACCAACGTCAAATGTCATTGAGGATGATGACGAAGATAAAAACACAACCATTGCAAGTGAAATGGACGGAATCGACGATGATGACATTATCGATTTGGACGATGAAAAAGAAGCTGCTCATTTCGATAAAAAGAAGGTCAGACGAGTGTTGGACATTTATTCCATTTTAGGAGGAAAGTTAGTCCTTTCTGGAATTATCATTGGTGTCTATGCCATTCACTTGATTGTGTTTTTAATTTTAATTTTAACCGATTTGAAATATTACAATACTCATCCATTTCTACATGGTTGTCCAACAGGTGCCAGAGCTTATGCAGTTTTTGCATTGACTGCCTTTTATGTCATTATTGCGTATATCATGTTATTCACAGTGACATTTTTGGTGAAAGAAAATTGGTTCATTCGAATTGAAGTGTTCATTGTCATGACGTTTTGGTTGGTCGATGTGTTAATTTTCTTAATTTTTGGAGTGGTTGGAACGTATTCGAGATATGCTGAACATTCATTCCCGGCAGGATGGGTGATTTTATTTGCCATTGTATTCGATAATACGTGCTCGTGTTTGATTCCAGTGATTTTATCATTTTACACGTCGAGATTTTCATGGGCAGATCCAACACAAACAGGTGCAGGAGGAGGAGACGATTCACTTTCACACACAGAAATTCGAGAAATTTTGAGTGATAAGAAGGCAAGACAATTGTTTAAAAAGTTTGCCATCGAGTCGTTTGTGCCTGAAGGAGTGTTGTTTTGGGAAGATGCACTTGCATTTAAGAGAATTAAGGGTCGCGAGAAGAGGAAACGTTTTGCTCAAACCATTGTAGAAAAGTATGTGAAATATGGAGCCAAACTTGAACTCAATTTACCGAATCGATCGGCTTGGGAGAATGAAATTTTGCATCTCCTTGAAGGAAAGAGTGTACCTAATAATGTCTTCTTGAAATTGGAAGCTCATGTGGAACGAGACATGCTCGATATTTTTGTAAGATACAAGAGAACACAAGAATATAAGAAATCCAAGAATGAAATTGAAAACAAGAAGAAGGAAGCAGAAGCTCAAAAGCAAATGGGTATGAGATAGATGTGACAGAGGGGCAGATCACCATTTCACTTTGTGCCAAGTGCTATACAAAATTCAAACAAATCCACTCTAGGTCAATAAATAGTGTAAATGTTCAAAATCTCGATGTTCGTGACATGAAAGCAAGAATTATCACACACAAATCAACCACTTGCGCAGTTCGAAAACATCTCCAAAAACAAATACAACTCGTGAAATACAAATTTTAATACTATGATTCTGATACTATTCATATGTACAATAGGTTCTAGTACTGTACCATAATAACATTATAAAAACACTTGAAAACTTGTTCAAAATTGACAGTGTTCAACATAATGAGATGATTATCAATTTAAAACCACTTCTTTCCAAACTTGCCAAATTTCATCTTCTTTCCGAATTTCATCTTTTTACCAAACTTCATCTTCTTTCCATGATGATAATGATGATATCCGCTATGACCTGGTGGATAAGCATAACTGGTCGTAGTGGTATAATTCACTGGTGGTTGAACATAACCAGTTGGTGGAGGTTGAGCATAGTAACCTGGTTGTCCCATTGGGACCATAGGAGGTTGACCCATAGGCATCATTGGAGGTTGACCCATTGGAACCATTCCAGGTTGCATGGGAGGATAACCTTGAGGTGGAACCATACCTGGTTGCATGGGCATTCCGGGTTGCATTGGTGGTTGTGGCTGTGTTAATGATGATTGTAATGATGATGATGATGATGATGAATTGATCAAAAAGATTTTACAAGAGAGATCAACAGTGGTGGTGCCCCGAAAGTGGAATATCAAGAAATGAATTTCATCATGAAAGAGATCAAAGTAGAGGCAATTCATAGAAAATACAAGAATCACATGATGGTGATCAATAATCAATAATCGTTGGATCAAAGCAAATATATATAAAAAAATCAATCTTTGAGATTCAAAAAGTACATACATATTGTGGTGGGTATCCTGGATAACCTGGTTGTTGATACGGATTCATGATGAAGAGAGGAGTGGATGTAACGGCAATATTTTTGATGAGAGATGGAGACCTTTTTGAAACGTGCCATGTTCACTTCACACAAGAGTGACACTTGTTCAAGGAGCGCTCGTTTTGTGGAAAAGAAGAACGATCCCAAAAGTTTAGAAGGTCACCTTCAATTAATGTTTCTTGGAAGTGGCAACGGAGAAGGAAAAGGTTGGTTTTGCCAATCGAGGGGAGCCAATGTGGAGTGGAGGTAAGGGTTGTTTTCCGGATTTTGCAGAAGCAAGTCGAGGACATGATTGAGGACTGGTTCTGGCTGGCGCTTTGTCGTGTAAATCTACTGTCGAGAAGGTGTATTTACGAGGAGTTCGAAGGTTACATGTGGTAGTGGTTTGCGGTCGTTTGGGAGTAGAGGGGCTGTGGGCAACTTTCTTCTGGTCATGGACATTGGTAGAATCTTGAAGAGTTGTGTTGGATGAAACCTTCTCGGCTCGAGGGGATTCATTTTGCAAGTTGTTCTTTCGTGGTGACATTGAAAAAGCATCTACATTCTTCTTTTTGAGGTCACATATTAAGGACAGCGTTTTAAATTCCATGTCATTTGCATATTCGTTCGCTAGAGTTTTAGATTTGATGTCTCGCAAAAACTTTTCTCGTTGGCGTTTCACATGAAGCTCCTGTTCGTGCTCACACATGGGTGATCGTTCAAATGCTGCTTTATCAATGTTCATCTTTTTTGGGTCAATATTTTCAGGCATGGTGAATGAGGACATTTCAAAATAGCACGTATCGAGAGTCGAGTTCATGTCACACAATTCTCTTCTCATCTGAAGAGTCGCCTTTTTCCCTTCTGTGATTCGTTTTTTATGTTGAGAGAGTGATAGGTCAAAACTGGGATCATGTTTAAGAGAATTCCACTTTCGAGTCAAATTACAATAAACATCCACTACTTTTCGAGGTGTTATGACTTGTAATTCTTCACGATCCTCATCTGCCTCATTTTGAAATGAATGTACATAACATGATGGTTTAGTCTGATAAAAGCTAGTTTTAGGTGAAATTAATGTTTGAGAAAATTGTGTGGAGGGAGTGATGATGGATTTCTTTCGGGGAGAAGATCTGGGACGTTCTTGTTTGGGCCTCGGTGAGAAATTGATACCATCACCACCAAAGAGCCCCTTATTAATCACGGGTGATGGTAAACGAGGCGAGTAAGGAACAATCTTAACTGGCTCTGTAGGAAGAGCGAGGTCAGTTTCATCGGGATCCCCCAATGATGTACAACTCGGAGATCGGCATGAAACAAGAGAATGTCTTCGGGAAGCTGTAGAGGGTGGTGTAGGTTTGAGATTGGATAGGGACAGAGTGATGATTGGTATTGAGGAAGTTGGAGATGTTACATTAGTGATGGAGTTGTTGTTTGAATTTGTTTCCTTTGATTTGTTCGGTGTAACATTGTCGTTGTTTATGAATAATTCATGGATGGAGCTTCGTTGATAGATAAATTCTTTGGCTGGTTGAGGAGGTGGCTTATTAATTTGCAAATGAAAAGTCTCCAACGGAAGCAATAATTTTAAATTTGAATTACTTTCGTTATTCGTGGTTCTACTCGTCATCTTTGTTATTCTAATATTTACAATAATTTAGCGTTTGTATTTCTATATTGTTATTTACATGTTCCGAAAGAGGATGACTCAAATTAAAAATTATCGTGAATTCAACGAGCAGACAATCATCAAAGGTCAATAAAGGCAAACATTAAAAAACCAATGACCTTCGTGTGGCGTATGGTGTATATTTTTTCTATTTAAATTACTCGTTGATGTGTCTCTTTAAGGTGTGGATTCAAATTTTTGACATCATCTACTGTCATGACCAACAGTTTTTAACTGGTTTGATGAATCTCTCGTACGAATAGAGAATCAAGATTTTGGGATTGTTTTGACCATTCAATGGAAAGGGATGCTTTACTCTATTTGAAATCTACCAAAAGTCTTGTAAGGAATTTTTTATTTTATTTACAATATTTCAAAGGCTTGTACAAACACATACATCAACAAGATCATTACTGAAAGAAACTGAAGCCCATTACACTTTGGAAATCTTTGATGAAACGAATTTGAACCACTCGTTCGATTTGTAGCTTCTGTAAACACTCCAAACTTTCCTCCCAATCCAAAAGTTCGAATATAACATCCCACACATTCCTTCTTATTATTCTCAAGCCATGTTACCTGATCCAAAGCATCGCCAATCACGGCATGAACTTTCCGTTGTCGAATCAGAGTATATTGATTGTCATAATTGGTTGGGAATTTCGTAGCAGCTTGCAAATTCTCTTGAGCAATAGTTTCAAACACACTTCCTTCATAGTAAGTGACATTAATGCCTGAATGATTCAAATGTTTCAATTCATTGATTCCAGTGAGAGTGGTATTGTCCAAATCCGTTCTCAGAAAGGCATTCATGGTTACACCATAAGGACAAGCACTGAATTTGACTTTGGTTGCTCTCTCCTCAGTATACGTCGTATCAGCAACTGCAACATCACATTGTCCACTCTCAACGGCAAATTTCATATTCTCAAAATAACCCAATGATTCATTCATGACCAATGGAACGAATTTTGCTTTCATTGTCATTTGATAATGTTTGTTGAGAGCATCCATCAATCGATTTCCAACTTCATGATAAATTTGAGGCCATGGTTGAGGAATATATGAAGAACCATCGTAACACATTTTCAATTCACTTATGGATGATGAAACTGGCCATCGAGAAGGATATTCCACTTTGGTAGGACAAATGGGAACCACTAGAAAACCAATGACATTGGTAACATATTGTTGAAAAGTGGAAGAGGAAACGACATCGTACATGGCTGCATCCACTGCTTGGTTGAATTCAATTGAGGAAATAGGATTTGCATGGATAGGAATGAGGTTGATACTAATGGTACAACATACAACAACGAGGACCAGTAATTTCAATGTCGTACCATAACTCTTTGGTTGCTTCATGAGAGAATCCTTATATTGAATAATTCGAATGTGATAGAATTCTGAACTATACTACTTCAGATTGGAAATAATCGAAAACCTCAATTGTTTTTTTTTAATTGCTTTGTTGGAGATTTAGGTTTGTTGTACTAATGCTGTTCGGTCAATGTCATTGAGATAATGCGAGGAAGGAAGAACGGAAAGCATCTGTCCATCTCTTGACTTTAAAAGATGAATTGTCACGAAAAATCTTTTCATCACATGCTATGCTTGAGGGTTTTAATTTTTTCCTTCCATCATTGTATAACAATACCGAAATACTTGAAAATCAATATTACAACCAAAGGGTTTCATCATGATTCGTTCTGTTATATATATTGATTCAAATCGACACTTCTAATAGCTCCTTAAATGTCCTTGTCATTCCAATTTTCAATTCACTCAAAAAAAATGTTCGAACCATCACATGACACTACCCACCACCCTCCACATACTCCTTCCACTTCCACCGATTCCATGACATTGGCTTCATCATCGTCGTCCACTCTTTCGACTCCTTCATCATCATCGACTCGTCGTTTCTCTTCAGATCGTTCGAGTTCTTCAACGTTTATCCATTTCCACTCTTCCAATTCTCCAAAAATTCATCATCCACTCATTCCTCCCATGTTTCGAGAGATTACTTCAATTCCGACCATTGCGATGCAACTTGTATTTGGAGTGTTATGTGGAGTGGTTTTGTGCTACATGTTGCCACACGTTTTTGAACGAGTTTGGATATCGGGATATTCTACACTATTTGCTGCAGCGACAGGTGACACTTTTTCAAAAAACAATTCGTGTCGAAATGAAATCCATTGTAATTTAGAATTTATTTCACAATTATTGATCATGTCCATGATGTTGTTTTTGGTGTATGAAAATTTTTTGAATTGTGTCACTCCGACCTTGATTCGATTCACACTCGCCGGTCATTCCTTTCGAAACTCAAAAACAAATTCTGTGAATACGAATCAATTTTTAACCGCACACTATCCCAGATATTTGGTCAAATTATTTTTATTTCCATTTTCGATATTTTTATGTAGTGTCGTATGGACCATCCACATTTTCCAAAATGAGGAAACAACATTCATGCAAAATCATTCAAACACGGAGAACATCATTACCACTGACACACTTTCAAACAATGGATCTCTCTATCGAATGGCTTGTTTTATCATTTCTCTGACCATTGCTTTTAAAGGAGTGAATGAATTTGTACAAACATTTTTCAACTTGCAATACGAATTGGATTTAATTTCACAATATATTTATGTGAGAGTTCAGAAAAAAGCAATTTCAAGCGAACAAGCATTTGAAATTTCAGAGAATGACCATGGAGAAGAACCAGTTACGAATTGGAGTTTTTTACTGTCATTAATCATTCCTTTCATGACAAGTGTCTATTTATTGTTCCATTCCGAGAGCTTTCTTTCTCATTCAACATGTTGGATGTCTCAACAATGGATTGGAACTATTTCTCTACTGTTGGGGTGTGTAACCTTAATTCTAGAGAATTTCTCATGGCCCTTCTCATTCTTGGAGCATAATCTAAAAATTGTGTTCAATAATTTGGGAAATGTTGCATTTGTATGGGGTTTGGAAATTATGCTCCAACTGTTCTAGTTGTACAAGTTACTCACATTTAATGTAAGACTGTTTGTAATCGATCAATTGATCAACCAGTGGTCAACATTCCAATAAACACGCATGAAATTATTTGGAACACCGAGTGGCAACGGACAAAAAACTTTGTAACAATGGTTGCCATGCGTGTGTGTTCAACCATTTTCATTGGAAGTTCCATGAACAAACTCAATCGTCCAAACAAAAAAATGGGTTCTTCACATTCGGAACCGATTCATAATTCCACACCTGGGCCAACATCCACAGCCGTTACCAACGAACACAAAAGGGATCATCAAATGGTTTCCGATTGGTTATTTGGGGAAAGGGCAACAACACATCTTCCAAAGCATTTATTTTCTAAAGATGAAGCGTGTTGTAGAGTGGTCAATATTTTCAACCAGAATGAAAAGTGTCATGACCATTCATCAACAACAACAATGGTTTTTAGTATTCAAGATAGTGATCATGGTACAATTTCTGAAACCAATCGTTTATATCTTTCAAAGGAAATTATGGCTCATATTTTCAGTTATTTATCCATTTCCGAATTGTTGATGATTTCAAGCCTTTCTCGTGCCTTCCGAGCATTTTGTTCATCTACCGAGTTTTATTTTGAAATTCTTCAAGATTCTTATTGTAGAGACGATAAGTTTGAAGCCTTATTCATGATTGGACCGATGCAACTTTCATTCATTACAAAAATTGCATTCCTTCAGAAACTGAAACACTGTTACAGAGATACGGTCAAATTGTGTTCGAGCTATGATTATACAACCCCAGTATCCCTTATTGCGGATATTGCTTGCATTAGTACTAATGAAACAATCTCCAAGTTGCTATTCGATGAATGGAAAGAAACGTTACGTCCTCTGAATCCCAATTATCCCTCCATCCATACAACATGTCAATTAGAGTGTTTAAAAAAAGTGGCTGCAATCAAAATAGAACATTTTCAATGGTATGAAAAAACAAGTACAGGTGATTCTTTTAGAAAGTTGTGTGATCGCTATGACTCATTGGTGTTTTGTTTTGATGTGAACGGAGGCGATCAAGCATTGTCAGAATTGGAACAATTGATTCACAAGGTCATGACTTTGTCATACGGTACAAAATATGTAAAAGGACAAAATATGAATGAATTACTTTGTGTAGATGAAAGAATTTTTTGCATCATAGGGCTTGCAAATACTGGTGAAGGAGAGAAAGAACCAGGACTATCTGTGAGGAAGCGGATATCGTCATCGAGAATTCTTGAATTTGTGGACTCAATTTTCGGATCTAACCATTCACTGTGTTGGAATGATTTACGTGTACAATATTTTGAGGTGAGGTTGAATGGATCATCAACCAATAGCAGTAATTGTGAATCACTATTTCCTCTACAATTTATATTGTCTAAAATGAATGTGTATGATTTTACAACCGTACCTAACCGAGAAAGTACTTTTCCTCAAGCTAAAGCTTGAGATTGTATCTGCAAGTTGAGATTGTCATGTTAAGGAGCAATAATTTCAGTAAGCTGGGCTTGGGGTTTATTTTCTTTTTGGAATGATGATACGTATTTATTGTTGAAAAGAAAAACCTCTCAAATAATATTCAAATCTTGCAAGTCACGTTGAAGAAGAATGTTCTTTACATCATTAAATACCATGCTGATGTTGTTAGTATTCGTTGCTGTGGTGACATGACAATACATGAGATTATTTCTCGTGTTGAGCGACTTGAATTTGTTAACAATGAAATCCCTTGCAGTTTCATACTGATGACCACCTGAATAATCACTAAATGCAACTCTCAAATCACTTTGTTGAATCTTCTCTCTGAACAAGTCATCCTTGTTGAATAATATTATAATAGGTATTTCCTTGAAACATTCCAAGTCACAGACCTCTCTAAACAACAGCATACTTTCATGCATTCGGTTAGTGTTCTTGTCCTCCTCCAACATCATGTCAAAATCGTTCAGGGATGTTATGAAAATTACAGCCGTGGTGTCAACGAAGGCATGAACCCATTTTCTTCGTTCTGCTCTCTGACCTCCGACATCAGTGAACTTCCACATACAGCCCTCAGATTCAAACTCAACTTCTGTAATACCCACTGTTTTTGTTCTTGCTTTGATAATGTCCTCTTGAGTTGCAATAAAATCTGGTTTACATATTCTCTCACAATGATCAAGAAAGCTGATGAAAAAGGTTGGCATGTTTGAGTTTGTTTTGAAAAGACACAAAGACTTACTAATCCGCTGAATCATTAATTGAGAATTCATATCGTTTTAACAGAGCTTGCCGCATACCGGGATCTTTCCAAATCTTTGAAATCTTGGCTCCCATGTTTCCATATTGCGCAGTTTCTGTTGTGAGAATTTCAGAAAGATTTTGCGAGGAATCTTTGTGGAGAGTCATGATTTGACTGGCAATTTCTTCATTCTCTTGACTAGCCAGTGGAATATTCAACGTGTGTAAAGCCTTCAAAATGGAGTAACAGGCCTCCAATAGATTTTCCCGTACTACACTCGTCATGGAAATTCGTTCCTTCTCCGAAAAGGGCTTGTTATTAATCACCCTCAATTGTTTGAAGAAGGTACTCTTTCCGCTCTGAGCCGTTCCTAGTAGCACCAATTTGATATGCTTTTTCGTTTCGGGTTCTCCTCCACAATCAAAACAGCCCATAGTTTTTGTGATTTTGTATGTTCTTCTTCTAGTATAATCAGAATGTCAGATCAGAGGTTTGCCGATTGTATCACTTAGATTGATCCTTAATATGTAACGAATTGTGAAGCAGTGATGTATTAAGGACGGGGAAATGGTTTTTTTTTTGAACCTTGCGTAACGGTTACTGCACGACCATTTTAAGCGTTCATAAAAATCTCACCTAGAGAAAGTTAAAGGAAATATCATCTAGATTGATAATTCGAATTGGAACCCTCACTCGGTGTATGTGCAGAAACAAGCTTGAAAATCTAAAAAACAAAAAATGATAAAACATTGAGCTTTTAGAGAACCAATTAAAATCTTCTTCTAATCATCATTTGAATCCAATTATTAAATTTCTTCAATTATATATATTATCATCAAACTCTTCCCAATCATTGGATCACTAGATCATCCTATTGATTACCACAAAAACGTATATGAATATATTACCATCATGAAAATTCCCGTTCCCCAAAATTTAATGACTCATCCTTCCTCAGGAGCCTCTTCCACACATTCTTCATCATCATCATCCTCAACCTATCATCAGCACCATCCAACACATAGCCACCACCACCACGCACATCATAGACCTCATCAACATGCTCATTGTAGATTTCAACCTCCCAATCCCAAACATCAGCCTTTGTTTCGGAAAGATTTTATTGTGATGGCTGAATTTTGTGAACAGAAAGGACCAACACCTCTATTAATTTTGCCAAGTGAGAGAAGTGTGGAGAGGTTTAACGTGCAGAAATTTGTAACGAGAGTATTGGCTGGAGATCATACGAGAAAACACGATAAATTGGGAGATAATCTTACGTGGATTTGTCCCGAAGACACTCAGGTGTATTTGACGGATCCTGTTCAGGGTGCCTTTGCCTATGTAAGTAGTAATAGTACTAGTGTAATCACACAATAATAATAATCACTTTGAACTGTTTCAAAAACGATACGATTGAATGGTCACATGTGCCAACAAACATTTCGAAAATTCTTTTACTTGGATTTTTGCAACAGGTCCATCACTTGACTCTGCACGACATTAATGCAAGAGGATACGTGAGACCTCTAGTTATTTGCTATGTCACGAACGACAAGGACAAGATTATGCACCACTTTGAATATCTTGTCAATGCATTTACTCAAGTCTCACACACTCTCAAGTATGGAAACAATTGTAAATTTCTCAGTGATATTCAACAACAATTGTATGGAATTCAAAAAATTGAGAAAAGATTTTCGAGCTCTGAAAATTTGCAAAACAACACCAACAATTCAGATTCTCCTCTCTTATCAAATCCAACCTCTCAAAACTTACTTTCCTCTCCATCCAGTGGAGAAGATGCTGTTGCTGCCAATTCTGACAACCATATTGGTGACCACAAGTTAGAAAAACGATGGAAAGAAATTTATGAAGGTTTATTTTCTCCCTCTAAAGGAAATGGACTTTCAAGAGAGACATTTGAGCAGGTGCTGACAGAATTGAAAGACTTGAGAAGACGATTCATGCTTCATATTAACAAATCTTCAGCCATTTTAAAATGCAAAAAGAACAAAAATTCAAAGAAAAGAATGACAACCATGAGAGCAAGCGCTCTTCAACATCATTCATACTTGTTCAGTGACGTTCGATCTCGGTCAGCTAGTAACAGTTCTGGATACTCTGCTGGTATACCACGTAGTGGTTCTTTGGGCTCCAATGAAGAATTGAGCGACCCAAGTATAAATCATCACGATGGAGGAATAACGGAAGGCTCTCCAACAGTTGAAAATATCAACGAATACAGAATTGTTCCAAATAATGGTAGCCCACCAAGACTTGAAGAGAGTGACAGTGCAGATGATTTGGATGAGGAGCAAACAGAAATCATGTTAAGCAAAATAGTCGACGAAGAAACTTTAGATTCAGGTCTTATTGACCATATTTATTTATCATGCAGTGCTGGAGGTGCCTCTGTCTCTTCGGTTCATTTGCATCCAAGTATGAATGCGAATCCTAAAATCAATGTCAGTGCTGTTCCTCTTCGATCTGGAGATCAACAACATTTTGCATCCAAACAACAAGTATACAGTGGAGCCAGCGTTGGTGGAACTACTTTTGAACCATTCCCAAATGCCAGTGTCACTTCCTCAGATGTATCCTACGCTACGCCATTTTCTCAAAACAAGAGTTTATATCACCATTCTCCCCTTGTAAATGCCCTCAACGATATTGACAACAATTATTTCAATACTAATGCGAGCAGTTCTCTATTTTCATTATCCTCACTCAAGCATAGCAATCCAGATTTTATTGAGCTCTATGACTCGGGACTTTCTGTTTCCTCCACCCATCTTAAACAATACATGCCAACAGTATTGAGATGTATTCATAGAAACACAGATTTTGAGTCAGTTCTAAGAAATATTTCCCAAATTGCCGGCTCCAAATTCTATGAAACTGCAGTTGATCTCATGTTAAATATTTTGGAGCATTTCTATCGAGATTGTGATGTCATTGATATTGAAAATCAAGATTTAGATATTGTAAACTCGAACGATATTAATTCTATGCTTTTCATTGGACGAAATTTCCTATTGGACTTTAATATTGAAAATGGTTACCACTTTCCTCCAACACTGAATGCAACATCATACTCAAGAAGTTTTGGGGTGACAGCCAACTACTCGATAAATTCCAATCTCAGTACTCACTCTTCCAATGACGAAGCCACATGGATGGAAAATGAAAATACCTTTAACGATATGGACGAAGCTCTCTCAACAACCAGTCACGACGATCATGATACACCTAATTTAGTGTTTCCAAGCTTGCCTCCTTCACCTGTTGCTTTTCAACCTGAGCCTGTTCACACCTCCATCAACAATAACATATCTCCTTCTGCCAATAATCGTTATCATCTCTATAAGAATGGATTTAAAGGAACTGGATGCTATGTGAATTCAATTTTTCCAGAAAATGAAAAGTACGATGATCTATTTCACGAGTTGAAGAAACGAAAAAGAAATTACTCTCCTACAGCAAGTAGTGGAGGCAACAATGGCAACATGTTAAACTCTGGCCAATCCGGCTCATTATTGTCCTCTCTTCTCTTCGAATACAACTATGGAGATAACAATTTTGGAAAAGGCATACTCAGAATTTTTAAAGAGTTTTCATTTACCAAAGACATTGCCTATACTCTTATGATTGGCAGACCTTTGATTATTTATGGTGAGCCAAGTCAAGAACAGTAAGTATCATCACAAAGTTTTGGTATGACTGAGGTATATATTTTTGAATTTTCTCAAAATGATTAACATTGTCTTCATACAGAACGATTAGAGCATTGGTAAATGCCTTTGCATTATTTGTGCCAGGTTTTATTTCATCCCTCTCCTGTGACACTACAAAAGCTGACTATTTTCAAATTTGTCATTGGAAAACAACACCAATCAATGTAAGTTTAAATGTCAGAGATGAAAGACTTTACAAATAATCAATTTTCTGTTGATCACTCATGATAATATTGTAGCTCTTGGATTTTTCATATTGTAAAATAATTGGACTTAGCAAAAAAGTGCCAATTCCAAGCATGTTTGAATCATGGATCAGTGTTTTTGATTTCGAAAATGATTATTACAGTGGACCTATTTATTGTGGAAGATATTTGGATATCATTTTCGATGAGTCGAAAGAATGGGGAAGTGAAGATGCTTTCCTCTCCTTTACTCATGCCATATTCTTGGAGATGGGAATGAAAGCCAGTCTTTTCAATCAATTATTTTCCATCACAAAAACAAGAAGTCACTTTTATAAGAAATCACTTCACAAAATTTCAACAAGCGATGTCAATTCAAACAAGGAGAAAGATACAGGAAGAGCTTCACTGTTTGGACCCATGTTTCCATCTCTAACTCCTCAGCTGATTCACAAAGGAAGTATGTCCTCTCCAGCAAAGAGATCCAAATCGAAAAAGGGAGGAGCAATCAATAATAATAACCTTGCATCACAAAGTACCATGGTTGGAAATTCGAATGCTTCATTGATTGGCTCTGGAGCTCTTGAATCGATGAAAGATTGTAGCAAGACCATACAGCGACAGTTAGGCCTCAAAGCGTGTGACGCCAAAATTATTGACTATCTCGTTGATTTGATCCATGTGCAGCAATCTAAAGAAATGCTGGTTTTTAATTGTAACACTATTAAGGTTGACACTGAGATGTGCACCAAACACTTGAATAAACGAAGGCTGAAAAAGTAAGCCTTCTGTTATGAGTTTTTCAAGCTGCTGTGAATTGGAAACAGAGCCAATCAATGCTGTTTGAATTTCTCAATACTTTTTATTAATCTAATGCTGATTTTTGGGAATTTATACAGTTTTTGGCGTGCCAAACATTAAAACTCAATAAGACATGTCGAGGAGCAACTTGTGTGAACTAAACTTCTTCTCTCTCAAGTCTTGCATACAAGCTGCACATTCTCTCAAATCATAAATCTTGTGTCGAATGGCTTGTCTCATGAATGGTTCATTCTTAACCTCAGAATACCAATCGACAGCCTCTTGCAACAACTCCTTATCACTCTCGACATGAATGATGATATGGAAGTGAGGATAGTTAGCAAAGAAGCTCTTAATTCTATTGGTTGCAGTCATTGAAACCATCTTCCAAACATCCTTTCCACTCACTTTTCTTTGTTCAAGCTCTACCGATGGACACAATGTGACAAAATGGCTATGACTTCCACTCAACAATCCAAAGCACTTATTCATGACATCATGACCACCAACAGTATCAATGGCCAATTCAAGCGATCCAACCAAATTCTTGCACTTGTCCATATCCTTTCTCGATTTAAATCCTTTATGGGGCCAAGAGGTTGAACCACGTGGACTCAACTCTCCACTAGCGCTCGAAGTCTGTGGTGGTACTAATTGTTGTTGAGTTTGAGTTGTTGGTTCCACCTGTATAGGTTGCTGCTGCTGTTGAGAAACAGTAGTAGACTCTGTAATTCCCTCAATCGTTGTGGTTCCTTGTGTTGAAGGTTGTTGCGATACGGCTTGTTGTGTGGTCGTGGTAGTGGTCGTTTCTAATGGAGTTTGTTTCGTTGGAACTGAGGTACCTCCCATCATCATGGTTGTTGTTGTCATTGTTGGAGGAGTGGCCTGTCTTTCAAGCTCTCCCAAAAACTCGACCCAATATTGTTGAAGATCCTTATTAATTAATTCATCATAATTATTTAAATTGGTGGAGAGTGATGTACCAGCACTACTGGATCCTTCCATTCCTCCTCCTCCTCCAGTAGTAGTACCAGTTGTAGTAGTGGACGTACAATTAATAACCACATCGGCCCCAAGTCTCTTCAATAATTCTTCATCTTCCATGGTTCCTGAACAAATCGTTGTGTAGATACGTTGAGCTCCAAAGTAATGTTTCGCGAGTAGAATACACCAAATACCAACACTCGTATTTCCTCCATGAATAAAGACACTTCCGAATTTATCACCATTCACGAGAGAATGAACTGTATTTTGATCGATAGGTTCCCTCATCATCATGGTGCTGGATGAACCCATACCACCACTCATATCCGTTGTTGTACCAGTAGTACCAGAGGGTGCCATGGTTGCTGTTCCCATCATACTCATAGATGTCGTGGTTGGCTTTGCCGTGGAAGGACCATGAGCCTTTCTCTTTTTTCTCTTCTTATCTGCTTTTAAGAAACAATTCATGGCAGTGAGGGCACTATAGGGAATACAGGCTGCTTCTTCCCAACTCATATTCTCAGGTTTCATCACTAAATCTCGTTCATTGAAGATGGCATATTCTCCAAAGGTTCCGAACTGAGCATTTGAGGTAAAGCCAAGTACTGGATCTCCCACTCGAAAACCAAACATACTCGTACCAGTGTAGTGTTGCGATGGTTGTTGTTGTTGCTGCTGCTGTGATGGTTGTTGCGATTGACCCGTGGTAGTACTTCTCTCGGCAAACTTGTAAATCACTCCTGCTCCATCATGACCTCCAATCATGGGATACTGACGCCAATACGTTCTCGAAGAGGAAGCAATCTCAATGGGAATCTTTCCCTGATTGATCTTACAATCAAAGGCATTCATACTGGCGTACTTCATCTTGACAATGACTTCTCCGGGATTTAAGCGATGAGCACACGGTTGAGGATACTTGTCCAGATACATGAAGGCACGTTCTGGCTCCTCGTTATTATAATCACAGGTAATAACGGCTCTCATGGAAGGTGGTTCAAAGATGGACGAGTAAGGTTTTGCTCTCGATTGTTCTTGGAATTGCGTTTGAGGTTGCATGTGAGAGAGATCTGAAGCTTGAGGAGGAATGGTTGATAATAAGGATGGAGAGGCGTATGGTCGTGTGGTGGTTGTTGAGGAACTGATTGGTTGTTGTTGCATCTCCATCGATCCACCACCTCCTCCTCCTCCTGGAACATTGTCTTCATAATTACCTGGAGGTACAGTCACTCGGCCTCCTCTCAGGTGAGTTTCTAAGAGCTCTTCAGAGGGTTGATTCGAACAAACAATGAGTTTACGTTCACGAATGGGTGAGTGTGGAGGTGATCCAGTCATACCACTGCCAACAACTCCCATCGTTGCACCACTACCAAGAGGTATTTGTTGTGGAGTCATTCCTGATGAGGGTGGTTGTTGTTGTAGTGGTTGTTGCTGAGGACTCATTCCTGTCGTTGTCATGGTAGTTGGTCCAGAGGAGGGCATTATGCTTTCACCAGTGGTGGTAAACATGGGAGGTGGAGGAACATTGCCAGTCATGGCAGAGGAAGCCATTGGAACATTGGATTGAGGAGCATAGTCATTCTGTGCTCTCCCCATCTCGCTGCCGCTCATTTCCAACGGTGGTTGTTGAGTCATGGTGGAGGAAGCCATTGGAACATTGCTCGATTCTCCTTCCATCATGGCGGATTGAGGTGCATAGTCATTCTGTGCTCTTCCCATCTCTCTGCCACTCATTCCCAAGGGCTGTTGCTGTTGTTGCTGAAAATAGGGTTGTTCTGAGGGATTTAATGGAGTACCAAATCCTTGAGTCAATTGACGATCGACACTTTCCAGAGTTTGTAATTGAGGATTGTAACCACCCATGGCCATTGCACTACCACCACCACTAGTCGTTGTGCCCATGCCACTGATCATTTCTCCACCACCTTCAGTACTGCCAACACCAGTCGTTCCTCCCATACCAGTTTCTGGAACATAATCATTTCTACTGGTACCAACAGTCTTGTTTTCTTGAGGCGCAACTTGTTGCGGTTGTTGTTGTCCTAGAATTGGAGATTCAACCATTATTATTATTGATCAATCACGAAGAACGATGTTAGGAAAGTCTGATAATGGTTTTTTTGTGTATGTGGAGCGAAAATGATCAATGCAACCGTCGCAATCAACAACAGTTGATCATCTTAATGCTTATATTTTCTAAATCATCATGAGGATACATTTAACAAAAATATACAAATACCACATACGAAATTGCTGAAAATGGGAATTATCGAAAATGGGGATGGCTTGAGATTTGATCTTTTGCTTGCTTAAAATAAATGTCAAATACATAACTGTAACCAAAAAAAGAGAGTCTTTTTGTTCTGAATAGTTCATGGTAATAATTGACAGAATTGAGAGATTGTTGTGACTATCAAGAAAAATCCTATTATTCAAAGCTACCTACCTTAATGATATAATTGTTAACGGTTACGAGAAGGTGTATGTTTTCTCTGGTGAGGGAGACCTTTTATCATTTGGACATGTTTGGAGATGGCCTCAAAGGTCCTTTGTATCTGTAGTGGATCCAGTGCATTAGTAAATTCATAAAAACCGTCTGTCATTTCTTCGTTCACTCTGTCATGTTTTTGACTCTTAAAATCTCCCGTTAATGTTGTTTCATTCTGGTGTATTCTTGACAGTGCCTGTTGAAAAAGTGAAACTATAAAGTATGCAATGTCTGAAACACACGGGCCTTTTTGATAGGAATAAGGATAGAAACTCCTAAAGTTAAGATTAGCTTTAAAATAACTTGGGAGTATCTCTTTGAATAAATCCATCTTGTTGAATAGCAAATAAATTGGAAGAGATTTACAAGAATTATTGTTTCGAAACAAAGCTTCCATCATCCATAACGCTTCATGAATTGGGCCATTGATATCACTATCCAATAGCCCATAATTAAACTCGCTTATGGGAATGACGAAAATAATGGCGTCTATTTCGCTTTGGAAACAAATATCGATCCATTTTCTCTGTTCAGTACCCGCTTGATTAGGATCAATAATCTTCACTAATGAATTTTTGAATGTAACGCTCACTTCATCAATTCCATTTATCTTTGTTCCTGCATGTAGAAAATCCTCAAGTGTAGGAGTGAAACTTTCGTCTGTGATTCGATTTAAATGTGAAAAGAAATAGAGATCCGATTCAGAAATTTTGGGAACCATGTATGATCTGTGGTGAGAGTCTTTGATCCATTGTTGCAAGCTCGAATCATTGTATACATGTTGAATGTGGTTCACAATTTCAGGAGTCCATAAGGGCGGTTGTTGTTGTTGGATCGAAGAATTTGAGCTCAACCATTTTGTTGTAAAGTTTCTCAATGATTGATACAGGATTTTCGCTCTCTCAATATTCTCCTCATGTTCGAATGTAATTCTAAATAAGATTCGTGATGAATTCGGTTGTTCTATCATTATTTCTCTTAGAATACGCTTGGTAGTATGTAAAACATTTTCATAAATTGCATTCTTGACCGATGACGATTCTTCTTGTGACTGAACGGAGTAAGAACTCAAATTTTGAAGAGTGTACCGTCGTTGATGCATGTTCATTAATTTCAATTGTTTGAGAATGGTGCCTTTTCATTGAATATTATTCCAGATTTTCAAAATGTAACAATGAACCATCCGAGCTGTTTGGAGAGCAAAACTAAAAACGTACTAATACCTGCCCCTGATGGTCCAAGTAGTAGCAAGGAAATTTCATCGTGGTTGTTGGAGCTTTTTTCATTCTCCACATTGTTGAAAATTCTCTCACGAAAGGCTCGCAAGCCCATCCCGAATTGTTTGTGATTTTTTAAAATTGATCGTCTCAACGTATCAATAATTCAAAATTGAGCTAATTTTATTTTGACAAAAGATACATATAATATTACTCAGCTGAGTTGTGTATTGTTGTTATTGATGGGAGAGAGATGGAAAGGAAGAAAAAGAGCTTAATCATGGACGAGATTCAGACATATACCAATCACATGGTTTAGAACAGACCTTGTTCTTTGAGGGTCTTGTTCAAAATAATGTCCTTGATGGCATCAAATACTTGTTGCAATTGTTGAGTATCAGTAGCACAAGTAAAGTGAGCATAGATCGTCTTGTGTCTTGGATTACGATTCTTCTCTTCAAATTTAGAACGAATAAAGTTAGCAGCTGCTTCAAAGTTTCTACCTCCTTCATATTCTGGGAAGAATTGACTGAGATCGGCTCTCTTGATCTTTTCCTTGAAGAGATCCATCTTGTTCAAGAACAAAATAATGGAAGTCTCCATGAACCATCTCGAGTTACAAATTTCATCAAACAACAACAAACTCTCGTGCATGCGGTTCGTTGAATCGTCCTCATAACAACGTTGATCATATTCGCTGAGAGAGGTTACAAAAATAATGGCAGTAACGCCTTCAAAGCAGTGGATCCACTTCTTTCGTTCGTTACGTTGTCCACCAACGTCGATTAAGGTTACCGATCGGTCGTCGAGTTTGAAGCTCATCTCGACAATACCAGTGGTCTTGACTCTGGAACGGACCACATCTTCCAAAGTTGGTTTATAATCAGGTTGTTTGATACGATCCAAATGAGTAAAGTAGTATTGGGCCGAGTCATCAAGTTGGAATTCATTTCTCTTTTCAAAGACCTTTTGAATACCAGGATCGGACCATAAACATTGAATATCATCGGCAATTTCAGCAGTCCAATACTTGTGTACGTGGAGAAGAGCCTCTTGCTCGAGTTCATTAATCTTACCGGCACGTTCTCTGTTTTCCTCTTGTTCAATAGGGATGTTGAACGAGAAAGTGGCCTGTACGAGATTCTTCATGGCCTTCAAAATGTTTCCATAAATGATTTCCTTGTAGGACTCACGTTCTTCTTCAGAATAACCATTTTGGTGTATGATTTTCATTTGCTTGAAGATGGTACCTATGATTGGACAATGATGATATGGAGAGTGAGAGAGAGCGAGGAGTGTATGTAATGTACAACAACATGATCATGGAGATTGTGTGTACACAATGAGAATTCGGTATTCAAATGAGAATGAATAGATGGATAACATAGGACGACCGATATGGCAAGTATGCATCAGGTGGCAGCAATAGCGCCATCAGTGATATTGTTGGTATTGTGTGTATGAGAACATGTCATGAGAATGATGATGAATCCACAACAACAACAAGTCATTTCATACTTACTTTTTCCAGACTCACCAGCACCAAGAAGGAGAACTTTAATTTCTCTCTCTTGTTGTTGTCTTCCTTTTTCAATTTCGCTCAGGGCTTGAGCAGAACCAGTTTGTCGAGTGGCACAGATACCCATTTTGTTGTTGTTATTATTATTTAGATGATGAAGTTAAATAATCAAAAGATTTTCAAACGAATACTATCCAGGATGTGATAATTAGAGAATTCAATAACGGTTGTTGATAACTCAATCGATGTATATATGTACAGTGAATTCGAATGGTTGGAGGTAGTTATCAATGATGATGATGTGATGGATCTAATGGATGGTGATACGGTTACGACGTCGTTGCGTTCAGGAGATTCTGCTCTCTAGTGTTGAGTTCAAACAAAATTCGGGTGAGATGTTCAATACGAGAGAAGATGCGTCGTCTTTTTTTTGTAGGTGATTTTTCGACACTTGACGTCTTTGATGCTCTGTGCAGAGACACCCAACAAACGTTCAAAGTTGTCGTGAAATGTTGTTGCTCTCAATTCGGAAGGCATGAAATTATAAAGGAAGAATAGAATCGGTTTGAGAACACGGCACTAACCCCTGTTGGCAAGAGGAGACTCTTGTTGGTGAATGAGAGTGCAAAATGAACAAAGCAAAAAGTTGGTCTTGTTCTTGAGGTTGTTGTGAAGCACTACGTACCTTCTGTTATCAAATTATTTGTTGTCAGAGAATCCTCAATTTTGAAGGTTTGTTGGGTGTCTCTGCACACTGCTAGAATTAGAGGTGCAACATGTGCTGCGAGATGATGCTGAGGTTATCTTTTACCGGTCCTTTTGAATTTTGACATTCATGAAAATGTCCAAAGTTCACGTATCTCTTACATTGGCATCTGACAAGAACAAAAATACAAAAAGAGATTTCAAACAAGTTGCGTTGTTGTATGAAAACCCTCGTCACACTCCCTTGGATAAACCTCATGGTTCTCTCTTGTCTTTGACCATGATCCTTTTATCGGACAATGATGAACATTTAGAACATCCATACGAACGAAATGAAAAGTAATAATTCACGATCGTGTGGTGGTGATAAATTTAATTCCAATGATGAACAGCTGGCTGTCGTATTTTAGAGCACGAATCATTGGGTTTGTTAACACCTGAAACATGTTGGAAAGTTGTGAAGTTAATGTCGAGATGGTTCATTCTTCATTGCCATGTATTGATCAGTCTTCATGGGTGGATTGATCGATGAACACTTCTTTTTGGTCTATTTGGATATCACGAACATTTTTTCGAAAAGTGCTGTTTAAATCCTCGGGATTTTACCAGTCACTACTAGGGACGAGCATAACATCAACAAAACAACATTGTTTTGGAGGATTGTAGTGAAAATGTTTTGCATTTCATCTGTCGGTGTTACAAATGGCAAATGTTCTTTTTCATTTTACCACCACTTTCCATCATCTCTACTTTGCATCCAACATAACAAAATGACTGAACATAACTAAGGCCCGTGTACTCTCTAATAAACGCCGTTTTTGCTCTTTTAAATTGTGACGTTTGTTGTTGTGTTTGGGGGACAAACTCCAACGATCAGTTCTTGGCGGAAATGCTGTCCAAGCGGAACAGGACACAAGTCATTTAACGCCAAATATTGAATAAAGTCAAATATTGTTGTGATCATTAGAATGAACCATTCTCGACCACATAAAACGGAGAAGACAATTTATTGACTATCGATGGTACTTGGTCACCAGTAACATCCACAGGATTGGAAATATATTAAAATCTTTCGATCATTAAGACTGAACGCTCTTGTTATCTATTTATTTCGTTGGTAGTGAAAGTGTAAAATCTAGAGGAAACACTGTAATGCTGTAGTAGAGAATTACAAAATTAAGGAGTCCTGTATTGGAAAATTTCAAGCTCAACGCTTGTTCAAACGACCAGTTACTGCAGTAACGTGAAATTGAGGGTTTTAAGGATCAATGAATAAGAAACATTCATTCTCGAAAACGCAAGCTGATTACTTTTATCAACGAATTTGAGGTTGTATAGAATAGTTTAGAATACTTTTAATTTTTTCAATTACAATGCAAGTTCAGAGCCAACTTGCCAAAATTCTCCAAATCACACCTATTCATACTTGTCTGGAGGTTTGGTGGTAGACCATCGAGATGATCCACCCGAAGATTTCTTCTTCAAATAAGCATCTTCTTTGGTACCTCCAATCGTGTCTCTCTTGTTGAGCTTTTTCACATTTTTCAGTGATCTCAATGCTTGACGTTCTTGTGCTTCTTTGGCTGTAAATTGTTGAATAATTCTATTCATGCTTTGAACAAGAGGATGTAAAAAAAGAGAAGCTACATCATATCTCAATAATTTCAACCCCTTTCCTCTCAAATTGACAATATTGGAAATTTTCATGTCAAAAGTGTCATTGGAAATCCAGTCAAACAATTGCAAGAATGTCACATTTTTTTCTTGGAATGTTTCTCTCATTTTCTGTGCTGCATGTTTTGGTAAAAATCGACAGAGACAATTGTGAAGCCATGTAGCTGTTTCCTCACTCGAACGTTGCTTTAAATAATCAGTGATGGAATAATTGAAAACCTCTTCGTTAATGAGACTGGATCTAAGTTTTTTCAAATCTCGAGTGGCCTCTTCAATTAACTTGTTTGCCATTCCAATTGTTGCTATACGATTCTCCGAACACAATAATTCCAACTTTCCATGATGATAATAGTCCAGCAAGAATGAATTCAAATCATCTCCTGAAACCACATTACTGAATGGTAAATGACCCTTATTGAGATACATGGTATGTTTGAGACATGAAATAAAGTGGTCCTCATTGATGTAATAATTGTCTTTGTTTCCACTGAGAGCTGCAAACGAAGAAATCGAAGCATTGCATGTAATGAGATCTTTTTGTAAAAGTTCAGAAAGAGGCGACGATTGTGTTCTCTTAATGCCAAGTTTAGGTACCAATTTGGAGCATGGGAAATATAAATCATTCTGAACTTGTGAATCATGTGTAGATGCAAGAAAATATGTCACTGCATAATTACTGAATATTTTCAGAATTTCCTTGTTAAACTGTTTGTTCTGACTTCTAATTCCTTCATACATGTTCTTCATGGATTCACTAAACTCTACATCGATTCTGTGATTATTTTCAATAAATTTCGAGGCTCTTAATCTTGCAAAAAGCAATGAAAATACCACAAGTACAATCTTGTCATACTCTCGTTCTGTAATTTTGTTGACGTCAAGTTTTTTAGAAAACAAATCCGTCTGTATAAAGTGTGTAAACAAGAAATTAAATGGCTCTCTGTAATGGATATGAGCTGCCAATCCACTTAACTTTAAAGGTTGACACTTTTTGTTCAATAAAAATGTTTGTCTTAAGAACTCTGTGTTAAATCTCACATAGTGGCTCATCTGCTTTGAAACCTGTTCCATGACGTTTGCATTGATGGAAAAGAGAGGTCTTTCCAAAAGCCTTGTCAAAGCGCCCTCAAAATATTCTAGAGCTTCTTGACCACAATCTCTGTGACTATTCAAACTTATCAACGTTTTCAATAAGAAGCTTGGTTTTAAACCATTCGTTCCATTCACAGTAATAGGTTCTGACAGTAAATATCTTCTCACTCTATTATATTCCAATCCATAGAGAATCACTCTTCCCTTTTGGTCCACACCTCTTCTACCCACACGACCACAACATTGTTTGAACAGTGTCTTGTTAAGATAAATTGACGCACCGCCCATCACCACAGTGCTGCAAGGTAAGTGCACACCAAGAGCCAATGTTGACGTACAAATAATAAGGGGAAGTTTCTTTTCACGGAACAAACGTTCTACTTCCATTTGATAAAAATCATCAATTCCAGAATAGTGAGCTCCTATTCCAAGATGAAGGGCATGTAAGTAGTGGTCGTGTAATCTCTGTTGAGAGGACTCTGAGGAAAGGTTGTTCACTACTCGAAGAATATCGCCTTCAGGCTTGGAGTCTTCATCATCCCATAAGGAGATGTTTTGCATGCATAGGTTAGCAATGATTGCATCAATTTGTTTTCTATCAAAGATAAATATGATGGCTGGAAGTAATTGCTTTTTCTTCAAGAGTGTGATGAGAGAAATCATGTCACGAATAATTTCTGGACTTTTCAGGTACTCACTGCTGTTGAAGAGTTGCTCATTGTCTCTTGAAAAGTGTTGAACAATGGATTGAAGCAGAGGTCCATGTTTGGAGGAATCTTGTGCAAGTGTCACTAGCATTTGGTTATATCGTTTCTTGTATGTGATGTGATCAGACCATGAAATAATTTCGAGTTTGTTCTCCTTTAAATGAGAATGTCCAACATGTTCCTCAACAAAATCCTTCATTTCAGGACATTTGTTTAACATAAAGTCTGACAGCTGAAAACATTCATCGATGGTCATCATTCTGCATTGACTAAGCTCCTTTTCTGACAAGTTATTGGAGTTAAATAACCCACATGGGTGGGAATGGGAAATTACATCATTGTTAAAAGTGTAGTATTCCAATGGAGCATATCTCTTATAGTCAGGCTCATAGATGAGTTGAATATTTTCTCGATTGCTGTGTTTGATCCATTCTTTAAACTTTTCTGCATTTCCAATTGTTGCTGAAAGTCCAATAATCGGGCAATCAAGCAGCTGAATACAATGTTCATAGAAATCTCCCTGGTCGTCCTCAGTAATGCAGTGTATTTCATCCAAAACTAAATATTTGATATTCTTTCTCCAAGCTACTAGTTTTTCTGTTGCACTCATTAAATAAATTTCTAACATGGCAGGAGTGAGAATAAGAACTTGACAATTAAAAACATCAATTCTGACATTTGCAGTAGCCATTCCAACCACAGTCTTTCCTAAAATCTTCTTCTCGTATCGACTCGAGACGTCACAATAAATTTGATTTACCAAAGCTTTGTTGGGTACCACAAATGCAATCACACCTGTATCGCTCTCCCTCAGAACTTTTTCAATGACATAGTGCACGATAAATGTTTTTCCGTTAGATGTTGGAACAGAAACGAGTACTGAGCGGTTATGATTCACGTGGTCGATCATGTCGTTTTGCCATTGATCAGGAACAAACGTAAGATTTTCTCGAAGTTTTTTCATGATCATGACATTTCTCAACTCTTCTGAAATACGTTCTTGTTGATCACTCTTTTTCTCATGGTTGTATTGGGTGGCTAACTCTGTAATACGAGTTGTGAACTTGTCAAGTAATTTGACATGCTGTTGTTTTGTGAACAATTCGAGAGATGGAGTGGTTGGTGGAATGAATTCAAAATGTTTAAGGAAAAGATAATTGGGATCCACAACATCCTTTGATGCATCTGTCAGAGGTTTTTTTTGTATCGCGTCTGCGGTTGCCACGAATCCAAACATTCTTGCCGTAGTGGCCAAATATTCCATTTCTTTTCTAATCTCAGAATCAGTAAAGAGAAAGCTAAGGGTGGTTTCCAACCATTGGAGATAGTTATAGATGAATCTGATCCAACTGTTGACGTGATAAAGCTTGAATAGGGCTTTTTTCTCATCCTCACGAGAAAGTACAATCTTGGAAGAAGCACCAGTCACTGTTTTCTGTAAATATTTAGATTCTTCATCGTTTCGCTGTTTTGGAAGTTGAAGTTTAAAGGATGTCAATAACTGAATAATGAGATTCTTCAACAGAACAGAGATGTCTTCACCATCAGAACTCTTTTTCTTTGCGGATCCTTTTGTGTTAGTATTGTTACTTTTGTTTTTGTTGTTATTTTCGCTTTTGTGATCGGTAATATTCTTTGTATCATGACTCTTATGATGGCCTCCTCTTTTCACTACAATGGCCAAGAGTGGGTGTATTTCATTATTGATTTGTTTCGATAATTCCACCATTGTCACTTTGGACCTAGAGGTATCTTTCGAAAGGGCTTCGAGTTGTGACTTGAATTTTTCACATTCCTTTTCGATTTGACTCATGGATAGCTGTGAATTGTTTAAGGAGAGTCCTCCAGATGGTATACGTTGCTGGTGTTGCTTGTTCTGAGCATGCAAAATGTATTTAACCTGTTCAGATGTCACATTAGGCTCCTTTGAAATAACTTTGTGAGGATTAATTCTTTGGAAAGCTTTGGCCATGGTTTCAAGCTTTTCTCTGGATTTTTGGAGCACCACATCGTTATTGAAATCGAGCGAGCGTGAAGACTCATCAATAAGTCTGCTAGAATGATAATGATAGATATCTTTAAAGACAGATTTCGATTTGGAATCTTCGGTTGTGATAACGCTGTTGCTGTCAATCTTGCAATATTTGTTGATGAAAGGATGATCCACTTCGAGTACAGTCCTTCTGTGATCATCTTCCTCAAAGATGTAGGCGTACGAGATAGAGGTGTTCTTTGACTGAATATTTCCAATTTCGTGCTCTAACAAGCTTGAAGCGTATGGAATGTGCTCAATGATGATGCCAAGTTGTTTCTCAAATTTTGGAAGAAGATTGGATGGCAGAAGCTGTTTCAGCTTGTTGATCCAGGATCCTAGAGTGGTTGTCGAATTTTCAGCGAGTTCTTTTGTTTTTAACAACGTCAACCAATGAGCGAGTCTGCTGTCTAAGAAATCATACGAATCTAAGATCATGAGTCCATTACAGTAATACAACATTGAAAAGCAATACTTGTACACTTCTTGAATAAATTCAGTGAGCTCAGGTACAAACTCATTAAGTTCAAGATGTCGTTGATGGACTGGTAGATGTTCCTGCAATAGCAATGTCGCAATTAACGAAACACCATAGAATAGAGTCCTACAACTCCCATTTCTTGTTAAATGCAAAATGATACTCCAAGTTATCACATCGAGTCGATGTACTGACTCTGCTTGATGGTATTTAACTAATTCGCGAAGAAGAGAGACTTGAATGGAACTTGTCCACTTGGTAGTCAATGTTTCTCGTGTCAATGTAAATAAAGATGCATACTGAGAGGCGAGCTTGTCGAACGTGCGGTGTGATTCGTATTTTGATATTCCATGATGGAAAGTGGGTTTGCATTGCAAAAAGTTACCGAAAATCGATTTTTCATTTTCCTCAATTTCTGTAATGACTGGAAGTTGAAGGCAGAAAATATTATAAAAGTTGAACAATAGGGAGGACTTGCACGAGATGATACTGTTTGGTCTGTGCTTGAAAACAAAATCTTTCCATTCTGTTGATGTGTTTCTAAAGACGTGACAAGTAATATTCTTGCAGTGCTGTTGAAAATGCTGAAGTAAGAGTTGCCGAGCGAGTAACCAGCTTGCAATTTCTTGATCATTTTGTTCCACCCTGCTAACAATAGAAAATTCAAACTTTTGAGGAATGACCTCTAAAAAACAAACCAAGTCAAATACAGCAGAGCGAGAGAGAAGTAAATCGAGTACCTTTTCACACAACCAAAATAAATGCATCCACTGGCCTCCATGACAGTACCAATCCAATCCATGAACGTTTTGACCGCTCTTGTCGAGTGTATTAATGGCCATATCAAGCAATGCATCAATATCCAACAACGTATAATCACACACTCCTCCTTGATCCAAGATGTCCATGAATTGTTCAGAGACCTGCGAAAGTGAACGTCGCAATAAAGCCAAGCTGTTCTCATGGATGTCATCGAGCTCGGTGGACAAATCTTCCATATCGTCATGTACGAAAAAGGTAGTGTAGCATAGTTCCACCATTTGGTTGTTGGTGTTAGCACTTGGATCATTGAGAATCATGGATAGCTCAACTTTTACGAATTCAACTCCTTTCAGAACATACTTGGCCAAAAAGTCGCTCAAAAAGAAAGCATAAACTGCGTGCCTTTTCAAATTGGCTCCATTTCCTTCAGCATGCATGCGTTGAAGTGACACTTTTTCATTGGTGTTGTGCCCAACAAGCACAATATCCATTTGGTCATCCATGTTAGCTTGATGGCAGAATGCTGTCGAAGAAATGAAATCACTGAGAGGCGCTGTATGAACAAAAGAACACATATCATCATTAGTATTGGACCATCCTTTAAATTGAATGCTCATGTTACCGACAGGAAACTCGTTTGGTGATGGTGCTTTGGAGAGTGTTTCTTTTGCTTCTTGGTCGCCTTCGTCCTGTCTGATAGCTGGAAAGTGCGAAAGCGAAAAAAAGATGGCGTTTTGACCTCTTGAAGATGATGAACTTGTTTTTCTTGTCCAGATGCGGTTCAAATTCATTGGCATAAAACTGTTTGTGCTGGCATCATCGCCTTGCTTCTCATTCACCAAAAAGAGGCCAAAAAAAGGTGTTGGTTCGGGTGTGGTTTTTTGGGGAATCATGATGGTGCTTGCTTGTGGAGTTGTTTTTTTTGAAACTGAGTTGGGAATTCTGTTGTTGATGATCATGTTGTAAAAGAAAATAATGTGTTTCATCGGGTTCATCGGACAAAGCCGAATAATGCGAAAATTGAGCCATGATCACCAATAAGGCAGTAAAAACATCAGCTCTATAATACCAAGCAGCTGTTTTTAATTCATTCTTTTTGCACTATGATCCAATCCTTGATTCCCCACGAAACTTCTTCCAGAAACAAGATTATCATTTTTTTCAAATCTAAAAAAAAATACACTTTTGTGACGACCGTTACACCTTGATAATCCGCCACAAAATCTCTCTCCAACTCTTTCATCCCGATCCCTTCCAAAACCCAATATTGATTCAAACTGCCAATCCTTCATCATTCCACTCAACAACTATCCTGTTGAACCACACACAACCCAATTCACGTGATGGACCTTGATCGATTAACGCAAGAATCATCAGCGTCCTCATCCTCCCCAACACCATCATCATCACCGAATAACATTGGCTTTTCTTCTCCCAAAACCAAAGAAACTGACTCTCCTTCAGAGTTGAATCAATACGCAAAGCAAAAGCTCAACGAATTGTACTTGTACTGGCTCGGTCAGCAGGAATCACAAAACTTAATGTATCAATATACCGATTCGTTTAGCAATGCAATACTTTCCTCTTCACCACCACTTGAAAATCATAACGGAAATAGTATGGATGAATCATTAAGTTCTTCATCTCAGCAGCAGACATCGAGTAGTAACAGTAGCGCAAATACTAACTTCAATGCAACCACGGATAACATCATTGGTGGCTATGACCAGCATACTGAAAGAAAGAATCCAATCATGCCCATGGAGGAATTGGCACATCATCCTTCAACCATTTCCCTCTCCCATATCAAATCGTCATCTCCTCACAATGCAGCTGAACTGTTGTCCTTTCAGAGACAAAACCTCAATTCTAGTCTCCACGATCGACACACCTTGTTAATGGGATGTGGAGACAATCGATCATCCTCACTCAAGAGCAATGCCAATCCATTTCACTCTCCTCCTCACCCTCACCAGCAGCAACAACCACAACGATCGCCACACTCCTCTCCCAAAATATTTTCCTCCGCGCCTAGATCCTCATCATCTCCATCCACCTCAAAATCCTCATCCACTGCATCTCAAGTGCTTGTGGATGAAGTGGACTTTTCAGTCTCTTCCATTCAGCACAAGCTTTCCACACATGAAAATCATCACCATCATTCTTCACATCCTCACCCTGCTTCCTCAACTGTGAATAACAATGACCCACCCTGTACTACCACCCTTCATGACCCCTATGGAAATGTTGTGTCAATCTCCAGCTCGCTGCAACACGTTACTCCACACTCATACAATTCTTCTGTCTCGCTCCCGACAGCATCTACTTCGTGCTCAACGCCTCCAAAATCACCTCTCCATTCACCAACAAGATCTCACAAACCAGCTGTACATTTAGAAACAGAACCTCTTCAGTTCAACTCATCTGCTCGCAGAAAGCTTAACTTTTCTGATGAGCTCGAGTTAGGAATCTCTTCAGACCCAACCGGCCATAAAACAGGTCTACTCCAAAGAAAACTTCAGGAATTACAAAATGTTGCAAGTAATTATGAAAGCCAGAAAAAGAAGATGAAAATGTCAGTGGACGAAGCTTCTTTTTCTCAAATTCCTAGATTTTATTTTCCAAATGAAAAGTCACAAACAAGCGAAAAGTTAAAACAAGACATTTACAAGATTAAGAGTTTCTTTTTAGATCATCCTTCAGGAGTTGCCTTAGAACATTTTGGAAAGGTTGTAACTGATATTTGTGAAATGCCATCCTTTTTCAAAAGCCATATTTTTATGAGAATTGACGAGCTTGGAACTGGCTCAGTAACGTGCGAAATGTTTGAAGAGTACTATCGAAAACATTTACAATTTGACAATGAAAGTTACAGGTACTTTAATGTCATCAAGCAACAGAAAAATGATTTTATCATCCCGCAAGATTTTGAGATTATCATGAGAGAGCTGTTGGCAGTACATCCTGGTTTGAGATTTCTAGAATCAACCCCAGATTTTCAAGAAAAGTATTTGGAAACTGTCATTATTCGAATTTTCTACACGTTAAATAGATCTGGAAATGGAAGAATTTCATTAAGGGAGCTCAAAAATAGCCCGCTCGTCGATGCTTTTAAATTATTAGATCGGGAACAAGATACCAACAACGAAATTAACTTTTTTGCGTATGAACATTTCTATGTCCTATATTGTAAATTTTGGGAATTGGACACTGATCGAGATGGTATGCTGTCAAAAGAAGATCTCATGGCATATGGTGATAATTGTTTGACAGAGTTTATTGTCGATCGAATAATGGGAGGTAATGGAAAAAAGCTTACCGCAAAATTACCTGGTATGATGTCCTATGAAGATTTTATTTGGTTTTGCCTTTCAGAAGAGGACAAGACCACTCCCGTTGCGCAAGAATACTGGTTCAGATGTGTAGATATTGATGGTGACGGAGTGTTAAGCCTTTACGAGCTTGAACAAGTGTTTGCAGAGCAGAAGGAGAGAATCAAACAATACGATCCAGAAATTTCGTTTAACGACGTCCATTGCCAAATTATTGACATGCTAAAACCAAAAAATCGAGATGCTATTACCCTTTCTGATGTCAAACGATCTAAAATGTCTCCGGTATTTTTCAACATCTTGTTCAATTTAACCAAGTTCTGGTTGGTTGAGCAAAAAGGTACTCTGGGAACCACCAGCAGTAATGTATGGGCTCAGTATGCAAAAGAAGAATACCAGAGGTTGATTTCTGAAGACGAGGAAGAGCAAGCCGTCGACATGGTTGATGACGAAGAAATGGATAAGGATGATCTTGTTGACGAAAAAGAAGCGTGGGAATTGTAGCGTGTACACAGTAAAGATTTAACAACGTGAGCTAGCTTCCTTACACGCACATTCTTTATTTCTTGCTAATCAATTCAGAGCTTTGCTTACAAATCGAACAAACCTCCAACGAATTACAAGTTCTATGACAACAATGACCACACGAAAACACCAAAACATCACTACCCACTCGTTCGCTTAATGGTAGCCGGCATGAGAAGCACCTCGATGTTTTGCCAACCTTAATTTGAGCTCCCCAGTGATAGCCACAATCCTCAGCAAATCTCGGCAGAACAGAATGAAAATTATTGGTTTGATTGGGTGCCAACTTGAAGAACGACTGCACGTAAGGAAACGACTCTTCAGATGGAGCCAGAGGACTGAAAAGTGAGCTTGGAGCATCGGATTGGAAGGCAAACAATGATCGCACCTGAGGAGAAATACATTCCTCTTTCTCAGACCACATATAACTGTCAACAATCTCAATCATGTTATGTCTCAACTTGCTTTGTTCAGTTTCAGCTTTGGCCAACTCACATATTTTGGAATAGACAATGGGATCGACATCTTGCATGCATGACGATGACTCTGTGAGTAAGTCTTGAAGAATATTGAGTGCTTGCATGGATCCCAAACATTTGCACATTAAAAAGATGGCTTGCTCTTTGGTACAAATTAGTTTCTCATCCTTGACATGGTCGATACTTTTCAATAGACAAATCCAATTGTGAGTATTCTCTGCTCTATTTTCCATAAATGAGATTAATTCTTCCATGTTGTGGGATGAATCTGATACTAACATGGAAATTAGATCTTCAATCTTGTCTAATTTTTCATACAGGTAAAAGAGACATGATTTACAGCATTGCATATTCTTTCTCAGAGTACGCTCAATGGTTGAACAATCGGAAAAGCAATTTTGCTTATTGAGTGTTTCCTCAATGATCGTTTTCATAATTGGTTCAGATTCTTCCTTGTCATAGTTCGAAACTAATTCTGATAAAAAGTGTTCCATAAATTCTTGATTAATATGACTTGCATGATTCAATTGATAAACAAGTGTCAAATAGTGGAGATATTTTTCATGGGTCAGTATGCATACTTCAGTGTGACTTGGCATAATGGAAGATGAGCGCTCACTACTGTTGGTCAAAAGTCCCATGGCTTGTTGTACGTTCCAGACCTGAATGGATGGGAACATGGATGCACAAAATTCAATACCACCTGTATGAATGAGTGTCAATTGTGAACAAAATCTCAAAGGTATGGAAGGTAAATCGTTTTTCAATGATTCAATTTCTGAAAAAATTTGATCACGAGCTTCTGTACTATTCTTGGTTTTGTATTGTTCCAATAAGCGAGTAATTTTGTTTCGTTCTTCCAAAAGATAGCCATGTTCTTCTTCAATTTTGAGAATGGTATTCACACACTCTACAAGTTTGTGGTTATTACAAAGAATACAACATTGTGGCATGTCCAAAAATTCATGGAGTGCTGAGAGGAGATGGTTAATGTCATCCACATTTAAGGTGTTCTTGGAATTAAAAAGAGTTTCAAATCTAAAATTGATGAGCTTGGAAAGTTGAAGTTGTTGATTCACATCAAGTTCCTTCGTGACAAGCTCAGAAATAATACAATAGTCGTGTTTTTCGTGTTTTTCTTTTTCAATGAATTTGACAAAATTGTCAAACCATAAAGTCAATGATGTCAAAAATTCGGGACACCACACGCCATCTCCATTAGAAAGATATTCAGAAAGCTGTTCGAATAAATGATCAGTGGGATTCACAATGTTCTCATAAAAGTACGTTCTTTTTTCTTCAATAGCAAGTACTCGTTTTTGTTTGAGCTCATTGGCAATCCTTTCTTGCTCTTTACGTTTGGCTTCTTCCTCTTCTTTTTTTCGTTGTTGCTCTTGTTCTTTATGAATTCTTTCCAATTCCAAACGTTGTTCTAATTCTTTTTGTTTTTGATTTTCAATTTGACGTTGCTGTTCAAGTTCTAATTTTCTTTGATTTTCTCTTTCCAATTCTAATTTTCGTTGATTTTCTCTTTCCAATTCTAATTGTTGTTCAATTTCTTGCTGCTTTTGTAACTCCAACTGTCTTTGTAATTCGAGTTCTTCGTCCAATTTCTTTTGTAATTCAGCTTCTTGTTCCATGTCACTTGTTTGCACTGGTTCTGTGATTGGAGTATTCTCCGTTGGGCTAATAGAGTTGTCTTGCACCATTTTGGTTTCCTCAGGATGAACTGTTTTCATTGGCTTATTGTTTTCTTCATCATGATTAATTATATCTTGCGAAACAGCGTTCGAATTTGTTGCTAGAGAAGTATCCAGATCTTCATGAGATGAGGTCTCCGTTATGGGCTGGGCTTCATTGTTTTGTACATGGCCGTCTTCTAGAGAAGGTGTGTTTTCACTGGAAGATTCTTGTGTTACAACACTGCCAGTGGTGGCATCAGTTTCCACAGTACTCGCTTCCGTACTAGGAATCACTGCTGTTTTCTCATTGATAGAGTTATTTTCTGTTGATTCAGGCTCACCCTCCAAATTGGGTTCTACTGGACCTTGTTCTGTGGAAGATTGCGACTTATTTTCAGAAGTTTGAATGCTCGTACCCTCTTCCACAATATATTTCGAATTATTTTGCTCAGAAATGTCAATGCTTTCATTGCCAATGTCACTTGTTGTTTCCTTGTTATCCATAGCATGTTGAGTTGAGGAAGATTCTGAACTGTTTTTTTCTAGTAGCATCTCTGCAACCGGTGATGGCTCTACAAAGCTTGATGCACTTGTCATGGTATCTTCTGTACCTTCTCCCTCTTCGTCATCGCTTCCAAATGAGCCAGATTTATCGATTGAAGAAAGCTCGTCCGACACTTGTGACAGCTGGTCAAAATCTTTGGACTTGGATCGTTTTTTAGTTGTTCTTTTCTTTGGAACATTGTCGACCAATAATGTTGTAGTGCTTGCTTCAGATGATTCATCGAAACTGATCAGTCTCTCTGGCTTTTTTTTCTTCTTTTTAACTTTTTTTGGTTGAACCAATATGGGTGCTAACCAATCTCTTTCAGCTTGATGGCTTGTTGTTTGTGAAGTGTTGGCAATGATGGTTGTAGCTGTTGGTGGAGCAGTGCCGGAAATTAATTTTGGAGTACTCGTGACAGATGAGCTTGGCAAATCCTTATTTTCATCATTGGTCGACGATGGTGGAAGGGAGGTTTTAGTTGTTTGTTGTTGTTGGGAAGAAGTATTGATTTCCTTATTGGAGTCTTGTCTTGGTAAAATTCTGGCTGCGTTTTTCATCATTTCACTTGTTAAATCTGCAAATTTATCTTTCAAGTTGGCAGTTCCTGGAAGAGAAAAACTAAACGACGAAGTCTTTGTTGGTTGGTTTGGAATCGCTTGTGATTGAGATGCATTTGCAGTTTTGAGGTCATCAAAATCTAGAAGTTTGCCCTCCTTTGGAGATGATGTACTTGTGGTTGAGGACGAATCTGAAAGTAAGGAAGAATGTGGAGATCTACCGCTAAGAAATGAAGAAGGTGTAGCAGGTGAAGAGGACAATTGAGTTGTTGTTGATGTCTTGGATGGAATTGCTTGTGGCTGAGATGGATTTGGCATAACATTCACAGGTGGCGATGCTGCAATAGCACCAGATTCTCCTTTTTTCAAAAGACCCACCAATAATGGAAGTGGCGAGGATGAAGAAGGTACTTCTTCTTTCTTTTGAGGCGATTGAGGATTTGCAACACCAGTGGTCATTGGTTTTGGACGAGGCCTTGTTTGGTTAATGAAAAATACCTTTTCGCTTTCTGCTAGCTCAATATCCATTCGACTCACAATAGGAATATCATTGTTGACTTGATGAATGAGGAAGAGAGTAAATCCAAAGCAGAATGCTGATTTGATGGCTCCAATATTGTGCCGAACATCCAAAATTTTAAGCTTAATAATGTCCAAAATTGCAATGGATTCCTCGTTATAGGAGGCCAAGAAAGGACCAATGGGTAACAAATAGGTAAACTTCAAATCTTTGAGCTGTGAAACAGAGGTAAATTTGAGCGTTGACAACACTTTACATGTGGTAATGTCCGAGCACCAAATACGACGACCAGGTCGAGCAGAGTATGCATATTGAATAAATTGATCTTGTGCGGCACTTGTAGATGCACTGTTTTCGTCCTTCTTTTTTGGAGCATACTGAAAACAAGCTCCGAATTGGCCATCTCTTGGTTTTGTACCAATTCCCTTATATTGTTGTGCAGAGAGATTGACATCGATGGACCTTTTCGTTGAAGAAACCAACAAATGGTCTCCAAAGCAAGCCAATTGAACAATGGATGCCCCTTCCTCTTTTAACACTTGTGAAGTATTTCCGATCGAGAGCAGAGATTTTTTCTGATTTTTAAATTCTAAAACCAGACCCGATGCATCTCCTGTGAAAATTCTACTGAAGTCATTGGACCAAACCATGGATGTAATTTCTGATTTGTGTTGATTGTGAGTATTCAGTAGTCGTGAAGCTTTGGGAATGAAAACAACCATATCAGTATTTGGAATTTGTTGAGCATGTAAATCCACTTCCAATATGTACACCATCATAGTGGAATCTACAGCTCCAATAAATAATTTTCGTTTTGTTGTTTGGTCTCCACCCACGGTGGTAGGAATGAGATTTGGAGTGAGTGCTAGCTTTGTAATGGATACGGCTGTGTTGGGTCGTTTTTGTGAAATTTCAGAATAAGAAATTGTTAATTTCAATTCAAGATTAAATCGATCATGAAGATAAATATTTCCCTGGTCACTTCCGAACCCTAAAATTGTTTCATTAAAGGAGCAGCACGTTCTTCGGACGGAGGCAATTTCCGAAGGTACCCTATTATTTCCAAATAAATTGGTTTCAAATTGAATGGTAGGTGTAGAAAAAACATGAGTCGATGATGAGGCTGTTGTTGTGGTACTCGTATTGTTGTTGCTGTTGTGGAATGAATCATCATTCTCTTCTGATGTTGATGCTGAACTCATTTTTTTCGGCTGGCTTGAAACTGTTCTTCATTCTCTCCTCGTGGAACAAGTCAAGTCAATACTTGGGGTCTTTTTGTCGAGTGAGATGGAATTTTTGAAGTTCCTTTGTGCAACAAAAGTTGAAACGAAAAACGTTGTGCCTTTTGTTGGATCAACATCTGAAGATGAAATGTTGAGACTGTAACCTTTACAGAGTATGATGAGTCAAAAAGGTCCTTGTCCTTAGAAGCCATCAACAAAAGTGGAGTCTCATTCAGTTACTGTTTGTGAGATATCCCAACTGTACGCGCCAACTCCTGACGGTTATTCAATTGTAAATTTTTTTGAGGGCCGCTGCAGAATCAGCTCTAAAAAATAAGGCAGGAACAAACTTTCGTTCTCGGGAACTTACTGCTGAACACTGAAGTCAAAGGACTACTCCTCTACCGTGAAACACAAACCTCAGTTCCCTATTGGAAAAGGCTAAATTCTTTCGCCAATAATTAAAACTTCATCATCATCAACAGGCTGTACAATTTCTAATTGCGATTATGACTGAAGCGGAAGAAATTCATCAAAAAATTGAGCGGCTTTGTCTGCAAGCAACAGAAGCAATAGCAGCCAATAATTTAAAATCGGCGTTTGATTATGTAACGCAGGCAAAACAAACATTACCTGCCAATTCTTGGTCGAACGAATCATACTATGAACAAGCTCTCAGCGTGAATTTACTGTATGCAGAATGCGAGTATGTGTCTGGAAACCATTCATCAGCAGTGGAAGTATATCAGAATATTTTGCCGAATATTGTCGATACAGTGGATCGGCTGAAGGTCCGATTTCTTCTTCTCAAGTCAGCATCTGCATCATCAAAATATGAAACCATGTATGATGAATTTGTGGACTTATTGGCGTCAAACCCTTCCACTCATTGTCTAGTTGCTAATGGCGATTCATTCACGGAGAAGTGGATTGAGTCTGCGACCAATCAAATCAAAGACGTACTCCAGAATTTTGCTGATATGAGTGAAATTTTAGAAATGAAAGAATGTGCCGATGAAGAGGCTATTGCTTTTGCAAGGTGTATTCTTGAATGTGTGCAAGGAGTATATATCGGAAAGAATTCAAACAAAATCTTTCTCTTCGTGACTCCCTTACTCTTGTTTAAAACAATGATTGAAGATGGCCTCTATGCAGATCTTACACACACGATTCTCGTTTCTCTAGGGTAAGCTTGTTGTTTCATCATATTTTTCACCTAGAATTATTTCCTTACACGACTTGAATGATTTCAATATTGTTTGAACTTTTTGCAGCTGGCAGTTAGCATACTTGGACGAACCCAAGCTTGGATGCGATTTGGCTCAAGTCGGTATCAAATCGGCACGCGAAAACCACGCAGCAGAACCCAATTATGCTCTCACCAAATTCTTTGAAATTTGCATTACTGCATGTAAAGATGGTCTGCAGGAAGTGTTACGAGTTTCTGAAGAGGCATTTAAAGCATCTGAACAAATTGAAGAAATTTCTTGGGGAGCTCAAAGCGGAGCATGGCTAGCTCTTTCGTGTATTTTACTTGGTTTAGATCGAGACACAACGAATAACTATTTGGAGGAAGTTAAAACCTTCAATAGAAAGTACTCTAAAGAATTTGAGAGCGATTTGGTAACGTGTCTAGAGCACATTCCTAATATTTTATATGGTGAAGTGGAATCGTTTTCTCCTTCGTTTTTACTTGAAGGAATTGAAGAAACCACTTATTCAAGATTGATCATTTACTTTACAAAGGCGTTAATACATTTTGTCAAAGACGAATTACAAGAGGCAGCAGAACAAATTCATGAGGCTGACGACGTCATTGATGATGCGTTTGGAACGCCGTTTTATTTACTTTACAAGTGGTTTTCAATACTTATATTGACCTCATTTTACGAAAAATATGATGACATTTCAGCAACCAAAGGTAATCAAAAGAAGTCAAAACTCTCAATAATGGAAGTCATGCTGGGACCAAATGCAAAAGCTCCAAAAACCATGAAAGAAAAAACATTGGAGAGAATTTTTGAACACGAAAAGGACGTCATTGATCTCTACGCCAAGTATCCAGTGTTTATGGAGGCTGCCATGGGATTAACATCAGCAGAAATCGCCAAGTTGAATGGAGTGGACTCACTTCAAGTCATACAGCTTTATACATCAGCGTCTGAAATTGCTCAGCGTCAAAATCTTCACTTCTATACAGCCCTTATCCAAACACGACTGGTCGATTTTTGTTTAACTCACCAGACAGATTCTAGGATTTTACGAAACTATTTTGAGGATGCTCTTAAAACATGGAATTATTGTGGTGCAAGTTTGATGGTAAATAAGCTGTCAGAACAATACCAGATTGTTTTTTCGCAACGACACTCAGATGCTCACTCCTTACATCCTCAAGATTCTTTTATGAGTTTCATACCTCCTGATTCGATAGAGTTGTCAAATGTTTTTTCTCAACAAGCAACACATTTATTAGAGTTTACTAATGCCGATCGAGTTTGTGTGATTTTGAAGGAGCCCAACTCGTCAGACTTTAAGCTCGTTTGTGAAAAGGAACAAAATAACGAGACGGAAGTTTTTGAAGATTTATTACTTGTGGATGCAAGTTATAAACTTTGTGTCACAGCGGCCAAACTTGCCATCAAATCACGTAATGCCCTCACAATATCCAACATGCAAGGATATGAACTTACATTGAATCAATTGGCCTCATCATGCGAATATCTGCAGCAAAATGAGATTGTGAAAGAATTAATGGTAATTCCTCTTAGTTGTGACACGCTTGTGAGAGGTGCCATAATGTTAGAGGCATCTAACGAAGGAACCTTTACCAAGGCCTTGACTCGTAGTACGAAATTGATGTTGGACTTGCTCATGGATGGCTTGTCAAAACAGGTCGATCAACTCAAAACTCTCTTAAAATTTACTCCAACAAATAGCTTGACACAAATTGGAAAAGACTTTAGAACGCTTGAGCTCGGGGATTCAGCGATGAAACGCTCCACAGTGGTTTGTGTAGAAGTACGAAATTTTTCTGACCTCATGGAATCATTTTCAGTGCCAGAAACCTTGTCATTTATTAATTCATTCATTGGACAACTCACTCCAGTGGTTGAGAATAATGGTGGATTTGTGGAACGATCACATCACGGAAAACATGTCATTGTTTTTCCTGAAGCTCCTAAAAAAGCCTTGCAAGCAGTCACTGAAATTGTTAAGGTCGTTCGTCAATTTAACAAGGACTTTTCTGTGGGAAATGGCAAAAAAGTACCAATATCCATTGGTATTGGCGTTCATGTAGGATCGTGTGTATTTGGACTTGTTGGTACTGAAGCAAGGTTTGGCACAACATTATTTTCTGAAACTGTTTCAAAATGTTCCCACATTTCAAAGGCATCGAACACACTAGGCGTCATTATATGTACAACAAAGGACTTGCTCGATGCTTGCAATTTGACAGAGGTTCATCTTCAATCTCGAAAACTTGGAAAATTCTTGTTGAAGAATAAGAAAAATCCTGTTCCTCTATTCGAGCTCTATGCCAATGACTGGGTCGAGTACAGTTCAGAGACGTCAAAGCAAGCGATGAAACAACTCGATGAATGCATGGATTTATTTGCCAAGAAAAATTTTGATAAGGTTCTCTCCGTCATTCAAACGTTGGAAAAAACCATTAAGGAAAAATTTGACAGCTCTCAACCATCCATTCTAGGAAGTGTTCCACACATCAAACTCCTTCAGATTTATAGAGACCAATGTACAATGTTAAAAACAAAACAGTCATCCCCGTCTCGTGATTGGGCCGGTGAAATTGCTTTGGATCAAAGTTTTCAACCCAAAATAGAAGTAGAACACACCGTATCTACGCCAAAGACGAATGAGATCAATGAGGAATATGAAAGGAAACTACGAAGCTTACAATCTCAATTGGAACAAGTCAAGATGGAAAATGAGAATTTACGGTCGAACCTTAATACAGAATCGGGTATGGGTTGTTTTTGTGTTCCAAGCAAGAAGAAGGTACATCCAGCGCATGACCAACAATAAACTATTATTATGGATTCTTTTTGGACTCGAGTTGGCTGAGTAGTTTGTCCCACAACAAAAATTGTTTTGAAATTGTTAAAATCTGGAAGAAGCGGCAAATGGTGTTGAATTGTTAGGTAAAATTGTGAAACTGTTCACCACTTACCAAATCGTTATATGCACACAGTTTTTGTTGAATACTGAATGATTGTTGTGTGGAGGAGGAATCTATGTTGTCCATTTCTATTTGAAACGATTTCAAATCATTCAGCTTGTTACAGAGATCTGTGAATTGATTTCGATCGTTTAACGCGTCTAGTAAAGGCAAAAGTCGATCAAGCTCTTCAAATGATTTTGACAAACGGTCAATCATTTCGCTTTGATTTTCAATGAGTCTCCATTGTGCATCTCTCTTTAGAAGTTGCAAAGATTTTTCATCCATTTCTAAATATTCATTTGAAATAGTACCTCTCATACTATATTCATTGGGTAAGGACTCTTTTTCCATCTTTGCATCACTAATACATGACTCATATTCCAGTAAATTGCATTGTTGCATTTTAAGAATAAATTCTTTCATTAGGGGCGTTTCCATCGAGTTGTATGACTCCAATAAATTTCTTAATCTTTTTAAAAGAGATCCTTTTGAGAGTATGGAAGAATTATTTCTATTACTTTTCGTTAATGATGTTTTAGAATTTGCATGCGATTCATTCGGTTCACTGATCAATTCCGATTGGAAGATGGTTGTATGATTGAGAGTTTTATTCTTTGAATACGGAAGAAGAAAACTTGATGCTTCCCATTGCAACATTTCTAACGGAAATAGCCGACATTCCAATTCTTGACATCGTTTCTCGAGCCTTTCTATCATTTCTTTCTTTTTATCATGATTTAAGGATGTGTGCTTTTGAGAGGACATTTTTTATGGCGGCGCAATTGGTACTAGAAACCTGTCAGATATTCGTCAATCCCACGTCAGCTGATTTGAGTAAACTCCAAAGGAATCAAAAATAAAATGAGTGAGTCTCTTCCTGATTGGTTTGCAAGGGTTTGAAGAACCGAAGCAACTTGGGTTCTTACTGCAACAACAGACAAACTGAAACGAAATATAGAGGCCATAGGACGTTACACCATTATTCGCTTCAGCTGAAGCTTGTAAAACAACAGCGTGCCAACGAACAGCTCACGGAAGACAGATCCTTGCTAGCACCCTAAACCAGAACTATTACCAATTCTACTGCATGACATTCAACGAATAAATTTTTTTATGCTTTCATATTCATTTTTGACTTGACGAATATCTGACAGGTTTTTAGTGCGCTTCAACGTCGGATGCGCCGCCATAAAATTGGCAAACTGATCTTTCACAACATTCTTGACTTCTTAACAAATGAAGAAGCTTTGATAACAGATGATTTCAAGTGTGGTTCAAAATTTTGGCTCTTTACAAATTAATAAATTATTAATATAAATTATTCAAAAAAAATGCCCAAACACAAGAAGGGAGGATATTCATTCAAGAACAAGAGCGTTCATGATTTTGATTCCATACAGGGAATTTTGTTTACATGTAATAGTTCAAGGCAGAGAGAAGCCGTTCAGGAAGCGATAGGATTGCTTGAGCAGGTATGACGAATTTTATTGTTTTCCAATGATGACCGTTCTCCCAATCGGGATGAAAAATATTATTTTGAAATTTATTGGTTTTATGGTTATCACAATTATTACTGAATTCGAAAAATACTAATTATTCGGAAAACGTAGTTTGGAGAAAAAATTGTAGAAAATGATACCTTACTCTCCGATATTATAGAAGTGTTAGAAAAGGAAAAGACAAAACAACAAAATGCAACAAAAAAGAGACAAAACAAGATCAATCAAAAATCGAAAAAAGAAAACCCGGAAAAGAAGGTGAATGCATTGACAAATCAAATTGCCTCATCAGAGCCTGTTGTTCAATCCAATCAACAACCAGCAGAAGATGCCATTATAGAAACAGTTCCTTCTCTTAGTGCCTCCAATTCCGTAATTAGTAATGAATCTTTATCCTTTACAGCAAATACATCAACAGAATTACCGAGCGAACAAGGAGCTCCAAGTATGCCATCATCTACCACTGAACAGACGACAACAGCAACCTCAGCATCGGAACAAACTCAACACATTACTCAAACAACACTGACTACATGGCAAGTTAAAGAGAGACAAACACCTTCTGAAGATATTGACTCGAAATTATTGCCTTGTGATTTTTTGGAAGGTGAAGTTAAAATTGTAAAAGATGGTAAAAAAGATTTTGAGAGTTTGGAAACAGGAGTTACAGGTCAAATATTTATCAGAATCAAAAATAGGAAAATATCACCACTGGTTTTGTGCAAGAAAATGGCAAAGAATTTTGAAAAAGCTCATTCTAGAATGGAAGACATTTCATCACGTTTTCTTTTCAAAATGTATCCAATTTTTGACCTTTTTCCTGCCAATGAGAAAAATTTGACCAATCGATTTCAAAGTATGTATATGAATGAATTTGAAAGAGTGAACATTTTGTGTGAAATATTTTAACATTTTTAAAAGAATTATTGGAGGATCATAAAGATGATCTCGACAAACAGTTGAAGTATATGGTACATTTTAAAGCACATCACAGCAATACACTCCAAAAGAAGCTAGCTCTGGACATCATTGAAGAAAAAGTGAAACATTTCAGTGTAGCTGAGATCTACCATCCAAACGAGGAATTTTATGTTTTTCTTATTAAGGGCAGATGTTTATTGGGATACGCCAATGAATGTCAATCTTATAATTTTAACATTAATGCCATGAGACTCATCACTACTCAGGAACAAGAATTGAAAGAGAATCAAAGAATGGCCAGTAAGAGAAAACAAAACGAAACGACTGAAGAAGCATCTCTAGAGATTGCTGACATGATTGAGGACACCACCACACCTGCAGAACCTTCGACAATCACAGAAGATGAGATGGCTGTAATAGAACAGACAACCACAGAAGATGACAAGATGACATCAAGCTCATCAACAAGTTTACCTGAAAATTCTATTGTTATGATTGACATGGACGAAGGAAATGACACGACAACAGAAACCTTACAAGATGAAACTCCCATCACGTACAGCACCGTCACGAAACATATTTATTCCAAACGACGAAAGATTCAAAATCATCCTTCCATTGAGTTAGAAGACATTAAAGTGATTTAACATCTTGTTGATGAACCCTCATGCATTCTCATGATCATACTAAAGGATCCGTGGAAATCACAACAACACGATTCGCCTCCACAAAAGGAATTGCATTTCCCGAACGACATGTCGCCAAATGTCATCACACAAAAATAACTGCTCGCTCAAAAAAATGTTCCAACAACAGCAAGCGGTTGACAGGTCAGCTTTTGAACACCATCATGATGATCCGGTGTCAACCACCACCAACAACAACAACACCACACCAGTTCACACAAACGATTCAACAACAGAATCATCAACAAGTTCAATGAGCTCCGAATGGATTCCCAACTCATCCCACTTGAATCATCATCACGAAACCATCTGTACCTCTCCATCTAGTGAGGAAAATCATCAAGAACGTCGACATCGAATATTATTACCTCATTCGACGAGTTTGAATGACATTTCACAAATGTCAGATGAAGACATTAAAATTCTTTCGAACATTCGACGTAAACGACACAATTTTATTCATAACGACCAATTAGCAAATTCACCAACACAACAACAACATGAATTATTGGAATCCAATTCGATCCATCCAACCACACCAGACACTCCAACTTTGATGCAAAAGAATAACAATACACCATCCATCCGTTCGCACACAACGATCAATACTTTTGGATCTTCAATCGAGTCAGCGGTCACTTATAATTTATTACATGATTTCACAGAAATTGTAAATAATCCATTATTTGGAGAGCAAATTGAATTGTATTATTTTAGAGGAATTTATCCTGCTGTAGATGCTCTGTATGAAACGTTTGATTATGAAGCTGCTTCTCATTTATTGAAATCGGGATTGTTTGATTTTGACACTTATTCTGGATTTTCATTTTTAAAGAAATTGGAAGAGACAAGTGACACTTCGCGAAAGGTTCGAAAATTGAATCCAAGTGGCAGCAGTAACAATTTATTGTTACATCATCGAAAACTTGAAACAACATCTCATGAATCTTCACTCACAAAATCCTCCTCATTCATCCACACTTTACATCAACCTGAACCCTATGAACATTATTTTTCATGTATCGAAGTAAAATCTTTGGAACCACTCTTCACTCAGGAATATCAAGACAAGTATGACGGATTCAATGAGAGAGAATCGAGTACAAATATCATTCGAGATGAAAATGGATCTGTGAAAGCAGCAAGTTTGGATAAATTGATCGTGCTACTAACCTCGAATGAAGAATTCGATAATGAATTCATGCAATTATTTTTACTGACCTACCGATCGTTTACCACGTCGACTGAACTTTTAGAAAAATTAATTCAAAGATATAACACTCCACCTCCTGAACAATGTCTCTTGTATGAGAGAGAAAAAGATTTCGAACGATTGAAAGTTTACTTTGAAAATTTTCACACCAAAATTTTAAAACCCATTCGATTGCGAGTCGGTCAAGTGATGAGTTCATGGCTTCAACATTATTATTATGACTTTAGAGAGGATTCACAATTGAAAATGAAATTGGAACAATTTATTTGTGAAGAAATGAATGAAACTGGAATGAAAACTCTTTCAAAAACTCTTCAATCACTCCTACAGAGATCTTCGAAACGACGTGAAACATTTAAATTACAACAATTAGAAGAAGTGAAATTAAGGCATGAAATTGAGGGAACTCTCCAGCACCATGCCATGACTTCAAACTCTTCTCAAAATCCCTTAAAGAAAATTGCAAGTTTGAATCGTTTAAACCATTTTTCTGAAGTGGAATCTCTCAAATCCACACCGCTATGGCAACTTGACAAACGAACCATTGCTCTTCAACTCACTCTTGTCACGTTTCGACTTTTTGAAAAATTAAGACCTAAAGAATTTTTAAATTTAAATTGGATGAAAGAAACTCGACGAAAGAAAGCTCCAAATATTTATGCCATGATTAATCTTTCGAATGAAATTGGAATGTGGGTGGCTACAGAAATTCTCAATCATGAAGAAGTGAAAGAGAGATCCTATGTGTTGAAAAGATTTATCAAAATTGCAAGTGAATGTGAAAAAACTCACAATTATAATACCATGTATGATATTGTGTCGGGTCTGAATTCAAATCCCATTCATCGATTGAAAAAGAGTTGGGATCTCGTTCCAGAAAAGTGGCGAACAAAATTTCAAGAATTGGTCGAATTGACAAGTCCAAAAAGAAGTTATGCTGCCATGAGACAAGCTCTCTCGAATTATGCAGATCAAACCGTTTTGCCCTATATTGGCATATTTTTAACAGATTTCTTATTCATTGAAGAAGGAAATTCAGATTTTACCAAAGAAGGAAATTTAATTAATTTTTCTAAAAGGAGATTATTGGGTCAATTAATTCGTCAAGTTCAAACCTATCAACAAAATTCATTCAATATTGACATTATTCCAATACTACATCAACGATTGACTCATTTATTGTACAGACCTATGGAAGAATTATATGAAATTAGTTGTAAATTAGAGGCACCTCCTGCACAACCTAAAAAGAACAAGAAGAAACCACTCGTTGTTGTGTACAGTACCGAAGAATTGGATGATACAAAACGTGTGAGTGTTGAACCAGCTTCACCATCAGTGGTTGCAGCAACAAGTACTGATCTTTCCGATGAATGTCAAAATGTCATGACAAGATCTTCATCACCCATCATCCAGAGATCATCCATGTGTGAAATTACCATAACCACCTCAACCACGACGACATTAATGAATGGTGAAACTATTGTCACGTTAGAATTGTCAAGTAGTAGTTATCAAGAAGATCCTGCAATGGTCGTCACGGAAATTCAACACGATGAAGAAAATTTCACAAAAAAACGAACAAATTCTGAACTAGTGACTCATACTTCACAAGATCATGCAACACCAAGTAAGGTCATGGATGAATCTCATCATCATTCCCGAACGAACAGTAATCATTAAGATTGAAAATAGTTGTTCATCTTCTGCAAGAAAAATTAAAGATGAAATCTGACAAATCGAATAAGGACGAATAAACCTATTAACATGTTTCGTCGTTTTTTGGTTGCAGCTAGAGCAATGCGTGACCTTGCATGGAAACCGTGAAAACCTTTTTAAAATCCGCTTGATTAAAAACTCAACAAAATGCGGGAATTGTTTGGCGCCATTTTCAACGCTTGCATCATCAAAAAAAAATTCAGAATTTTCGGAGTAACGGCCTGTCATCATTTTTTGAGAAAATTCTTTTTTCATCATCAGCAACAACTATTGATCATCGGCCGGAACCAATATTCACACTAATTAACAACTGTTGTAAAAATGTTTTATTCTGAATTTATCCTCACCAAGAAAGGACCTCTTGCCAAGGTCTGGCTTGCAGCTCACTGGGACAAGAAATTAAACAAACAAACGATTGCGAGCTTGAATTTAGAGAAATCTGTTAAGAGTATTGTGGATCCATCGGTTCCTATTGCTCTGAGAACGAACGGACACTTGTTGTTGGGTGTGGTCAAAATTTATTCCAGAAAAGTGAAATATGTGTTGGCCGAATGTAATGAAACTTTGACAAAGATTAAATTACAGGCAAAAACTAAAGACGTTACCGATGAGAATATCAATATGCCTGTTCAACACATGGTCGCTACTAAAAATCAAATTACATTGCCAGAAGTCAGTGATTTGGATTTGTTGTTACTTCCTAATGCTGCTGCCATTACTTTGGAACTTGGAGAAAATTGGCAAGCTAATATCAAAGATATTACATTGGTTGATTATGCAGCATGGTCAACAGAAGAATCAATTGAACCAGTATGTATTTGTTTTTTTTTTGAATGGATGAAATTGACCAAGGTGGATCATCAACTGTGACACTTGTGACATTATTGTGTTATATTTGTTTGATTTATTATTCATGATCATCTCAAAATGACGATGATTTTAATAATGACACTCTCTGAAATGATGGATTGCATGTGAAATATTAAAACTTGGTGCAACTTAGGTTTCATTGGAAGTACCAACCACTCCAGGAGGACCAGGTGTCACAACACCTTTATCAGTTGAAGCTCAGAGAGCACTCAGCACTGGTTTGCAACCTCCATCCACTGGTGGTGTCATGCTTGGTGATAAGGCCTTTGAACAAGGTATCAATATTCAACAAATCATGCAACCATTTGGAGGACCAGGTGAAGCCGTTTCACCAGGTGGAGAACCAATGCAATTTGGTGAAATTGGTGGATTAGGAGGAATTGGTTTTGAAGAGCCTATTGAACCAACACGAGAAGAGCGAGCTCCTCAAGAAGAACAACCTGAAGAAGAAGAAGCTCAACCCACTAAAAAACGTAAGAGAAGACCAGGAAAGTTAATTCATGACGATCCAACCAGTTACACTGAAAGATACTACACCAAGAGATTGAAGGAACACAATGATTTGTTGACAGAAAGAAATCGAGCTCCTGCCACCAGAGAAGAATATGAACAAGTAGGAAGAGCATTACCATCTCGAGATATTTGGAAGCAAGCTCCATTCCATATGGATCTTCCACTTGGATTTATTGATTTCTTCTCAACATCCATTGACAAGAGCACAAGTAAGGAAAAGCCCACCAAAGAAAAGCCTGGAGCTGTTCCTACTGCTGCTTTAACACCTGATGAAAGAGAAAGAGCAAGAGCTACCATTACTCCTGGTGTGACACCTGGAGAAGGTCCATTGGAAATTGGTGGTTTTGGAGGAGGTTTTGATATGGGTGGACCTACTGAGGTCTTTGGTGCTGCTGCTGAACCAACTATTGGAAGACCAAGAGCAACCATGGGACCAGGAGAGTTGTCTCCAATTGCAGCTGATCTTGACATTAATGAAGATATCAATGACATGCTTATTACTGCTACAGCTTCCAAAACAAAGACTCCTCTCACAGATCAACGCAAGAAACAAATTATTGAAGATAAGAATAGAATTGAGAAGGAATTGAGAGAAAAGGCAGCAGCAACACCTCAAGTTCGTGTTCCAGGTGTAGCTGTCACAACTCCATCCCCTGCTGGTGTGACTGAAAGAACCGTTAAGGTGTTAGCCATGTTAGAAGAAGGTTTTAAACAAGCAGATACTGACACTCTCAGTCTTACAGAAATGTTACAGGGAAGAAAGAGACAAACTGCTGCCAGATGTTTCTACGAAACACTTGTACTCAAGAGTAAGGGACTTATTGACGTGGCTCAATCTGAACCTTTTGGAGAAATTTTGATCAGAAAGGTCGATTAACCTTTTTGCGTGTAGAAATTTCAATCTCTTCATCATTCAAAATGTATTTATTAGCTCTCTAAGGCAATCCTAAAAATGTTCACAACAACAACAACACTACATTAAAAACATCATGTTTAAATGTTGACAATGCTCGAATAGGTTTGTTGAAATAACGAGCAAACCGAAATTTTTTCATTGCCAAATGTCTTTTGATGGAAAGTGATTATACCAAAACATTAAGGAAATTTAATTAGTATAACAAAGTATGCAGCATCCAAATTACAAAATTGGTCTTTCTAATTCATAAGGTTCATTGACAATTCTTTCGTTCTGTTCAGACTCCTTGCAAAGAACCACGGCATTATGGAAGAGAGTGTCTCTGTCATAGTGAGCCTTTGAAATATCGGTAAGCTCCTTTCTGCGTTCAACCAGACTTGAAGCGGTTGAGGTACGGCAAATATAGAGAAGCTTCTTACATAACTCCATATCATAAATGGAACATCTTTCAGGATACATTAATTTCACACATTGCACGATCATGTTCTCGTATGCATCCAAAATATTACCCATCTTGGAAATGGATTGAATCGTGTATGAAGGCATGTGAATCATTAAAAGTCTATCTTGGTCGCTTTGTTTGGACTCATAATCTCTCAATTTTGCCTCAATATCTGCTTCAATACCTTGCACATCTCTTTTGTATTTCTTTGTTGATGCATTGAGGGTTTGTTTAGCATACTGGCAATAATCTCTGTTGACCAAAACCATATTAATAAGAACTTTCAATAATCTAGTATATTCCAAAGAGTATTCGCTCTTCATCATTTTGATTCTTTCGCAATGATCTTTGTACAAGTTGAAAGCACTTTCAATATCCTCGCTTGTGATTGGTTTTTTAGAATCTGACTCTTGCCATATGGTACCCAACTTCTTGGCAACTTGAAAAACGCGTAAATCTTCCTTGTGATATTTTGAAAGTGGTACATAGGATGCTGCAGCTCCCTTTTCTACTTCATAAAGTGCTTGACGAACTTGAACTCCGAGTACCCACGGATAAGTTGGTGAGGACTCTTTTGCTTGCAAACCAGCCATATACTCATCATAAGAGAGTGGTTCCTCTTTGGGTAATTCAAGAAAAGGGTTTCCGTTCTCATCGTATTTTAACTCGGCATTCTTGTATTTTTCAGTGGCCTCTTTGATGGCCATTGCTTCCTTGTAGAGTCTTCTCTCCTCATTTCTAAAGGTTCTCAAAGGTCTTGTTAATTCATGTTCGTTTTGTTCAGCCAAATTCAATTCATCCTCATCAAACTGATGTTTCTTGTAGGAACATTTTTGAATACTATTTACTGATGAGAGAGAAATGATTGCCGAGTGATGATGAGTGGAAACAGCAACACCCGAAAATACCTTTGATGACGATGAAGAGGAAGAACGAAGAAGAGCTCGGCTCAACATTTTTTTTTCAAAATTTTCATAATAAAAAATATTCATCAAGCCTTGTTTTTCATCCAAGTCTGAAATTGTTGTCGGGAGTTGAAGAAGGACAAACATCGCTGGAAGGAATATTGCTACAAAATCCCGAGACATCCTTGAGCAATGTAATCATAATTTTGTTTGTTCTGATGGAGGAAACATTCCATAAATTTACGGACATTTCAAATTTAAAAAATGTCTTCAGATCAACATCCTTGCAATTACTGTTCAGGTCGTTTCCAGGTCGACCACAATACACATTGTCCCTGCTTCCATTGTGGAAATAATTCTCTCATTCTGTGTTGGAGTTGTAAACATGATCGGACATGTCACTGGTGTGAAAAGTTTTATTGTGAGGAATGTCTGAGTCATGATGATGATACGTTGAAGAGTTATTTTGGTCGTTATTACTGTGCAGAATGTATGAATCAGACATCGGATGATGACCAGTGCAACAGTGATGATGAATCAATCATCTGTTGTTCCAAATGTGATGCAGAAATTGATTCTAGTAGCACCTATATTCCAATCGAATGCAAGGGATGCTGGTCACAGTTCTATGATCTTTGTGAGAGTTGTAAAGATCAATACATTTGTCAAGATTGTGGAGAGTACATTTGTGAAGATTGTAGCAACCGGTTTACTGTTACTAGCAGTCATTCGAGCAACATGTGCATGAGGTGCCACCGTGAAGTAGATGATTCTGGAGAGAAATTTTGCCCAAATTGCTGTTTCTTGTGTAGCTTTTGTCCAGGAATTGTTTGTAAAGAGTGTCATCAAGGAAACAAGATGAGCTTTAGGAATACTTGTCATTGTTGTAAGCTCTCGATGTGTGATCGTTGCAACGAGCATTGTTGTTCAAAATGCTTTTACAACATTTGTGTTTCTTGTGTCAAATTTTGTACGTTTGAGAATTGCTGCAAAGTAATTTGTACAAGCTGTTGTAGAACACAGAAATCGGTGAAATGTACTCTTCACAACTCAAAGAAAAAGAGAGACAGATGCAATTCCATGATATCCCAAACACAACAACTTGGAGACATTATTTTTGACTTTAACAGATAATCATTGAGAAATACACGGCATGGATTGGAATACATCTATCTCTGCAGAGGAGTTCAATGATTGGGAAAACCACTCACCTTGTTCAGCAAATTTTTTGCCGCGTTTCAAATATTTTACAGCTCGCAAAAATTGAAAACATCAAACCTTCTAGGAATTACAATTACGAGAGAGAACAGTCAAAGGTGCAGTTCAACCCCGATCCTATCTATTCGTTTCTTCTAGTAAACAATTAATATCATGAACGGATCATTAAACTTGAGCAGTATTAACGGAGAGAGCTCGATCGAGTCGAGTAGTTTGTTGGACACTTCTACCGACGGAGGGGCCTACAAAAGTGCAGAGAACGACTTGGGTGGCACTGTTGAGAGTCATTATGATCATGTTCATGTTTGTATTCGATTGGCTCCGGTGCCAGGTAGGTTACATTAATGGTTATGCACGAATGGCACATTCACTGTTTGAATGATTTTTTAAATCAATCTCAACAACAACAGCCGAAGAATCAAGTGCCAATGCTCAAAACATAATTGAAATTTCCGATGTCAACAAACTCATTGCATATCATCCAGAGAGTAGAGAAGGATTATTATACAAATTTGATCACTGTTTTGACAGCGAAACGTCAAATAATGAAATATTCGAATCGGTTTGTGTGCCCCTATTGAATGCTGTCATTGAGGGATATAATGGCACAATTATTTCTTACGGTTCTTCAAGAACTGGTAAAACAGAAATGATGATTGGAAATGAGCGAGAGGAAGGAATTGTCGATCTGACATTTCGAGAAGGATACTCTTATTTATCTTCAGTGGCAGATAAGGTTGCGTACTCGATTTCATTTTCGTTTTGGGAAATGAGCAATGACACAATATTGGATCTTCTTGATCCTGACGATGAAAAAGAGTTGAAACTTAAAAAACACACCAAACAAGGTGTATTCATTACAAATTTGAAAGAAATGCAAGTGGAGAGTTGGGAGCAATTACAATCATTGATTGACGATGGCATTCGACGAAGTCAAAAATTGACAGCTCAACGAAAGATCAGACTCCATTCGTTCATGAGATTGAGATTGACAAGAAATGACTTGGACCATCCAGAACAAGATGTCTCCTCCTCGCTCATGTTTGTAAATTTGAAAGGAACTGAAAGAATTGGTAAAATGGGAGCCAAGGGCGAACATTTGAAAGAAGGAGCAAGCTTGAACAAGAGTTTGACTGCATTCGGTAATGCCATCCACAATGTTGTGCATCATACCAAAGTCAAGGGAGCAAAAACCTCAAATGTGAATATTAATAGCTTATTTGGAGATTCAATGGTCACAGCTGTTCTCAGCGAGGCACTCGGAGGGAAAAGTGCTTCAGTGATCATTGGCTCCATTTCACAAACAGAATTCCACTATTTGGAAACCATGGAAGCTTTGGAAAATTTGAGAATTGCCAGACACATTTCTACATTCCCAAAAAAGCAAATACTCAACACGAAGGTCATAGAAATACTCAACAGGATCAAAGCACTCGAAAAAGTTTGTGCTGAAGATAAACTAGCTCCAGGCCATCCTCCTACTGAGGAGCAAGAAAAACTCGAATCCTTAAAACAACTTTATCGAAAATACCTAGCTGGAATGATTGAATTGGATGATTTAAGCAAATCGAAAGAGAATGGAGTTGAACTTCAACCCATTCCAGACAAGAAACTTCCAAAAGCTCAATTATGGAAACAAAACGATATGAAATCTCAGAGGCATGGAATGCGAGCGACTGTGTACAAACCAACGGGACAAGCAGGTGTGAAACCCAAAGAAACTTATAAAGGTCAATGGATGGATCACCAAAAACATGGCTATGGTGAGGAAGACACTCAGAAATTCAATTACAAGGGATGTTGGGCCAATGGTAAGAAAGAAGGAGAAGGAGTATTGTATTCGAAAGAAAAATCGAAAAAGATCTACAATGGAGAATGGAAGAATGGTCTCAAGCACGGTAAAGGTATCTATTATTACGATAATGGAGAAATCTATGAAGGAGATTGGGCCAACGACATGAGATGGGGCTATGGTACCATGTATTTCATCGATGGCACCAAATACGAAGGAGAATGGGCCAATGATAAACAACATGGAACAGGTTGTACCATTGAAAAGAATGGAGATCGATTTGAAGGAAGTTACTTAGATGGTTTAAAACATGGTCCAGGTATTTATTATTACATTACAGCAGGTCAAAAATATGTGGGAGAATGGTTTAAGGGAGTTCCAAAATGTGGTCAACTTTTTAAAGATGTAGAATATGAAGAAAGTATCGATCCAGAGAATCTTCCAAAGGATATTCCTGAAAATAAGTTACTGGATCGAGAACGAGTCATTGAAGATGCTGTGACTTCGGTACGATTGTTAATGGAGCAACAAGGTGTTTTACCTTTGGTCACACGAGAGAATGTATATGATTAATAACAAGTTACCACTTTAAGGCTGCTGACATTCCCAAATAACAATTTTGATAAATTTATCCATTCACCAGGAAATTTTCGAGGTCGAAGAGAGCCACGTCAGCATTTAACAATCCTGAACGAAATTGCTGCCCTGATTATAAAAAAAATGTCTTCATCATCAACCACTCAAGCTCCACAACAAACCGAAAACAAGGTGACTTTCAAAATCACATTGACTTCACATCCAAAACAACCTTTTAGAACGTATGTAAATAATATTCCTAAACAGTCTCTGATATTAAATTCGATTGCAATTCTCGGAACCATTAAATTCATAATGATTCATAATTCTTTTACAATCGATATGAATGAAATATTGAAATACTCTCAATCATCACGGTTCGGACAAAACCATTCATTCATCAACTGAATTCAACGAAAATGCATCCATTCTGGATGAATCCGAAATTAATTTTCAAAATATTTTCTTTAAAATCTCTCTCATGAACAGAATCAAAGTTCCAGAAAGTGCTCCATTCACAGCTGTCCTCAAATACGCAGCTGAAGAATTTCAAATTTCAGCTGAAACAAGTGCCATTCTCTCCAATGATGGTATCGGAATCAATCCAAGTCAAACTGCAGGAAATGTTTGGTTAAAGTATGGCTCTGATTTGCGTATCATTCCACGAGACAAGGTCGGAACGAATTAAACGTGTCATATTTTGTGAACAATTAATTTTTACAGCTGTGTGTATTTTCGGATCAATAATTCGAATTTTGGAATTTGTACAATTTACAAGTTGATGTACAATTTTTACACCTTTCCTTTTCACCCCTTTCATGGAGAGTAGTTTACCAGTAACACATCATTATTTGTACAGAACGGATTGAGGTCGTTTTGCAGGACTCGACGATGACACTACATTTCCAGTGCCAGGACTTGCACTATTTGTGGTATTATTGGAAAGTTTTTCAAAGAATTGCAATCGTTGACTTAATGGTAAATTATCATTCTTCACAGAAGCATTCGAAGGTGAACTAGTCACTGGTGACGAAGACACTGTTGAATTCTTATTATTCATCGATGAAACAATATCCAAAGTCATTTTCTTTTGTTTCGTCATGGGAGAGTCCACTAATTCTGTATTGTTACTAGTCACATTCTTTGTTTGATTTGTTGTTGCAGTCGTGGTTGTGGCCATCGATCGATTGGTTGGCGTCGAGTTTGCAACATGGCCACTTGATCTTGGTGTATTCATGGTCGTTGTCGTAGTAGTAGTGGTAGTATTGGAGTTATTATTACTCGATCTTGGTGTGGTCATGGTCGTATTGTTGTTATTGTTGTTTAAATTATTCGCTCTTGGTGTTGAACTTCCATTATTATTATTATTTGTATTTGGACTTGTCGTGGTTGAAATATTCTTGAGTTGAAATTGTGGCTTATTCATGGTAGTCTGCACTGATGCATTCACTGCTTCTTTGGAATTTAGAACTTCTTGCTTGCTCAATTTGTTGAGTGACAAGTTTGGAGAAGAATTATTTGGAAAGTGTTTCACACTATTATTACCACTACCACTTGTATGCATAGTTGTTGGTATGGTTGTTGTTGCTGTCGTAGCCATGTTCGTATGACTTGCACTATATGGATGTCGAGGTGAAGAATGACCACTACTGCCACTTGTCAATGACGTGTTCGACAAGACGGGTGATTCCAAAGAAAGTGACGCTCTCGAAGGAGTCGACGATCCTTTCGACGACATCATGGCTGCTTTTCTTGGAGATGTCAACGAAAGATCATCTTGACTTTGCTGCTGTTTCGGAGCTGTCGGAAGTGGTTTCGCCTTTCTTTCTCCGCCAATTCCCATCAATTGTCCGTGTTGTTTCAAAACTTCTTGTAATCTCTTGATTTCATTATCTTTTTGAATGAGTTGTTTGTATAAATCTTGAATAATATTTTTCATAATTTCAACAGTTTCATTTTGAGAGGAGGATTCTTTTCTTGAATCATTGCCACGGTGTTTGAAAAGAGAAGACAGAGAAGCAGTGAGTGAAGTGTCCGAATCACTGTCACTTGTCAAGATGGGTGAGGAAATTTCAGAGGTATTGGAGAGAGTGCAGGTCGATGTGGAATCATCCAAATTGGGTGATTGAGAATTATTTCCATGATTCACAATAATTTGTGAAATGTTTTGTTGAAGTACGGATCCTCCTTTAAATAATCCACCGACAAAACGTTTCATTAAATTTGCAGCACCTAATGCATGATTGTCTCCTCCTCCTCCTCCGACAGCATTGGAATCTAAATGATCTCCTGAATTATTCAAATCATCCAAAGAGGATGAATCATTGTGATCTCCCAAATTTGGAGAACTATTACCAAAATTGGTAGTATTTGAAGTTACAGCATTGGGAAAGAGAGAAGAAGATCTCTTTTTCTTGGTCTTTTCATGTTGTTGTGAATGAGAAGCAATCTTTTCACGAACTTTCTTAATGATAAACTTTTCGAAAAAGTCAGAACTCAGATACGATTCAAAACTGTCTTGTTTCAATTGCAAATTAATTTGAACGGTCAATTCGTTGAAAGCATGTTGAATTTTTGTCCACAATATTTCTGGAGTTAACATGGTGTTACCTTCTGACGCCACATTGACATTTGACATTTTTGATTCATTCATACTATTGTTAGTAGAATTCACAAAACTCTTAACGTCTTCAAAATTTTCCACAATTCTCATTCTCATCTTGTCAGTAATATTCAACTCTTTCGGAGATTCCAATTTCACAAAAGTATCAATCAACGATTGTGTCTGTTCCATCATGTGAGGCACCGATCGCAAACTCTTTACATTCTCCAATTGCAGTAAATACAATAAATTTTCATCGCAATGAGTGACTTGAGTGAGATATTCCAAGAAACATTGACAAGCTTCTTTATCTCTCATGATGGTGGAATAATTAAAGTAATGTTGAATTTTAATATGAGGAGAAGAAGAAGGACATGTTACAGTAGTAGTATTGTTGTTGGTATTATTTTGATTATTATTTTGTGTATTATTATTATTATTATTATTATTTTGCGTATTATTTTGTGTGGATGATGATGATGGTAGTGAAGTAGGTGGACTTGTTGTTGTTGTTGGAGAAGTAGAACCCGATGAGGAGGATGATGAAAAAGAGGAGTACATTGCTCCTCCTCCTCCTCCTCCTTCACTTGTTGTTGTTGTTATTTGAATGCTCATGTTTGATGATGATGATGATGAACACAATGGATTCGAAAAAGGAATTAGAACACAATGTGTCGTAGAACAAGATTGTGATGATAATGCGCTTGGGATAGTCGTCGTTTGTGTTTTTCGAAAAACACAATCAGGTTGTCGTGATGCTGATAATAGTGATGAACCAAATGCTAGCCCTGTTGTTGTTGTTGTCAATTTTCTTCTGGTTGACTGTTGACGTTAAAGTTTTGGAGAAGGAAATGGCAAGCTGACGCTTGTTTGGGTTGATTGCGCAATGTTATGCGTTATGAATGGACAAAAGGAAGATGGAAATTGGCAATTCTATAACCAAAGACTTGAATGACATGTCTTCCAACAACAGACACAAAAGTATTGTTTGTGACTCGACAACGAAAGAAAAAGTACAACAATGAAAAGTGCTTTGAAAAGAATACTTTTCATTAATTGTACTACCACTCGAATGAGGGCCCTTTCAAACCTGCAGCCGCAGCAAACAGCCGAAAAGGACGGCTGCCAGCTCCTGCTGACTTCCCAAACTTTGTGGAAATCCAGAATCCTCCAGAATCCGGATGTTTATGGATTTTGGCGGTTGTTTTTGGCTTTAAAACGAATAAAATTTTTAACAACAAAAATGCAAAACAACAACAGCAACAACAACAACAATTCCTAACAAGCTTTGGCATGTTATCCTTGAACGAAATGAATTCAAATGTGGAGCTAGACAACCACATCAACGTACATCCACGAAACGAATTCTGATCTTCATCTTCTCTATGACTATCTTACCGATATAAAATTCACACCATCAGACATCAATTCAGTAATTCGTATTTTTGAAGAAAATGCTATCAGAAGCATTGCTTGTTCTAACTTTTATTTGATGATGAAGAGATCATGTCATTTGCACTTCCAAAATCCATCATCAAAGCAGCAATTTCTTTCCGAATGCAACCCGAAAATGATAATCCAAACCAAAGATTTCACGTAAAAACAAGATTATGACTGAAGATGATGTCAAACAAATGTTCATAACAAGAGAGCTTTGTGGAATCGCTCGCATCTTCCTCAAAGAAAAAGAAACAAATCATAACAATACTGACATCGAAGATGATGATGAGTCAATTTATAGTTCGACTTCAAGGTAGATAAATTGTCAATTTATCCATTATTGTTGTTATTAATGATCGGTTTGTTTGACAATGTATAGAGTTCAATCATCACCCAACAACAGAGTATTTTTGCCTTTTCAACTGCAAGAATATATGATCGAGAATTTTTATGGAGTGGCTCGACAATATTGTGGCTCCAATACCAATCTGAACGCTGAAAATTTCTTGAATGCTCTCAATAATTTTTTAAGTGCCTTAATTGTTGACTTATAATTCAACAAAGAGAAAGATCAATCCACAAGATTACCATATGAGTATTATTGTTGCTTCCAATCACCAGAACATATTAATTATATTGTTATTGGTGAATTTGAAAGAGCATGTCGCACTTTTGCCATGCTTCCAGATGCTGAATATGAAGCTCCAACCATTCATACTCTATTGTTTAATTTGAATATACCTGGTATTGAAGTTTTACTTACAAAAGAATTCAAATTGAAACAATATTCGAATAATGACATTATGGAATTCGATAAATTGGAGCAGCAATGAAACAGAACACATCAACCACACAACATGCTGCAAAATTTCAAAAACAAACAATCCAATGCACATATCACCATTGGAGGAATTACCTTTCACAAACAACAATTGATACATCAAGTAACATTTAGTCACAAAACTTCTTGTGATGTTTCGAGATATAGAAGGTTCGATAAGAGAAAACCTAACACTATCTCACAACAATCAAACTCCCTCTCATGGCAACTCTATTCTCTACTGACTTCTCAAGAACAAATTGAAAAACCAGAAGCAAATCAGACTCTCAATTCCGAATATTTAAGCATTGGTGATTATGTTCTCCAATTAGATGAAAACAATTATGTCTTCATCTGCCAAATTAAGCAAATCAAACAGTGGACAAAAAGGACTAAGAAGAACAAAACCTTTGTGGCTGAATGGCTGTTTGCTGCGGCTGCAGGTTTGAATGGGCCCTCACTCGAATAGAAGAAAGGATCATTCGTCTTTTGTTATCAATTTGGATTGCTATTTGGAATCCGTTGCCTGAAAACTCTCAAATCAGCGACGGATTTGACAAGGGACTAGCCAAAAAAGACAGCTCAACAACTGAGGTATCCAGTGGTTTCTAGATCTTTACTTTGGGATGATACAACAATTCCGTTGAATTTATTACAGAGGTGTTGGTTTAAGAGAGAATATCGTGTACATTAATCCACCATTTCATCATCACTATTATCAGCATCACCAATTTCAGCATCACCATTTTCCAAATAAAAGTTTACAAAATCCTTCAATACTTGATATGGATTTGCTGTACCTTGTGCAATCTGGAACAGGTATGACTTAAATTTTGGGTCAAGGTCAGCAGTTTCTTTCCAAGCAGTAATGACTGATTGTAATTTTTGATTTGGATTTAGTTGCTTCTTAAACTTCAATCTTAATTTTGGCTTAATCATGATATAAAAACATTTCAATAAGCTCTCACAGTCATATCTGGCCTGATATTGAATTGGGTTGTCAATAATCCAATTTTGTGCATACTCTTCTGCACAAAACACTGCTGTACCAGCAAATCCATCCATGGACATCGGGTCTTTCAAAACAAAACCCCATGTTTCGATAATGTAAACAACAAGAGTTTGGAATTAATTGGAGGAAAACTAATGGGTTTGTAACTCGCCAAACATCCATCCTTTGGAAAAGGATTGGTGTTTGAGGGATTTTCTGCATAATTTGTCATTAGACTTTATTGTCAATTGTCAGCTCAACTTTAAACTTTATAACCATTATACTTACCAAAACGTGCATTCATTTGAAAGACGAGAAACATGACTCAAAGAGACAAATTCACTCATCATAGCCTGGATATGGATTACAACATGAATCAATGTTGGGGCTGGTTTGGAAGAGACTTGTTGTTGTGGCTCAGTGTGTTGGAATTTGCAAACCACGCAATTGAAATGCATTGGATGTGTTGATTTTTTATTTGATGATGATGATTTACCTGCCAATAGCACACACTCCACGCATTTAAGGCTTTTAATATAGCCATGTTGTAGTTATTAAGCGGTAAGAACTTGATTGTTCTTCAGGGAATGTAATGAATTGAGGCGGCAAAATGAATGTAAGGCTTGCGTTCAATGACACAGGTGAAGGGATATGGATTACAATAGGTGAGGGCCCTGACAAATCCGCAGCCGATCATGCAACTTCAGGATTCGACTGATCCTGATCCAAAAATAAAAATCCAGAAATCGCTAGAGCGGATCCTCCGCTTTTCCACTTAAAGTTGGAACAAATCGAAGTCGATGTTTTGTTGTCTTTGGAAGAAGACCGTTAGCACAACAATTCATGAGGCCTTGCAACATCACCAGAAGAGACAGCCAATACCACCCAGCAAGCATTGACCCAGCATTATTTCTTCAGCATTGAATTTGTCCCAAAGTCACTTTACACCAGGACTTGTTCCGGTCCGAGGGCCCTGACAAATCCGCAGCCAGAGCCCACGCATCCTCAGCCGATCATGAAACTTCAGGATTCGATTCATACTGATCCAAAAATAAAAATCCAGGAATCGCTGGAGCGGATCCTCCGCTTTTCCACTGAAAGTTGGAACAAACCGAAGTCTATGTTTTGTTGTCGTTGGAAGACCGTTTACACAACAATTCATGAGGCCTTGTAACATCACCAGAAGGGACACCAACACCACCCAGCAAGCATTGATCCAACATTATTTCATCAGCATTGAATTTGTCCCAAGGACACTTTACATCAGGATGACTTGTTCTGGCCCGAAGAAAACAAACAGCAAAATGACCATCTCCATAATCATTGAAGACAAACAATTTAACAAACGACAGTCTTTGGTCTGTGGATACTTCTTGAAACGTGTCGCGAGTTCGACGTTTCTACAAAACAAAACCCCATCTGATCATTACTCTTTACTTGAAATCGACGAACAACCAAACCACCTGGTGGAGGAAGATCAATTACAGTTGTCGAATAACGAATTCATTAAAATGAAAGTTTTTATTGCAAAATCCTGATTTTTGGATTGAATCGGATCCACCACCCTGCAGCCGTTTGAAAAATGAGAGCCGCTGGATCCGGTGCCACTACGTGGGCTCTGGCTGCGGATTTGTCAGGGCCCTCTCCGGTCCGAAGAAAACAAACAGCAAAAAGACCATCCTTATAATCATTAAAGACCAACAATTTAACAAACGACAGTCTTTGGTCTGTGAATACTTCTTGAAACTTTTCGCGAGTTCGACCGTTTCTACAAAACAAAACACCACCTGATCATTACTCTTTACTTGAAATCGACGAACAACCAAACCACTTGGTGGAGGAAGATCAATTATAGTTGTCGAATAACGTTATTCATTAAAACGAAAGTTTTTATTGCAAAATCCTGATTTTTGGATTGAATCGGATCCACCACCATGCAGCCGTTTGAAAAATGAGAGCCGCTGGATACGGTGCCACTGCGTGGGCTCTGGCTGCGGATTTGTCTGGGCCCTCATTTCATCCTCCTCGAATTCAGTAATTAATTTGGATGTGTTTGGTATATCTTGTATGTGTTGAAGTATAGCCCTTTCTCGTTGAATTGATTCCGATATAACCTCTTGGTTAGAGCTGCACAACTTCATAGCATATTCTTGTGATCGATTATGGGAATCCTTAATGGATACCTTATACACATTGCAAGTTGCACCAAAACCTAATAGTTTCAATAACTTTACAGAACGTTGTGGAGTAGGAACGGGATCTTGCACATTACCGTATTTCATCATTGAATACAAATATTGAACTCCTTTGGACGTGTAATTTTCGCTTTCAATCTTTGGGTTAAACAATTCAAAAGGAACGGTAATCTCGTTGAAGACTTCTGTTTCAGAGAAATAAGAACGTATGAAATGAATTTCTGAATATGTCATCAATGCGGCTATAAACACCGTTCTTTGTTTGTTGGACTCTCTCGCCTTATAAATATAATTAAACACCTGTCCAAGCTGGTCGTCCTTATTAACTTGCACTTTCACTTCCAAAAAGGCCTCAGCAATTTTACTCAAGCCATCATAAAGAGCTAGGTCTGAAATGTTTGAAATTTTAAACTTGTTTGAAACAAGCACAAAGTCCGGTTTGCAGTTTCTTATGGTCTGATAATATCTGGTATCCAAGGCTGTAAACTCAAATTCCTCAGAAAATTTTCTGTTAAAAATCTTTACAATAGCATCTTGAACATCGTTTTCATTATCCAATTTCTTTTGTTTGGATATCTTACAAGTGACCTATTCAACACTTGACAACCAATAAGGATTCTGCACAACAGTGATGGTGTTCTTAATCTTTGAATAAAACTCACGATACGATGACGTTGTATCATCAATACGTGAAACAGTTGAGGTGTTGAACCTTTGCAAGTTCTACCTGAGCAGTTAGTTGTTTTGTTCTCTCTTGAACAATCATTCTTTGAGCGTCCAATTGCTTTGTTCGCTCTTCGGAAAAGATTTGTTTTGTTCTCTCTTTCTCTTGCTCTTGCTTTGTTTTCTCTTGCTCTTGCTTTGTTCTCTCTTGCTCTTGCTTTGTTTTCTCTTGCTCTTCAAGAAATCCCAAAAACTTCAAAACAACATCTTTGTCTAAATTCGGACTCATTAGTAATGAGAGTAACATATTCGTTGGGGAATTGTTGTTGGTATCAAGATCGAAAGACGATGGAAGAAGTGGAGTGGTCATGTTATATTTTTTTCTTTTATTCCCGCTAAAGCCGTAATGTTTATATTTCTTATGATGATAGTAAAACTCTAAGGCAATTTGTTCCAAGAATCAACAATTCCTCTCAAAAGAATTATCAAAGTGTTAAATTTAACCCTTAAGCGCACTCGAAAACATTTTGAACAAGGGTTTTCTTCCACCATTAAGAGGATGACGGCTCTCATGAACCCATTTACAAGAAGAAAGCAAGTGCCACGTGGCTCGGTCCGAGGAGCTCGTAAATCCATTACTCCTCTCATCAAGGCGGAAAAGAAGGAACAAGAATATAAGAGATATCATGAAACAAAACAAGCCGTTGTAGAAGCAAGAAAAAAGAGAAAAACAACTGATACTGTTTTCACGGAAAGAAATGGTACTCATATTCCACAACCTCGGGTTGATGAGGTTGAGAATTTACGGCAAGGATGGAAGGAAGTATTCTTGGTCGGAATGGAATTGTTATGATTTGGCTTATCAAATCCGTGCAAATGAAAGGAGTTAACGAGGAAATTATTGATATGAAAAAATTGAAAATGTCTTGGACTCCTTTGATCCCTAAGGCTAATCAAAGAAAGAGAATTAATTATGCAAATCTTCCTCATGTGTTTGCATTGTATTGCAATTTGAGAAGAAATTTTTTGTCAAGAATGAAGGAAGAAGACATCAGGGTCTATGAATATTGTCTGCCATATTGTTTCAGGCCATGAGAGTCATTGACGAAATTAAGAAGGACAATAGTGGTACCCTTGCAAAGTTGTACGTGTTGGACAAGTCAGGAAGTGTACAATTCAGTTTGGATTCAAAAGAGGATCCTCGATTTCTGCCAAACCATTTCTTTCCGTTCGCCACAAACAATTTCTGCATTTCCTCCACTCTTGGATGCGTCATCAAGAACATGATCACTAATGCCGCAATGGTTGAATTATGCAAAGCATAAAATCCTAACGCCACATACTTGTTCAAGAAATACAATGGAATGCATGAAACTGCCACAAATTGACCCCCCATCGAGACTGAAATGGCCATCAAGATTTGAATGACCTTCTTCAATGCATGTTGTTTCATTTGAATAATTTTCAATTGCTCTCCCGTGTAGACTTGTTCAGCGTGATCATCTCGTTGTTGCTGATGTTCTTGCTGAAGAAAGATTTCTGACGTGATGTCAGATGCAGGAGTTTGTGGAGAACTCGTAATTTCACAGAATTCACAATCTGTGGATTCATATTTTCATGATTATTAGGTTTGTTGAAATAATTATGAACACTCATTCGCTCGTCCTTCACCTGCTTTTAAGGCTTTCATAATTTTTGCAGCATTGGTCTATCAGTAGCCACACAAACACGAATTTAGCGAGATTTTCATTTGTGGTTGGAATAAATTGAATGTTTGCACTACTTACAAACAAGATGAGAAACAGTAGAGTTGTCTCAAACATGAATAGTAAGGTCGAAAAGAAGAATATGGCCTATTCGAATGATTTTAACAGTTTCGTGTCTCCCAATACTGCTTTCAAAATTTCCATAACCAATAACAGAAGAGCCATCAGAGTAGTCATAACAATGACAAGAATTTGAAACACGATACAATATCTTACAATTTTAAATCTCTTCTCTGGGGTGGCTCCAATATCCTTTGAAGATCGAACACTATTAGGGTACAATTTTCATTAATTGTTATCAATTGTTGTTGTTGATTTCCTCATAACAAAATACCTACAATACCATAATTATGGCAATGTTGGAAATTAAGAAAAATTCGACAAACGTGACCCAGCATGTGATACTTGGGTCAACTCCTTTCAACACTCCATACACGATATTGGCTGTTATTACTTACGAGGCGGTCAAAGAACTAAATTCGGCTCCCAAACGTGTCATCACCACACAAAGTGTAAAAATCCAATTCATGTCCATACACGTTCAACCAAAATAAAAAATGAAAAACCATAATTTTCCAAATAAAAAAATGATGCCTCACAGCCTTTACATGCTCACGAAGAAGGCAAATTTTTCAAAAACAGTTCTAGTCCAGGGAATCTCGCGTTGTTATTGATCGTCAAGTGAAACACGCGATTGCTAATTGCAAACTGTCCCAATTACTCTACCAACCACTGCCGTAAAGGTGGTGGGTGGTAATTTTTGGACTCTGAAAGCTCTTCAGAGTAATCAACAAGAGAAAATTAAAGATGATGATGGAGAGGAAGGAGGCTTGAAAAGGGCAACAGCTCGCATCGCCCTGTAACTCTTTTCCAACCAAGAGGTTGTTTTCATCTTGGATTTCATCAAGATCAATTTAACAAAAAAAATTGTGGTCATTCGTGTATTAATGGGCTTATTTCATTCCAAGAGATCACCATCTCATTCCACTCTAGCGACATGCGAAATGCAGCAGCAAAAATCCACCTCGAATCCATCCACATTTGAGCATGACGAGGAGGCAAAGAATACATTGAACTCTTCACATCAACCCATTGCTCAAGATTCAACGCGAAGAACCAGTGTGGACATTGTGCGGGGGCAAGCTTCAAGAGTTTGATTTTAAGATCTTTGTACAAACTTTGTAACAAGTTGACAAGCTTGTCAGTTCATTACAAGTAAAACATGTCCATCAGTTGCTTCATGACAATTTGCATTCTGTCACTCACTCTCAATGCACATCCATCGTCATGATGTTCTGAATATTGATGATGGTTGTAATTATGAAAAATCATAAGCGCGGGAGTGTCTGGGACTTGGTCGCTGAAACAACTACAATTTTTCTAAAGTCCCAAAAAAAACGCGTACACTTCCTAAAAGCGGGTTCAGAACGATCATCATCAATTGATATCGGGGAGAGACACCTCACGACTACTACAACAATAACAACAACTCATTATCACATCAACCATCATCATCATTATTGAATCTAAGAAACTACCCATCAGTTTTTATCAAATTTTCAAACACTTACATTAATTCTCCACATGTCCATGTTTTATATTGGTGAGGATAAACCAAAATCTGTTGGAGGAGGTGATTCTGACGTTTTGGATAACTTGGATGATGCCCTACCTGGAGTCTTGGGATCCTCTCAAGACGTGGTCATTAAACAAAAGTTTGATATCATGAGACAAGCCGCAGAGAGAACCTCCAGACAAAACAGTAGAGGAATGAATATGATTCAATCATCAAGACCAATAAGTTCCCGTGGCTATTCAAGAGCAAGTAGTGCGAGAACTCCACCAACACCTCAAACATCATCTTCCTCAACACCTCTTGGCCAAGGATATAACTCTTCAAACTCGCTCAACAATGATCCCAATCGTTGGTCGGACGATGTAGATGATTTGGATGATATGGGTGGATCTTCCCAAACGAATCGACACACTACATCATCCTCTTCATCTTCAAGACCTTCCAGTGCAAGCTCAAATCCAACCGCTCTTGAGAAGGATTTGGTTGAGAGAGGCATTACTCCAACATTTAATCCATTACAGGAACAGAAAGAACGCGACAATAGAGCTCCAAAAATTCAAGAAGAGAAAGTTCCTGTGAAACCGTCACCAAATACTGAAAAATCAGATGAGGATGATTTTGAAAGCGTTGCTGGATTGAATATTCGAGACTTGAGATCATTTGTTGTCAAGCCACCTCCAAATCGTGATCAATGGGTCCGATGCTACATTCTCCGAGATACCTCCAAAATGAACAAGATGTTCCCAAGATATTTCATGTATGCTGAACGAGGTAGTACATTCCTTCTCTCTGCCAAGAAGAGAAAAGGTAACAAGTCTTCAAATTACTGTGTTTCTCTCAGTAAGGAAGATATTAGTAGAAGTAGTGATACTTTCATTGGAAAGTTGAGAAGCAACTTCCTAGGTACGGAATTCCAACTGTTTGACAATGGTGAAAAAGCAGCAAAACTAAAGCCTGGAACACACTTGAGAAATAATCTAGCCTCAATTGTGTATGAGACCAATTTGTTCGGAAGTAAGGGCCCAAGAAAATTCACCGTTGTCATTCCTGATGCCAACGAAGAGAATGAATTATATCAATTTCCAGATAACGGAACGTCACTCATTACGAAATTCAAGACTGGAGATTGGCATCATTTGAAAGTGTTAAAGAACAAATTCCCTGTGTGGAATGAAAGATTGAAGGCATATGTTCTCAATTTTAACGGCAGAGTCACAATGGCTTCAGTGAAAAACTTCCAGCTCGTCGAGCCCAACAATCCAAACAAAGTCTTCCTCCAATTTGGTAAAGTGGATGAAGATCGTTTCAATATTGATTTCAAATATCCACTTTCTGCTTTGCAAGCCTTCTCGATAGCCATTTCTTCATTTGATTCAAAGCTTGCTTGTGAATAAGAAATTTAGGTTATTTCTCGTATTATGGAGTTATTTAGGAAATCTCTCCTATCACCAATTTCAAGTTGTACAGCAAAATGCTTACTTTGTAGCAATAAACAACACCAACAAACTAATTATTCTTCTAATGTGTGTGTTGGATTAATATGAATATCAGCATTGAGTGTGCTTGCTCACTGGCCACAGTCACATAAATTTGTAATATTGAATCGAATTGTGTCATGTATTCATCGTCGAGGTTGATTTATTCTTTCTCTACTCTCTGTTCCAAATGTTCGACAATATAATCAAAAAGTATTTCTCTCGAAATTCCCTTATAGCTTGGGAAATAATTCACATCGACAACATAGTATTGTGAACAGGATGTAGCATCTCCTCGACAATCTTTGACAAGATCAAATCCAAAAAGAGAAACATCAAGTGCCTTTCTCAACTGATTGCTCACTTGCTTGAAAATAAAATCGTGTTGTTCAGACTGAATATTTTCGTCATACGAAATCTCTGTTAAGGAACTTTCCACAACGGACGTGTCACTAATACTAGAGTCGAATGGCTTCTGGCTGTCAAATGTAATGATGTTTGCGTTTTCTTGTGATGAACTCAAATTTTTAAGAGATGGCTTGATTTGATAGAATACCCGTTCGCCAATCACATAAATTTTGTAAAGGGTCGAATTGTGATTCACAAATTGTTGAGCGATCAGAGGTGTAGATACCGTATGCTGCATTGCGTCATTGTTGTCTCCGTACACAACTCGTTTGAATTGCTCATTATTGAAAACGATGGCCATGTGATGAGTTTCAGATTTTCCACAAGCAGCCACAGTCTTACAAACCAAAGGATAGGATATAGATTCGCTCTGTTGCAATAATAGCTTGTCTAAATCTTGTTTTTCACTAATGAAATACATGTGTGGTATTTTCACATTTGTACTTGACGCTAATTGCGTCTCAAGGAAGTTATGAATTTCAATTCTATCCAAAAATCTTCTAGTGACATGCAATGGCTCTACTACCTTCATACCGTCCTTCTCATGGAGATCAATGTAGTATTGAAGATTTTTTAAACGTCTTGCAGCATGAATGTCGGATTTTTCAATTACCATATCATCAGTTACTTTGAAGAAAAGTACATCTACTCTTGGTTGTTTTTTGATCCATTCGTAATCATGGTCATCAGAGCTAATTTTTTCATCAATATTCTGAGTTGATTTTTCAATCACAATCTCAACGCATGAGCAAATATTCTTTCTCACCCTATTGCAATATTCAACAAATGGTTCAAAAAATTGTTTGTTTTTCTTCACGTTTCCGACATAGCCAATCACAAAAGGTTTTCGTTCACCAAGTTGTGATGATGGGTGTTGTTGACTCATTTTTTTTGTAATCTCAAAACAGAGAATAACGTTAAATACACTCGAGAATGCATTCTTTAGCTCATTGTCGAAACTAAATCATCATTGAGTATCTAACGCATTAGATCCACCCTTTAGAACACGTGCTATTCAATTTTTATTAATTTATTAAATTTTTTCAAAAAAAAAATGAATATTTTCTATGCTTGTGTTGTCATGATGGTTGCCTTGTGCACATCGCTGCTGACCACATTTGTGGAGTGGATATTTGTTTATCGGAAGAGTGAATATCAAGAATTACAAGATGATATTGACCAAATTCAAAAGAGAATTGATAAAATTAAGAAGGAAACCATTGTGGTTCATAAAGGAGGAAGTATTAATAACTCCAAAGAAGACCAAAAGGCTATCAAGAGAAAGAAGGATAACTTGACAAGAGAAAAGGAGCAACTCCGAGCTAAAAATCAAGAGTTATCCATGTTTAAGATGAAGAGTACCATTATTGTTGGTATCATCATGATTAGTGTTTTTGGATTGTTGAACAATGTGTAAGTGTGTGTGCTGATCAGAAAATTTAACACTGAATTTTTTGATTTATGCATGGGATATTGATTATCTTGTCGTTACTGGTTTTACGTCTTGATAACAAAAATTCGAATCATGACACGTATTTAATATGAACATTCATTGGAACGACACGACTGAATGATAACCACAATTTTAAATCATGACCAAATCTTTGAATAATTCACAACAACGACAGCTTTGATGGTAGAATTGTAGCCAAGTTGCCTTTTGAGCCATTCTCAATTTTCCACATGTTTACACACAGAAACATTCCTGGAAGTGACTTTAGGGATTGTGGAATGTTATTCATTTACATTTTGGCAAGCAATAGCTTCAAGACGAGCATTCAAAAATTCTTTGGTTTTGTTGACAAGTCTCAATCCATGTTCCAAATGCCAGAAGTTGAAGAAGATGAGCAATAATACAAGTCATTCACGAATTTCTCCAGACCTCTAGACATTCATTGACGAGCATCACTTTTAAACCCCTAAATAATCATTATTATTATCATTCACTATTATTCTTTTTTTAAGGTTTTCACCTACCACACGCTGACAAGCCTGAGCAATCAAACAAAAAATGCAAAGAAAGAACACAAAGTCATCATCAGGCACGGAAAGCAATGTTTCCTCATCATCTTCGTTGGACGAAGAAGAAAGAGAAGTTGAACGTTTAGAATTTGTTCAATTCCTCACCAACATGTCCCAGTTAGAATCCACTCATAAAATTGTTCAGTTGAATCGGGTTCCTTTCGTCGTGAGTATGAGAGTCATTCGGCCCACTCGTAACGCCATCACGAGTGATATTCATCATGTTACCACGTCCAATCATACATTAACTTTGAACGGAATGGATCAAGCCTTGAATCAAAACACCATGTCTTTATTGGATGCTATGGCCCAACATCAGCAACAACAACATTTATATCTGGCTTCTGTGGCAGGTGGGTCCTTCTCCTCTCTCATGTCATTAAATATGCAGAATCAAGGAGTTGCAAATCAGTATGGTGGTGGTGGTCTCTCAATCAATTCTTTGGATGTTCCGAGTCAATTACAATCTCTTATGGCTCCTCATCAACACTTGACACGAGAACACAAGGAACAATCTCTCAGGCTACTCCTCTCGTGCACCAATGGAAGCGACGAATATTATGAATGCGACTTGGGATTTGAAGAGTTGCAGGAACATCGTAAAAAGATTTCCATGAACCACTTGTCATGGTCAAATTATTTGAAATATTTGAGAAATGGATTGTTTTATTTTGGAAGTAGTTTAATTGAAAAGCAAAATACTGAGACAGGTGTGAATACTAATGCTACTACTGGTGGGACAATGGCATTGTCGTCGAGTGATGATCCCACTCTTTCTCATGTCTCGCTTCAATTTGACGAGGAAAATAAGGAATCTAAGGATGTTATTCAATTGATCATTTACTCTCCATTGAATCAGATGACAAAGACGACAGCAATCAATCCACAAGCAACATCCTCGAGTGAGACAGGAGAAGGCACCTTGAGTGGACAAAAGGCAAGCGCCAGCTCCTCCAATCCTCCACTCTCTGCATCTATTCGTCTCAAATTCCTCTTTGAACTCTATGCCATTCGACACGTGGTTGATTTTACACAAAAAGTTCAACAATTGTTGTTTGACTTGGTGTCGTACAACTCGTCCTTGAGTGAGGTCCGTCTATTGAAAGACGCCAAACTCATCTCTGACTTGAGACGTGAATTGCAAGAGACCAAGCAAAAGCTTCGTCAAGCACAAGATCGACTCATTCTTTATCAACCTGGAGGTGGTGCCATGACTTCTTCCACAAGCGGTGGCGTCAGTGGTGATGTTGGCTCAGGCTACAACAGTGGAGGATCCTCCAATAGTGATCATGAAAAGAAGACTGCCACTACCAAAAGGAAAGCACCCAAGAGCTTGATCAATCCCAACCAGAAGAGAGTAACACAAACCAGAGGTGCCAAAATTCAATGAGGTGTGTGTGGAAGGGACATGACCATGGTTGTCATGTTTCTGAAGATCTGCTCCTTTTCGAAAACTTGCTCGGGTGTTCAGCCAACGTCCATCCACATGTAGGGCTTTTCGAGGTACCTCGTGTTGGAAAATAGATTTGTGTTTGTCTATTCAGTTCGAAGAGATGAGGAACTGTAAACTTTCGCTCGCGCAGATGACATCATCCTCATGTTGTAGCACCAATCTCTCTACAGTTGGACATGATGAACTGTAAACTTGGTCATTGTTCACCATTGCACCGCTTCTAACCAACACCAAATGAGCACTTCATTGATCAGGCCTTTGATAGTTACTTTAGTGCTTCTTCTCGAGCAACGATGCTTCTCAGTGATACTTTTGTTGGGCTCATCATCAATTTATTGAGATCTCGTCGATATGTTCTCACTTAGATTGTTTGGTAATGCTCCATGAATTCTCGGAACACGTAAGTAAATTCGGGCATGAACTTGTAACACCATGTTCCACCCAGAGCTGAACGTTGTAAATTTTGTAATCGAGCCAACCAATCACTTTGGCTTGTGTATGCGTGAGGCATCAGGCTCGTCATTTTTGCTACAAAAAATATTCCACACCACGTGCCATCACGTAACACCCACAACAACAAAATAAAATGTCTGAAGCCAAGCAAGTCGAATTACAATCCAAGGATAAGCAATCTTTCAAGGTCGACAGAGATGTTATTCTCATGTCTGGACTCGTGAAAGATATGTTGGAAGAAGGTGATGAAGACGATTGCCCAATCATCCCAGTTCCAAACGTTGATTCTAAACCATTGCAAAAGGTTATTGAATACTGCCAATATCACCACAAGGAACCAGCCCAAGAAATTGAAAAGCCTTTGAAGGGTAAAATTGAGGATGTTATCTGTGATTGGGACAAGAAGGTATGTATGATGATATAATAGAGTATATTTTATTCATCGTGATGATGGTACCCAATGATGTCTGCATGCTCAACATGTTTGGTGATGTCATTTATTTTTATCTCATTGATGATTCGACATCCATAGTTCTTGGAAATTGATCAATCTCTCTTGATCGAACTCATCATGGCTGCCAACTATTTGAACATCAAGGATCTCTTAGATCTTACATGTGCAAAGGTTGCATCGATGATCAAGGGTAAATCACCAGAGCAAATTCGTGAAATGTTTGGTATTGAAAATGGTAAGTGGTGTTTCAATGAAATTTTAATGATAGCTGATCGTTTTTACTCCCGATGTATATGAGCAGATTTCACTCCTGAAGAGGAAGCAAAGATAAGAGAAGAGAACAAGTGGTGCGAAGAAGCATAAATGTAACATTAGTGTTTCAATAAAACATAAAAAAATTTTGTCAAATTAGTTCAAACTTGGTGTTGGGTTCAAAGATGACATATGAAGAACTCTTTCAAATTTGAAGTTTACCTTCTCTCAATAAACATTCGTCGGCATTTCCGTTGATCTGTGGCAGACAATCCATGTGAAGACCAACGCACAATCAAACTCAACAGACACCAAACAGGTGACATTCCATCATTAGGATAAGATTCTTACCCATGCTCTTTGAGATCTACTTTTTGTTTACCTCATCGGTTCCATTATTCTTGGAGCTTTTAAGCCGGCTCAATGCCAAAGCTGTCAGCGATGATACAGAATGAGGAGATCTTCCTTGCTCATACTTTTTGGCATCAATAATTTCTTGCAGTTTTCTTTTCACGTCATCTGCAGATGCTTTAACAGCTCTATTAGTCATTCCTAATCTAGACAAGTGAGGCTTTGAATTACAATGGTCAACATAGCTAGCAGAATCTTTAAAGCTTCGATCACAAACACTACAATAGAATCCTGCCAACTCGTTTGGATCTACTTTTTGAATCGTTTCCTCCCTTGTGCTCTTCTTTTTAATGAGAGTTTTTGAGTTGGGCATGATATGCTTTCCTTCTGCAGTCACATCAATAACTCCCTTCTTTCCAATAAGTTTTTCATCCGATAAGTTTAACAATCTTGATTCACGAGCTTGAAGAGGTTTTCTCTGTAGAGACTCGGAACGAGTTTGTACAACTTTTCTTTTTCATCGGTATCTACTCCACCTTTTTCTCGTTCCAAACGTTCAGCTGCACGTTGTTGATAGACTTGATCGTCCCATGCACGTCTTCCGAATAAGCCTTTTCTAACTCCTCCACTTTGAGGGTTAGAATATTGTTGTTCGTCATGTGATATTTCCTCTTCCGCACCAGTGTTAATAGGATGTGCTTCGGTAAAATGTTCTACATGTAACGATACTTCCTCCGAGTCATTGTTATCAACTTGTTCATGATTATTTTCACTGGTTAAATTTTCATTAGCACGTTGTTGATGTGTGTTAGTAGAAGTGGTATTTCCGACGACATGATCATCCCGATAATGATGAATTCGGTTCAACAATGATTCACCTTCTTGTTGTTCTTGCATTTTTAAAATTGTTGAACCACACATTAAAAATGTCTAAATTGAATCAGGGAAGAACTGGAGCTTCTGTGTTCATGTCCTCTCTCGGAGATGTTGAAAGTAGCAGTGATGAAGAGGATGATGGTGTTCATTCATCTACTTTTGGAAATAATTTGTTGCAAGAAGATGAGGATGATTTTTTTGTGGATGAGAATGGATCTAAAGAGGATGAACGAGTGATGAATGATGATGAATTAAATTCAATTTTTAATGATCAAGTTGAAGAGTCTGTATTACTGGATGAAAGTGGTGAAGATGAAATTGATGATACTAAAAATTCAATAACACCCGGAAATAAGACACAATCATCTGGTAGTAGCGTCTTTATTTCGGATTTGAATGATGATGAGGAAGAGGAGGATGATTCCAATTTTTCAAAAGTTAATTCACTTTCGTCATCACCGAGTACAATTAATAATGATGAAATAATAGTATCATCAGAAAATAATAATATTCAAAACGGTAATTCTGCTGCTAGCCATATATTTATCACTCCTTCCCATACACCATTCAATCTCACAAAAAGTAATATTCCTGTACCTATTGACACCATACATCCATCTTGGAAGACTTCAATCACGTTACGGTCGATTGAGCAGCAAAAATTGGAAATATTTAAAGGCTTTGTGTCTCGAGAGAATTCCATTAAGAAACATTTCCGAATTTTGGATGGAAAGCTACGACCATTTGAAGCGAACGCTAGCACATTGATGATTAAGCACCATAACAATGCTGCAAATAATTACATGGACAATATCAGCGATCTTTCATCTTCGTCTACAGCATTTCGTAAAGAAGAAGTAGAGGATGAATCTGACGCCAGCACTGACTCTGACACATCTTCACATCAAAGAGACCTTGTCATGACAAAATCTAACAATGAACAAGTCTTAAAAGCTTCCTCTCAAATTAAGGAAATAACGGTACAAGCTGCTAACACCGAAGAGCTTAGAAAGGCGCTTACAGATATTAAACAGAGCAAAAAACAAATGAGAAAGAAACACATGGACAAGGTCCTAAAGAAATCAAAGGAAGAAAACAAATTCATTGCAAAACCTGGTTCTTCGAAAAAAGCAATCCAAAAACAACAAAAGATGGCCTATCGACAACAATTAAAAAAGATGCCACTCAAAGAGCTTCAAGGAATGGGAAAGAAAATTATATTTACAAACACTCAGCAACAACAGAAATAACTGACGCGGTGAAATTCATGTTGTTAAGTGTAATTACATGGATGGAGCGCAGTGTGAAAACGGAACAACACTAAGATTTCAATAATAAAAAAATATGCAAAACAAAGAACAAGCTTCATCATCAGAACCCTCTCTAAAACGAAAGCTCGATGAAGAAAATGTCAACAATGAAAAATCGGATAGCAGAGAACATTCGAAAAAACTCAAAGAATCTTCTTCCGAAATAATTCAAGACAACATTTCATCAAGTAGTAGTAGTAGTACTCAACCTGAACGTCTCTCCATATTAATCATGAGTGACATTCACAATTATGACATTTACTTTGAAAGAGTGAGGAAAATTCTGGACAAAAATCAAGTAAAAGTCGACATCGTTCTCTGTCCCGGCGATATTGTCAATATCAAGACAAAAGAAGAATACAAGAGTAAAGAATTTCAATTAGAATCACTCAAAAATGTGGAGAAGATTGCACAAGGCATGTTGAGCTTTGCACCTAAGGCGTATTTAATTCCAGGAAATGTATGTGTTAATGACGAATCAACATTTTCAAAAACTTCTCACCTTAATTCATGTCAATTATGAATTCACATCTCGTCCCATTCTTTCATTTTCACCCTTCATGAATGATTAACCAATATAACTTCATATTGAATATTGTTGCAACAGCATGATCCAGATGCCATGTTCGAAAACAAACTCACTCAACCCAATGAAAACATTCACCTCATTCACAATTCCATTGTTGAGTTGAGAGAAGGCCTGTATTTGGCAGGATTTGGTGGAAGTGTTCCTTCATTCCACATTTCACCTCCAGAACTTGCATCGACACGAGCATGGAAAGGCTATCCTCATTCCACCGATGAAGCATTTGGCAATGAGCTCTCACAATTAATTGAGAGAATGAAAGCATTCCGTCAAGTTCCATCATCCTCATCATCCGAACCACCATCACACATGACGACGACTGAAACTCCTCAACAACAACAACCACAACCACAACAACTACAACCACAACAAGCACAACAATCACATCAATTCATTTTCATGACTCATAACGGACCAGCAAACTGTGATACTACTCTCTTCCAGAAAGTGGACATTACGAGTCCTAAAATCATTTCTGGTTCCGATGCTCTTCGAGGATTCATTGAGCAAACCGAATTACAATCGAGTTGTGTGTGTTTGATTCATGGACATACACACTTGTTTAGACCTTCCTCTTCACTGGTTGGTACTCTTCCGATTGTGAATCCTGGATCCTTAATGGAGGGCAACTTTTCAGTCATTCAACTCGAGAGACAAACACATCTCGAGAATGGACCCTTCTTGTTAGAATCGGTGACTTCGTATCGTTTCAAACCTTAGAGAGGAAATCAATAGGGGGTTGAGAGATCCTTGAAGATGAATGGATCTGAAGACTCGGATGATGATGAGAAGATGTTACATTCTTGTTGCCATACACTGCATCATTTCAATATTGAAATGGTTGAAACAACAACTCAAAGACCGCCTCCACTCGCTACAACAACAACAACAGACTACCAACACACTCAACCACATTAATATTTTTACAAATCAAACCTTTGAGATTTTTGGTGCACCATCATCATAGACAGTCTTCTCCTTCAGATTCTTGTTTTTTATCATCATCAGCTCTACTTTAACATTGAATTTCATCCGTTCTTTCTAAAAACCGTTATTAAAATTTCTACTATTCTACCTCTTGATCTACAAGGTTTCTCTTTAGAAAGTAACTTGATGGAACGCAGATCCTTCATGAATCCCTCAAGAGGGTGGTTAAAAAAAATTCAAAAAGCACTTTTGCTTGATATCAAAGCATCACACACGACTTTTCTTTCCACATTGTCAAAGCATCTGCTTGTATACGCGACCTAGAAACCTTTAGATTCTCACAGTGTTTTCATCAAAAGACACAAGGTTTGAAGATTTGATTTTCCGATTCGAATCGTGGGTTTAAAACTTTTGCAAGACCATCTCAAAGAGAGCTATTGCGTCTTTGTTCGGAGCTTAGACTTTGAGCAATATTGGTTGTTTGTACTTGAGAAACAACTCTTACTAGTTCCGAGCTCTATCATACCTCTGAAACAGCACAAACTGTAAGTTCCACGGCTTTTATATTTATCTCTAAAATATACAACTTTTTAACCTAACTTTGATGTTCATAATTGCGGACCACCTGGTAATTTGATGTCATCTCATGATGATGGTGATGTTGCACTGGACCACTTTCTTCTGGTTGTCTTCATGTTTTAACCCATACATACGCAACCAGAGCTTGAAATTTTATCAATTACTCAACCTTGAAGCGTTATTTTCAAAAAGCAAATTGGATCATCAATCCGAGTTTGAAACAAACACCTTGTATCACTCCAACCACTTTCATCCTCACCGCTGTATACTTGCTAGTACTTCCTCACTTCTACGAGAACTGTTCTTTATCATTGCATATTATAGGTATTGACCCCTCATTGCACATTTGGAAATATGTTATCATCATCAGTGTCAGGTCAAGAACGTATTGAAGATCAAAACAAGGATATTATGTATTCAACAGCTTTCCTTAAATCGGGAAATCCTTCGACTGCATCATCAAGTGCTCCTCCCGTTAACTACTACACCACCATCCAAGAAGAAAAGGCCAAATCCGAACAGTCAGTCGTTGATTCATCCAGAACTACATCACAAGAGCCACTATTTGCTTCAAGCATGTCATCGGCTCATGATGCACCCATCACATTTTCTTTCAATTCCCCACCTAGCGAAGAACCTATGTCAACACCGTCATCTTCAAAGCGAGAATCACGTCTTTTTTCAGCATCTACCACACCACAAACACCATCCAAGAAGAGAGTATTTACAGAGAAGGAAATTGAGGACTTGGATATGAAATACAAGCAAGAATTGGCCGAAATGATGCAAGATGAAGATCCAAGTCAACATTTTAAGTCACCATCAACTCTCTCCAAACAAGAATCTCATACTAATGGTCAATTATCGGAAAGTGATGAGCCCATTCTTTCTGTCACTCAAGAATCTCCTGAGGTTTTCATGAAGAGTTTGAGCGGAATGGCTCGAATTTTCTATGCCCAAATTCTCAGACATGAGGAAAAGATTGAATCATTAACAAAAGCGAACAGAAAATATCAAGATGTGATCAAGAAAAAGAGTGAAAAGATTAGTCTCCTTCAACATCAACTCTCCACAATGGTAAAACAAATGGAGAAGTATGAACAGTCATTGAGGCAACGAGTCACCTCTTCACCACCATCGCATTCCATTGTATCTCCTCCACCTCCCTCTTCGAAATCATCAACAGTTGCAAGCTCTCCTGCCGCCTCATCGTCCACCGATGCAACTGCTTCTTTGAGCGAGCCATTACCTCCAATTTTGGCTCCAAAACCAAAGAAGAGAAAAACCGAGAGTGACTCATCTGCGGAAGGAAAGAGCTCATCCTCTGAAGGAAAGATTGTAAAATCACGATCGAATGTTGTCTTTAAGGTGAAACCATCCGATTGTGTCAACTATAATGGGGCAACATATATTCTTGCACGAGCGTTTGAAGATAAATACAAGCTTAAGAAAATGCTGAACTCGTACCAAACACAAACCGGTGAGAATCCTCAATTGTTTTTACGAGATGAAGAATTTAAAAAGCTTAAATCAGAGAATCCTGATAATTTGAGCGTTTTTGCATACAGAACCTCGTTGTATACCATGGACTTTGTTAACTTTTACATTTCTAATCAGTAGTAGTGATTGATCCACCAATAACATCTAATTTATTGAAATTTTACTTTTTTTGAGACTTCAATATAACACGAGACTCTTGCCGATTTGCTACATGTTGAATTTATTATTATTGTCAATACTCTTGTTAATGAGATTGCAAATTTCATACCAAAGCCCTAGCATGAAGATGCAATGGAGATAAATCCTTAATGACCAACAGCACTACCAACGGGTGGTTAAAGAATGTGGAATTTATTAACAATCTCCACAACCCTTACTTGGACATGATTTTAAAGTCTACATTAATTTTTCCGTTCCAAAAAGTTTGTTTAAAGATGAGAGCCACGGCCAAATAACCTCCATCATTGCCAAAATTTGTTCTCAACAAAGCACTTGCATTTTCTTTGTAAGAACTTGTAATGAAAGTGTCAGAATTGTAATAATTGGGAAATCTCTGAGGAATCTTGCTCGAATAACACAACACAAATGAAATCTTGTCATTAAATCCTTCTCGTGCTGAAATTTGCAATTCCACATTCGCATTAGGAGGAATCTTTGGATAGGTCAATAACACCTCATTATCCACACTATACAATGCCAATTCACTGCTCGTTTGAATAAAGTTCGAACCAGGTTGCAAAGTATAAATCAAATCCAAATAATTGTAAGGTTGAACCAACATTGCACTTTTCCTTGCATTCAATGAAACAACATGAAGATACAAAATGACTCCAATAGATCGACCTCGTGGGTTTGGAACTGCAATGGTTGCATTCAATCCAGAAGCAAAATATTGGAAGGATTGTTGAGGAGATGGTTGACCGGTCACGGTCGAAGCATAGACCAACATGGGAGCTGCACGACTGTTTAAAAACGTGAGTTGAATGTATTGGAATGGATTCGATTCACCAATTTCTGAGAATCTCAAGGTGGTATACAAGTAAGGATTGTGATTATCAATCTCAAGGACATGTTTCAATGAGAATTCTCTTGCGTCTTGAGGAGTATCTGGAAGAAGACAAACAGTGTGATCTGAATTTGTTCGTTGACTGGCACATGTCAGACATGTTGAAAGTCCAATCTGATTGGAAATGGTACCATTAGCACACTCGTATGAATGACCATCTCCAGGACAGTAATGACCAACGGAACATTCGTAGCAAGGGTGTTCGATATTTCCAGAATCAAAGTATCCTGCTGGACATGAAGTGGCAGTTGCGAGAGAGCTCGACCATAATAAAATCAAACACAACAACAACAAGGCAAGGATAACGCGTGGAGTAAAACCTCTAGCGTTGTGCGACGGACAAATATCAACCATTTTTTTCGAGTATGTGAACTGTTCACTTGAAATTGTTTAAAAAACTACTGGAGTTGAGGAGTTTCCCCGGACTTTGATGAACAATGATCGAAACTTGTCCGTTTAGTGTTGTCGCGCATGCAGAAATCAAATTATAAAATTTACAAATAATAATTAATTACGTTTCGGAATGTCAATAATAATTTATTATAACTGTTTCAAAGTAATGTCAATCCAATTTCTAACAGCAAATTCAAGTGACTGTTCAGACCAACATGCTGTTAGTAAAAGTTGTTGGCAGTGTTGTTGTTACCTCGAGGTGGTTGAGAGTAAGGGTTGTTATTGTTTGGGTATTGCATGTTATTTCCATAAGGATTGTTGTTTTGGTAAGGATTATTGTTTGGATATTGCATGTTATTATAAGCCATATTATTATTTCCATAAGGATTATTGTTTCCATATGGATTGTTGTTGTTTGGATAGGGATTGTTTCCGTATGGATTGTTGTTGTTGGAATAACCAGCACCGTATTGATTACTGGCGCCATATCCATAATTATTGTTAGCTCCATAATTTCCACCATAGTTATTGCCACCATAATACATGTTGTTGTCAAATTGGCTAAGGATGTTTTGAGTGACATTTTGACGGTTTGGCTGATTGTTATTAAAATTATTACCATTGGTTGCTGGTTGTTGGTTATTGGCTGGAGGCGTGTCAAATGAAAGTAAGTCATCCAAACTCACACCAGCATTGTTATTGGAGGTACTTGTTGTTGTTGTAGTGTTGGTATTAGTACTACCTCTACGAGGAGATGTCTTTGGGGTTTGTTTTGGTGGTTCATCCAATCCGAAAGGATTTTTCTTGATGCTGGATGAGCGAGGTTTAGTGTTGGAAGCGGTATCTTCTTCATTTTCTGTTGAAAGTTTGATCATTTCTAATTCATTCTTTGACAAAATGCTTGAAAGATCAGTTGTTGGAACTTCTGAATGATCTCCGGTGAGTTTTCTCTTTGTACCCCCTTGTGATTCGACATATTCTCGCATTGGATCCAAAACACTCTCAGGTTTGAATTTTAAAGAAGGTGGTTTGGACTTTAGGAAGATTTGATTTACATTTTTGCTAAATTCGAACATGCTTTCCAAACGTTTCATTGCTCCACAGTATTTCTGGTAAACTTCGAGTGCTCTCTTAGCAAGAGATAATGGAATCTTGTAGAAATCATCTATTATTTATGATGTTCAGGCAAAGTGTTTGATGAAAAGGAAAACATTGTTCAAAGATGAAAATAATTTGAATAGAGGAATAGCAAGTGAGGGAAACCATGTTAGAAATCATGATGACTAATGTTAAATGTCAACAATTAACATACCTAAAATTTTGGTTGCACAATCGCTCAACAATTTGTAAAGAACAAAACTGTCATCCAAACATAAAGTGAAACATCCAACAGCTGCTCCATTGTTGAGAATGGATTTCTTTCCTTTCACAAGTTCATAACATTCAACAAGTTCATTTGTGGCTCTAAGCAAACTTTCAGTCAAGTCCAACCATCCTTTCATGTCGTTTGATGACACGTATGCATCCAATGTCATATCAGGAAGTAATGACTTGAGTTGATAAATACGGTACAGAATAAGTCTCTCCTCAAGATATCTACAGTATTGTTTTACGAGTGGAGATTGATCCATAGCCTCGCTTGTGTGTCTATCCTTAAATTTGGACATGTTGAAACGTTTTTCAGGGTCGTTTTGAACGATTGCATCACAAAATTCGGTGGATCCCTCTTGAACAATACGGTGCAGTAGCTGCAAGCCCTTAGAAGCTGTTAGCCAGTCACTGCTTTTTCTGTAAATTCTACAAACTGCTTTGGCAAATTCAACCATATTTAGTTCTCTGTTAGTTTCCGTTGCAAGAATTAATTCTATTGTTGGATCATAATGAGATGCCAACCAGAGTAATCATGACAGCAGTTGCATTGTTATAATTATTGTCATGGATAGCATGATGATAATTTTATCATCAATCGGATTGGATGTCCGTGAAAGTTTAGAGGAATAGTTTTCCAAATCAAACAGCACATAGAGCAGTAATACATTTGATGATGGCCAAAATCCGTATCAAATCATCACATTCATTGTTGTATAAATCGAAAAATCAAATCATTGTTACCACCATTCATTCCAATCATACACACCAAAAGTATACAAAAATCAACAATAACGTTCATCAAACACCAAATCATCAAAACAAATACACCTACTCTTTACATGTTTTTCCTTTGGTGGAACCGGATCTTGATTTGTAGCCTTTGCCATACTCATTTTGATGTCATCAAAGGACGAAACTGCAATGTTACCAATATCCTTGACTTGTCTGAGGAAGGAGGTTCCTCTCGACTTTAAACGTTGTGCAGTGTTGCTCATTTTTTTGTTATGTGGTGATGATGGGTGAAGAGGGTCGGAGCAAATTAAATGTCGCTCTTTCTGCGAACAAAAAAGATAGCACGATGGATTGATTGCTACTATCGTAACAATGTAATGAGGGAGTCTTTTTTTTGTGTTTGATACTCAGGCTATGCTCACGTGGTTTAAACACCAACCTCAACAAAAACTAGTAATGATTTAGAATGCACTTTAATTTTGCTGAGTAACAAGAGGAAACAGTTCCAAGTTCACAAATGTTTATTAATAACACCAAGCGTAACTTACAGTAAGGTCAGTGCTTTTTCATGGATGCAAATGCTTTAACTAAAACTCGTCCGCATTCTGTTTGGCCGAATTGTGACGCAACGATTAAGGGTGTTCTACCTGCAAGATCTTTCGAGTTAAGAACAGCTCCTCTTGCAATGAGTGAGGTCATACATGCGACAGAGCCATGTTTGCAGCATGTATGAAGACATGTGTGCCCTTCGTCGTCTTTGTGCTCAACATTGGCTTGTTTTTCGATGAGATATTCGACAATATCGCCATGGTTATGCTCACAGGCTTCAAAGAGTGGCGTTCGGTGATGATGATCGACATCATCAACTCGAGAGCCATTATCAACAAGTAGTTTCACCATTTCTAGATTTCCAACACGGCACGCATAGTGAAGTGCTGTCTTATTGGTGGCAGGTTCACAACTGTTCGTGGAAACCTTGCATTCCAAAACGAGATGAGCACAAATCTCATAATTACCCAAACTACAAGCGAGTATAAGTGGCGAAAAACCCGTAATAGGGTCAATCGTAGCTACATCTACCTTACCAGTTCCTGTCAGTGAGCGAACCATCTTAATATTTTGTACCTTGATGGCATTCGTAAGAGGTTTCACACCGTTGGCGTCAGGACCCTCGAGTGGACATTCAGGAAGCTTGACCATTTCATCGACCAGTCCTGAAAACCCGAGTACAATGGCTTGTTGTAAAATAGTATTGAACCCTAGATCTGACTTTCGAAGCTTCTCCATACTCTGCTCATTGCTCTCTACTACACGATTTTGAATCATGTATTCTCGGTCGTTGAGTGAGTCTTCTCTGGCATAGCCTACATATTTTCGGTCTACTTTCGCTCCCTTCTTCACCAACAGTAGGGCAATCTCCTCTTGTTTTTCGTTGAGAGCAATTTGAAGGCTGGTCATCCCCTTATTGTCCTCCTCATGGATATTGGCTCCTTTAGAAAGAAGAATCTCTACAATTTTTAAATGACCTCTTGAAACTGCTTCCATGAGTGGTGATCGATGATCCTTGTTCAAAATATTGATTTGAATTTTCTTGTCTGCGAGTAGTAGCTCGGTAATGTCCACAAAGCCATGATAGCATGACACATGTAGACATGAATTCCCAACACAGTTTTGATCATTTGAGCTTAGTTTCTTCTCTAAAAAGTAGGTTGTTAACGATATAGATCCTGAACTACAGGCCCAATGCAAAGGAGTGTTACCAAACTTGTCCAAATTGTTAATCTTAGCCTTGAGTCCAACAAGTTTGTCACACAAGTCTTGTTTTTTCATAAATGCAAATCTATGGAGCAGAGAAAGACCATCTGGAAACAAGTAATTAATATCAAAATTGAATTTTGTCATGAATAGCTTCAACATTTCCCAGTTTTCTAAATTGCAGCATTCGTGAATTGGTGTCTGTCCATTAAGGTCGGTAGAGTACAGCAACGATACATCCAGTTTCATTTTCAAATAATATTCTACAAATTCTTTTCTATTATTAAGGACAGCAAAATGCAAAATGTTTCTACCTGTTGTCATGTCCTTCTTGTAAGGAGACTGGCCTAACTCCAACAAGCATGCCAATCTCTTGACATCTCCTTCTATGGCAGATGTATGAAGAAGTGTATGATTGGAATGTTCGAGAGGCTCATCAAACTCGAATTCAGCTCCATGCTCCAGCAGAATTTTGATTAAAGTGGTAGAGTTATTATTGATAGCAATATCGATTGGCCTCAAGTTCTTATCATTCCTACCATCGATATCTATTTTTTTTACAATTTCCTTTTTCGTTGGATGCACAACTTCCACCTCAAGCATTGCTCTAAGGAAGCTTTCGTCATTGTTGGAAACAGCTATATGAAGAACATTATCTCCATTGATTTTACAATTAATATTGGCCTTGTTTTTAACCAGCACCTGTACAACATCGTTGAATCGATTCCGAGCTGCCAATGTAAAAGGGTAGTCTACAACTACCTTTTCCGCATCGTTTGTAGTAGAGGTAGACTTGTCGTAAATTGGAAAATTTGGATCGATTAAATAATCCTTAAATAATTGTTCAATGTCCTCCGTTTGTCCCACTCGAATATACTCCACCAATACACTTTCGGGAGTATTGTTTTCATCTACTTTGAGTTGTATCTTTTTACGTTGTGGTGTTGTTGAGGGAGCTTTTTTTGTAGACATTTTTTCTTCCTCATCCAACTGTAAATCGAGAAAGAGATTTATCTCTTTTTCATTTCACTTCAGAATGATGGTTTATCTTGGAGTAAACCTTGCAACGCGTTCATTCAAAACAATCATTTTGATTGATAGAAAAGAAAAATGCTGCATCCTCGGAACACTCTGAGACGCTTTGAAGATTGTTGTTCCTCCATAAAGAATATTCAATTCATGTCGAGGAGTCATTCTATTCGGAGAGGAGTAATCATGATCATGGGCTCTAAAAGTAATATGACTTTCAATTCCTCCTTCTCACCACTGGTGTTGCACAACAGAAATTTCTCTCATTCAAGCAGTAGAGTGTTGAAAGAGCAAACAAATGATGATTCCGAACAACGACTTCAAGATTATCAACAAGATCGAAAGATGGCGCAAGAAAAGATGCAAAATATTAAAAAAGAGTTGACTGATTTTTTAAAGGTGAAATTTAATACTGACAAGAAGCAAGAAAAACAAGCGGAGAGAATCAAGTTGGCTCAAAATTTGGGAAATATTATGATTATTATTGGGTTTATTGTTGGACTGGTACTTTATGTGGTAGGTTGTTATTGGATTTTGTTGTGCACGGCCAATTAATTGAATTATTGCGATTCAATTTTCTAACCAAAGGGAGAAAATGAAAAGAAAAAACGAAGTGATTATATTGTGGAAGAATCTCATAATACAAATGCTGCTGAAGATAGTCTGACACAGGCTCAGGGTGGTAACATTAATGCTCAACAATTTCTTTCAGCAATCTCTAGTAAGGTCAACAAGGTGAGGGAAGAAAATCAGAAAAAGTGAATACACGTATTCAAGTCCATTTATTCTCACGTTAATGTTTTGACTTTTTTGAGGCTTGAACTTTTGAAAGCACATTCATACTTCTTCGCAACACATCTTGAGCATTACCTTTTGAAGTAACAGGATTGGAAGAAGGGACATTCACACTTTGAGAAGATACATTTTGTAGTGAGGGAGTGAACGGTGTTGTAATGACACTCTTACTGAGAGAAAGCGACCTGTTAATCCGAGTGCCACTAGGGTTGACACTACGCTTGTTGAGAGGAGTTTTACTCGATGCAGAAACATCATATTCAAACTTTGGCATTTCCTCTCGGGTATTGTAGAGACTCTCTGTTGGATCCAGTATATATTTGGTTGTGGACTTTTCTAAGGTTTCTGAGCCAACATCTTGGATATCTTGCTTCGTACCCACAATAGTTGAGCCATGGTCATGAGGAGCAAAAATAGAACGGTCACAAGAAAGATCAGGTGTTGGCTGGGAGTAATAGTCTTCGAAATTACAAGCGAATACACCAAATTCCTTGTGCTCTCTCAGAAACTTTTTAAAGTATTCTACAGTGAAGATATTCTTCTCGGCAGCCTCTTTGAGTTGAGAATAATAGTTAATTGCTCTCGTGACGCTGATATAATTTCCATCAGGCAACTCCTCTCTGCCTTTCAACATTGACATGACTTTTTCCATAGTCTCCATTAATTGTTGGCCATCTTCGTTTGTCACAAATTGCATTTTGAATTGAAGCATTTTCTCAGTGGCCTCTAATATGTTACTCTCATCTTGTTCCTTCTTCAAATCTTGGCTATACTTGTCTTCAATTTTTTTAATGTCAGAATTGACTTTTTTCTCATACCTAAGGCTCTGGTTGTTAAGCTCTCGGAGATGAGCCTTCTCAACCATTCTTCTTCTCTTGGTTTGGACTAGTTGGTTGTGACGAAATTGCACGTCTTCAAGTTTTTTGGACGAAGAATCAATGAGATGCTGTAATTGTAAAATATTATATGCAATTGAGGAGTTGGTGAAGGCATTATCACTATCATTTTCTGCAATGGTTGAGATGATCTTGTTTTGTTCGGATGACTCTTTTTTTTCAACCTCAATTTCAACAATTTTTGACAGCTCTTTCAACTCTTCTAAATTGCACGCTTCATGATCCTTGAGAGCGTTATTAATTCTATTTTCTGCAGCTAAACGATTGAGGGCAGCTGACAAAAACGCTTCCGTTTCATTCAAGTCAAAGAGTTGAGAATCGATCAGAGAAATCTCGTGTTCCAATTCTCGTTTGATTGAAAGTAATTGTGGTCTGCTGTCAATGGCATTTTCATTAAGGTCCTCGCAAGGTGTACGATTCATGCTCGATGTAGCTGGAGAAGCGAGCGTACTGATATGGGCAACACCTGATTCTTCTTGGTTATTATTGCTCATGGGTGTGTGATCGTCATGACCGCTCGAGAAGGGATCGAAAATATTCATCTCTGCAATCGTCTCAAGATAGAATTGATGTAATAACTTTTCGGTGATAGTGGCCTGAATAGTTTGTGTTTTACCATCATCAGCTGTGATCATTGTGGTGTCGTCTGAACATTTAGATTGCTCAAGAAGATTTTCTCTATTCAAAGCTGAAAGATCAGCATTGCTCTTTTTCATGACCTCTTGTTGGGCAATATTTTGGAAGGAAGGTAAGGCTTCTTCTTCTTCCATTTCATCATCGGCCAGTCCTTGCTCATCCTGATCACCTGAAACAGAAGAGGCGCAAGAAGATGAAACATTGCTTATTGTTGGCAAACGCTGCTCATTCTCTTCCGATGTTGTTTCCTGTTGTACCACATCATGACTCGTTGTTGGTGAAGCCTTAATCCCACCATTATGATGCATTTTTTTAAATATTTAAACACCATGCTCGATCAATGCCCGTAAATGCTTACATCAATTATTGTTTATTAAGACGGCAGTAATTAAATTTAATGGGGACAATACTTGGTTGGCTTTCCTTCGATTTATAGGTTGAAACAAAAAAAATGTCTCAAAACGAACATACTACCACACCTCCATCGGAAACCAATTCTCAAACACAAGAACCATCATCAACAGAAACGACCATCGGAAATGAAGCTGTACCAATATCTACGCACCCGAATCATTCTGATGATGATTGGGAAGCTGTGGATGACGAAGATTTATTTGAAGATGACAATTTTGAAGAAAACTCTCCTATCGAAAATAATGGCTCTTCCACTACTGCAGTGGTTGAAGAGAAAAAGTATTCCAACGATTTAGGATGTTCTCATTATCCACACAATTGCCAAATAGAATCTCCGTGCTGTAAAGAATTCTTTTGGTGCCGGGTTTGTCATGATAATGAAGCATTTACGAAATATAAATGCAAAGTCGAGAATATGGACCGATATTCTGTTAAACGAGTAAAGTGCATGAGATGTGGTACTATACAATCGAGTGAAAACGTAGAATGTGAAAATCCAGAATGCAAGACAATTTTTGGCGAGTTTTATACATGCACCATTTGTCACATCTATTCCAATGATCCAAAAAGACCAATCTATCATTGTGAAGGATGTAAAATTTGTCGGCTTGGCAAGAGAGAACAATTTGTGCATTGTTATACGTGTGGTGCCTGTATGGCTCCGAACCATAAATGCATTCCACAATGTATGCAATCGAGCTGCCCCATCTGCATGGAAGATTTATTCTCATCAAGAGAAAGCGTACATTTACTGAGATGTGGACATCCCATGCATTTGAATTGTTTTAGAAATTCTTTAAAGAACAGAATTTATAATTGTCCAATATGTCAAAAGTACATGGTTGAAATTTCAGAAGAATCTACTCGCATCATTGATGAAGAGATTGCAAACACTCCACTTCCACAAGAATTGCAGGATAAAAAGGTGAAAATTCTATGCAATGAGTGTTTACAACGTAATGAAGCTGCATTTCACATCTTTGGTATCAAGTGTCCGAATTGTGGAAGTTACAATACCAAGCAAACAGTGTAAATATATTGAATGGCTTATCTTTAGAGTGAGTATTGGATGGATTCGAATTCGATTGCAAATATTGTGTGTGATGCACTTGGAAGGTGAGGTCAATAAGTGTCATAAAAGTGTTCTACCCTTTTTTGTGATTCCTGTGATGCTGCAGCTACTCAACAATGCAAAATCTGAATACTAAAAACGAAAACAATACTCAAACATGTTGCTCTTCACTAAATCAAAGGTTGTGTGTTATCTTTCGATTCTCGTGTTTTTTTGGCTCGCATGGACTCCCAACTTGAAAGCAGAAACCCCAGAGTCCCTGATCACACTATCTGCGTTCAAATGTGTCTCCCTTCTCGATAAAACTGAGACGATCATGAACAAGCTCATTGTATCCTCTACATCCTTTATCACAACCTCGCTTCAAAAGAAATGGACGATCGTTTCCAATCTTCTTCAACATACCTCACAGCACTGCCAAGAATTTGTAAAAGTAGTGAATACTACTGTCCTTACAGAAAGCCCTCAATGCGTTCATTCGATGAATGAAGTGGAGAGCATGGTTCATGATCTTTCAAGGTTCGGCGGTAAGCCCAAACTGCAATCTTATTCGAATGAAATTAAAGAACGTATGGTGAAACTTGTCACCAACGTTAGACATCACCTCTCCTGTATTGGGCTTGAGCATGAAGCATTTCAAACAACGGATAGCCCAAAATTGAACGAGCTGTTGTTCATCCACATTTCATTATTTCTTTTTTTCCTTTTGAGTTTATTAAGTCATGATCTACTGCTTGTATCTAAAGTACAATAAAACAAGTGGTGACATTTTCAAACTCCCTACACGAGTTTTCGTTGCTTAAAGCTGGGTTGTGTTGTTTCCAAACCACTGTCTTCTCCGTTGTCGCTGTTGCTGTCAGACACCACAAAATTCTTGTCGAACAGCTCTTCGTCCGAGGTCATTGAAGATTCTTCATTCTCACTGTGACCTTCTTCCATAGAAGTTTCATCGTCCTCTTCCATCATTACAGAGATGTTTTGTCCTGTGGTTTTCTGGGATTCTGTCTTTACAGGATTCGACACTGATGATTTGTCAGACAATTGGTCAACCTTTGTTCTTTTTCCCAAGACAGTTTCTTGATTACGAACTGTTTCCTTCTTCCTTCTCACGATACTGCTTTGATTTGAAGAGGGCTCTCCACATTTCACATTTGTTAAAAAGTGATTGACATGAAAAGTAATGTTACAGTTGTAAAACAGAGGTGTCTCTGGCATTGAACCGTTCGAGGATGCAGACGGAATGAGGGGATTTCCATGCTGCATGGATGCTGATTCAACTCTTCTTCTCCAATCGGAACTTGCTGAATCAAAATGCGGTTCTACCTCTCTTTCAATATGAACATTTACAACGGGAGGGTCGTTCCTGTTGGAGGGCACAGTTCTTCGAGGACGAATTCTGTCTGCCTTTCCTTGTTGCAGGGATTGTTGGGATTTGCATACCATGATGAAAAGATTGGTTACAGATCAAATGGGATAAATTAATACCAAGCAAACCGATGCTTTTTTTTAAAGATTCAAGTGAGATTGAGGAAAAGCCTCCCCTTAACGCATCCTCATTTTTTTTTAAAGCCATCACATCAACTATTGTTGTAATTGGGTTCCATTGTTCAAACAAAAAATGCTTCCCCAACACCCAAGATAATACTCTTGTAGTGTTCAATGAAACGATGATTCGTTATGAAAATGACAATGGATATTTCAGTGTTTGGTTTCCAGTTTCATGATGACAATAATTTTGTTGAAAAAAAATGTCCACAACACAAGCCACTCTCGAAGCCATCAAATACCAACGAGGTTCTCTCGAAATTCTCGACCAACTTCTCATTCCGAAGACTTTTGTTTATGAAGTCGTGGATACCACAGAGAAGGCTTTCCATGCCATCCGTGATATGAAAGTCCGAGGTGCTCCAGCTATTGCCATTGTTGCAGTGTTGTCTTTGGCTGTCGAGGCTAATAAACTCTTATCGGATGAACAACAAGATGCTTCGAGTGTGGCTCAACTCTTCATTAAAAAGTTGGACCATTTGGCTGAGAGCCGTCCAACTGCTGTAAATCTCTTCCAAGCCGTTGGTGATTTCAAAAACAAGATTCAAGAAGCATTGCAACAACAAAAGACCGCACAACAAATTTGCCAACTTGTGATTGATGAAGCAGAGGCATTGATGAACAGAGACATTGAAGAAAATGCTAGAATTAGTGAATTTGGAAGTGAGCACATTATTTCAACATCATCCACCGGAAAGGATTTGCAAGTGTTGACTCACTGCAACACCGGAGCTTTGGCCACCATGAAGTATGGTACTGCTTTGGGTGTGATTCGTTTCTTGAATAAGAAGCAAGTATTAAATCATGCCTTCTGTACAGAGACAAGGCCATACAATCAAGGTGCCAGACTCACTGCTTTCGAGTTGGTCTATGAGAAAATTCCTGCTACCCTTATTTGTGACTCTTCTGTGAGCTATTTGTTCAAGACCAAGAAAATTGATGCCATCATTGTTGGTGCTGACCGTGTATGCAACAACGGAGACACTGCCAATAAGATTGGTACTTATCATATTGCAGTGAGTGCTAAACATCATGGTATTCCTTTCTACGTGGCTGCTCCTTTCACATCCATTGATTTGACTTTGGCCAGTGGCGATTTAATAACCATTGAAGAAAGAAGTAGCACGGAAGTGACTCACTTTAGAGGTGACAGAACTGTTTGTGAAGGCATTGGAGTGTGGAATCCTGGATTTGATGTCACTTCAGCTGAACTCATTAGCGGATTCTTCACAGATATTGGTGTGTTCACTCCTCTCACTGATCCTACGACTGGTAAAAAGTACTACGATTTGAAAACACAACAAGCTGAATTGCTAAAGAACAAACAACAATAATATTAAATACTATTTTCTTTTTTGTTTATCCACACAATCCGTACTCGTTCAATTAATAGTTAAAAATTTGCACCACATAAAAAAATGAATTTCTTGCAAGCTTATGGAAGTGATGACGACAACGATCAGCAACAGACAACAGCCGCTACGTCGTCGTCCTCTTTGGAAAATGTAAACCCATCAACAACAATAACGGCAGCACCAAGTGTTGCACTTTCCGAATCAAAACAATATATTGTTCCTAAAGATGCTACCTCCCTTGTTTTTAATCCAAAATATAATGAATTGTATGCACCTCGGGTTGGACCTAAAAATCCATTCCCAACAAGCCATACGAAATTTGATTCTGGATTTATTTTGAACGGAGAGATTGATCAGCATAATATGAATTCATATTTATTTAATAGTCAATATTATAATTATGATGTTTCAAGGAAGGGACATTTACTTCCGGGAGGAATTGATTCCGAGCAAGCTCAATCATTGACAACCAGTAATGATACTACCACTACTGGAGTAAAGAAAAAGAGAAAACGAAAACCAAACAAAAATGGAAATTCATCGATCAGTGAAGAAGCACAAGATAACAATGAAACGAACTTTGTCATAGTCAATGAAGAAGACGATGCCGATGTAATTGCTGGTTTTGATCAGGATGCATTCATTCAAGAGGATGAAAATGAGAATGAACACGAACAATTACTTGCTCAACTCAGAGCTCAACATGAAGAACAATTAGCAAAGCGAAAAGAAAAACTTGCAAATGCAGCTAAAGAAAAACAAGAAAAAGAGAATGAAACTGGAAACAAAAAGAGGAAAAAAGAAGTGGAAGGAACCTTGCCAGAAATTGAATTCAATCCAGACATTGAGAAAAAGATTACTACAGAAGGAAAAGACGGATACAGTATTTATCATTTACCTCGTGACATGGATTATCAGGGAAGAACATTTATTGTACCTCCTTCTCATATTAAACCATGTGACTACACAGAAAAGAGAGCAGTTTTGCCAAAGAAGCTTATTCATACGTACACAGGTCACATGCCTGACAAGATGGTAACCTCCATAGAATTCTTTCCTAGATATGGTCATTTGCTTTTGAGCGCATCGATGGATGCTACCATTAAGATTTGGGACGTATTGGGTCATCGAAATTGTGTCATGACCTATGTGGGTCATACAAAGGCCGTGCGTGCCATTTCCTTCTCTTCGGATGGATCTAAATTTGCAAGCTGTGCCTACGATAAGAGAGTCAATATTTGGGACGCGGAGACTGGAAAAATTTTACACACACTCACCTCTGGTTCTACTCCATACTGTGTCAAATGGAATCCTCTCGAACACAAACAGCACGAAATTCTTGTAGGATATTCAGGTAGTAGAATTTTGCAGTGGGATACTAGGTCAGGAAGAATTGTTCACAAATACGAGAGACATACTGGATCTGTAAATTCACTTTGTTTTGTGGATGGTGGTAAAAAGTTTGTCTCTAGCAGTGATGACAAATCCGTGAGATTATGGGAGTATGGAATTCCAGCAGAAATCAAAAAGTTGGCAGATCCAGAACAACATTCAATGCCAGTAATTGAATGCCATCCAAATTCCAAGTGGGTTGTAGCTCAATCTCTCGACAATCAAATTTTAACTTTTGAAGCTCAAACTAGGCTGAAACAACAACAAAACAAAATATTTAAGGGTCATCAAATTGCAGGATATGCTTGTCAAGTGGGTTTTTCAAATGATGGAAAGTTTGTATTCAGTGGAGATTATACTGGTAATGTATGGTTTTGGAATTGGAAAGATGCTACACAAATTAAGAAGATGCAATGTCATGAAGGAATCTGTATTGGTTGTGTGTGGCATCCAGTGGATCGTTCTCTTTTTGCAACGTGTGGAAGTGATAGTACTATTAAACTTTTCCAATAATAATTTGTGATCTTTTTTGCAACTAAGTTGTTGCAAAGTCCTTGGATATTTGTGAGTCTTATCTTTGACGGAATTCATGACAGTTTGTGAAGACATGGAGGACACGTCTTGAGTGGATATTTTTTATTGGTCGAGATATCCTATCTCATCATTAAAGCCACAGGAACTCTGAGCGATGCGCATGTTCGCGCCATGCATCTACAAAGTTCAACAAATCCTAAAAAATTTCATCAAATTTCCACGTGGGAAAGATCAATATCTTTGAAGGGCGCGTGTTCATCATATTTTGATATTATGCATGACCATACATGCATCATCACCGCACGAAATTCAACTCGTTGAGACGAAACCTACAACCAATATCATGTCTTCAGTTTCTCCACTCTACAATGATAACGTATTACCTCAACACCTTCAACAACAACAACAGCTTACAATGCAATCAATGCCTCCTCCTCCGTATCCGATTGCAGGTGCTACGACAACAACATTGACGACCACTGCAGTAACCTTTGTAGAATTGGAAAATCAAATTGCTGCCAACGATCAAAAAGCGGAAACATGGGCTCAACCCCATAAAAAAGAAGAACAACAACAAGGAGATTCATTCAAATCCTCCAACGCCAGTTCAGACAGCGACTCAAAAAGCGATGAAGAGGAAAAAGATGGAAAGAAAAAGAAGAAGAAGAAAAAGTTCAAGAAAAAGGCTAAAGCATGCTTGGATAAAGCCATTGACATGCTTGATGCCTTTGGAGAAAGTATCGATGGACCAGGTAGGTTTTATTTCATTCAATGTACATTCACGTCTCTTTTGAAAATAGGAATTCGAAAAAAAACCTTTGTTGGAGCCATCCTTACAACGATCATGAGAATTTGTGTTCTTATATTGATCGCCTACAAATTATACTTGTTGATCATTGATAATAGAACTCAAACTTCAGGAAATGTTGTGGCCCTCAACTATGTAAAATCATCCAATGTCAAGTATATGGACGTACCCACACTGCAAATGACCATTCGAAAGAACATTACATTCTACGAGGGAAAGGAATATGGACCTTCGTTGCAGCGTATTGACATTAACGACAACTTTGGATATGAAAAACCCTTCTCGACACGCAGGCTCAAGAGTGAAGTCAATGATGTTGTACCTGTCACAAAGGCACTTCAAGGAAAAGCCAATCTCAAGCTTGGAAGTTTTGAATCTTCCATCACTCCTCCATTTACCTCTGTCGATGTTGAGCGAGCTGCTAATTTTTCTCAAACCTTATTCACCACCGAACAAAAGAGCTTGTCTCTCATGTCCTCGAGAGTGAGTGATCCCTTAAAGATCCTCTATCTGTTGAACGGTGTCTATGACTCGGGAGATTCGCAATTCTATAATCATAGTGTTCATTTGTTCTTGAGATTCATCGATGATATGAGTCATATCAAACCATGTCAAATACAAATTGGTCTCATCAATGGTGGAATTTTAAATTTGATACAAGAGACTGGACCTGACTTGAAAACGTACATTAAGAAGGAATATCAATCACATGTTGACACATACTTTGCCACGAGTAATAGTACTTGGCAAGTTCCCCTTACACGTTATTCAGGTAGTGGAACTACGAGCGAAATTTCAAGTGAAGGTATTAATTACAACCTGTTTTACCTCACCCAAGAGTTTAACTCTGACAAATTGTACAACTTCCTATCGAAAAAATCTGTTAATGGTGTGTCCCTAGACGTCTCCAAATTGTTCGTACAGAAAGGTATGAAAACATCTTCATTCTTGGAGTGGGCATTTCTGATGAGTTATGTCAATAACTTTGTTCATACTGAAAACACAATTCAATGTGACGAGTATGAGAGTGAAGTTCGTGACGTTTCCTCAATCTACAGCTCTCCACCTAAAAATCTTAAAGATTGGGTATTTCCGTATGATGTGAAAATTTTAGCGGACTTGGTCAATGATACAGCAACCACGTTTTATGCTCTGGTACCAAGCACTTTTGCTCCATCCTCAAGCAAATTTAGCTTGATCATACTCGGAGTAACTGGATTGTCAGAAATTGTACGAGTGACCTCTTATGAAATGCCAACAAGTAGGAACAATGCAAAGGTCTATTGCAAATTCACTGTCGAAAGAAAATCTCCCAAAGACTTTAAAAAACTAGAATCTCAAGGTAATACCTTCACCGACACGGTCATTAATTACAAGTCAGTTTCCACACCTGCCACGTTGCCTCCTGATTGGATGGCAAAGGGTTTTTGGAAATGTCCTCCCCAAAAATATGGTAAGTGTACTTGTTGCTGATCATTCATTGGTGTTAAAAGAATACTTCAATCATACCTTAAAGGTGATGGATTTTGTGATTGTGAGTGCGGGTTTGTGAATGCAACTGTCACAGCTCGAGATATTGATTGCAACAATCTTCTTCCAACGTTATTTAGCAGTTCTAACTTTGTTAACAAGTACCAAAATACTTCCTGTGCAGCGAAGGGTAAGTTTTGTTCAAGTGCTGGCACATGCATTTCTGCACCAAACTTGAGGTCTTCAAAACCTTGCTACACCAAAGCATCATATTTGGGAGAAAAGCAAGTCATTGGATTTTTTGGATCTGATAGTGACTTTGAAAATGCTGGTGGGTCATCCATTTGCACTCAATGCATTGGTGACACTTTTTATGATGAGAAAGCTCACCTCTCGTATGAACACAACAAATTCATTTGTCAGGCGTCACCTGTGGGATATATTTTCGGAAGAGATTTCTTTTCAGATATTCTTTCATCCACAGGTCACATTGGCAATTGGACAAATCCTCCAGAAAATCTTTCTCCCAAATGTGTGTATGTACCTGTACGAGTGAAAGTAGGTCATCCTGAATTTCCTCAAATCCCAGACGATGGAACCTACTATGATGTATCTGTTGGTGATAACAATAGTGACCAATATGTTCAAACTCTCTACTTGACTACGGTTGGAACCACCAAAAGAACCACAAAAACATTAACCCCAGACGGTGAGCTTGTTGGTCAATCCCAATACGACATTCAAACACTGTGTTTGACCAATGAAGACTTGCAATTTAAAGAAATGGCAGGATTTGGCCTTATTGTCTCCAGCGTTTCTCCATACTCATCTGTGATTTTAGTAGAGGCACGTTCACTCAACACAAATGATCCAAGCCACGCGTTGGACTTCATTGGAAAGTTCCCCAGCACAGGTTCATTCAAAGTTCAATTCTATGCTGGATCCTCATACTCGGATGGTATTTACGACTCGTACACAAAACAGCCTGTCATGCTAGATGTACAAGGTGTAACAGAGTTAAACTCTTTTCAAGTTCTGCAACTTCGAGCACCTCCTTCCTTCTCTATTGGTTTGGCATTCGAACTCAAGAGTTTTAACAATCCAGCTCGAACCAATATTACTGTTCAACAATTTCCACTTGGTGACGATTTATCAGGGACCGATATTGTCAAAATGGTTCAACTGTACAAGCAAGATCCTGTTCATGTGCAACGACCAAAAATTCTCATTCGACCAGGTGTGAATGAATACAGCTATGTTCAACATGTGGAAGTCGACGATTTACAAGTTGTTAGCACATTACCACTGACCTATCGTTTAAAGTTGACTACACCCGTTTCACCTGACTTTAGTGAAAACTCATTGGTAGAATGTGTCTTGGAAATGACCATTGGAACAGTGCTTGTACCAATTTCATTATCTTCTTCATATGCTCGAAAAGCGTTCATGCCATCAGAGAGTTACGCTCAAGGAATTCCAACACCTGATTCAATCAATGTGGAATACTCCATGTATATTGTTCCAGAAAAGAAGAAGTTCCCCAATGTTGATTACCGTGACGATGAAATTCAACAATCATCTCAGCTGCCATCAACATCGCTTAATTTATGTCCACGTGAATACCCTTACGAGACTCAAACCATTTTGAATAATCAAGATCCTGTCTGGACTGCTTTCACAATCAATCCTACACGTGGATATCAAGTACAGAATTGTTCTCTTCAAGTTTGGACCGATTCCATGGTTGAGAAGAATTGTATCCATGTTAGCAATAGCCCCAAAAATCAATATAATAACAACTGCATCAAGGAAATGCCTCCAACCTACTCGCTCACATACAATCATGTTATTCAGTTGAATAACAAGTGGCAGAACTTTAGCTCAGCTAATGCAGTAGATGCAGCAACAGGAGGTGCCAATAGACCCGAGTATGAATATAACTTCAAACATGTGTTCTTTTTCCAACATGATGAATATTCGAATGCAGTAGATGCCAAGTTTGCAGGAAGCTCTCCAAGCAAAGGTGATACCACACAATACAATGACAAGCTCTTCTTCAATGGAAAATTGAATTATATTGGCAAGTCTAAAGATCCATTCCTTCCTGCCAACGATCCAATGTTAGACATGGATGCAACGATTGACTTGTCTCCATTTTTTGTGGAAGATGTCCTCAATAACTCTCAAAATCTAATGGTAAACTATGGTATTGACCTCATTGAGGAAAGTGGCACTTGGAGACTCGTCCAGTCACCAACTAGGAAAAACGTTGAAGCTTTTGGAAAATCAATATTTAGAAATTTGAATATTCGATGGGATTTCTCTACCATGGAAAAAGGTTCTCCCAATAATAAGCTTGCTCTCACTCCAGGTATTCAGTATAACCTGCAGGCCACGTTAAAGATTACCACAGTCTACTCTAAGGGTGTGTTTGGCAATGCTGATATCACAAATGTTCAAGTTTTCGTGCAGTCTACATCTGTCTCTAAATCCACTCTCGATTATGTGAATAGAAACAAGTGCATTTTGAATTATGTGATCCAATTTGACCTTGCCCAAAGCCGTCAAGTCGTGATGGCATCCGATTATACATTTTTGGCCTTCTTCACTGATGTTGGTGGTGCGTTGGGTATAATGGCCATTGGTGAATTGCTTGTTGAGGTAAGTTCAATTTCTTTTGTATTTTCTAATTTTCTTGTAATGATTTAATTCTGATTTCAATTTCTCAGTTATGGCAATCATATATTTCACAACCAGAAATGTTCATTAAGGAAGCCATGGAAGAGGACAAGGAGAGAAGAAGAGTGCAAAAGAAGCTCAAAAAGAAAGGATTCTGGGCCAGATGGCTTCCAATGACAGATAGAAATACTATCGAAGTCGAGGATGTCGTGAAAGCTGTCACTACCATTCCAATGAATTAATAAAGCGTCTATATCTTCTTAAATCTCATCAGATGATAAAAATGTTTTCACAGTTCTGTAACCTCAAATTGAGGAAATTCGTAGTGCTTAACATATTGGTAATAAGGCAACGTTATCGAGAAGTCGCCGTTCTGTATAACCCAAACACAAAGGCAACAACTCCCAGCAAGCTCTTCCATCCAAGTTGCTCTAAATTTCTACTTGCCCAATACAGAAAATTATTCCAAGAATAAAAACCTCCCCCCAAATAATTTCCATATCGATCATTTTCTATCAATGAATCCTTCAAACCTCTTCGTTGTTCTAATCTTCTGGCTTGAAATCTTTCTTTGAGAATTCTTCGTTGTTGATATTCTGGTAATTGATTAAATTCTTCTGGTGACATGTTTCTTAATCGTTCCCGAGTGTAATACGATTGATAAAGTCTTCTCCTATTATATCGATCATAGGGAAGTAAATGTCCTGAAACAGCAGCTGCATCACTCTCCAAAGGAGAAGGCAAAGCATGAACAATAGATTGCACTCGATACCCGAGAATTACTTTCAAACGAATTCTATTATTTTCAAATATCTTGGGAGAAACAGCAACAAGATAGGACGAGTCATTTTCCCATAATCTTGACTCGACATCCTCATAAAACAGGCTATCATAAAAGTTCGGAGAATAGTTGTCTGTTGGTGGTGCAACTTCTTCATTTCCAACGTTGATGCCATCATCATCCTCTGTATTATTAAACTCATTTTGAGAAGTAGTTGTCATGCTATTACTAGTATTTACAGAATTCTCATGGTCATGTCGGGGCTGAATATTGCGTCGTCGGGAAGATGTTGATGATGGATTCATCATCAGGTATTTTTTGATTTTACATTTATTAAATGTGTAACGAAAAATGAATGAAAACAATTCTTCTCCGTTCGACATGCCATCACCGACAAGAAACAACAACCGCAGTACAAACTCTTCTTCATCGTCAGTGAAAAGCAATCCAAGTAATGGTGAATCTAAAAAGCAAAGAGCCTCAAATTTGAGTAAACACTCTCGGAGTGTAAATAATAACAAGTCTACGACACCATCAACGACTGGGGAAAGAAAGACGACTAGAATTTTGACTTTTGGATTTCCATTTTCTGGACAACCTGATATTGTTAGATCCTTACAAAAAGATGACTTTTATACCAATCAAGTAATGTTTAATAATTTAAAAGATTTATCGTCGTGGTATTTTGGTCAAAGATTCACCATACGATTTGAAAAAGAAATTCAATTACTCGGAAATTTAATTTATTATGTAACCACTACGTGTACAGAACAACCGACTCTCGGAGAAGAATATTGTGATTTATTACAGGTACAATTGAAAGAAAAACTGAAAAATAATTTATTCCTCTCAACAAAATCCAAATTAGGGACACAAAATTCAAAGACCTTGTACATTGTTAAATCATCCTTGCAGCGTCGTTTAATGTTTGTATTATACGAATTAATTGTCCCTTACTTGTTTGATCGAGGATTATCTCACTGGCTTACACATTATTTAACTCACTCGACCAGCATTTCGAGTGATGTGAGATATTACATTTCAATTTTGAAAGAGTTTGTACAGTTTTTACTTCGATTTAACTTGGCGGCATTCTATGTAAATGGAAAATATCTTCAAGTTTCGAAAAGAGTTGCTGGAATACGATATGTAAGTATCACTTTTAAAGAAATACACACGGTGGTAAAAACTTCTCTTCACTCCCTTTCATTTACTTGCTTCAACATTTATAGATATATACTGGCAGGTCAGACGGTGATTCGTATAATAGACCCAATTTTATCATTCTCTCACTTCTCATCATGTTACAACAAGTCATATCTGCTACTCTCTTTATCAAGTCCCTCATTTCCCAATACATTATCAATAGAAAAAACAAACAATCAGCCAATGACCTCAAAGACCAATCGTCTGAAGCAAACAACCCTCATCAAGTCGTTCTCAATGGAGTTATTTATACAGAGAAGCATCTCGAAGGTCGAACAGACACTGAGTTTAAATGCTCACTTTGTTTGGAGAGGCGTGTGAAAACAACAGCCACTCCATGTGGTCATTTATATTGCTGGGATTGCATTACAGAATGTGTTATTAATAGTAAGGAACCCAAATGCCCCATTTGCCGACAAGCTGTCACTCCTCAATCACTCTCACGACTCTATAGCTACGACACGTATTTAGTAAAGGAATAGTATCAGCTTTTGAAATTGGTTGAAATTCAAACTCGGTTTGGCGTTTGTTGTGTTCCTCTGAAGCTGAAGCTACGATTGTAAAAATGAAACGATGATTTAAAAAAAAATTGAAAAAAAATGTTCTCCTCTTCAAGAATTCTTCGCCTCTCGTTTGCCGCTAGAAAGAACACCTCTCTGTTCTCATCATCATCATGCCTAAAATCATGTTCTGTGGCCACTCCAAAGGCTTCTTCCTTCTCATCAATCTACCCAACAAGTAAGAGATTTTTCTCTACCAACAACAACATAAATAGGGAACAACAAACCGGAGACTCATCTGAAGTGAAAGGTATCATTACACCTGATTTGTTCACTAAAAACAGAAATGAATTGAAACAACTTTTCACTAGCGAATTGGAAAAGATTGTTACTAAAATAACTCAAGAAGATGGATATGTACCACATGATATTTACAACTTTGCATTGGGTGAACACAATTTGAGATTTAAAGTATTCAAAGCTGCGATGGCACGTTTCGGAAGAGAAATTCCAAATACAGATTTACCTAAAATTCTTAAAGTGAGAGATCTTGTTGAATGGTTTATTGTACGAGTTGATAAGGAGAGACCACCACAAACCTATGAAGTTCCCGAAAATGTTAAATTATTCATTGATAAACATCAAGGAAAAAAGCTGAGAGACTTGAATGAAAAGAATGCTTTCACCGTTGCTGAGCCACAACAAACAACATCCGAGCCACAACAAACCCAACAACAATAAGCCTTTTAACTTGAAAAACAAGTCTTTGCTGAGCACAGGTAACCTATTCATCGGAATATATTCATTCACCAATAAAAACAACAATGAGAATCGAAAACGCTACAATTTCCTTGTTTTTTGGAATTTATTGTTATTACAGAGATAACTTTTCACCAAGCATGCTCTATTCTCGCAGTGGTTGTGTTTGTGCCTCTTGCAATGTCCAGTTGATGAAGACTTATTGCAAGCCAAAACCCATACAATTATTGATGGCTGTTAGTAAGCGCTCTCGCATGGCCTCCTTAGTTGAATACCTGGGTAAGAGCAAGTGATTGAAACATGTGTGAGCGGTTGGCAAACGTTTGTCATCATCACCATTTCGAACAATCACAAAACCCAACTCACCCAATCCCTTGATGGGTACACGATCACTTCCTGTACAGAACATTAAGAATTTCTTCTTGTCTTCTTCACTGAAATGATGAACAATATCCCAAAAGTCTCTAATGAGAGGATCATCTCGATCATAACCATCTGCATACTTGGTCGTACGCTCGAGAGCTTCAAAATCCAAGACAGGACTTCCACAAATGAGTAATTCAAGTTCTTCTGCTCTGAATAAATCGAGAATGGTAGGATCACTGCACACCATTTTAAATCCTTCAATGAATGCTCTAAATTGTCTCTCAATGGATTTTTCAAGTTTCCACTCGACCAATAATTTCACATATTCCTCTCGATTTTCATTCGTCACTGGAATATTTCCACCATTGGGTTTCAAATCGTGAGTCTCTACATGTCCAAAAAATTCAGTCTCGACTTGAAAAGTTCGACAAAATACATCTTCCACATCACCTTCAAAATCCAACAATTGTTGAAGCCCTTTACCTAATTCAGGGAATGCTTCTTTCAAATCCTCGAGATTTGGTTTCAAACCTAACATCTTTTTGTAAACAATGAGTGGGAAATGAATATCCAAAATAATACTGTTGTAAATGGCCAATCCAATCACAATACCAATCAATTTGAAGTCATCTCCTGATTCAAATGAATGTGAATTGAACCAAAATGTTCTGGTTTTTTCATCATATTCAAACATGCCATAATTAACATCAAAAATTTGTTTCACAATCAATTGGAAAAATTCCTTCCGTACACCACCTTCATCAATACCTTCTTCACCAATAAATTTCACACGCAGTTGTTTTTTTAAATCATCGGCTCGGTTCATAATTTCATTGAGAGCTGTTTGAAGTAAATTGTGTCGATCTACTTTCAAGACACAGAAGAGAGAAGTTGGTTGTCTGAACAGAGATGAGATGAAGGCATTTCGCAATTCTTTGTTTTGTTGAATTTCGGCATCCAATTGTAAGATTTTGCTCTTAAAGTTTGGATCCAAAATGTATGGAAATTCACAAAAATTGAAATATTCAAAGCCATGGTTGGGAGTGCTTTGAGCTTTCGTCCAACGAATATAATCCTCCTTAATGTCTACAATGTTGTTGACGGCATCATTATAAAATTCTCTGTAATCGACCTTCTCGTGGAATGATTTCTTTTCGTTGGCAGAGTCTATGAATTTAATCATGATGTTTACATGTGTCACAATGTAGATAAATTGAAGAACATGTTACTGAGTTCATGAGAACACAACAAAAAACTTACTGATAATTCCCAATAATCTTGTCGCATAGGCAATGCCCTCATCAATGTATCCCCTTGAATATAATTGAACTGTGATAAATTGTTGGAAAATACTAACAAATGAGGAGAGGTATTCGCTTGGAGTGTATGATAACACTTCTTTCAATTGTTTGAGAACAGTTGGAGACAGTTTTAAAATACCTTGCATTAAAAGTAGAAGAGATTTGTGTGAGGATGGTTCCATTAACAATGGACATTGCAAAAGAATCACTATGAATTTCACGTTTTGAACTCGATCGACATGTGTGTTGAATCTCTTTCCAAGTTCTTCGATGGCATGAGCGAGACTATGAATAACAGATTCGTTCTTCTACAAGAATAAAGGTCCAGATGAACACGTCATGTACATGAATATTGGAGCGTACAAAAACAAACTTACAGTGCCTAGAATGACTTTGTACACTCTCTCTACTGAACTGTTGTCAATTTGATTTTTTTCTTTAGTGGATTTCTTGTAGAGAGCATCTCGGGTTTGAAAACTATAAGATAAAGAACTGTCACTGCTGAATACTCTCTTTATGATATCCATGAACACTGAATAGTCACCACTCTTGGCATTGTCTTCAAGAATTCTTTGTAAGCATTCCTCCTGTACACATAAATCTATTAGAAATTATTATTACGAAAACCGAGTCAAGAGCATTCCATGATTATCATTCATATATACAATACATCACATTTTGAAATGTTTAAACCATTTATATAAAAGGTAATAATAATTTTGATTACATGTGGCGTGCGAAAATAGTCAATAATATTGGTAGTAATGAGCACGTTGAGACCAGAATAAATGTAAACTACAAACCTAGAGTAGGTGAGAAATTAGGTAGAATGGGGTTGACAATATCACATAAAAAGAATTGTGGATTTGCCTTATCAAAGGCTTTCTTTGCAAAGTCTATGGCAAGTTTGGCTGCTTCTGTTTCATTCACTGAAGTATTTCGTTTACACTGTGGGTTTTTACAATTTTCCAATCCACAGCCTTGAGTCAATTGGTGAAAGTAACTATTTGTATTATTATTCAAACCAGTTTAATCATTAATCACGATAGCAACCGTTGACAATCAATTGATTGCCATATGGTATTGATATTAATAGGATGATCATTTGGCAATTCATACATTTGATCAAAAATACAATTTTCGGAATGATATATCGATAAACATTGTTGTTGTATGTATATAATTCATTGCAATAAATTATTATGATGATGATGGTGAGACGATATATTACAAATTTCTATAGATTGAAAACATACGCATGAACCATCAATTTGAGTAAGGTTCTGTTGTTGAAAATTCCTATGGAGAGTAATTGTTTGAATTGTTCTTCTCCGTTGAATCTTCGTTCACTCATTTCAACATCTTTGGATTGTTGGATGTTTGTGCCTGCTGATGAAGACAACATTTCCGAAAGTCAAGCTGAAAGATGGAAACGTTCTTTTTTTATCTCAAGCTTCGTGGTTTGTGCGCGCTGCAGGCAAGCCTTGTCACAGACTACCTCTGAACATGTTACAACGTTGATCTTTTCTTGTTTATTGTTGAGAGCTCGTTTGGCAGTCATGTTATTGGGCAAGAGCTTTGGCCAACCTAAAATTCTCTCTTTCTTCGTAGATTCTTTCTCTTCTGTTTTCCTCCAAGTCCTTCTCTTGTCTTTGGGAAGGTCTTATGACGATGCATGAAAGCAAGTTCAGCTTCAGACATGGTTCTCAGAGTACCATCCTCTTCAGAAACCATGAATCTTCTTGCTCTTTCGTCATCAAATTTCTTCTTCATTTCAGCCACGTATAACTTGTATCTTGACACCTCAGATCCAAAACCGGTCTTATTTTCAACTTCTTTTTCAATAGCTTCAACTTTTTTGCTTTCTTGTTCACCAATAACAAACTCTTGGAATGGATATTTGACATAATCTGGTAAATTATCATCTGATGCTGTGTTCATTGGTTTTGATGATTCTTCTAAAAATCGTTTGTATGCCTCTTCCTCAGTAATTTGATTAGTTAACATCTTTGGTGCCTCTCGTTCCTTCTTTCTCTGCCTATCTTCTTTGTCTGACCTTCTAATATCCTCATCGAAAATAATTCTTGCCTTGTCAAAACTGAATGGCTTTCCAGTTTGTTGGGCTTCATCCCATTCTCTTAAAAGAAGTGAACACCATGCTTGTTCGCGGGTAATACCATATTCAAGAGCTAATCTTTCACCAGTCCAGTATGCTGGATCCTTTTTGTGAAGTTCAAACATTCTATCCAAATCATCTCTTTTGACATGCTTAATGTTATGTGCTTCTCCTCTCACTTTCTCTGCTAACTCCTTTTCTTGTTCATACTCACTCTTTTCATATGAAAGAGCCTCTTGATATAAACGATATGCAGCAAATGTTTCCTCTGGAGTACTGCCTTGGTGTCCATAATGTTCATGAATTTTCTTTAAATATTCATCTGTAACAAGGCGTCCTTCAATAACCTTTCTGTCACTAGGGTTTTTTGGTAATTTTGAGTAATCATTTGGAAATTGTGGTTCTAAATCGGAGACATGTGGAAGTAAAAATTCTCTAGGTGTTTGCATCAGTCCAGGTAATAATTGATCGGCAATTTGAAAAAGAATGTCATCCTTTTGGTTTTGGCTAAGAGCAAGATGAAATTCAAAAGCATCCCAATCAGGGTCATCCAGCTCTTTATCCATCTCACCTATGGTCATATTTTCGAGTTCTTCTCTCGAATATTTGTTAATTAATTTGTAGAATGAGTTTTCGGTAATAGGTCTTAATTCTGTTTCTCCTTCTTTTGGAATCTTTTCGTCATTGTAGAGCACAGCATGCCATTGGTCTTCTTCTCTTAACTCTTCTTTTGCCTGGTCAAACAACTTGAAAATAGGTACGTCATCAGTTTCTTCGGCTTTTTTCATTTGATACTTGGGTTTCTTGTATTTGAAAACACCTGCTTGTCTCATCCACTTTGCATCTTTTGATTTTTGTTCTTTGGTCGATTTTTTATTCCGTTGTTGTGATGATGACGATGCTGAGATGGCAACAAGTGGATTGGCCTTGTTGATGTGAGTTTGTAATGATGTTGGGAAGGAAACCCATGAAAAAGGTTTCGTAGAAGCCGTAATTAATTTCTTATACATGAGAAATTGAGAGAAAAGGAATGTTGGCTGGAAAGTGCAGTAGGCTGATGATGATGGAGGTCTGTGGCCAACAACAACAAGAATATTTTTTCAAATTTTACAATTAAAAAATTTTAATGAATCAAAGCTTATTCAGCAAGTCATCAATGGTTGCTTTGGTCTGGGCATGTTGCGTTTTGGTTCTGATCCACCTGAGCATGTCTGGGTCTTTTTGAGCAAATGCAGTTTCCATGGCTTCTTTGAAAAGTTGCAGTTCTACATAGAGCTCAATCTTTTCCCAAATGTCGCTTACTCTTGGAATATATTTCGCTGCTTCAAGCTTGTTTTTCTGTTGCAGACATGCTTCCACAAAAGGACGGTAACCAATAGGTGATTTTTTCTTTGAAAACTTCTCAAGTTTGTTCCACTTTCCTAACTTGGATAGGGCTGCAATCTTAATCCACCAGTATTTTTTGTCTGAGACCTGGAATTCCTTTTTGACCCTCTTTGATTGCTTATTTCCTGTCAGCAAACAATGGTAAATGGTGTCACCGACAGAAAGTCCAACAAATACAGGGGAAGGGAGGTTCTTATCGAAATCTCTTTGCATCTGCAAAAGTTTGATTTGTTCTTCACAAAGCTTACTGTCCAATTGATAGTCCTTTTTCTTATTGTAGAGTTCTTTGGCTTGATTAAGAATCTTCTTATGAGCTTGAGGCTCATCTTCAAAGGCAAAAGATTCTAAAACATTCATGGCTGCTGCTTCTTCTTGCTTGTCCAATGCATGGAAAAAAACTTTAAGGAAATCAATATCTTGTTCCTTGCAATATGTCACAAGTAGATTACGGGCCACACGAAAACCTTTTTCATTAATGATTGAGAAAAAGTGTGAGACTTCCATATTTTTCTTCATGTGAAGCAGAACAAGATAAACTAAATCCGTTTCTCCACTTATAATTGCCTTTCTGAGCGCATTCTTTGTCTCACCCATGTTTAAAAGTAGAGGAACTTGCTCACTTGCTCTTTCCTCTCGTTCTAACAACTGAATAGCCAAGTTCTTCTTACCCACACTATATGCTGTGGAGGCTACGCTAGAAAATGGTATACCTTCGCATTCTGAAAGCTTCTTGTCGATTGATTCTAATATTATACCGTCATCTTCGTTGGAAAGTACTTTCGAGCATGCCCAATGAACTAAAACACTATTAGGCTTGATCTTGAGATAGGTACAAATCCTATATGCCAGTAAATGTTGCATTCTATTTACCAATCGATCGATAAGCACTTTAGGAGTTAATCTCTTGTATTGCTCCAATGTGATGGGTATACCGATTGAGGGATCTCTCACAGCGTTCATTACTCTTAACGTTTTACATGTACTCACAAATTCTGAGTGGTCAAAGTCGTCACAAAACGATTTACCATAGGATGCAGCACGAAGTAGCGATTTTTGAAGAGATGAGTTGAACTCGTTCGCTGATGCTTCAAGACATGCCTTCACCGCGGGTTTGAGATTTGCCTTAATAGATCGAATATTCTTAATGGATGAAGCATTTTTCTTTTCAAACTCCATATAGGCGTCATAAAGCATAGCAGAAGGGTGAGAGAGCCTATTTTGAAAATGTCAAAGTTGGCTTCTGGTACTCTCTGTAAAAATTCGCATGAATCATTTGTAATAACTCTAACCCCATCAATTTCTGTTACGAGATGAATTGGAGTGTCATAGTGGAATGTACTATAATCTCCATTGGGTCCAATCATGAGTAGGAGTGATATGTTTCCTTCTCTGTTATTAAGTTGCTCCCAATATAAACAAACGCTGTCTTCTCCACACCAAGCAATTTGAGTTGGAGGGTTAGATGATCCGTTTGTATCAAATTCAGCATGCTTATCAGTAAAATCAGATTTGACAACCCAGAGAGATCCTGATTCATTAAAGGTTGCCAAAGCTTCTCCTGAAGGAGAAGCACAAATTTTCGGAAAAGGTCCATTATCCAATCCAACGTCATGACATTCTTCAGAAGTGACAATGAAAACAGTCGGACTCTGTGGGACGCTAATGATAATTTCCAAATCTCCAGATGCTGTAACATTTGGCTGTAAAATACACATTCCAATTTCCTGCTCGTCATTAAAATCAAGAGTAGAAATATCTTGATTATTAAAAAAATCATGGTATTAATTTTCATGACAACATTGGGGTAAAGAAACAGTTATCAATCTCAATTCAATATCATAAACAACCACATACTCATAGACGCAAACTGCTCACAAAATGGTGCATCCAAATCAGAGACGACCCAAATCTTGAAATCTTTTGTAAGAATCGCAACACCAGTTTCCCAATGTTTAACTTTTAGTATTCCAGCATTTTTCACTTCCTCCACAAACCCGAATTGAAGTAACTGTTTACCAAATATATCAAAAACAAACACATGTGCATCTCTAATGAATGGATGTAAAGCAATTTTAAATTATAGAGGGTTCCGAAACAGATGATAACAACATACTCTGTTACACATATCAAAGATTCATCGTGGGTCCATCCGATATATTGAAGAGATTTGTTTAATTGTGAATTCCACTATATGATCATCAAAATAATCGATATTGTGGATCGTCAATTCCAACACAAACACTAACCTCAAACTTTGATATTCTCTTTCCGGAGCTTGAAAACACAAAAATATATTGTTTAGTATCTGTTCCTTTATATCTTAATAGTTTTTTAGGATCTCGGGTGAGAGCTAATCAGTATCAATAAATTAATTCCAATAAAAATGTAGATATCATGATGTGGAAGTTTGAAATCAAAAATCGTGGTGCGGTACGTTGTTGATTTGTTCATTTCTCATCATCATCTAAAAATTATTATTATTGTACGTACCGATTGGGCCTCCGAAATTTGCTGCTGCTACCAAACATTCCGAAAGATTGATGTGATCTTCATTCCATTGCATGGTATAGATCTCTTTCTTTCGGTAGTAAACAGGTAGGCCTTTTTTGCCCTTTCCTAACTGAACCCACTCGGCACTCATAACGGCTCAAGGTATTTTTTTGAATTTAAAACAACAAAATAAAAATCTTTAAAACGGGAAGGCTTTCTCGGATTGTTATTTGGTGTATCGAATTCATTGTTGAACTATCTTGACATTACATGGATATAGTTTGAATAGTCACATCTGAAAAAGAATTTGAATACTCGCAATGTAGCCCATAGTTAGAGTCAATTTGTGAAAGAAGTTTGTGTTTCATGGCACACTCTCGGATACTTCTTCGATTTGTTTCAAATTCATTCCAAAAATTGTGTTCCAGGATTTGGTCAATCGTGATTCTATTCTCTGGAACCCATCTCAATATTTTCTCTAGCATGTCCTTACAGCTGTCAGTAGCACAGTTTAAACAGTCACCAAGTTGGAGTGTTTTGTGAGTTAGCTGAGCTCTCTCGTTGGTTTCTAAAATAATTCGTTCCTTTTCTTTTGCATTGATAGTCTCAATAGAGGAAAAGATGTTGGAGGATCGTGAGTGTTTTGGTGTCTCTGATGCTCTAAATAAGTTGTCAAGAAGTTGACGTAATTCATCAGGTCTTCCTAACACCTCAAAATGAGAACTTGCCAACAAGTGTTCACTCACTGTCATACCAAATACACTATTTCTTTGTCTTTTGGTCACGTCTAAACTTAAATACAAGAATTCAGTAAATAAAACTGCCAGCGTCCACAAATTCTGATGGACAATAATGAAAGGTATTAGTTTTTCATCAACTTCAGTCTTCATGCACATCATTAATAGAAATTCTGGAGACCAATACTTGAGAGATAACCTTGGTAACAATTCAATACCACTCTCTTGATCGTTCTCTATTGAAACTCTACATCGATTATTTCCTCTTGTGACAAAAATGTTCAGATCAGGGTTCAACAACACCGAGTTCATGACACTTTTCGAATTCTTTAAAATCTGATACATGATCTGATTGGCTGTTTCGAGTTCGAAATTTGTATCCACAACATCCTCTACAACCAGATCAAGATACTCAGAAATACTAATTGGACTTTCAAGAGTGGTAGGAGAGACATCATTATCTGTATGACGCATGACTAATGAAGAATCTCGTGGAGGTAGTGCTGAAAATGATATATCTGAACATGTACGTGGTGAAGTCATGTACTCGATTAAATCTTCCATATCTTCCAAACGATATAATTTACACCAATCTCTTGCAGTTAATCCTAAAACATCTCTTTCGTATGGATTATAGCCAAGCTCTATTAAATCAATGACTTCTTTGTACATTTCTCGAACAGCAAAATGATGTAAAAGAGTGTGTCCATTGGAGTCTCTTTTGAAAGTGGTATACTTTTCTTTCTGGGAAAGTGTTGAAATTTCATATTGTTCAAATAAATTAAAGGCATCTAAATCGTTGATAGATGTCATGGATTGATGATTAACACCATCTTCTGATGAGTTAGGATGAGCAGAGTTAATGACGTCTTCCATAGTTTCGTCGAAAAAATCAAAGTCATCACTTGGCACTGCATTCTGTTTTTGTTCGTTAGTGTTGGATTCCAAACTCTTGTCATTATAAAATTCAAAATCTAAAAACTCTCCGTTGCTGTTGGTAATGTCTTGACCTCCACAAACAAGCTTTAGTGAGCAATCAAGGGTATGCTCCTTGATCACGGGAGTGTAACTGAAAATCTCCAAATCATGCTCTGAGAATTGCTCTTGCATCAATGGAGTCAATACATGCTTTTTGTTGATGATATAGGTATTTGAGGAATTGGATTTATCTTCAAATGCAAGACTCATGGATGGTGAAAATGGTGATAAGAGCTGAGTAATGAGATTCGCCTTAAGTAGTGGATCTTGCTCACTCAACGAAACATAAAGTACAAAATGTTGACTCTTCTTACTGTGAGCTCGATTCGGAGAGACATGGACGAGTTTGAGTTTTGAAACGATTGCCATGATGCTGTTTTTCGTATCAAGAGGAGAAAACATGGCTGGAAATGAGGGTATCAGGGGCAAGGGGAATGAGGATGCAAACGATGGTGGAACACTAGTCGTATTCTTTCGATCGTCTCGTTTTCTCTTTTTAGGAATGGCCGTAGCAGTTGATTCTTCTGAGGTTGAGCTTGTGGCACAAGAAACAGTTTCTGGAACTAGTAAATTCGATGAAAGGAAGCATGTGGTGGCGGGGTGGTGATTGATTGTTCAGTTCATGGCCACCACCGTATTGAGGATATTCGTGAATGGATCGAATGGCATTGAGAAAGAGAGGGAACTAAATCTTGTAAATTTGAAGAGCAAGTAGTGAAGGAATTCGTATTGGCATGAAATGGATCTAAGGAAGAGAGGTTTGGTTTGGTTTTTTCAAGCTCCTCCATTTGTTCAATCACTGGTTCAGTCACCCATGCATATCGGTTCTTACCAATTTGAACTCCATAGCATGGAATTCGATCTTGACCCACCCGTCGACTACTTCGTTCATTCACAATCATTGCTCCAATAGAACCATGGAGAGCAATGGGTCTTTGAGAAAATAGAGTTGGATGTCCATTCACATTGCACTATGCACAAGTCATAGCCATGTGAATATAGTCATAGCCATGCATCGACACACAAAATCGTCGTAGAATTTTATAATGCATTCTCTATTCCTGACAGTTCAAAAAATCATACTTACCTTTTTAAAGCTAATCAATTTTCCAACTTCATATTTGTGATTGGCAGATCCTGCTACGATTGTTCGATTCTTACTACAACCTCCATCTAGATCGATTACCACAGGCTGATTTTTGAACACATCATCGTTGGAAGTACCTTGCTGTTTTTTCTTTTTCTTAATTTTACGTTCTTTTTTAATACTTGTTGGGGTGCTGTCACCTGTACTGCTGTCCACAGATTCAGGAATATATTCCTCCGATTCTTCAAGGTTGGAAGTTGGCAAACATTTTGCTTCTTCTCCAATGAAGAATGGTTGGTCTGATTTAAATGGTGTGCATCAACAAGAAATTCTTCTTCCGACGATGGAGTCAATTTCTCTTGTTTCATCATGATGACTCGTTGTTGTTGCGTTGAATTCATCGTGATCATGTCATGAACTTGTTGTTGTTGTTGTTGTGGATGGTTTTTAATCATCATCACACTTCCTTCATCCATCACTACATCACACGTATTTCTTCCTCCCATTCGCATCAGCATTTTAGAAAGTACTTCATAATCCGATCTTTCCTCATTATTCGGAGGTGAATTCATTGTGGTTGATAAATGTTGATCGGGATTCTAAAATCCTTTCAAATTATGTTGTATTGTAGACACTTGTTCGTTTCTATTTTTTTCTGAACCAATGAGTTCCAATGAACTTTGCAAATGACACACAAATCTGTTCTAGTGAGGGTTTCATACCTCTGCAACCAAGATCAAACGTTTAGAAATGGTTTTGGGTCATCAAAAACGAAATACTGGTTTTTGATTCAGTTTTCACAAATTCAATCAAAAAAAATGTTGCCCAAACAAGTCGCATCTCGATTATCAGCATCACAACACTCACTGCTGGCTCGGAAGCTTAGCATGGCCTCTCAATCATCATCGTCATGGCTGTTACGAACAAGAGTGAATGGTACAAGTCAGGTCAGCAGAGATTATCATTCAAAAATTTGCAAAAGCACCAATTCCGTAATTCTTAATCATAGCATCACACATGGCAATATTTTAATGATGGACATAAATATCAGTAATATGAAAAATTTATCAAGCAAATATTGCATCGGAACGAGAGAATTTTCAACCTCAACAATGGTTGCACAAAATGAAGAATCTAATTTAGAAAATAGAGAGCCAAGACTCAAGATCTTGCTTGTTGATGGAACTCCATTGGTGGTGAGAGCATATCACGGGACGCCTCCCTTAAGCACGTAAGTTTTATAATTCCGAGAGAGTTCATAGGCCAAATCATGCCAAATTCAATAATCGCAGATCGAGTGGAATACCAACAAATGCTGTTTTAACCTATGTAAAGAGTCTTGTTAATATTTTGCAATCAGATCACTACGACTGTGTGGGCGTGTTTTTTGATTCTGGAAAACCCTCTATTCGAAAAAGCATTTCTCCAGATTATAAGGCAACCCGTAAACCCACCGACGATGTAAGTTCAATATTTATGATAATATGTTGCGCTCATAAATGTATTGAAAATAGCTTTTGAAAAAACAATTTCCAATTTGTAAATTAATTACTGAGAAAATGGGTATCAAAGTTATAAGTAAGGATGGCTTTGAGGCTGACGATTTAATTGCAACAATGACTCGAGAAGCAAGAGATTTAAATTATTCTGTAGTCATTGTATCATCAGATAAAGATCTACATTGCTTGGCAGATGAACACACTGTGCTGCTAGATCCAATGACCAAAAAAATCGTAACCATGAATGACATTATTGAAAAGTATTCGTTACCACCAAAGCTCCTTCCAGACTATTTGGCCCTTGTTGGAGACACAGCAGATAATATTAAAGGTGTTAAGGGCATTGGAAAGAAGAAAGCTGTTGGCTTGCTAGAACAGTTTATATCCATTGATGACATTATCAACAACATTGACAAAATTCCTGAAAAGAAATCAAGAGAGGCTATTTTAAATCATCTTGATGATCTCAAGCTTTCTCTTCAATTAGTTCAGCTTGATGAAAATGTTTCATTACCTTATAGTTTAGATGATTTGAGGTTGAAAGTAGCGCCCTGAACTTGTCAGCCAATCATGATGTAAGTTTCAGCGTAAATCAACAAGTCACTCATTCCAATTTACATAGTTCGTGAAACAACTCGAAGAATTGGAAATGAATTCCGTTTTGAAGCTGATACAAAAGAAAGCCAAAACTGAATTGATTGATAAGAACACTAACAATGTCGAAGCTACAACCGAACAAAAACCAAAAGGAAGAAAGAAACCAGTAATAGAAACTGTTACCCTCAGCAGTACGATGTCATCGGCTGATCTCGAGCTAGTTAAACAAAATTACGCGGCGAGTGACAGCACTATTGGAAAGATAACAAAAGAATGCGAGTACAATATCATCCTCAATGAGCAAGAGCTGGAGAAGCTTATTAACGACATCAAATCAAGTGGGGTATGTCTACTATTCGTTATTGATATTGTAACAATTTTGGTTACCACATATTCAGCAAGTTTCCTTCTCCACAGAAGTTTGCCTTTTGAGCATGCACAACCCTGTGCTGGCTGGAATGACCTTTTGTCTACAAAAAGGTGTTGCATACTATGTTCCTTTCTTTAAAAATGGCAAAGTTGAGTTTAAGGAATCGATTGCACGACTCGCAGAAAATTCAATGATGCAAAAAATTAAATCAGAAATCATGGAAAATAGTAATATTCTGAAAATTGGCCATGATATCAAACGTCATATTAAGGCTCTTGCGCACTATGGCGTTTCTAGTAAGTAATTCTAATTTTTCATGATGGTTAATAGTTTCCTGAACTCGTGATACAGTCAACAACTTTGACGACATTATGGTCATGTCATATGTTTTAAATTGTGGAAAACATGGGCACGAGATGGATGAGCTTGTAGAAAATGTATTAGGAATGAACCCTAAAGAATATTTAATTCCAGAAAAAGAAGTATTGGGAATTGGTAAAAAGAAAGTGACTCTGCTAGAAGCTGACATTGTTGCTGTGGTTCATTATGCATGTCAACATTCAGATATCACGCAACAAATTTATGATCTTTTAAAGCCAGAATTACAAAAACTTCCAAAACTTACTCATCTTTATGAAACTATTGAACGTCCATTGGTGGAGACTCTTGCTGCAATTGAAATGAAAGGAGTGTTTATGGATCAAGAAGCTCTCGATAGAATGGAAGAAGAATACAAGGAAAAAATTAAGGAGGTTGGAAACAAAATTAGGGAAGCTGCCGGTTTTGCAGCTATCGACCATATTGAAATCACTACAGAAGAAGAAGTTGCAGAAATACTGTCCAATATTGAAGAAAATGAAGAATTCAACATTAATTCTAACAGACAATTAGGTCAAGTGATATTTGAAAAGCTCGGAATTGGAGGTAAACACAAAAAGAAGACCAAACTTGGTGACTACATTTTAAACGCTGAAGTTTTAGAAAAGCTTGCAGATGAGGGCCATGCTATTGCTAAATATATTCTCGAGTATAGAGCTCTCACCAAATTATACAGCACATATATACATGGTCTTAAGCAGCATATCAATCCATATACAAAAAGAATTCACACAACCTTTCAAAATGCTCTCACAGTTACAGGAAGACTCAGCTCTGTAATGCCCAACATTCAAAACATTCCTGTGAAAACAAAAGAAGGAAAACAAATTCGGAGATGCTTCATCGCACCTTCTGACGAGTACGTCATTATGAAAGTCGATTACTCACAAGTAGAGTTGAGAATTTTGGCCCATCTTGCTAGAATTGACGTATTGAAAGAAGCCTTTAAAAACGGTGCTGATGTGCATGCTATTACTGCAAGTCAGGTTTTCAAAGTACCTCTCGATAAGGTTGACAAAGCTACAAGAAATAAGGCAAAGGCCATTAACTTTGGTATCATTTATGGAATGAGTGAGTTTGGACTCTCTAAACGAATTGGTGTTGACACACAAACGGCAAAAGCATTTATTGAACAATACTTTCAACAATACCCTGGAATTAAGAGCTACATGGAGAACACCAAAGACTTTTGCAGAAAAAGAGGTTTTGTGAATACCTTGTTCCACAGAAGATGTTGGATTCCTGGTATCAATGATATTGGTTCAAAATCAGGATTTGCAGAACGTACAAGCATTAACACACCAATTCAGGGAACCTCGGCAGACGTTACAAAAATTGCAATGAACAGTTTACATAAGGCCTTTTTGGAAAAGGGACTTCGAACAAGAATGATCATTCAAGTGCATGATGAAATTGTTTTTGAGGTACCGAAGGATGAAGTGGAAATTGTGAAACCAATCATTGTCGAGTTGATGGAAGGAGCTCCTAATTTCAATGGAACGTGGTTCTCTGTTCCGCTAACTGTGGAAGTGTCTGTTGATAGCAAGTGGCTGGCAGATGAATAAGTTTATGTGTAACGATCAATTGGATCGAAAGGAGGTGTATGCAGCATCACAATCATCATAAATTAAATAAGTTTATTGCTCATTATTCCTGTCAGCCTGCTTGGTGTACTTTCTCTTTGGCATTGAAGTGCTTATTCCTTGATAGGCCTTCACCTTACTCAACCTAATGTTGAATTTCCTTGCAACCTCAATGTCTGCATCTTGCTCAGTTTGTTGAGCGTTGGAGGTTTCATCCTCTTCTTCTGAGGAGGATGATTCTGAAGAAGATTCTATTACTTTTCGTGGTCTTCCTAATTTTTTAGCTGTTCTTGCCTCGTTGGTGTTTGATTGATCTTTTCTTGGCCTGCCAACTTTTCGTTTAGGTTGTTGTGAGGAGTTTTCATCCTTTCTTGGTCGACCAACTTTTCTCTTCACAGTTCGCTTCTCCTCCTCAGAGGATGAAGATGATTCTTCGTCGCTGGAACTTGATTGATCTTTGGTAGTATTACTACTCGACGACGCATTATTGTGTACAATTTTTCTTGGTCTTTTAACTACAGGCTTGTCTTCGGATGGCTTTTCTTGCTCCTGTTTCTTCTCTTTCTGCTCTTGTTCTTTTTGTTTTTCTCGAGCTAATACTTCCTCTTTCTTTGGTCTACCAACCTTTCTCTTCACTGGTTGTTGTGACACTGATTTTTCGGTGTTTGTATCTTTAGTCTCATTCTTTGTTTCGTTTGTGACGGTTGATGAAGGAGTTGTTGTGTTACTGCTACTTGCTTTTGAAGGAGTTTGAGCTGGTTTCTTTGTCTCTGTAATAGGTTTCTTTGTTGGAGTTGAGGCCGTCGTTAATGTGGCAGTAGAGCTAGATGAAGAAGTGGAGAAAGGATTCTGAATTTTTAAAGAAGCTGACTTCATGGGTGATTGAGCAGATGTCAATGTTGGGGTTGTAATCAAAGTTGTGACTTTGGAATCTGTAGTTGACTTGACTTCTTTCTTTGTAGTCTCTAAAGTTACGGTTGGCTTAATTTTGTTTTGATCTTGAGGAATAATTGTAGTTGGCTTGGAAGATGATACAGTTGTACTTTTTGCTAAGGTCTCTTCTTTCTTTGGTCTACCAACTTTTCTCTTGGCTGTTTTTTCTTCAGTTTTTGATGATGTACTGGCAGCACTCGATGCAGGGGTTGTAGTATTTTTCTTTGGACGACCTACTTTTCGTTTTGGTGGTTCTTCTTCGCTTGCCGAATCAGAGTCGCTAACAGTCATCTGATTTGATTCAGCCTCTTTCTTTTTCTGCAACTCGCGTTGCTCCTTTTCTTTTCGTTTTCTTTCTTTTTCTTCTCGCTCTCTTGCCAATACCTCTTCTTTTCTTGGCCTACCAACTCTTCGTTTGACTGGAGCTGAGGCAGGTGGTTCACTGCTGGGCTTATTAGCATCAGTTGGGGTTGGAACAACGGGCTGTGAAATGTTCTTCTTTGGTCTACCAACTTTTCTTTTACCTTCCTCTGGCTTTTCTGGAAGAGGATGTTTTCTTGGTCGACCAACCTTTCGTTTGGTGGTGCCTTGTGTATTTGAAGATGAGCTGCTAGTGGCCTTCTTTTTTCGTCTTGTGGAAGTTTCCTCTTCTTCTTCAGATTCTTCGTCATATGACAAATCGCTATCATCTGATGATGAAAGTTCTTCTTCGTCTTGTTCGTCGTCTTCAGAAGACTCCTCGTCACTTTCTACTTCAATCTTTCTCTTAGGTGGCCTGCCTCTTCGTTTTTTAGGGGCTTCATCTTCCATCTTGTCAGTACTCTTCTTTCGACCTCGTACTGATACTCTAGGTTTATCATTAGAAACAACAGACGTCTGAACTTCTGGAACGGTAGTAGCGTCCTTTGATCTTGTTTTGCATCTTCTATAGTTGAAACCTCTAACATTGAGATTATTGATATTACCTTTTTGAATTTGCTCATAAATTTTCGTCATTTGAGCTCTTTCATATTCAGTGAGACCAAATTCATCTTTTTCTTCTTCCAGATTTTGTTTAAATTGATCTGAAATTTGTTTTTCGATAGAAAGAAATTGTCTAAATCTTTTTTGTTGGGCCTTTCTCATGTTTCTCAAAAGACAGACATTTCCAAAGTCAGCGGCGTCCTGTACATCTTTTGGAAGCTTGTTGCTATCTTCCAATATTTTCAAAGTATATAGAGTTCTTTGCTTAAACTTAGACTCGAGTTTGTGATTTTTGATTCTCTTGTTACGTTCCTTGTCAAGGTTTGAATTCTTCTCCTTTAAATCAAGCAAGGATGCTGCTTCTTTTGATGTAATGGTACCTCTACAATTTTTGCTTCCACAATAACATTTCTGAAGGGAAACACCATAACATTCCATAGCATAATCAAATGTTATTTCTTCTCCCTTTTCAATGTCTCTTAAGGCAAACACACCTATCCTAGATTGATGACCGACGGTCCATTTCTGTAAAACAGAGTTTGGATCACAACTGTGATTGATAAACCTAGCGTTATTTCCCTTTTTAGAGGCATCAATGATTTGATTAGGACCAACAGAAAGAAAATAATAATGGCGTTCTCCGTCATACGCTTCTTGGCGTTGCTTGTAAATTTTCTCATCAAGCACTTCACCTACATATTCAATAATAAAACTTCCTTTAGGGATGCGTTCGTGAGCAAATATTCCATAGCCTTTCTCACCTGCTCTTTTAACAGCGATTTTTTTCCAGCTCTTTTTCTGAAATCTGTTATTTGTACATTTAGATCCACATGCACAATGTCCCAACACACATTCCATGCACAGCACTCTATTCACACATGACTCGCCGCAATGATCATCACCACCAACTTCTCCACTCTTTCTATTGGGTCCACACATACACATAATAATATCGTCATCAAACAAATTTTTCCATTGAAATACTGTGGAATCTCCTAAATAAATATTTTCTTCGACGTATTCAAAGTTTCTATCATTGTGAGCCTCTCTTTCGTCATCTACGTCGCTTGTTGGTTTTTGTTTGCCGTTGCTTTGTTGGATTTCGTCTAAATAGGTTTTTCTCTTTTTTTTCGGTAATTTTACATTTTCTTCCTTCAGCTTCATCTTTAACGGCTTATCAAATGATGGTGTAGACATATTGCTAGAGGTTCCGTTGGAGGTTGATACCGAAGGTGATCTACTTGCTTTTGATAATTCCTGTAACAGAAGAGCGTCTATATTATTACGAGTGAAATCATAGTCATCACGATTATTGTAATTATTAAAATAATTATTATTATAATATTGCACAATCTCATATTTACCTTCCACATCATGGCTGGAGTGTGATGATGAAAGAACGGATAGGGCCTCTTGTTCATCATGGCCGTTATTTTGTGTTGATTTTCCGTTTTGGTGTGGATGATCAGCCTTTTCAGCATTTTCGGCCTTGATAGAAGCAGAAAACTCTGAAATGATGGTGTCCTCACTCAAGTGCACAGCAGGTTGGAGAAAAATACTTTCCGCAGCATTTGATGAGCCACTCACAAGAGAAGAGAGATGGCTAGCATCGGGCGGTAACAACGTTTCGGTTTGAAGATTACTCATTTTTTTGTTGCGCAATTTTTCGTTACAAAAAACCTTCTGTCTTTGATTTCTTGAGCGCGTTTAACTCCAGCTAAAATTTGCCGGCCGTGTGTCATTTTAATTTTGTAAAGATTTGTTTAATGAAAGCTGTAAAATAGATCATTTAAATACTTTTCCAAAGAGGTACTAGCAAGGATTGCAACCAAAGTTTCATGTCAATGGTTGTCGATTGCTGGTTGATCATGCATGTTGATCCGCGTTGTAAGGTGGAAGATGGTTAAAATTCGGATTGTTGGTGAAATTGTACAGAGTAGAAATATTGGAAGTGTAATATTAGTCAGTCATATGATCATGATGTTGGTAGGAAGGGGTTGTACCATTTGAAGAGGCAGCAGTAATTGGTTTTTCTTCAACAAAAGTTGCTGAAACTGTGCATGTATCTTTCAAATTTTCATCAATGACCTCTTCAATATTGGTCTGACTGATAGAAAGAGACTTGGTTAAATTTGAAGCAAGCATTTTGACTTTTTCCATACTTTCAGGAGTATTTTTCACGTATTGGGCTGTAATGTAGAGGAAAATGCTAACAAAATTAAAGTAAATAGCCCAGGGAGAAATATCTGTTGTAAGAGCTAGATATAAATTTGCAAGTAAGCTTAACACGACTGCAATTTGTCTCTTGTAAGACTCTGATTTCATTAGCCAATATGAACTCAATGTCAATAATGCTGCGCACAGAAACTCTTTCCATATCAATCCAAATATTCTCCAAAGAAACTCTCCTCTATTTGTATGTTTGGTCTTTGTAGATGAATTTGAAGATGGTGCATATACTTGTTTTGAATTTCGAATATTTTTCACAAAATTAGCCAATCTTCCAGAAGACGATTGATAAAGAGAAGAAGGAAGCGACGATGAGAAAATTTTTCTTGAAGTAGAATCCAATGGAGACGAATTCTTTCCTCCGTTTGATAATCGATCCAATAACATTCTTCCAATTTGTCTTTTTGACGTTATTCCATACTTGTTGAGAGCTTCCATGTTGGAGAAAAATTTTGAATTCAATTGTAAATCCCCCGTCCCAGCACTATTGGATTTTCTGTTTTTAAATATTGAAATGTATGTAAATGGATTTAAAATAGTTCCCTTATTGGAATAAATGATATCGTAGAATCGACGCCCTACAGCATAGATTGAGATCAATGTATTGCTAAATATGAGAATTCTTCTGGTATATTTGATAGTGTATGAATGGCTTTCGTCCATCATACTTTCAACCACTTGTTTTAAATCTTCAATTTCCAATCGGAGTTGTTCAATTTCCATGTCGATTATTGATTTATTGGGATGAGATGACGATGAAGGAGGTAAAAGTGGGGATGGAATGTACAGTGAAGATGAAGATTCAGAAGTGTGGAGTATTGAAGTTGTTGATTGAGAGCTTTGAGGAATAAAGAGAGGTGACAGTTTGTATCGTGGTGATGTGATATTTGTATTGGTTGTGGGTGAATTCGTTAGCAAAAGATCGGGAGTGGCAGAGCGAGAGGAATGGTTGTTGTTGTTGCTCAGCGATGATCCGAATGATGAAAGAAAAGAATCAACGCCATTGGAAGTATGTTTGGATGTTGTTGTTGCTGACTTGAATGATTTGCGTGTTGTCTTGGCATTTCTTTTGTGATGCAGATTAGAAGGTGTGTTCGATGCAAGGTTGTGTAACAGCGTAGAGTCATCATCATCAAGACGATGATGATTCAATTCAATGGCGCCATCCCCCGTGACTGAGTCTTCAATGCTTTCATTCTCTCGGTACGAAACAGAACGCACCTTTCTCATTATTTTTTCATGATGAACGTTCGTCATCTGGGTCCTTTCTATACATCATTGAAAGACTCTGATCAAACCAATGCATTGTTCTTACAGCGCAAATATGCCCAAGTGTTTATTGGTTGAATATCGGGATTAAAGTGGTGATGAATGATAACAATGATGATGAAAAAGAAGTAAAAAGGTGTTTACATTTCGTATTCTGCAGCCTCCAAAAGACTCAACAATGGTTCGAGAAGCTCCAATCCAATTTCAGCTTGTCCTTTAACGTTGGCGTCTCTGCTCTTCAGCAATTCTTTTTGTGCTTCCACTTCACGTCTTACGAGGTTGACATCCAATTCGTCAAGTTTGTATGACTCAGCCAAATTCAATTGAACAAAACCGTGATAGTAAATAAAGCAAAAACCACCAGAAGTGAACCATTTGACTGTCTTTTCATCGTTATATTTGATTTTGATTAGTCCTGGATTAACTCTCATGACTTGAGTTCTGTGGTTAGGGAAGATACCGTATTCACCGAACTCTACAGTTGAAAGAGTAATGTCATCTACCTTATCGCTTCTGATGATGTAGCTGTTGTTTGTACAGAGAGTGAGAGTGAGTTTTTTGGTTTGGACAGCTTCACTCATATCATCAGGCATTGATTTAACGAAACGATTTGGAATGTATGAAAAAGCATCTTCAATTTCTTGTTTGTCTTTCTTCTTCTCGGCATAGAAGCGTTTTTGTGCGACCGAGTTGGAGACAATAGTCAAAGCCGCCTTCTTTGTTGTTTGGTTGTTGCTGCTGGCTCTAGCGAGAGGTTTGACGATGGACTTTAACATTTTTTGAATTTTTTTGCGATTTTTACATACTTTACAATTTCAGCCAAACAACAGGCCGTCCATTGTTTTTGATTTTTATTTATCAATTGTTTTTGATTTTCAAAGTATATTAACCTTTGGTTCATGTCCAAGAAAAGATGGTTTCTTCTTTTCTTGTATTGTTGGGATGCAAGAATCGATTCAGGCTGCGCTAGCATCTTGAAAGAAAAAAATACAAAAATGCCCAAATCATTGAAACAACACAGCGGCAACCAAAACTCAAAAGTACAAGATCCCGAAACCGGCTTACAGGTCGGATCCAAGGTTTATTGTTTATGGGCTAGAGACAATGAGTACCGTAAGTAATATCATACTATTCTCGAACGTTCGTTGGACACATATCTTGTGATGATGATTGTTATTATTTTATGTGTGATGATCGGATTCGATACACCCAATTTCTCACAACTCTATAGACCAATGCGAAATTGTGGAGATCAAGTTGGATGTTAGTCCAGTGCAATTTTATGTCCACTATATTGACTGTAAGTATTCATACGTTAACTCCGATGTTGACAATAATTGCAAATTATTCAACACAATATTTCAAATACATTTACATAATATTCAACGTCTCCACAGTCGATAGAAGACTTGATGAGTGGGTAACTGCTGAACGCTTTAATTTGGACGAAGATGACGAAAACATCAAAAGAGATAGTGAAGATGAAAACAAAGTGGAACGTAAACTTACAAGAAATATGAAACGTCACTATAACGAAATACACAACATTTCTAATGATCATGATCTTGACAATGACCCTGTTCAAGCAGCACTTGAGAAGGAACATGAAGAATTTACAAAAGTGAAAAATATTCAGAGAATACAATTTGGAAAATATGAAATTGAAACATGGTACTTTTCTCCATATCCTGAAGAATATTCCCATATTGATAAATTATATATTTGTGAATTCTCACTCAAGTATATGAAAAACAGAAGAACGTACGAAAGACATCGCGACAAATGTACAACGAAACACCCACCAGGAGATGAAATTTATAGAAATGGTTCTCTAAGCTTTTTTGAAGTTGATGGAGAGAAGCAAAAAATATATTGTCAGAATTTGTGTCTACTCGCCAAGCTATTCCTCGATCACAAGACTCTTTATTTCGATGTGGAGCCATTTTTGTTTTATATTCTTTGTGAATGTGATGAAGAAGGATGTCACATGGTTGGTTATTTTTCAAAAGAGAAACAAAGCGCTGAGGGCAATAACTTGGCATGTATTTTGACTCTTCCACCCCACCAAAAGAAGGGATACGGTAAACTGTTAATCGGCTTTTCTTACGAGCTCTCCAAGATAGAAGGAAAAGAAGGAACTCCAGAAAGACCCTTATCAGATCTAGGTAAAATCAGCTATCGCAGCTATTGGAAACATGTACTTCTTGATATTTTGCAGAATCCTGCGAATAAGGCCTTATCCGTCAAAGACATTGGTAAGATGACAGCCATCAAATATGAAGATATCACTGCCACTTTACAATATCTTGGTTTGCTCAAATATTGGAAAGGTCAACACATTATAGCAGCAAATCCTAAGGTCATTGAGGAGCACTTGGAGAAGAGGAAGAAAAAGGATGAAGTCACCATCGATCCAAGCAAAATTCATTGGGCTCCTTACCCAATCTCTAACAACTAGATCATCCTCATTTGTATGTTAACACAGAACATTTTTAGCAGTTTGCAGATAGACAGCTGTAGCTGCGAGGTAAACAAACAATGCCCTAGAATTAAAATTTGTAAATCAAGTACCATTTATTATTAATTGTCAAGTAATAAACAGGGTCAAGTGCCATTTATTATTAATTGTCAGGATCTTCCAACTCGAATTGAAAACTTAGAAACCACATGTTCCAATTATATTTGAAAAAATCTACAGAGCTAGATTAGCTTTACCTTTCCTTCAAAAAGTAAATCTCTCACCAATCTGTATTGCAATAAAGAGCGTGTTCCCTTTGGTAAATTCACCTCAAGCTCGTCTTCGTCTTCATTTTCAGGCCGAGCATCAAAAGGCCGAAGTGTCACTGTGCCCAAGTCTTCAACAACTTCACAAAAAACAAACTTGAACCAGTCAGGCTCAATATACGGTACTATATTATCTTTTCCTTGACCTTTTGAAGCCATATCAGGATTTGTCAATTGATTCACAAAACTATTCTCAAAATAGGTCGTCCTTAATTTACAAAACTGTTGAAGAAATTTCCATTCTGAAGGTGTTGTAATTTTTAAAGCCGCATGAATATCTTCCTCTCTATCATTCACCATGGATAAATTTCCAATATTATTTATATGATCTACTTCTTTTCTTCTCACATATTCACATAACAATTCCAATTTAATTAATCTCGTTCTCATCAAATTAGTAACCAAATATTTCAGTCGGTTCAATTCCGTAACTCTCAACGAATATTCCTCACTATATTCATTGGAATTCAGAAGAGAGTCTTCTTCTAATTCAATCCGAGATCGGGCTCGTTGAATCATACTCTCTAGCCGTTGTCCACCTGGAAGTAATTCCGGAGAGTTTCGTTCGTTGGTGAGCCAAATTCGTAAATCTTCAAAAACTTCTCCATCATCACCTCCACTCTCAAGCATGAGCTCTGCAGAATCAATTAAACTTTGCATGGTGTGATTGATGGTTGTGAATTAAATTAAATTTTTAAATTTTTAATTAACGAAGAAATTTGGATTGGCGCCAAAAGTTGACAGCGGGAGTTATTGTTTACCCGAGCGATTATTATTCTGTCGTTCTAAAGCATCGATATGGAATGTTATGCCGTATTCAAATGCTCTGAGATGCAATTCACGGTATCTCAATAACAGTCCTTGGTGCTTTCCAAGAAACTAACATACAAAACAGTTCAACAATCATTCGTTGAATGGCAATCCAACTTGTCCAAATCGGATTCATTAATCCGATGATCCAATCAAATTTTCAAATTTATATTTGACACGAGGTTGCATCCAAACAGTCGAACGCTCGTTTCGAAAAAAGAGTCTCAAAGAATTAACCTCTCGACAAAATATCATCATGGTTTCAAACTTCTCTCAACATCCAAACAAGAGATGCACTGCTCAAGGTTTTTCTTCTTCCACATCCGCGGGTGGAAACTTTGAGGCTCGGCGAAGGGAGAGAAACCAACATGTGGGCCGTATTCAAAAGAAACCATATCATGTAATGAATCGCCATGTTCGACCATCAACTAGGCCACGAGTACATGTAAATGACGTTCATGAACATTGCCAACAATTAGACCCATCTTTTGGTTTAGCTCATCATCCACACGTTCCTCTTCCAACAGCCATGAATTCTCTACCTTCAAGTCATACTGATAATGCCCTGAATTCGCCCGACATGAACCATCCTTCATTTGTGCAGCAACTTCTTCCTCAAAGTGGAGAGGCCCCTCATTCAGTTCAAACTTTGGCACTTCAAGCTTTTATGTTAGGGCTCTATTGTGCTCTCAATCACAAAAACCATCCTATCGGAAGGCAATTATTGCTCAAGTATCATCCCATGTTACGGATGAGTAATAGTACATGTAGGGACGGAACACTTTCATTCTTGAATACTCCCAATAATACAATTGTTGAAGAAGGCCCTTCCTCTACAAATCACTCCCCTCACCAACATGTTCAGCGTTCGGAAGCAAGTCAATCTCTAACTCTGGAAGCTGGATCTGTCTGCTCAAAAACAAGACCTATAAGAACATCCGTTTCAATTAAGGAATTGCTCAATGAGTGATTGCCGTCATCAACGATTCACATCATCCAACAAGACTTGTCTGTGAATAATGCTTATTCAAGTAATCTCTATCATGGAGATTCATCATTACTTCACTCTCCCATTCTTTGGATATCTGTGCTTCTCACAACCAAGTTTTGAAGCAAATAAAGGTATTCCTTTAACAACATGTATTTTCAATACTGTGTACTATTACTGTTCGAATTGGTTGAATACTGACGACCACACATGTTGTCATGTCTTGACATCCATTCCGAAGTGAAAAAAATGTTATTAAAATCTTTCACAAAACTTGCTGCTTGTGCCATTGTTGGAACAAGTCTTTACAACAAGTCATCATTCATGAACAATTATCCAACCATGTTGGATGAAAATGAATGGAAATCAAGTGTGGTTGATGTTAGAAACAAGCTCGTGTTAGCTTCTTCAAGTAGTAGTGCCATTCATCCTTCCGTTCCGACATCACCCGCTGTGGCTACTGCTCAACAATTAGAGGGATTGAAATCATCATCAAAATCATCATCAAATGAAAAGAACGAACTCACTCAGAGTACAGAAAATATTTCAACCGAAACGGATGCCGAGAAGGTATCATCTCCATCCTCCCAAGAGAGCGCAAGACCAACGGCTCCAGTCACTGGTGGCCGTACTCAACCACCAGCAACAACAGCAACTCCTTCTTCGCAAGCTCCAAAACTTCCTGGATATGTGAAAACTCACGCCAAAACGAGAGAAAGTTTAGAATTATTTCAGACTTTTTATGAGTTGGGATTACCACAGGATAGAGAGATGCATCTCTTTTCTGGATATTTTTCTGCAACAGATACTCGATTGAGAATTCCAAGGTTTGTATTGGATTATTCAAGATGGATTTTGAATATATTTACGAAATTGTTTCACAAATGTCATCTTGAATTTTTACAAAATATTTACAAAATTGAAAATATTATTATGGCATATTATTGGAAATTTTAAACAATTTTTATTAATATGGATCAAGTTTTGTGGCATGGATGATTAAAGGATCATCTTCTGATAAAGGTGAAAAAGAGAGAAAATCAGACCGTTCCAATTCCAAATTTCTCACAAGTCCTTTCCTTCCTTCAGAATTTAATGCAGACAATACAGATTATTCAGCATCTGGATACGATCGAGGACACATGTGTCCTTGTGGAGATTTTTATTATAGTATGGATCAACAAGGACTTGACGAGACATTCTATTTATCTCATAATGTCGTTCCACAAGAACCAAACAATAACAGATTTTATTGGTTGCGTGTGGAAATGTTTACTAGAAGCTTAGCAAAGCAATTTGATAATGTCTATGTGGTTGCTGGACCGTTATTTGTTCCTGAAGAAGTTAATTCGAAAAAGTTTGTGAAATATGAAGTCATTGGTGATAATCATGTGGCAGTGCCAACTCATTTGTACAGAGTTCTAGTTGGAGAAAAAAAGGGAGAAAATAAGTTTTTCATTCAAGTAAGTGGTGGTGTTGTTTTTTAAAATTTTCCAATAATTTTCTGCTGGCATTTTGATTTTCACATTTTTATGGAAATATGGGACCAAAATGGAATATTTAAATATTTTAAAATTGCAATACAATTAAATTGAATTAAATAGGCATTCATGTTGCCCAACAAACCCATTCCAAAAACCAAGCCAATTACAGACTTTATCGTTCCAGTTTCAGAAATTGAAAAACACAGCGGAATGAAATTATTGCACAAAATTGACAAGGCTAAAACAGCACCTTTATGTAAGAACTTTAATTGTGAATTAAAACCTTGGCAAGAATTAGAAATACAAAAGATTCTATGGGACAAGACATAACGAAAGAGAAGGCAGAGCAAGAATGGAACAAGTTACTTAAAGAAGGATGGCAACCATCACCACAAATTACTCAACAATATCAAGCCAAGCTATCCAAGCTCTAAATGCATTATATTAGTGCATGCTTTACACAATAAGTATTAAAGGAGGAAATCATTTATGGATGATTTAATATTATTTACAGTAAAAACATAAGTCGTGATCTAGTGTTGGCTATTAAGGAGAAGAGATAACCCTACCGGAGCTCCACGATTTTGATAAATTAATATTTCGAATGAATTGATTGGTCGTGAAAAACTCTATTAGGGAACAGAAATGGCTAGCCTTATTCTAGTCAGGACCACCTCTCTCCACTGCACAATGTATTTACTTGGAACCTTGTATCAACATACTAGCAATTATCCAATTCCAACGGATCCTATGCACAGATAGAAGCCTATTCTCTCGTTGAACGACATTATTAACAGTAAATTCATCGATTGTGGTGCAATTCTGTAGATGTCAACCATCATCACTGAACCATGACCCTTCTTGAAGTTTGTTTCTCTATTACCTTATTTGATGATATTCCTGCCAATAGCACGCTCCACTTATTTAAGGCTTTTTAACAAGCCATATTGTAATTAAGCGGTAAGAACTTTGATGACAGGTTATCTTTTCGTGGAGTAGAAGGTAAGTGTGGTGGTGGAGGAAATTTCACAACATAATAATTTCGAACAAACAAATAAAGGAAAGATCCAGGTACAAATAACTGACGAGAACAACAAGAACAACAAAGATCACACAATACTCTCTAGTCTATGATTTCATTTTCTTTTTGTCGAGATTCCAAAATTTTTTTTGATAGTTTACACAAAATGTCTTGCTCAATCGTTTCATTCGGTGTGTTCTTGCAAGAAATTTCATCAAACAACACATCCATCTGAAGAGTTTCACAGAATTTTCTAGCTCTGTCAGTAGTGACTTGTCGCGAATTTTCCAAGTCAGTCTTATTGCCAATAATGAAGAGGTTAAGCTGAGAGCCATGAGGTATGCTCTCTCCATTGTTGAGTCCTAAAATATTCTTTTTCACTTCGTTGAGCCATACTGTCAGGTTAGTAAATGATTTTTCTTGAGTAATGTCATAGAGAAGAATTACACCATCACTGCCCCGATAGTATGACCGAGTTAAATTTCTGAATCGTTCTTGTCTGCAAATAGGTCATTTCAGATTCATGATACGGCATACAATAATTATCATGTACCAATTTTCACTCTCGAACACTTACCCTGCCGTATCCTTTTAATGATTTGTTAAAATCTTGTAAGCGATTTGAACACTAATGTAATCATCACTTACCCATATTTGAATCTTAATGGTTTTTCCATCTACGTTTAAAAAGCGTACTTTCCTATTATTCAAGTATGAATCATATATAAAATTAATTCAGCCATAGAACAACTTACAAGTCTACACCCACAGTGGGCATGAAATTATCTGAAAATGATCCCGACTATTGAATAACGTTTGACATACATGTATGGGATTGGAAGAGCAGTAAACAATGTATGATCATGATTGTTGATATTGTGTGCCGTTACTTACAACAATCTTATTAAGGAGAGAGTTTTTCCTGTTGTACTATCTCCTATAACTATCACCTTAAACAATTCATCGTAATTTGTTTGTACAGCCCTAGCAGTTGCTGTTGATGCAGACTGTTGTGGTTGCTGTTGTGGTACGTTTCCTACTTTTATCTGGACTGTTATTTTAGTAGTATCACAATCATAGTACAATGACCATCACCAGCATCAACACGTTCATAATCGTCATGGTAATTAAAATCCGTTGTATAAAATCCGACGAAAATTATAATTTGTCAATATATTGATCCATCACACCAAGCAATATATAATATTGAACAATCATGTTGAGCAGCAAAATGAAATAATAGATACACTACTTTCATCCTTTTTATTTTGCTGTTGTTGTTGACCTTTCGTGCTCCCTTGCTCTCCTCCGCAACACATTTTTTCGTGGTATGTTTCCGAATCGGTTCTTCACGTCCTCTTTGGTCTCGACCTGTTTTTAAATTTCTAATTGTCGTGGCAGTGGTCATTTGTTCGTGGATTTCGTTCCATGATCCTTCTCTCTTGAATGGTCAACAAGTAATGATCAATGGGTATTTGTCAGTTAAATTCTTTTAATACTCTTACGCTTCAACCTCGATAAAATCACTCTTATCATCCTCCTCATCAAAATATCATACGCATATGGAGACATGAGTGTGTTCTGTTCTTCCATGAAGTTTCCCTCATGGCCACCTTCATGCACTATGACGAGCGCATTCTCAATCTTGAACCCCAACGCAAGCTTTGCATCATCTCTCCACGCCGACAAAGAACTTGCCAGCCAAAGAAATGGTTCGCCCCACAAAGGAGAAAACCCATTCTTTCCATACGAAAGACAAAGCATAGGCAGAGTTTCTAGTATGAATGAATTTCAATAATATACCATTGGGAAGGTTCGTCCTTAACAAATCCTAATGTTGAAAGTTGGTTTTTGGAAATTAAAAAAAAAGTCTTCAAAAAAATGAGTGAGCAAGAACAAGCAGTCGCTTCTAGTACTACCGAGTCTCAAGTCGTTCAATCTTCGGAAAAGAATGGCTTGTCATCATCGAGCACTAGCAGTAGTGGAGAAAATGCAACTGAGCCGAAGAGCAGCAGCACTACTTCGGAAAAGAAAGGAATGACCTATCAGGAATTGATGAATGGTACCGACGATGATGATTGGGTTCCGAACGTTCCGAAGGAATTGCCAGAGTGGTGCAGCAAGGACCATCCATTGTTGAGCAATTCAGTTGATATGAATAATCCCATTACGGAAGCTTTAGCTCATATGAAGTATGAAGGAACGCCTGATGAAATTGCAACCAATTTCAAGAATCAAGGAAATTCCTTGTTAAAAGAAACAAAAACTCCAGAGAAATATTACAAGGATGTGATTCAATATTATTCCGAAGGCCTAGAGCAACCAATAACTGACATGAGATTGAAAGTGGATTTGTTAAATAATAGATCCCATGTTTTGAGTTTAATGGGAAATTATGGTAGAGCCATCGAGGATGCCAAGGCAGCTTTGAAAATTGACAAGAAAAATACCAAATCCATGTTTAGAATTGCCAAAGCTGCAATGGCTTTGAAAAAGCACAAGACTGTTATCAAGTATGCTGAAAAAGCTCTCAAAATTGAAAAGACACATCCTCTCTTTGAAGACATGATTAAAAAAGCCGAAGAAGAATTAAAAAAAGAGCAAGAGAAAAAAGCAAAAGAACTCGAAAAAAAGAAGCAACAACAGCAAATTCCACAACAAATTAAGGACTTTTTGATTTTGAGAAAGGGTATTTCAGTCGGAAATTACACAGAACTCGAGACAGAGCATATCAATACGTATACGAACAAGGCCTCTACCGGCGGTATTCAAGTCGATAATGCAACAGGAGAGGTTTTCTTCTCAGTTATTTTTGTCTATGATGAATTTTCCCAAACAGATTTTGTTTCAGAATTTAGTGAGCATCAAACTTTGAAAGATCAATTAGATTTAATGTTTCCTCCTAATGGGCCAACATTCCCTTATGGCTGTGAAAAGGATTATGTGTTGTCTAATCTGTGCGTATTTTTCTTGGATCCAACATCGCTTAAGGAAGCTAATTCACGTTACATTGAAATCAAGAATTTGAACACGTCGTTGATAAAGATTCTTACACGAAAGGACTACTTGTTACCTTCGTCATTGATGCCAGTTTTGCACATTGTTAGAAAGAATCATGCACTAGAGTTGAATATCAAGTGAGGTGGTGTCAATAAAACATGTTGATAATTTATTCCTCAATCTTTTCAACTGTTTCTTCCACCTTAATTCCTTGTTCCTCAAGCTTGCTTAACACGCCTTCATAGAGAAGAGAAGTTGAGGTTGGACCAATCACACCACCTCCACCAACGGACTGTTTGAGATCAGCAGCCTCCTTAGCGACCATGACAGCAGTGATGGCAACAGGTAAACCAACAGTTCTGCTCGTTGCTGTAGTAGTCTTGTCACCAAACACACATACTGTGGATGTAATTCTTTCTCTGGAATTATCCTTATCGTACTTGACGATGAATTCGTGGATCATAAAGTTGAGATCCTTGTCTTGAGAAGTGAGAGCAAGTTCACGTTCGAGGTGAGCACAAATTAATTCCAAAAGAGATCCACTTTTTGGTTTCTCTGGTAATGGTTCCTTAGAAAGCAATCCAAGTTGGTTAAAGCTCTTGAGAGCATAATTGGCATCTGATTCAGCATTTGCCTTCAATCTCTTGTAAATTCTTTGTTGATACTTGTCCTTGATGTTGGAGAACATGGCATCAATTTTCTCGTTATAAATCTTCTCGAGAGTGTTGGCAATATTTTTCATGCTTGAAGTGTTTGGAACACCTAATTGTGCACAGAAAATTTCAAAGAAACTGTTGGCATTGGCTGGAATTGGTGTTTCTTGCTTGAGATATCCCAAAAGAGTGAGCAATCTGAATACCTCACAAAAGCCACCAAATCTCAAAGTACCTCTCATCATTGTATGAAGATCGTTTTGATTGAGATACTTGTACTTGGAAATGTACTTCAAGCTGTCACGATTTGGAACAACCTCAAAGTTGAAGCCCTTAAATTTGACGTCTACCTTTTCATTGAGGAATGTGAGCTTTGATCCATCAGTGACGTCCACAACTTCACCATCCTTCATGAAGAGGCATGGATTTTGAGAAGCTCTCAAAACTCCAATTGGTGACCAACTGAACTTGTATCCTAGCGGATTGTCAGAAGATTCCGGAGCAGGAAGGGCTCCACAATAACTCTTAAAGCTTTCAACTCTTCCTCCCTTCTTTCCAACAACCTCATCCAAAGTTTTCATGATACACATGTGATCAATGCCAGGATCTAAACCAATTTCGTTGATAAATAAGAGTCCCTTTTGTTTTGCTTCTTCATGCATGGCTTCCATCTCAGGACTGACATAACTGGCGGTGATGAGGTGTTTCGAATGTTTGAGACATTGCTTTGCAATAATGGGGTGAAGGGTGGCAGGAACAAGGGACACAACAATATCAGTCTTATTGATGAGATCATTGAGTACTTGATTGTCTTGAGACACGTTGAGATTATTCACAAATTCCACAGATAATTTTCCGGTATATTTGCCCTTCAAATCTTGTGGAATCTTGTCACTAGCAATGGTAATAACAGAAATATCTCTTGGATTATCAAGCAAATAATCAATCACTGGTGGAACAACATATCCAGAGCCCAAAATTAAAACTCTCTTGGCTCTTGGTCCTCTAATTCTATTAATATACTCATAGTTTGGAGTCAGGTTTCCGTTGGCAGTAATGACAGCCTTTCTGATTTCAGTTGGTAAATATTTCATTTGTGTTTCCAAAGAACTGTTAAAAGTAGGGAACGATCTTGCCAAATCAGGAATGAATGGGAAAAGATGAGAACCGAACAAGCTGCTCGAAGATCTTGGGAACTCAGCTGGTAAGTGGTCAACAGCAAGCATTGCTACGCCTTCGCCAATGAGAGTGTCATCATAAATCTTATCTTCCTTAATGTTATTTACATAGACAGGATTTGAAATGGTTGTTGTTTTGGTGAGGAATTCAACTGAGCCACCAGGATCGCATGAAATGTCGCCAACAGTGATGAGTGGGAATCTATTTTGTTCAATTAATTGTTTGGCTTGTTTGTTAGTAATGAGTCTTGGATATCTGGCATCCCAGTACATTCCGTTCAACAATACTCTGGTGTATGGAATAATGGTTTCATGGAAAATAGGCTCATAATCTTGTGGATTGGCATAATAGTCATACTTGTCGAATGCCTTTGTTGGATCTTTGGGTTTTACCATTGCTTCAGCGCCACAAATTAAAACATAAATCTTTCTGCAATCTTCCTTTGTGACATCTCCTCTTGCCTTCTTTTCCCACAATGCTTTCAATTGTGAAGGTGACTGCAAGAATTCAACAGTTTTGTGAGTCAATTCAGGAGGTTGCAATTGTTGGATCATTTCCTTCATACCTTGGCACACGCTACCACCTCTACCAGTCATGACAAAAGTCATTGGGAATAAATCCTTATTGATACCATATTGACTAATCTTTCGTCCAATTTCATTCAAGGCATGCTTACAAATTTCAAGAGAAATATAATTTCTTGCATATGAAATACTCAAGAAAGGACTTGTGTATCCGTATTGAGTCAACAAACGTTCTCCGAGAATATGCAAAGTATCAATAACACCTGCGTTACCAGCAAAAGGACCAAAACGAACCAATCGTTCTTGTACTGTCTTTTCTGTACCAGGAACTTCTACTTCTTTCACAATACGTTCATAATCAATCAAACGAATATTCTTTTCAATAATTGTATCTAACATGTTCATATTATACCATTGACCTTTGATAGTATGAGAAAAGAACATGTAAGTCTTGTTCGGAATGAGCAAATGAGCAGGTACTTCTTTAACTGCCAAGATTGTTTGAGCACGCGTTAAATCTTCATTAATCTCACAACCAGCTTCTCTATATTCTTCATCACTAAAGGCTCTTGTGGTAGAAGGCTGAATCACCACTCGGATGCCGTGTTCCTTGATCAATTCTTCGCATTGAGAAGGAGTCAAAGGTACTCGACGTTCCCAAACGTTTTTATCTTCTCTACGGATGCCGATGGTTGGTACCTCCCCAGTCTCACTATATTTACGGAGGCCATAGAAATTCAAGACTGAATGATGATACTCTTGCGTGAACGGTGATGATGAAGAGCTTAACACTCCGGAGTGGCTGGATGATTTTTTGAAAAAGGATGTAGCCGCTACACCCGTTGTCGACGAAGATGAACGATGATTCACGAGTTGATGTACAGCTTTGGTTAGTCGGTACATTTTTTTTGATTGAGAAGTAAACGTTGGTGAAGATTCATTATGGAAACGGGTAAAAAATTGTAAACTTTAGCTCATACCCTTTCATTCATGGAAGTATCCATTTCATGGACGATGAGCTATGAGAAGCAGAAGCAGCAACAGTTGAACTAGCTGTCGCTTCCTCTTCTTCCATTGCCAATGATTTCTTGGACTTTCTTGGCATGTTGTTGTTGACTTGTTGGCACAACAAAGTAAAAAATGAAAAAACGAAAATCTTCTGCTTCCTCTTCATTGCTCCGTTTTGTTCCCGAGAATTACATCAAAAAAATCAAATTTAATCCCAAACAAATTGAAGAACATTTGAATGAAGATATTTGGGTAATAATCATGGAATTTTTAACAGCGCAAGAAGTATTGTTGACCATGATGCTTGTCTCTAAAAAATTATTTCAATATGCTCACGAAGTTCCTTTAAAGTTGGATGTTAGATTTAGCAAACATCAAATTTATTCAACACTTCCAATGTTAAGCATATTTCAAGCATTAAAATACGTGCCGACATTCCATCCCGTGATGCTCCTTGCCTTTTCAATAGATTCATTGATGAACAACTCACGAATGATGTTATTTTTGAAGCAAACAAATTAATGAACTCAGACAAAATACTAGGACTAACCTCTATTACCTTGAGTCCTAACTTTACGTGTGCAATCCAAAGCATGTTTAAAGATAACTCAAAGCTGAAGAACTTGAAAGAATTAACAATTTGTCAAGGATGTTTCTATCCGAAGACATACGAATCAATTTTACAGAATTCGAATCTCACAAATATTGAGAGCGTAACATTAGACTTCAATGAAAAGAAGTGTGGCCGCTGTGAGTCTTCTATTTCAGTCACTTCTCTTGCTCAATCTCCAATATTCAAAAATGCTCGCTCTTTTCATATATTGTACGGCGATGTATTTCGAGATAATGAGATAATGGAGCTTTTACACAGTCCTAATTTTCAAAATATCAACAATATCACTTTGGAATGTGACGATGGATTGACAATTAAGACCATTCAAACTCTTGCAAGCTCCAATCTCGATATTCATTATTTAAAAATTGCTGCTCCATCCGATTACACTAGCAATTCACTACTTGAAGCAGCTACCAATGCAAAGCCATTCCGCAATCTACACACCCTAAGTATACTTTTTCAATATTGTGACCCAATCCAAAATGCCACATTTATGAAATTTGTTAAACAAGGTCCGCAACGAAATATCAAATGCTTAGAACTTTCCTACAAGATGTTGACAATCATGTGATCAATTGTATTGTTAGAGAGCCAAAATTTCAAAATATTGAACGATTAGCTTTATATTTCGATTCAGAAATTATTGATCTCGATTCCATGATTGCATGGACCAAATGGAAACCTAAAAAATTGTCATTCTTTGGCACAAGTTGCTGTAGATTTATCTCAGAAGAGAATTCAACATATTTCTCGATCACTTGGAGTTGAGTACTTGGAGATCAAAACTTAAGAAATTTCACCTAGATTTTGTGCCTTCGGAATGTTTGGCTAGACTTCATTCAGTTCTGTTTCATTCAATTGTTACCGAGAAATATTATGACAGTGACTGATCAGTCAGGCAGTCTTAATTTTATACAAAGTAGGGTGAATCTGTATGACTTGAATTTGCTGAGCTGTCCTGTGCTCAATACAACAGGCTATTTATGTAAGGCCACCCCGATCACTTGAATTTGAACTTTTCACACGATTTGATGATGTTTTACAAAATCAATGGCTTTCGGAATTTTCACACAATGGAATAGTAACTGGTTGGTGCTGTCATTCACCATACCTGAGGAACCTTTTCAACCATTATCTCATTCCTGTCACTCAAAGCTGCGACAAGTTGCAATCTCAAATCTCATTGGCCCTATCAACACATGAAACATCTCACAACAGATTTTATCCTTTAACATTTACAAAACAAATGAGAAGTAGTGGTCACCAACAAAGATCGTACCCACTTGGCAGATCATCTTGGTTCACTCATCACTCGATCACTGTTACTTCTAATTCTCACACCCATGTTCCAACGAGATTGAGCAGCGAACCATCTAGATTCCTTCAAATGATGGTCATGGGGTGTATACAGCTTGTTATTTTCACAAGTTTGTACTACTCCATTCCACTCGTCGTAGAAGGTGCTACTACAACCTTGACAGAGGCCAGTGCCACTCCAGTCGTTCTCTACAAACTCATCACCGTGGCAGGTACACGAAATTTAACTTACAATGGAGAAGATATTCCTCCATTGAACACGAATATTAATTATCCAAACTTTGTATTTCCAGTATATCCTGCAAATACCTCACTCTTGGATGTATACTTTACAGATCGAAATCGATTGAGAAAGATTAAAACAGTGGGTGCTCCTGGTCGATCTGTCTCCACCATTGCTGGCAATGCTGTTCAAGGTTATAGTGGAGAAGGACCAAGTTGGAATGCGTCTCTCAATCAACCTGCAGGAATCTATGTATCGCCCAATCAGGATTTCATTCTTGTATCAGATGTATTGAATCATAGAATCAGAAAAATTGATCTCATCGAAGGTAGAATCTCGACCATCATTGGTGGTTTTAATAACTCGAAAGGTTTCAATGGAGATGGCTTCCTCGGTAACGAAACTCTCATCGACACCCCTCAAGGAGTTACCATGTTCAATGGTGAAATCTATTTTGTTGATTCAGTGAATCATCGAGTTCGAAAATTAGATTCACGAACGAATCGAGTTCAAACCGTGGCTGGAAATGGTATTGGTACATACAATGGAGATGGTATAAAAGCCACGTTGGCAAGTCTCAACACACCCATTGAAATTGTATTCAACTCGATAGGAGAAATGTTCATCACAGATGCACTCAATAGTTTGATTCGAAAGGTTGATACCAACGGTTTCATTTCAACAGTGGCAGGAAATTATGGAGCATTGTTGCCTGTGGATGGTGTTCCAGCGACACAAACAGCATTGGGTGCTGCTAAATCGATTGCCTTCTCTCCCTTCTCAGAAAGTCAAATGTTTATTGCAGATTCGTTCAATTGTTTGATACGAAAAGTGAATATGAAAACTGGAATTATTACCACAGTGGCTGGAATTTTTGGTTTTATGGGATTTTCTTCTGACATTTCGGATGCATCAGAGGCAGTTTTGGACACCCCTCAATCCATGTTTGTCGATTCTTTGAGCGGTGACATTATTTTTGTCGAAAGAGGAAATGCATTGATTAGAAAATTAAGTCCTTACTGTTCAAACTCTGCTTATTCGCTATCGTATGATTTTTCATCATGCTACGATTCATGTTATGGTGTGAAATTGAATGATTCACGAGTGTGTAATGGAAGAGGGCAATGTATTTCTCAAGATTTGTGTCGTTGTCAGACAGGTTACACTGGACCTAACTGTGAATTTCCAACATGTTTTGGAATTTCTGCAAATTTCACACAACAATATGTGGAAACGGAAATGGAACATGTACACAGCTCGATACCTGTGTGTGCCGAAGTGGATTCATTGGACGAGATTGTTCCATTCCCATTTGTGTTGCCATTTTGAGTGGTTCAGATCTCTCTCAAAATAGTACTACCACAGTCGAATGTTCCAAAACCATCATTAAGGGAAGTGAATTGAATGTACATTATTTGGAAAATCTAAATGATTTGAATTCTAGAAAAATCTCTTTCAATGGTTTTCAAAACATTCTAGTAGAATTCCCTTCCAATGTTTCAATGGATTTATCACGACAAGGTTTCAACTTGAATACAACCACAAACATGGTACTGGTGAGTTCAGCCTATGTCCATTCTCAACTCACATACAATGAAACGAGCTTCAAGTCACCTCTCATTTCCGTATCACTGCTCGATAAGAAGGGTTTACCCATCACCATTTCCAATTTAGAGAAACCTATTCAATTGCATTTCACAACCACTCCACAACAAAATCTCTCCACTCTCATTTGCATGTATTATCACGAATTGGAAAAAGTTTGGAAAACAGATGGAGTAGAAACCACTCGTTTGAATGGACCTTCACAAGTTCATATTACTTGTTCAACCACACATTTGACATCTTTTGCAGTGATTGATTCCAATTTCAAAAAAGCAACCAATTCTGACACCAAAGAATCTACAGGTCTCTCACCTGAAACACAACTTGCTATTGCCCTATCTGTGGTTGGCTCTGTATTGGTGTTGGGAATTATTGCACTCATTGTCGGTGTGGTTTTGACTTTTTATTGTCGAATTCGAATCATGAAAAAGAAAGGAACAACTCTCTAACATCAAGACAACAATATGTGCTCATGATCTTTCTAACAACAAGTCACTCTTGTGTTAGTTCTCTCAGTAAAACCTCAACACATGGATCGAACGTGAATAGTTAATTGTTTTCTTTCCAAAACAAGGAAATTCAAAATTTCTTTTCAACAAAAAAAATGAGAAGAAAGGATCAACGTTCATCACCGCAAGAATTGAGAGAAATGCAAGCCGAGTTGGGAGTGTTACAAAAAGCGGACGGATCATGTAAATTTTTAATGGGAAAAACTATTGTTATTTGTTCTGTGAATGGACCGGAGGCATCCATGAAAGAGAAGGGAGATGGTGCAATTGTGGATGTAATTTTTCAACCTCGGGATAAAAGACCATCGGAAGAAGAAAAAGAATATGAAATGATGATTCGAGAGAGCTTGGAAAATGTAATTTTGTTATCATTATATCCGAGAACAATTATTACAATTTCTGTTCAAGTGGTTCAAGATGATGGAAGTTTATTGAGTGCTAGTTTGAATTCGGCTGTATTAGCCTTGTTAGATGCTGGAGTGGCGTTAAAGTCAACTCTTGTTTCTTTGTCATGTTCATATTTATCAAGCGGCGATTGTTTGTTGGATCCATTGAAGGTGGAACAAGATTTTGATTCTGTTTTGTACAGTAGTGATTCTTCAACATTTGTGGAATATTACAAGAGCTCATTATCGACCGGTCAAAAAATTATAAAACCAAAGGGGCATGTATGCTTTATTTTTGATGCCTCGAAACTGAAAAAGAAATCCCAAGAAGCTGAAGAGGACACTAGTTTGGTTACATGTCTTACGGAAGGCATTTTCACTGATGAAGCACTTCAAACATGCCTTAACATGGCGAAGGAAGGAGCGCACACTGTCTACAATTTGATTCGTTTCACAATGGAACGAAAATCGACAACGCCAATTTTACCCATTTCCACACAACCTCAAAAGACGCAGCAAAACGTCACACCTTCAACTCCTGAAAAGAAAGGTGGTAGCTTCCTCAAGCCCAAAGACAAGTAAACTTTTTTAGAAATATTTTTTATTTGCAAAATTAAAATTCTTCTTCTTGCATCGATGCTGACTTGAAGGAATTTGCGTATTGGTAGAGACCAATGGTCTTCTTGCCACATGTTCCCATTTCGCATATTGTACACAGCTCTCCATCATGTTTAGGTAAATATGATGCTCCACAGTACGAGCAAGCGATTTTGTCACTGCCGGCATAGATTGGAGTGAGAGAAATGTTACACACTACAAATGGATTTCTGTCATCGTAATCCAAAGTAACTTCGTCTGTTGGATTCTTTTGCTTTTCATCAACAACGTATTGGGCCTGTTTTTGAATCTTCTCTGGAGGGCCTAACTTGAGCAATCTGTTTGCAAATGCTGCGGCTGTGTTAAAGTTTCGAAGCTTGAATGCAGCAGCCATTGCCGAGTTCAAACCAATCATGATATGAGTATTTTGCAATTTACATCTTGTAAAATAGGCAGCAAGTTCAGCTGCTTTCTTGGTATCTGAAGCTTGAATGTTCTTTCGTTGAATCTCCATTCTAAAAGCAATGACATATTCACAGCATGTGGAAAGTGTTTCTTTCACCTCTCTTTCATCCTTCTTTGTCAGAATTGGAATAAATAAAAGTTGTCGCATAATCTCACGAAGCATATCCACACCAGCTTGCATGGTATTTTGATTAGAGCAAGTCTTGAGTGCATCCTTAAGCTGCAATTGTAAATCAGAAAGAGAAGGTACGGCAAGCTTTGGAAGAGCAGTATCTTTTGTTCTTTCATTTTCATTTCTGCCCTTTTGAAGTGGAATGTAAATACTTGGTTGATTAGGGGTGGATGGCATCAATAGGTTGGAACCAGCATAGATGGAGAGGAAAAGTTCTTTGAGAGGAGCAAAGTTCTTGATACCGACAGCTTTTTGAAGAATTTCAATAGCTGACTCGAAGGATCCGGCAGCAATATGATCACCAGGGAATTGAGAGTTGAGTGGCCATAGATCTACAATGTTTCTTCCGGTATTTGGAGCAACAAAATTGGATGATGTTGTGAGTGAAACTTGAGCATCTGCTGGCATCTCAATAAGATCAAAAGCGTCAACGTTGATCTCTTCACCGGTTTCATCAAGTTCAGAGACTGCAGGTGCTTTCTTTGTTGGTTGTAGAGCACTTGGTTGACCATTAGTAGCTCCAGGAATTTCAATTCCTTCTCCGAATTGGTCGAATTGAGATTCATCCAATTCAGTAACTGCTTCTCCAACATCAGTATAGTCAACTTCTTGAGTGTGTAAAAGAGGCCAATTACCACCAGGAAGGATTGGAACTGGAGGAAGGAACAAGGATGGCTTGAAATCGAACTCAGGTTCTTTGAAATCTTCTGGAAGAGTGTTTCTAATTTCTTGTGCCAAACTCTCCAATCCGTGGTTCTTTGCAGTAATATATGCCAATGTTGTTTGTCCAACTTGCTGAAGGATTTTCACTCTTTCCTCTACATCACCCAAGAAAAGAGAGTTGTGGAATCTGGACATGATGTCTCCTCTGTTGTTGGCAATTTTTAGCATCTGTTTAAGATTATCCAAAGATCCGGTAACAGTATACAAGAAAGACAATCTCTCAATGTTCTTTGTTCTTCGGTAGGCCTTCTCAACTGCTGTAACATCTCCTTGGCTCAAAGCCTCTAGACCCAAGCTGTTCCAACACTCCTTCTTGTCCAATTTTTGGGCAACCTCAGAGGCAGTCTTGATGTCACCACACTCGAGAGCAAGATTAAACTTGGTAACCTCATCTTCAACAAATCTCAAGGCAATTTCTGGATAGCCCTTTTGTTGAAGGTAGGCAATAATTGAATCTCCAAGAATTTTTGATTCACCAATAATCTTCTTGATATCACCTGTTCGTCCTTGAGCCAATGCAAGTTTGAATCGATACTCTGTTGAATCTATTGTGATAACCTTCACAACACCTTCTCTGTCAATGATTGTTACGGCATTGTTTTCAACATGAGAAATATAAATAGGAAGCTCCAAAGTCTTAATAGTTCCGTAATCTCCAGTTGGTAAGCAGTATTTCATATGATTCAAGGTGGTATAAATGAAAACTCCGTCCTTGTCAAAAGCTCCGCTCTTAATACGAATAGTTTCCAAAACACTGCACAATGGATCCAGCTTACTATCACAAATGGTAATCATATGTTTACCGAGAAGTGCAACTTTGGTGTTATCGTCAGACCATACTGCAAATTTAACTCCAGCTGCATTTACACTGGATATAACTTTTTGTTGCTCCAAATCGTATAAATGAACTTTGTCATCAGTGGTCATAAGGAGTCTACCAGAAACAGCGGAAAAGATTCTCTTTACAGGACCAATAGTGAGATTAAGTTCTTTGGTTCTATCTGATTGTGTGCTATGAACGAAAACTTTCTTATCTTTTGGATCCAATGTTGCATATTTTTGCAATCCAACAAATGCAGCGAAGAGCGCCTTGCCTTTTCTAACAGGATTCTTTAGTTGAACTTCCTCCGAGGAAGATGAAGTTTTCTTAATTTCAAATAATTCATAGGTTCCTCCTTCATGATCAGAAGTAAGAATACAGAATGACATGGTTGGGTCAAAGTACATGTTTCTGCTTGCTCCTGGCCATGACTTTCTCAAAATTGCAGCAGGAGTATCTTTACCATTCTTGACTTCTCTCATATTCTTGTCTTTCATATAGTAGAGAACATTCTTTACACTTTGGTAAGCTGGTCTTTCTCTTTCCAGTTTGAAAACAATCAAGCCACCGTCGTGACCTGCAGCAATAAGATTTTGAGTTGGGTGAACATCTAAAATCCAAAATCTTTCGTATTCTCTCTTGTAACTTCTGATAAATTGAGATTTTGAAATATCATAAAATCGAAGTGTCTTATCTTCACTGGCAGATATTATCATGTCCTTCTTTTCGTGGAAAACTGCACATGAAACATTGTGAGTATGGCCAGAAAAAGTGTCGACAGCCCAAGCTCTTTGATCACTCACTTTCCAAGTTCTTACAGTTCTGTCATCCGAGGCAGAAACAATTAAATCCAACTTTGGATGGAAGACGGCATAGTTTACACCTCTATCATGCCCATCAAGAACATATTTGACCATGGCATCACCAGAGTTGAAAAACTCTTGATTTAATTGTGTAAACTTGAGAAATTCATCACCAGGGCTTGTTCCAACATTGGCATTCTTTTGTTTGAGAGCGGAAATGTCCCACACTCGCACCGATTGATCCAAGGAAGCTGAGACGACAAGGTCTTGTCTAGGATGGAAGGAAGCGCTCATGACATAGTGATTGTGTCCTGGCAAGACTGAGATGCAAGTACGTGATTGCCAGTTCCAAATACGAATTGTTTGGTCATCAGAAGCTGATATAATCCAAGGCTACGTATCATTGGTGTTTTATGAAAAGTGTTCGTGATGATGATGTTTTGTTGATGATGAGTTAATCAAATGATGGTGTCAAAAAGAATCATACGTATTGGGTTAGTAAGAAAATTCACAATACAATAAAGATAGTTACTTGTTCGCGATGAAATTCCACTGTTCTTACATAATCATAGTGTCCTGTAAGCGTGAATAAACATCTTCTTAATTTATAATTCCAAACTTTGATTTTATAATCATCACCACCGCTAACAAAAAGTGGCTGAGTGCTATGAAAATCTAATCCTCTCACAGGGCCTATCGTGTTTAAAGAATGTTCATCATTGTATCATTATTTCCAATGAATTGTTATCATCATGATACACCAACAAAATATATTGTATCCAATGTTGTATCGCACACATTCAAATTCTTACCTTCATGTTCGTGATACGAATCAATCATGGTACCCATTCTATAATCCCACAATTGAATAGCACCAGTGTGCAAACTGGCCAAAATCCATGATCTCTTCGGATGGAAACTCAAACCCTTGACTCTTTGGGACTTGGTTTCGAATTTGATGATCATTTTTTTCAAATGCTGAAAAATTCAATTTTCGTCATTGATGACGTGTTGTTTCGTTTCTTCTTTGACAATGAAACGAAAGGGATACAATAATAAAGAATGAAGATCTTGAAACCCTTAGAGATAAGATTATTCATGAGGAAAATCAACAATAAAGCAAAGAATTTCTCAATCTTGCTCACTTGTCATTAATCATCATTGAAAAAAATGATTTGCCATCAACAACTCCTCGCCTCCATGATGACACCAAAACCACGTGTCTTGCCGTCATCAACACCTCTTCTTGTCATCCTCTTGACAACCTTCCTCTTTGTTACGTCACTCCTTTGTCATCACTCTGTTGCAATTCCCTCCTATTACACAACCAAATCAACCACAGACGGCGAGCTTGTACAAATCAATTTACTCGAACGAGAAATTGAAGGTTTCTTTTCCACACTCAATCAGCATCCCAGCTATAAATTTGATACACTTCTCGATGAGTATTTTCCTGATTTGAAATACATCTCTCCTAATACAACAAAAATCGATGGTGATTCCGCTGCTTCCACAACCACCACTAAAATCCTAGTCAATAACCTTCATGTTCACATTCCTCACATTGGATATTCGGGTCCTGATATACCTAAAAATTTGCCACAACTCAAAATAGCCACCTTTGTCGGAAATGTTCGAGATTTACGAAATTTATTCGAAAAGGATTGGAAAAAGAATTTCAAATCTGTTCAAGTAGTTTTTTCTAAATCAGACATTATTTATATTCCAGATGAAGCTGAGAGGAATATGGATCTCATCCAATCACTCACCAGTAAAAGTCCTGAAAAGCATGCCACAATTTTTGAGAGTATGAATTTAGAGCCTGGTGTCGAACGCTTCTTTGTTGCATTCCGAAGAAAATACTTGATTGTTCACAAGAATCATTTGAGAATGTCTTCGGATGGAGTCACATTAATGTTGTGGGAAAAGAATACTCAACCTAACAGTAAGAAGAGACCCTATCTTGTGAGAATGTGGCATGAGGTCTATGATCGAGATTATTTTGTTTATTTGAATTATGGTGAAAGATTTCCAACTCCATATGAACATGAACCAGAGAGTCAATCTAAATTTTATCACGTTCTCACTCGTTTCTTTAATAACCATGAAGATGAGAGAGGAAATCCACGTCTCGGAGTGACTGAAGATATGAAAAGTGGTCACACTCCTGAACGTGTTCTCGCCAGACTATTCCCATTGACAGCAGAGGAAAATTCAAAACTTCATGAAATGAATAAGGTTGTGAGTCATAATGTTGAATTTGCATTCCCAATCAGTACTCATCCAGTGTTTGGATTAGAAGCTGCTAGAAAATTCTATTCAGCTCTCATTTCGAAAAATAATGTGGAGAGAGTGTTCATGTACTTGACAAGTCCAATCTTTTCATATAACAATGATTTTGCAGGTGCATCCGTGACATATCTCATCTATCCAAGCAAGACAATGAATGCTGAGAATATCGTTCCTGTCACTTGTAATGCCATCATTCACTTTTCAATTAATCACTTGAACAAGTTGACTCGATTCCATTCCTATTTTGATCTCAATGCTTGTATTAACAAATTGGCCACTGGAAGTGCTACAAGCAAATGGGTCACTGTAGAGTTGTAATTCCTACCTGTACGTACTAGATCATGTATGACATTAAATCTTAATATTTAAATCATCATCGGCCCAAGTGATCTTTGTGTGAGTAAAGATCCAACCTACCTCATAGCTAGGCTCGCCTAGAAATCATTGTAAATAGCAGCGGGAAGGTGGTTTACAGTTCCTCAAACAGCATTTAATCGCACCAATTGCTATGAATTGACTAGCTGATCAATTTAAAAAAATTACCTTAATTCTTGACCTGTAACACATAATCATGGGAAAGCAAAAGCAGAAGGAATCTCAAGCAGAGGAAGAGGAAGAGGAAAATCAAGAGGAAGAAACCACCACTGGCTCTCATGAAGATGAAGATCAAAGCTGGAACATGATTGATAAGCTTCAAGATGTAGGAATTGGAGCTGCCGATATTAAGAAAGTAAGTGTTGTTAATGCTATAGTACCAATTATAGTAAACCACTATTCAAGTTGAAAGAAGCTGGTATTTACACGGTAGAGTCCATCATGATGAGAACTAAAAAGAAATTGTGTTCCATCAAAGGCTTGAGTGAGGCTAAAGTAGACAAGATTTTGGAAGCAACCTCAAAGATTAGCTTCTCTGGATTTGTATCTGGAAATGATTTCATGGCTCGCCGCAAGAAGGTTATTCGTATCACGACAGGCTCCTCCACTCTGGACACTCTATTAGGTGGAGGAATTGAAACCATGTCCATTACGGAGGTATTTGGAGAGTTTAGAACGGGTAAGACCAAATGTGTCATACGCTTTGTGTTACTGCACAATTACCAAAAGCACAAGGTGGAGGATCAGGTAAAGTCGCTGTGATTGACTCTGAGGGTACTTTCAGACCAGAACGTATTGGACCCATCGCTGAACGGTTTGGAATGAATGCTGAGGATGCTCTCTCGAACATTTTAGTGGCCCGAGCTTACACGAGTGATCATCAAATGCAATTGTTGCCTCAACTCACTGCCAAATTTGCTGAAGATACGTATCGAGTCCTGATTGTGGATTCAGTGACTGCCTTGTTCAGAGTGGATTATTGTGGCAGAGGAGAATTGAGTGAAAGACAACAAAAACTTGGACAGTACTTGTCCAGTTTGATGAAGTTAGCAGAGGAGTTTAATGTCGCTGTCTTTATTACGAATCAGGTTCAAGCAGATCCGTCTGGAGCGAGCATGTTTACTGCAGATCCAAAGAAACCTGTGGGAGGACATATTCTTGGACATGCCAGTACTACTCGCTTATATTTGAGAAAAGGTAGAGCTGAGCAGAGAATTTGCAAAATTTATGATTCTCCTTCTCTTCCCGAAGCCGAGGCTATCTATCAGATATCCAACGAAGGTATTAAGGATGCAGAAAGTTAAGGGTTGAGATCGTATTGCATGTACTGATCATGGTTGAGTGAGAGCCAATAAAAGCGTGAGTGGATCGTAAGCCTTTGGCTTGCTGAACTTTAAATTCACCAATCAAAAAATGATGACACCACAAAAATCAAATACTATCGTTGTTCTGGACCTTGGACGGAGCAAACAAGTCTTGTCAACATCTCGTACCATCAGTGATTTCTTTAACGGATCCTGGAAAAGCTGGATCGGAACCTTTGTTGCCCATCAAGATCAACACAAACGTATTCTTGAGCGTGGTCTGATTCAACGATATGGAAACGTTCTTGCATAGTATCTTATTCAAAGAGTTACAAGTGGCACCCGAAGAGCATCAAGTTCTACTCTCTTCATGCCTCAATCGGATAGAGAAACCATGTTGGCCGTCATGTTCGAGACATTCATGGTACAGGCTCTCAATTTCACTCCACCCGGTATTGTCTGCTTATTCGTATGGTGCGCTTAATGGCTGTGTGTTGGAATCTGGAGCTGCTGTCTCGAGTTGTGTTCCAATTTTCGAGGGCAAGATGGTGAAGGATGCTTCCGAGAGAATGTGACGGATATGCTTTTCAAAATTCTTATCAGTGAAAAGGGGTATATGTATGACCATTCAGATTTACGTTGTTGTGTGAAAGACATGAAAGAAAAGCCATGTTTTGTGGTTTTAGATTATGTAAATGCTTTAAAGAATGCATCTCTCAAACTCTGGAAAAATCCTATGAATTACCAGACGCAAGCATTATTACTCTCACGAAGGAAAGATTTAAGGCTCCCGAATCTGTGCTATTTCAACCCTCCTTAGATGATGCCTTATTTGAATGCATTGCCAAGTGTGAGAAAAATTCATGGAGTGGTCGTTTATGTGGAAATATTGTGCTTGGAGGAGGAAATACAATGTTTGAGGCTTGAGTGAGAGACTTGAACAGGAGTTGTCAACATACTCCAAATCAGAAATTGCAGGGACGTAATATCAAATCACTGCTGGGTCTCATCGAACATAATCAGTATGGATTGGAGGATCGATCTTGGAAGATTTGTCTTCACGTGGGTGCTTGTGGATTTGTCAGAATGATTATGAAGATGTTGGATAGACCTTTCACCAAAAATAAATTCCTGTAATGAATTCTAGAAACAAAGCATCCATGGAAGAATCAACCAATCATCATAAATATCTACTCTGGAAATGAATTTCAATGAAAGGCTGTATCAAAAATCAGCAAACACACGGCGAAAATAATTCCCAAATATACGACCAAATTTCCGAAAATACCATGGGTGAAAATACTCACTCTTCTTGTTTTGGTACAGAAGAGAGTAATCCATTGACATACTACCACTCCTAAAAAGTAGGCAGTTTGTGCCGTATTCAAAATATTCAATTGGAGGCTTGGTGAAATATAGAGGCTGTTTCCGTGATGAACAAGTCCGTCTTGGTATCAGAACTAAAGTATCCATTCTTAGCGGCCCACCAAAGATATTTTGGAGGAATTCCATAATGTGCAAATACAAAGAAATAATTCATGAAACATGCCTTCGTTTCAATCATGCCCATTTGAAGATAAGAAGACGAAAGTACTGGTGCTCCAACAAGAGAATCATGTCTGGAACGAGGAGGTACATGCATGATATCACTTTCTGCATTTTCAAAGGCAAGTGAAACAGCAGCCACAAGTTCCTGAAATATTCATGGCAACACCAATATCTGCCTTCTTCAGTGCAGGAGAATCGTTCGTTCCATCGCCAGTAACTGCAACGCAATGGCCTAGCTCTTGGAATTTGCTAACAATCAACAACTTTTGTTGAGGAGAAGTTCTTGAAAAGACAATTTGCTTCTTTTTCAGAATTTGCGACCAATCTTTGTCAGACAATTTGTCAATTTCCTCCCCATGGAGAACAACGGCGTCTGTTCGTGAATAAGGAATTTCCTTGATATTCTTCAAATCCAAACCTTCCTCCTCGGCTATATCCTCAATAGTTTTTGCATTGTTTTCAATAATTCCAACTTGTTTAGCAATTGCCTTTGCCGTTGCTGGATGGTCACCAGTCACCATCACAACTTGAATACCCGCAGTTTTGCATTTGTGAATTGCCTCAGTAACACCAACCTTTGGTGGATCGGACAAACCACAGATACCCAAAAACACAAGGCCTTCTAATTGCAAGGCGAATGGATTCTGAAAATTGAACACGCCCATGTATGTTATTTTACATGTATGTTAACCTTTCAATGTTCATACTACTACTTACATCATTTTCTTGTTGCTCCTTTCCCTGTTGCACAACATGTTCGTCAACTAAGGCTTGTGCAAATCCCAAAACTCTCTCTCCCTTAGAGGCCATAAAGTTGTAGGCATCCTGAAAAGCATCTTTCCAAGTGTCATCCATTGGGAGAGTCTTTCCATTCACTTGAATGTATGAACATCTTTGAAAGACTCGTTCAGGAGCACCTTTCATGAGCAATGTCACTTTACCATCGTTTGATTGTTGTTGATTATTTTTCACAACGGATATCATGTATTTGTTTTTGGAATTGAATGGCAAAGCAAAAATCTCTGTGAATTCTTGTCGAATCTCTTTCAAAGTAGCACAGTCATTTCGGGTTTCAACAAATTTCACAAGAGCAGCTTCTGAAGCATCACCTTTACATTCTCTATCAAGAATTGGTTTTCTCATGTTTGTATCATCATTCAAAAGGTAGGCAGTCGAGCATAGAGCAGCACAACGAGTCAACTTTTCATACGTGCTAAGCTGTTCTTCAGATTCCTTGGAAAAGGTCTTGAGAGGAGTATCAGTGAGTTTGTTCATCATGAGCCGGTTTGGATATTGAATATTTTGCATGATATTATCATACCACATTTCAACAAGTGTCATACGATTTTGAGTGATGGTCCCTGTCTTATCAGAACAAATGACTGAAGTACTTCCCAAAGTCTCTACGTGCTCCAGTTTTTTAACCAATACATTGACAGCCTTAAGTCTAGAAGCAGAGACAGTGAGACAAGCTGTAACGGTCGCAATAAGACCTTGAGGAATGTTTGCTGTAATGATACCAATGGCAAAGATGAAATTTTGGAACCATGAATTTCCAATGATGAATCCTAACACAAAGAACATGAGAGCCATACCAAATGCAAGAATACCAATTTTTCTAACAAATGAATCAATTTCTCTTCTCAATGGAGCTTTCAAGGTAATAGTAGAGCCTGCCAAGAGAGCAATTTGACCAATGACCGACTGATTACCACATCGAATAACAATTCCATAACCACTTCCTTCAATTACTAAAGTACCATAGAACACAAGATTGCTAGTTTCTAAAGGATTTTTGGATGACATTTCCACACTTCTTAGTTGAGGTTCAGCTTCACCAGTGAGAGACGAGTTATCAAGTTTTAAAGCAGAGCATTGAAGCACTCTCATATCCGCTGGAATTTTGTCACCTGCCTCAATTTTGACAATATCACCCAATACCAGCTGTTCACATGGCAATTTAAGAGTAATACCATCTCTCAAAACCCAACTACTTTCGCTTTGCATTTGCATAAAGCTCTCTAGAATTTTCTCACTAGAACGTTCTTGCCATAGAGTGACCGTGGCGTTAAAGATGACGACAAGCCAAAGAATAGCCCCCAAGAACAAGTTGGGCAAGGAATCAGTGGTTCTCTCAATGGCTACATCAATGAAACTCAACAAGCCAGCAACGATGAGTAATAATGAGAACAAGGATGTCAGCTGTTCAATCACCTTGAAGATGAATGGCCTCTTTTTTGGAGGGGACAGCGCATTAGGACCATTCATGCGAAGTCTCTCTTCAGCAACCTCACTTGTAAGACCCTATAACAATATAAAGTGACATGCAAATTGTGAACTACTTACTTGAGACTTGTCAGGATGCTCCACATTGAAATGTGAGCCATAACTTTGGCATACCTTCTCGACACTCATTTCATGTTCTGAAATATCAATAGCTTTTGACTTGGCTTTTTGAAGAAACTTGTTTGCCTTCTTTGGATTCGATTCCTGTCCATTCGTTACTGCACCTGGTTGGTTTCATTCTTTACAGCTTCTTGGACAATATCAATGGATTGTCTTGATTCTTCAAACAAGCGAGGTATTTCTAATGACTTTCTCGGAGTTGAACCTACAGTAGTGGTTTGTTTTTCTTCTGGTACCTCAGAAGTAGTAGTGGATGTGTTGCATGTATGAGGATTTGTCTCAAGTGGAATTTCCACTAGAAGAGATGAGTGGTCCTTCATTTGGTGACAGAAACGGTGCAGGACCTGCTCGTGTTAATGTGAGTTGTTATTTTTCGTGTAAATTGCATCGTTGGTTGGCTTCCATGATCCTTTAACTCTCAACTGGTGATTCAATAATTAACAATTTTAATGTTTTTTCGTTAATCTGTTTTGGGCATGGGCCTCGTTCTAGAACTTGTTCCACTTTTGCTGATAACATGTGAACTCAAATCGCACATCTTTAAAAAGTCATTCGACTTGTATTTGTTCGTTAGAAAACTTTTTTTTGGAATAACATTTTATTTTGAAACGAACACTTGCAGTGACAAGGAGCAGTTCTTCTTGGACGAATCCAAAGAAAATATGAAATCCTTTTGCATCAACCCTTCACAGCATGGAAGTGTAACGGCAATAGTTGGTTGCCTATTCTTCTTCTGTTTATTCTCATTTCATTCTTTGCTGCGCTCACCAACGGACATGTGGCGCTCCTTCAAGAAACCTCTAATGTAAGTATCAGATTCAGTTTGTGGCATGCGAATGAATATTCATGTTGGTGTGCACATTGAATCAGTCTACAACATCCTATGCAACCACGTCGGATGTGAAAACTCTTTCCTATCAAGTCTCTGTTTTGCAAGTCGTTGTTGTTATCAACTCGGTACTCATTGGTTTCATATTGTTATTAGCTCTTGTGTTGGTGGCCACGAATTGCCGAGAAGATTATAAAACTCTTGCTTCAGAAGTATTGGAGGGATATGAAGATCCACTATGGCTGAAATTCTTTCATCTTGTGAACACATTGACCTATCTGATGTTGTGTCAATGTTGTTGTCCAACCCATATGAAAAGAAAGATGCAAGTATTTCGAGTTTTCAATGAGGAAGAATGGAGAAGATGGCATCATAACGATTTGAAAATGCAACGAGGTTTAATTTCAGAGGATGACAACCACGACGGTCAATTAGTCATGCCCAATCCAACCACTGTGAATTCTCAATCATCCCTTTAATAAACAGACAATCTCTTTTGGCTGGTAACAAACCAACGACATTGATATTTGTCTCGGTTAAGATTAATAACGATGGTTTTTGAACAAGTGTATTTCAATCATAACATGTGCAACAGCTGGGCACTGTCACTACAAAATAGAAGTACATGACCAAAAAAGTGGTTTCATTTGTTTTAGCACCGTACACTTTTGGATGTATCAATTCATCTTTCTATTCTTTCTGTATGCATTGGTGTGCGGGTTCTTTATGGCATACATGAGTATTGGTTCTGAATTAATGCCTTTCACGTTCATTGTGTTTAAAGAACGAAATGCAACAGCCATTCCATTACCTGTACCAACGAGAGATTATTTTGGTTCTATGAATAGTACTGGTATTGCCAATACAACCACTGATGCGTCTTCATTGTTTTTAGTTTGAATGAATACAGTGATGGAATTATCTTTTGAAAGATGGAGCTTCAAATTACCTTAATATACCTTATTCTGACCTTTTGAAAAAAAAGATACAAAAATTCTACAAGATCGTCCTCAAGAAGTTATGCACAAACTCTCAACTACCACAATAAAAATACGTCCTTTCCGATCACGACATGTATTTATTTACTTTCATCTTGTACACTTGGATGATCTGATTGCAAGCCTTCATTTCTCTTCTTTGAAAAAAACAAAAACACTAAACCTAAATTGGCCACGACCCAAGTCCAGAAATACCATCCGTATTGATGGATCACTTGTCCCAACACTTTCCAAGTCTTGAACATCCAAGTCAAGTGTGCAATTCCTCTTCTACGACTCTTCACGATATGAAAGACTTCCAAAAGAATTTGAGCAATTCTTCGGATGACTTCTGGATTCTTAGGCGAATTATTTTGATGGTGTTCTCCTGAAATTACATAGGTATGATAACCGAATCCGTCTAATTTTTCAATTTCCTCTTGAAGGACCGTTCGATTGGTTTCAACACCCATAGTAAATACAATAATGACGGAATTTGGAGATGATGAAACAGATTGAGGTTACTTTCAATATTGTCTTTGTGTTTCTCAATTTGATTACAAGGAATCATGTAAATGATTACATCCGCAAGCTCCTCCCTTCTATTCTTATACTTGTTCAAACATGTATAGGGATTCACTGAACATTCACTCACAATATCATCTCCCACTGTAATCTTTTGTTTTGCCAAATACTCAACATATTGAGGACCTTATCGATGGCTCCAGTGTCATGTCCCGGTGGATCTTGAACTTCCAAGCACAATGGAATATCAGCAAATTTACCAGATTCCCATAATGAATAACGATGGACAGCAAGAGTCGAATGATCCTTCTTCCGTTGAGCACCTGCATCACTGACCAGTTTGATTCGATTCATGGAAGGATAAATCGATGTAAACTCTCCCAATTCATTGATGAAGGTGGATTTTCCCCATCCTGAAACGCCCATCATGGTCATTCGTATGGGTTCCCATCCTAATAGAGCCAAATCAGAAGAGAATGTTCCCATAAAGTGGTTGGCCCAAAGAGGCATCTCGTAAAAATAACTAATTCCATTGCGTGAAATGGTGTCGTCATAAATATCAATTCTGAATTTAAGTTTTGAAGGAAACTCTTTAAAAGAATGGCACATGGGGTTTTCAGAATGGAATGGAAGTTCAACCTTAATTGGATCAGCATACACCATCGTTTTAGATACATAGAGACTTCTTTTAACTGTGTGTGTTAAAAAGCAAGGTCCGTTGTTCATGAACAAGATTTCTATATTAGTCAAGTAATATTTAAGCACTGTATCTCTATCAACAATATCCAGTTTAAAATCAAAGATAAAATGTTGCAGGGATTCACGAACATTATTGCTCCAAATTGGCTCAGATACTTTCAGAGTCGGATGGTTTTTTGCCAGGATCGTTGGAAATTGTCCTTTGGTCACTATCTGACTTGGATAAAACTTGTTATCAATGACCAGATTGTAGTCTGGTTGGAACAATTGTTTCACTTCATAGTAAGCGCTTGCAAACCAAAACAAAAATACTAAACATGAGAGGATGAACGCGTATCGAAATACACGTCTTGCTTTGGCCATTCATTAATGTTTATCTTACCAATAGAGGTTATCAACAATGTTGTTCCTTTAACGCAGAGCGTCAAGAGGGTAAGAAGACATAGTAACATAATTTGAACAAATTCTTGAATCATGTTCAACCATGAAGATGTTTTTACAGCACCGGAAGAACGTCATCAGAAGAGAATGATTTTTCTACAGTTGCAACAGACGATGGCTCTATGGCAGCGTCTTGAGATGGAACTTGAGATGTGACCGAGTCAACCTCAAGGGATTCAACAGAAGTAATACAAGTATTTACAGTATCGTTATTGCACTCATGAGAAGTGTCTATTGTCATTTTGCAACTTTTTTTAGGATGGAAAATAATTTTTTGACTGTCAAGAATTCTTGTGAGAATGACCAAAGTCCATAAAAGGTCTGTAAACAGTGTAACACGCACATTTAACGCTCTGTTTAAGATTTTTGAATATTATTGGAAAGAACCCGTCTTCAGTTGATTTCACCGTTCACCTAATAAATCCCAAAAAATGGCAACAAACGATGAAATCCCATCGAGGTCCATTTTGAGGACAGCAACACAGCAAAAAGACCCTCCTCGACACGGCCAGCGGACAATGATGATGTGGAAGATACTCAATCTCTTGAATCTCAAAGTAAGAAATTAAAAAAAACAATGGATCAAGACATGAACGGTGCAAGCACTTCCATGGCATCGGAAATCAATACCCATGATCAGGGCAATAATAATAATAATTTTAACAACTAGTCCGGGAAGAGAAATATTTGATGAAAATGGTAAACATGATGGATCCACCAAAGATGAAAATATCAAGAAATCTGAAAACTATTCCTGCAACAACAACAACAACACCAGGAAATCCAAACATTGTACATGTATACCTTTACAAGAAAGATGAAAAACATGGGATCTTCGACTTCAAAAAGCACTCCTTAAAGAACTTATTCCTCCACCTCCATCACCCTATCTTCAATATTTCATGTTATTTCTGTTATTACTTTGTTCTGGAATTTTAGTGTTTCAATTTGTCTATCTACCACTTGCCTCTGAATTTCATTTAGAACAAGCATCATTGAAAATCATCAAGAATCCTCAAAATGAATTGAACAATGATACGGTACAGCAACAGCAACAACAACCACAACCACAACTTGATGAAAAGAATAATTCAAAATCAATAGAAAAACCTATTCCCATTGTTGAAATCAACTGTCAAATTGCATTCATTTCACAAGTACAAAAATATGTCAATCACGAATATTTGCAGAAAAAGTTCTCCAAACATGTACGTTCCTTGCAAAATGAGAAGATATCCCTATCCTTCTCGAAATTATCTTCTTTTGAAGAGTTGAATTCCAATACGACTGATTATTTTCTATTCATCACAACAGATTCGAGAACAGAAGCAAGTGATGCAAAAGGATATCTTGAAAGAAATGTCATTCCTCGCATTCAAGAACATTTTGACATTACTAAAAGTTCGATCATTTATACCACTTCAGATTCACAGCTCATTAGTAAGATTCCCAATCTTCCCTTGAAGAATTATTACGTGCAATGGACGAGTGATGTTGATAAGGTTGGAAAACAAGGAGAAGAACCTTTGAAAGAGATGACGAATGATTTTGTGAAATCATGTCGAGAGAATCGACAACGAGCGATTCAAGAATCAAGTCACAAGAAAACAACTCCTTTTCGAAAAAACAAATATTCAAAAACCTCTCGTGGTGGCAATTCCAAAAGCAAAAGAAGAAATGGAGGTGGATGATTGGAGCAACTACGTGAACCTTGTGTAAACTCAACGGAAAGGATGAAAATAAAGTCCAATTTACTTTTTACAACAAGATCAACATGAACAACCACATGACATTAGCCATCGTCATTGTGAGCATGATCATTCCATATTGATTCCACACTTCACTGAATACTTTTTTCACAATCACTTTCCAAGTTTGTAAGACTCCTCTTTTGCTTTGAACCAAATCAAAGACCTCCCTTAGAATTTGTGCGACTCGACGAATGACTTCAGGACTCTTTGGAGCATTGAGTTCATAATGTTCATTGGAAATTACAACCGAATGATAATTGTATCCTTGTAATTTGTTAATTTCATCATGAATCACTGAAAGTTTACGTTCTTCTCCAGTAGTCACCACGAGAATGACTGGAATTTGAAGTTTGTGAAAGTATTGCAAATTAGGTGTAATGCTCTCTTTCGACTTTTCAATCATACCAAAGGGTATCATGTACACAATGACATCTGGCAGTTGTTCTGGATGATGTTCATACTTTTTCAAGCATGAATGTGGATTCAATGTACATTCCGTAATAATATCCTCATCGGGTGTAATCTTTTGTTTCACTAAATACTCTATATATTGAGGAACCTTATCCATCACTCCAACATTGGATCCAGGTGGATCTTGAACACAAACACTTAATGGAAGTTTTGCAAATTTTCCTTCTTGCCACAAACAAAATCGACGAACCATTCGAGTGGCGTGATCATTCTGAACTCCAAGACCAACATCTGAAACGAGTTGAATGCGATGATCATCAATGGAAGTAAAATCTCCCAATTCATTCACAAACGTGGATTTTCCCCATTTTGGATTTCCAATCACGGCAATTCGAATAGGTTCCCATCCAAGTCGAGACATGGCCATTTGATAACTACCCATAAAATGATTGGCCCATATTGGATAGTGATACTTGTAGACCACTCGATTCTTTTCTGAATCCTCGAGAGCAATATGGAAGTGAAGATGGGATGGAAGAGTTTTAAAGTTGGAACATTCATGGTTTCCTGAATTGAAGGGAAGATCCACTTTCAAATGGTTGAGAAAGAGTTCCTTACCATCCTTAGATATGGTGAAATGAGAATGGGAGCTGTTGTCGACCATGATTGTGTGATTGAAGAAACAAGGTCCATTATTGACAAATGACAGCTGCACAAGTGAGAAGGGTAGAACTTTGGATGGATCTTTGTCTCTAAGTTTTAAATGATCCAAATGAATTGAAAAATCAAACACCATGGTCTGGAATGAATTTTTCACACTATTATTCAAGGTTCAGAAATTTCCAGTTTTGGTTGATTAAAATTCTTGACCGAGGTATAAATTCCTTCTCCAACAATTTTCGAAGGAAAATCATTGGTTTTTACCCATTCATGTTGATAATTGGCAGAAACATTATAAATTTGGTTCAATGAAAGATATACTGTCATGCAACTATACAAAACATAGAACAGTGAAATTGAATGAATCAACCAAAGCGATCGAGAGGAAGTGTATACTTGTTTCAATTTGGAAAATCTCGACAGTTGATCATCATTGAACAATGGATTGGAAGGATTGTTATTCACTCCTAATGCTGATGAATCTTGTTGGGTGTGTGGTGGCGGATCAATCGAGTCATGAACACTCAAGTTGGAATTTAGGATGGTATTCAACTTGGGAATTTCTTCGGTCATGTTGTCTTGGACATGATTCTGGTCACAGATCACAAGAGTGTTGTTGGATTCAGGTGCATTGTCAAGAGTGGTGGTGCCTTGTGGGCTCGACGGTTCCATGTTCTTCTCAGATTTGTCAACGGCCATAATGTTGCATCAAGATGTTGTTTTTTCGTTGAGAGAATAATTTGATTGCAATCGAAGGTTTTAAGAGGGTGGTCCACTGAAAACACGTGTTTGTCGAGTATGACGTCTTTGTTCTCGTCATGACCTTTGTATTAAAAACCAAAAAAGGATCATTTCTTTAAAAACCTTACTAGATCTTTATTGTCTGATCCAACCAATTCATTGAACAAAAGTTGTGTAAAATCGTTTTGAAAAAAAATAAGAACAGTTAAAATGAAATCAACATTGGCACCGGAATTGAAACCGCAACAAGAAAATTGAAATGAATAATCAATTTCATATATCGAATGGCATGTGTTTTGATTACAACTTACCACACGATATATCGGATCATCATTCAAGGCTTTCGTTAGAGGAACAACCAAATAAATTTTGGAGAGTTGATCATATTATTAGGAATAGCTCGGATAGTAGTAGTAATAATAATTTATCAACAACAAGAACAGAAGACAATACTTCTAAAATAGTTGTTGTCGACGTATTGGAAAATGATTATCATTCAAAACTTGTTGAAACAATTGGAATTTCCGAAACTCAATCTGAATACAATAAGATGAATCAAGATATATGTTTTCAGCTGAAAGGAATATTGAATGGTAATGAAACTGATGACATTGAGAATTTGTTAAACAAACACCAGTTCAAAAACATTGCTGATGAATATCCCACTGAATATAGAAATTGTCAACGGTTGTTGATGAGAAGCAAACAGTTGGCCCATGTTTTATGGGAGAGAATTAAGCCACATTTTACAAAGACTGATTTAAAGAATATGAGACCATATGGGTTTGACAATAATGGAACGTGGGTACCAATTGGATTGAATGATTGTTTCAGAGTGACTAAATATGAGAAAGGAGATTATTTCAAGCCGCATATGGACGGCCAATTTATTAAGAACGACAATGAGAAGAGTATTTTAACTGTATTGATTTATCTTTCCTTCCATGGTGGAGAGGGAGGAGCAACAAAATTCTTCAAACTTTTATCAAAGGAGAGAACACGATTGACTCTACAAGAAGTGGTTTCTGTGACTCCGGTTGCACATGATTGTTTAATATTCAATCATGATCTCTATCACAGTGGTAAGTGTTTGTTGAAAAAAGCGTCAAATGAACTCAGCAACGCCACAGGAGAGACAGTTATATCTGGAAGAAAGTACATTTTAAGAACAGAAATTATGTTTAAAAGAGTAGATGCCGAAAGTATTCTCAAATCCAATTATGAACAATCAGAAGAATACCAACAAGCGAAAAAACTAGTTGATGAAAGTAACATGCTTGAAAAACAAGGTAAAGTTAAAGAAGCAACAGAAAAATATTTAGAATCTCAAGAAATACAAGTGAAGCATTCTACAAAGCTCTTTATGGAAAGAAAAAATCGGAAAATGAGTGAAATTGAGAAAATTCTTCCTGAAGAAATTTTTGTCACAATATTCAGCTATTTGACTCCCTTAGAAATTTGTAGAACTGTTATTCCTCTCAACACTTCAATTAATTACTATGCACGAAGTCAGATTTTGTGGAAAACAACTATTTCATAACATGGAAATCACATGATAGAGAAAGTATTAACACTGACAACAAAGATAACCCATTCAGACATCTTGGAGCGCTATCAAGTGTTGAAAAATCAATTATTGTCGAAGAACTCAAATCTAAACAGAAAAATTATGCTGCAAAAGAAGGTGCGAATTTTGATACTATTGATTGGTATAATTGTTTCATGACAAGAAAGAATTTCGAGAATGATTTTTGTGCCATTCTTTTTGATCCTGGTACTTCATTGATCAAATATGGTTTAATGAGTGATTCCAATTTTACTATCGAGAAAACTATTTGTGTGAAACCTTTTCATGTGCAGTAAGTTGTATGGTGGATGGATCGACTTTGAAAATATTTGCAACAACCATGACATGATTTACTTGGAACGTATACATGCACACACACATATTAGCTTTAACATTTCTGGTCGTGGGCTTGATGACATTGTTGTTGGATGGCATGATTGTTACAATTACAATTTCTGTCGTCCATTGCCTCTCATAACATCCTCAGGAGGTGTTCAACACCAAACAGTTTCCTATCTCATTCATCAAACTATACAACAAGCGTTCGGAAAAGACTCTATACGAAAGCATCCTCTTTTAATTGCAACTCCATATTTCTGGAGCAAAGATGATGAAATCAAGATTACTGACATTTTGGTAAGTAGTTGCAATGTTATAATACAAATAGCTAACAAGACTCTTGAAATCCAGTTCGATATTGGAATACCAGCAATTTGTATGGTTCCTTATTATGAACTACTCTTCTTATATTATCAAATGGAGAATTGTTTGATTGTGGACATGTCACGCTCTGGATTGTACTGTTTTGCAATGTATAACGGGAAAATTGTGAAAAATTGTGAAAATGGAGTCTTGTTTGAGGAAGATCCCAACGATAAGAACAAAGCATTACACGATGCTGGAAAAAACATGTTAAATGTACTTCAAATACTACCTGTGGACCAAAACAGTCATTTATGGCAGGAGCTTGCGTCACAAGTGGAAGATGTTTATTCATATGGAAAAGAAGTGGATGGTGAGAGTCGTTGTGTGCTCGGAGAAAATTTGTATACCTTTGTGATTCATCTTGTACTGTCAGCTCTCGATTCATGTCCACAAGAATGTCAAGTCGACATGAAAAACAAATTACTTCAAAATATTATAGTAAGAGGAGGCTTGAGTCTTGTGAATGGTCTTATTCCAAGACTAGAAAATGATTTGAAAAAACAATTTGGAACGTATTGCGACAAGATTAATATTTCTCTCAAATATGATCCTTTGGACACTATGGGAGGTGCTAAAATTTATGCCAATTTGAGCTCCTTCAAAGAGAAGTGTATTTTCAATGTGTAATGAGTGTGATCAGCAAGCAAATGGATATTTATATATGCATGCAACGAGTGTACAAGTTTTATTTCTCTAATAGCGTACCGTGACTCATACTTTTTCTGTAACAATGAATCATGTATTCTACAACGTCAGAATCTTCCAAAACCAGTACGACATCCAATTTGAATAAATCATCATAGCTTACTTCCTTCTTCGTGACAGGATCCAGAAAATATGTCAGTCTCTCATTTTCAAATTCCTCCCTCAACACGTTCAGAAGGTGTGAAGTTTTTCGGAAAATGTGTAAATTCAAACGTCGGTAATCGTCTCTCCTGACAAATTTAACAGACTTGTCACGTAAACTTGCGGAGATCGCAAACTCCAGGAAACTCTAGATTGTGGACGTTCTTTGGGTAATTGGAAATCAGAGTGCTCTGAAAACTCTAATGACTTGAACATGGTTTTTGGGTACTTTGATGTTTTTGATGTGTTGTTGAGGTTTTTTTTCAAATTGCTTAATTTTGACTCCATTCTTTGAATATCTCTCATTGACTTTATATCTCTCTTTGAATGCACGTCATGTAAGGAGAAAGGTGATTTCTTGCAAGTAGGTCTTTGGATGGTATTTCTGTTTTACTTTTATGTCAGAGATAAGAATATTACAATTCCCACATATACGCTTGTATCTGCATCTTTTCGCATACTACTACTTCAATAGTTTTCCTCACGCTCATATACCTGAAGGTCATGTCAAAAGTTGCCTCTGTTTTAGGAAACGGAACATTCTAGAAGCAAACAACAACAACAACAACAGATTTCATACGAAGCAATGGTGTTTCCTCCATAACTGTATTCATTCATGATGGTCGGTATGTTGTCGCTCAATATTGTAACATCCAACTCTCTCGCAATAATACCATAGGAATCATCCATGTAATGATCATTTCAATTAGGTCTTCACATCACCTCTTCCAGTTGATGCCTCATTGTTTGATGGAATCATTTCCCTCAAATGAGTTAGGCCTTAATGTAAAAATGAATTCCTCAACAAAAAAAAAACTTCAAATGATGGCTGTACAACAACCTCGTTATCAACAACAACAACAACAACATCGGAGAAGATCGTTACGAATTCCACTCATCCAATCAAGGGCAAAGAAGTGGGACCGGTGCATGCAACGTCGTTTTGAGAAGGCCAAATGTTTGTATCCCAAGAAATTCCCTGTCCATTTGTATCCAAACTGCGATTGGGAGAAGAGAACAAGGAACAAGCTGCCAGATCTTGTGGCAGAACTGATCAGAGAAAAATCACCTCAATGCTCAACAAGTGAAAAGATGTCCAAGCTTGCACACAACAACAATGGCTTGCAACCAAGATTGGAACCATGTCAAGCACCGACAAAGAGTCTCTATTCCAATGACCGTCCACCAATACATGATTATGATCCTGGTTATGAAGTAGACAATGAGTATGAGGAGGAGCTTGTGTGTTGTTATGAACAAGATGAGTCAAAGCATGATTGCCACTCGTATCACTTCTCAAATCAGTTGAATGTTCTAAATCATCCATATGTCATTGAACGCTTTAAGGTGAGAGTGTTTTACTCATAAAGATGTTATATAACATCTTGGCACTAGATACATTTTCAATGTAATATTCCTACGAGCACATTGTAACTAGATGATCGATCCAAAGTAAACATCCATTGCTGTTTGTTGAAAATAGTATTTCTCTTATTGAAAAGGTCCAGGTTTGAAGAATAATGGTTTCACCTTCTTCTTGTACTTGTGATGCAATGGTTCACTGACTTCATCAAACAAATCGTCCACAAAGCAAGATAATTGTCGAATACTAGATCCATCTCCAAAATCCTTAACAGTCTTCCACTTGCAATCTCGATCAATACTAAAGGATATGGATTCTCCTGATTGCAAAAATTCCTGAATTGGAGTATGACCAAATACTCTGCGAAACATTTGATCTTCCTCAGTCTTGCAATCTGAAGAGAGTTTGAGAATGGGTGTAAGAATCTTGTTCATGTCAAGGAACCTGTCATCCTCTTCATCTTCGTCTTCGTCGCTGTCTGGAAGATCATTCTCATCTCTGATCCATTCGTCTTGTGTAACAAAAGGCAAGCGTCCAAATAGTGAGTGAGGTTCGCCTTGTGAAAATGGAGCATGAATATGCTGAGATAATATATCAAACAAATCATCTTCATCAACTCCTCGAATGGCATCACCATACTTTTTGTAGTCGCTTGTAAAATAACAATCAGAAACAGCTGGCAATGACAATGCTTCATAGAATTTGATACGAAATGCGTTCTTTTCTTTTCCACTCTCACATCGTTTTAGTTTATCCATTGGACCGTCGTAATGCAAAATGATACCATGTGGTGATTCAATGCTGGTATGGCAAAAGAAGTATAGAATACCGCTCTTAGGAAAGATGTTCTTCAACAAGTTGTTACTTGCTTGGTAGGATAGACCAAAAATCTCATGCACACATTCATTCAAATTCAATTGTAACAGTAATCCCATTTGGGAAATTTTGCCAGCAATCTCCTTAACCTCTGTACCCTCTTGTGTGGTTGGTAAATCAGCTGTTCCTCCCATCTTTGAGGAGCCAATTGGAATCTCTTCATCACTACAGATACTAGTGTCAATGAACAAGGTAGGTGTTAGTAATTGCAAAAATCTCTCCTTTGAGACGATAGTTGCGAGAGTTGAGTCTTCGATGTGACATAGGGATAAGAGTTTTGAAAAATCTTTGATGAGGGGACGGATATAATTTCTATAAACAACCACATAGGGAAGGTTGTATGCGTCAATGTTCATGGACGAGAAAAAGGGGTATTTCTTGCAGGTATTTACACACATATCTTTCCATATGAAATTTTGCAAACACATAACATTCGCAAGATTGTTAACAACTCTAAACTCTAGTAGCTCTTGAACTTGTAAAAATCGTAAAATGTGATAAATAATCTCGTTAGGTACGAGTCTTGTAAGAGAAATCTGTTCGTTAATATCTGGAAGTGAGGATGCTGCTTCCTTAAACGATTGTATTTGATCTTCATCCAAAAGGTTTCTTCTTCTTTTTCGATGTTGATATAATGGAAATTGTAACAAGCCAGAAAAATAATTATTTTTCTTTAGCAATTCGGAGCATTCATCAAACATTTCTTTTTCCATTATTATACAATGTTCAAAGCAATACTTTAGATGTTTGAAAAGTATACAATCAATTTGAACTGCAAACTCAAGTATGGTCTTTTCATACGTCGATAGTTGAAACGGTTTCTTAACTTCTATAAAATCATCGCTCACCACTACAATGCTTCTAGAGAGTACAACATTATCGAGGTTGTCATCATCAATAACAGTGACCTTTTTTTCTGCAAATAATTGAATCATCTCATTTCTCGATTCCTCGCTTCCAGAAAGGAGTAAGACCTACATTATTTTTACATGATAATACATCAACACTTTCACAAAACACATACCTGCTCATTCTCAAATAGAGGCCAAGCAACAATGCATTGCTGTCGCTGAGAATTGTTGGTATTGGCAAAGGTGTTCCAGTGTAGTACTGCAAAAACCTTTTAGAAACAATCTCTCCGTCAACCAGCTTTGCAATCTTCAAAACAAAAATTGCAAGTTGACAAATTGGTGTACAAGCCATAAAATCTTCTTTGGTACAAACAACCAATAGTTTCATGTCATATTCAGGTGATCTCAATTTTTCATTAATCATATCTAAATGATCCTTTGATAGCCTAGATTTACATGTTTCCAATGAATCTCCGCCATATATTATTTTCGAAAGATCTTCGCTAACATGTACTGGAGGATGAGGGATAGTAAGGGCACAAACTTTTAAAAAGTCAAAAGAGTTTTCAATTCCTTCAACAATCCGACCGCTCAGCTCTTCTTTTGTTGGTATTGAAGCAGATTCAGAAAAGCAAAGAATTTCATGAACCTCCATGCCTCTTCCAACCATTCTTTCCGCTAACATGTGAAAATTTAGCATCAAATCTCTATTAAATTGACTAAAATCATTCATTAATCTTCCGGCCATTTCTTGTACTAATTCTTGATCAATTTCATCATCCTCTAAATCGCTCATGTCATCACTGCTACTACTTTCATCATTGACTTGCTCCCGACGAGTGTAATGGCTCGAACTGGCGGATTGTTTGGAATTACGTTCAAAATTCTCTTCATCGCTGCTGTTATCATCATCACGAGAACCTCTTTCGTGATCACCACGTTTTCTCTTGTTCAACATTTTTTTTGTGTTTGTTGAATTGCTAATTTAAGAGCCCTAAAAAGATCATCAAGATTTGAAAGTTTTCAAAAACGCAAAGATTTAATACGTCCTTCACTTGACGAAAGGCTCAGGTCGTCGATGGTCGTTAACTCTTAAAAAATAATAATACATTTCAAATTGAAACGATCAAGTCAACTCATGGCTCCAAAAACCACTCTCATTTCCAAGCTCTTCGGGATTCAGTATCCTCTCATTCAAGCTCCAATGGCTGGAATCCAAAAAAGTGCAATGACCATTGCTGTTTCAGAATCAGGTGCATTGGGATCATTACCTTGTGCCATGCTTTCATCCGAAGAGATCCGAAATGAAATTTCAACCATTATCAAATCATGTTCAAAACCATACAATGTCAACTTTTTCTGTCATCAAAATCCAACACCTGAATATGAAAAGGAAGAGAAGTGGAGAAGAAGGCTTGAATCTAAATATTACAATGAATTTCAAATTGCAGTTCAACACGAAGAAAAATCCATGGTTACGAATGGTCCCAACCGTACGCCTTTTAATGAACAAATTGCAGACATTTTGGAAGAATTCAAACCACCCATCGTCAGCTTTCATTTTGGTCTTCCTTCACCAGAGTTATTAAGACGAGTCAAACATTGGAATTCAAAAATAATATCCTCCGCGACAACCCTTGAAGAAGCTCTTTGGCTAGAATCACAAGGAGTAGACGCCATTATTGCACAAGGAAGTGAAGCAGGAGGTCATCGTGGCATGTTCAAAACTACAGATATTTCTTCGCAAATGGGACTCTTTGCCTTGTTGCCTCAAATTGTCAAACATGTGCATGTGCCAGTCATAGCTGCGGGAGGAATTGTTGATGCAACCACAGTTGCAGCTGCCATGAAATTGGGAGCCTCTGGTGTTCAGGTTGGAACTACATTCATGTTGTGTCATGAGGCCACAACTTCACAAGTACATCGACAAGCACTTGAAGATTACAAAAACAATCCCTCATCGGTGTATACAGTCATTCAAAATGTGCTCACAGGAAAACCAGCTCGATGTATTATGAATCGAGTGATCAGAGAAATGGGACCCATCTCTGAGGAGGTTCCACAATTTCCAAGAGCCTCTCAATACCTCACGACTCTTAGAGCGAGAGCAGAGTCGATTGGGTTGAGTGACTTTTCACCTATTTGGTCTGGACAAAATGCGAGTGGATGCAAATCAGTCTCTAGTGCAGAAATTGTGAAAGACCTTGTCAAGGGTTTTGAAGGCATTCTGTAACTCGAACGCGAATATGTTTAACAAGTTTCAATCTTTCCTCGTTCAACATTCCTTTTTGGATATTAAAAAATTTCTCTCACCCACAACAACACCCAAGCACATGAACATGCTCTTACCGACAGCAATGAAGAACAAGTTGGCAAAGAAACTTTAAATGATGAATCAAACAATTATTCACAATTGACTTACCTACATTGTCCGAGCGCCTTCATGAGGACTATGAATACCTGATGGATCCAACCAAACGTTGGTGCAGTTTCAACAACAGCAACGAACACGAGAATTTTGCTTTTTGAAGATGGAAACATTGCAACTCCCAAAAGCACAGAATAGGGTTGGAAATGTGAATACTTGATGGTACTGAAATCACTCCAGTGACAGTCCCCATCTTCAATCTGACGTTGCACCAACACAACTCTAAATGTAACTTTTCCATTGTATACATTCTCAAGAGATATCGAACACGTACGCATTATTTGATCATTAATCCGATCATCTTCCTCTGATAATACTTTTTTTCTTTGTTGACCCAAGTACTTCATTGTAAAAAATACAACCAAGTTGACCGAATTTTTTTAAAAAACTTGTTGAAAAAAAATAAGTCAAAATAACGAGTATGTATCACTCATGCTTGAATATGCATGATTTATTAATAATTTTTTTCAAACAACGTTTCACTTCTTGAACTTCAAATTTACTCTAGATAAAGATGGGTAGACGTCCAGCAAGATGTTACAGATGGCAAAAGGGTAAGCCATACATCAAGTCTCGCTTCTGTAGAGGTGTCCCTGATCCAAAAATCAGAATTTACGATGCCGGTAGAAAGAAGGCTGACTACACCCTCTTCGGCAGCTGTGTTCACCTCGTTTCTGATGAAAAGGAACAAATCACCAACGAAGCTCTCGAAGCTGCTCGTATTGCTGCTAACAAGTACATGTTGAAGTATGCCAACAAGGATAACTTCCACTTGAGAATTAGAGTTCACCCATATCACGTGCTCAGAATCAACAAGATGTTGTCATGTGCCGGTGCGGATCGTCTCCAAACTGGTATGAGAGGTGCTTTCGGTAAGCCATTGGGTACCACTGCAAGAGTCGAAATTGGTCAAATCCTCATCTCCATCAGAACCAAGGATGCTTTCGTCAAGACTGCTTGTGAAGCTTTGAGAAGAGCCAAGTTCAAATTCCCAGGTAGACAAAAGGTCCTCGTCTCCAGAAAGTATGGTTTCACTGATTACACACCAGAGCAAGTTGCCAAGCTCCAAGCAAGCAAGGAAATCATCTCAAAGGGTGTCCACGCCAAGCACATTAGCAGCAGAGGATCATTGCAAAAGTGGTACGAAAATAAGGTTGTTGCCCTCACACAAAAGGCTGAAACTGCTTAAATTTATTAATTAAAACCATTTTAAATATCATTGATTGTAAAAATTGTTTGAGCTGACCCTTGCAAACATGGGAAACCAATCAGGCAACTCGATTTGCTCTACAAACACGATTTATTAAATTGAGGCGGTTGGTTGCGAGTGAGGTAAAGCCGACTGTTGCTGATTTTCGCTCTGATAATTCAAATTGGTCAACATTAAAAAGTCGAGAACACCTTTCAGTTGACACAACTTTTCCTGGGCAAGAATTTCTTGATTGACTTTCTTTCTCAACGTTCTTAATAAAGTATCAACCGTTTCGCTGAGGCCAATAACTTGGCCATAATGCTTGAGAACAGTCTGAGTGAAGGGGACCAAGACAGGTGTAAATCTTGGATCTCTAATATACTGTATGATAAATTGGAGAAGAGCAGAGAGTCGTGACTCGTCCATGGTGTTAATTGCATTCAGTACTTCATTCCTCACTTCAAGTTCTGCAATCAAACTCATGACAATGACTGGTTGATCCTTAAATTTGGTTACAGCTCTTTGCAATGCGAGCTTGTAATTATATTTCGATAATTGTGACTTGAAATGTAACAAGTTAACAGAACGCTTTCCGGTAAGAAAATTTCATCTTGCATTTGGAAGATTTGGTTCAAAAGTGTGCTGTTGACAAAATTCTTGTAATTCTCCTTGGTCATCTCCTCTCTGTACATGTCAGCTCTAAGTACTTTTCGGTCTATTCTCTGTGACTTTAAAACTCTAGATGGGCCCATTAAACCCAAAACAATTTGTCGTTCGTCCTTCGAAATAGCGGAAGATAGAATTGGTCCATCAAACGAAATATTATGCACCTGATTATAGTTTTCATCAATCTTGAAGAAGCAAGTTAAATGATCCAATCCACTCGTCATTAGATAATTTCCTCCACCACTTGCGAGTGACATGCTTGTAATAGTTTTTTGATGAGAGCCATGCATGGTCATCATTTCTTTTCGTTGTAACAAGTCCCAAACCTTAAAGTAATTGCTTCCACAGCTGTACAATATTGGGGCGGTAGGATGCTTGACAATACATTCGACTGGAGCTCCATGATCAAATTGCATGACACAAGCGCTCTGATCTGATTCTCTCACATCCCAAACCTTAATCAAATGATCGTAGGCACCAGTGGCAAACAAATCAGGCGAAGAAGAAATATCTCCACCTTCAACACCATTCGGAGTGAAAATACATCCAGCTCTAATATAATCGGAATGTTTTGAGAATTCTCTTGTTTTCTTTCCACTCAAAATGTTGAAAAGTCGACAAACACCATCATCGCTTCCTGTCAGGACTACATCCGAATGTTGATTTGAAAGAAATCTCGTAACTTGAATAGACATGTTATTGGATTCTTGCCCTCTGCTCTGAGTAAATATAATTTTCAAAGGCTGATTCAATCGATTGGCTGTTAATTCTTTATCATAGGATTGAAATAATTTCACGACACCACTATTGGTACCAACAGCAAACAACAAACCATCTCCGGGCCGATAGCTAGCACTATATACTTGTGATTCTCTCTGAAATTTAGTATATCTAATAATCTTTTTATATTCATCATCAATAATTTGTACAGCATTCTTATGGGTAATGAGAAATTGCCGATTCTTGTTCGGATGAAACTCAATATGAGTAGCCAATCCATAATTTTTAATATCAATAGGAGTAAATTCGGAGAAGTTTTTCATGACATAGTGCTCGTTTTGTGTCGTGTAGTTTCGGAGAGCATGAGTCTCATCCAACTCGAGGTTGGCTTGTTGTCGAGAAACTTTTTGAAGAAACATTTTTTTTTTCAAAACACAAAATTCAATGTTTTATTGAAGCGACTTTTTCTGAGAAAAGCAGTGCTCTGATTACCTCTCGGCTCTGGAAGAGGTTGTTGTCATTGAGAGATGTTGTTCCTATCCTTTGAGATCTGTAGGCAAGTATTGGTCATGACGGACTCTTGGTGCTGAACTATCTCCACAAAGAGAGAAAAAAATTCGTGCTGGACGGCTAAAAAGCAACGGACCAGGCCGAATTCTTCTTCTTGCGGATTAATTTTGGTTGGATTTGAATCATCATTGAGAGATTTCTGTTAATATATCTATCACTGATATCTTGAATATTAAACCGTTATCATCATTAAATTTGTTGATAATAATATATATAGAATTGATGAAAATGAAAACAAGTCGGGAGGAGGGCAGCCAACAATGGAGAGTTGATGAGGAGGTTGCTAGTCCAAACTCTGAAATGTGCTTAATGAGAGCAGAAGAAAAGGAGATGATCATGAGAGGATTTTCAAGTGCAGCAAAGAGTGGTGATATGAGGCCTCTTCATGATCTTGGCGAAAGTTCTAAGGTTGAGTCCGAGAAGGTCTCGCAAGTTGCAACCACATCAACTGCTCCCGTTTCTAAAGAACATCATCACAACATACAAACTAATTATTCTAACAAGCTAACGAAACCTGAGAAACAATCGCCAACAGATGGAGATATCAAACAAACACCAACTTCGCCAAAGAGTCCATTATCAACACCTCCTAGTGCGTCTAAATATTCATCGTCATCGACTAGGTCAAATTCCTTTCGACATTACTCAACAACTGTGTCAACGCCCAGGCGATCCTCATTAACTCAATCACATTCCAATATTTCTACCGACGCTTCTTCAGGAAATATTCAAGCTGCTTGCATTTCGAAGAGTTCTGCATCCACTCTTCCATCATCAAAAACTCCAAAGGCAGTGACATCCCCAAAAGACTCTAGCATCAATTCATCATCGGGAAGAAGGAAGAGCTTTAACAGCCTTCAACTTTCTTGGAGAGATACAAAAGTAGCTCTCAAAGAAAATTTGGCTACATCATTTTCAAATTCAAGATATTCATCTTCATTTCATGCTAAGGATAATTCATGTAATGAGACAACAAACTTCAGTAATACATCGCCCGAAGACACTTTCTTCACGCCAAATAATTATTGGAATGTAAATAACGACACCGACTCCTCATTTGATGACATGGTGTTGCCAGGAAGCCCCATACAAGGTCAAGTTTCGTATAACCAGATGATTGCTTGTATTGAACAAGAAAATGATCTCGATAGCGTTGATACATACAAATCGGATGATACTTTACCTCAGGAAGGAATTTTTTGGGATAATAGTGATATTTTGTTGCGAACGGGATTGTTATTAAGGGAACCAGCCCTCTCACCTGCAACAGAATATCTAATGAACAGTAATTATATGAAACTAAAGTTAAATTCTCCACGAACACTAGCCACACTAATGAAACAAATCGAGATCGCTCCTCCAACTGAACGATTGCCACACAGCCCAATTGCAAAATCTGCACGAAGCTTTATGCTTGAAAAGTAAGTACTAATGAATTAACATTTGAGAAACGTCATGCTTTTGCATGAATTTTTAATATTTCAACAGAAAGCGAGAATCACAACGAAGGAAATCAATGCCTTCAATTTCCATATCGTCGCTTCCACCTGTACATTTTGTAGCGACAAAGCCAACTACTCCAAGTTTTGAAAAGGAAGAAACTAAAGAAATAAGAGAAGAACACAAAAAAACTAAAAAAGAGTTAGAGAGGAAAAAGTCGTTAAAACTTAATGAATTTAGATCTATTCAACGAATGTATTATAAAGAGGAATTAGAAATGTCACGAGAGCAAGAAATTGCTCAATCAGAAATGTTCAAAAAACAGAAAATCAAAGAGTGGAAGAAAAAGACAATTTCATCTCCGTTCAAAGTAGACTTGGAGGCACATGCAAAGCAAACAGAAAAGCAAATACGAAAAGAAGAGAAACTTCAAGAGAGGCTTCGAATAATTGAGCTTAAAAAGAAAGAAGATCTGCGAAAGTGTGCTCTCATTGAAAAGATACTTGAGAACAATGTGGAAAACGTGCACATGACAAAGAGAAATCATATTGACGAGCAAAAGTTGCAGAAATGGAGAATGGAATTATCTGAAATTAATCATCTGTAGCCCGCATGCCTTGCTGAGGAGTGAGGACAACAACCACAGGAAGTATTTGTCAATATTTCCATATTGCATGTTCCGCCTCATGTTTTGGATACCAGACCCTCACTGAAAAGGTGAGGTTTTGATGATTCTTCAAGACATTTTAATGTGCACAAATTTTGTCGCACATTAAACGACGGCACTGTTCAAGAGAATTCAAAGGTTCAATTACTCTCATCCATATTGTAAAAAATGTCTAATAATCACATTGTTTCTAATGTCGCAAAGACATTTGGTGAAGACACTGGCAAGTCCAAGCTCGACTGGACCTTTGAAGATTTGGAAAATCTTCTCTCAAGTAAGAGACTTTTCGAGCCATCCAATTCAAAGGCCATGCTCCAACTAGTTGTCACTCTTGGCCTTATCATTTGGGGTGTTGTCAGCGTAGTTAAGTTTGACGAATCCTCATATTGGTACTTGTTGATGCCTCTCGCTTGGCTTTTATTGGGATTCTGTGCGTGTCGTTTAATTGCTGTTGCCTATGGATGTTCGACCAAACAATTTTTCAATTCTGCCACCATTCCAGAATGGATCAATGACCTCTTGGGTTTCATTTGCATGTTGCCCTTGTTATATCCTTTTGAAAATGTCAAGTCTTTGAAGAAGGCTGTCCTCAACCTTACTCCAGAAGAACAGCAAGTTACTCAAACTTGTACCAACTCTTCTGGAAATGCCTCGAAACAACAAGTATCAGAGAATCACAACGACATTGAGATTCACTTCATGTTCTCTGCCTTGTTGCGTATTGTGAAAAGTCCACTCTGGTTCTTTTCGTCTTTGTGGGAATGTTTGGCCACACATATTCAATATCCAATCACAAGTACAAGTATTGTGTTGAATTCCATCGTGTTGTATGTGTTTGGAATTGGAGTCATCTACATGTTGATTTGTTGGGTCGGTGTTTGGGGACTGTTCAAGTTTTATTTGGCTCCTTTGATGGCCTTTCACTTGATTAATTCCATTCTCATGAAAATGAATGAAAGAATTCCAATTAAGAAGGAACTTCCAACAACAACAACAACACAGCTGCTACTTGTGCAACTAAGGCCGTTCTTTCACTTTCATCCAGTGTGTTGGAATTTCTCACTCATTACTCGTTGCAAAATTACAAAATTACTTTCAAATGGTACCATCAATTCCACACTTCAAACTCTCAAGAGACCTCAAAGCCATCTTCTCTCCTTGCCAAATGGTCAAATTCCATTCCATTCTATCGTTGGGCAAGTGCAAGAAGTTTGTTGGAAGAAAAACTGTCAACTAGCAACAAACAAGAAGATAACTCTATTCAACTTGCTCAAATTGCTCGTCATGGAAGCTTGTCTGACTTGTTCTCAGTATTGTCTCTTCAAGGAGGAACTTCAACTCATCCTGTGACTTATTCTGAATTGGTCGATTACTTGGATTTGCGTAATATTGATTATGTGATTTCCATTTACTTGATTGGATCCATTCTTGGTTCTATTTATGGTATTCTCGCGTGTCCATTCAATTGGAAAACTTATTTATTGGCTTGGATTGGACAATACTCTGCTGGAATTGGAATCTCAACAGGTTATCATCGTTTCTTTGCTCATCTCTCATGTGAAGCAGTATGGCCAGTTCGTTTATTAATTTTAATTATTGGTGCTGCGAGTTTTCAAGGAAGTGCCATTCAATGGAGTAGTGATCATAGACGTCATGTAAGTGAAATCCTCTCATGTTTATATATTATAACTATTTTGGTCATATTCATGATATATTACCTGCAGCATAAATATATTGACACTGAGAAGGATCCATACAATATCAAGAAGAGTTTCTTTTATGCTCATATGGGTTGGTTAATGAAGACAAGACCAGTGGATTATTCCAATGTTCCTGATTTGACCAGTGATCCATGTGTGCCTTTCAACACAAGTATTATCCTTGGTTTGCTATTTTTACTGGTTATATAGTTCCAACCTTAATTGCTGGATTAGGATGGGGTGATTGGATGGGAGGTTTTTGGTTAGGGTAAGTGGTCGTGAATGTTTGGAGTCTTGATGATGGACCATTTTGGAAAATGTTTTTGTAAATTCTAATTTGAAATAGCGGTGTCCTTTCAAAGACATGGTTGCAACATTGTACCTTTTTCATTAATTCTCTGGCTCACACCTGGGGAGATGCCACTTTCAATGATGACCACAGTGCTCGTGACAGTTACATTGTCAGCTTGTTAACCTTTGGAGAAGGATATCACAATTTCCATCAGTAAGTAATCGTTGAATATATATTTCATCAAGAAACGTCACACCACTGATCGATTGTCAAATGTTTATATATGATAACACTAGTACGTTTGCCTATGACTATAGAAATGGAGTCAGATGGTATCATTATGATCCTGGAAAATGGATCATTTATACCTTGAGTTTGTTTGGATGTACCTACAATTTGAGAAGATGTGACGATGAGCATTATGAGAAGGGTCGAATTGTCATGAAACAAAAACAAATTGATATGGAGAGAGAAAAGATTGAAGAACTCATTCGACAAAGAAAGGCAAAATAAATGTGGTGTGTCAATTTCAAGTCCTTGTTAACATTCATTCTTGTTCGAACAAGGACTCAAAAGCTATTGTTCGGAAAATGTCTTGTTGATTCGAGATTTAAGAGGGTTCACAAAAACAGTATACGAGAGAAAACGGTCAAGCAAATCGTGAATACCTATTTGGTTCAAGGGTCTCCTTTTGAATTGAACATTTCATGTGGAAGAAATTGGGAATCTCATTGCTCACAAGTGACCTTAAAACTGGTCATACTAATATGGTCTAATAAATAAGAAGTGTATTAATTGCGTAGTACAAATTGCTTTTGGAACAGCTCTTCGTACTCTTTACATTTATCTTCAGCTACAAAATGTGGATTCTTTCGTTGTTTTAAATTAATTCTCTGTAATATTTCATAAGTGTTGTAGAATAAAGTTGGCTCATTCAAGGAGAGAGCTGTGTTGGGTTGATAAGAAGAAATTGAGGTCAATGTAGAGAGTGATTAATAGAAAAAAACGTTCTTACCTGTTTCAAAAAGTCTACTGTATGGTATTTTAAAAGAATGTGTTTCACATTGCTCTAACATCAAGTCGAGAGCTCTCTTGATATCTCTTCTGGAGAGTAAAATTTCACATAATAAATCAAATTCTCCCAGTCGTTTCAACATGTCCAATGATATTTCATATGCTGGTTTGTATTTTTCAGAAATATGAAGCATTTGTAATGCAGTTAGTTTGCTATCTCCAATGACCTTAAACTGAACCAATTGATGCAGCATTGAGTAATTATTTGATTTAACTAAAAGTTCTATCAACAGTTTTTGGATAAAATAGTGGACCGGAATATTCCCCTTTTTTAGCCCTCTAATATATTCAATAATGACCGTCACTAATTCCATTGATGACAATGAACCACATTCATCAATCGGTAAAAATATATACTTGTACATGTCAGATTGTTCCACAATTGGATATGCAGATGCAGCTGCCTCTTGAGACTGTTCTTCTTCTTCAATTTGAGCAAGAGCATTGATGTCCATCAAGTCAATCTTGGTTTTGTTATTTGTTGCAATCTTTTTGAGTCTTTCAGAGAATTTTTCTTGCTTTTCAGTTTCCAATTTCACCAATTGATTCCAATAATACTTGTTGACCAGCTCTAAAATTTCTGAAACGTTCTTGATATCCTCATTCTTTGATTCAATGACTTGTCTTAGAGCACTAATTAAAATGGGTTTACTATTTACGCGTCTAAATAAAAATTTGATTGCATCTTTACGATTTCGTATATTGATTGGCATGTGAGAAATTGATAATTTGAGCTCGAAAATGAAGCCAAGTTCTTTATCATAAATATAATTGGGAAGCCAGTAGGTCCAAGATTGTACTTTGTCTGAACAAGGTTTAGCAAAATAACGAAAAAAATTACAACAACTTACATAATCTCTCAGAAGCATTTTCAATGGAATCACCTAACAAAGAGTTTGGTAAAGAGTGAGGAGAAATGGAAAGTGGAGGAGAAACAGGAGAGTCTTGTTTTGTGAAAACATCATATGCAACCGAAGACTTCTCGTCCAAGTTGTGTACAATCAGTAGTGAGTCCACCACATTGACAGCAATATTCGACCCTGAAAAAATGTTAAATATTCGTTGCTTGACAAACGCTTGAGTGTTTTCAGCCTTGTACTTGTAAATGTGTATCTCATAATTTGCATAAGAGACACACACAAGACAACATCGACCATACCTGAAGTTAAGAAAATGTCATGGGAAATATGATAAATTACTTGAAACGTCTCAAAGTTTGACACTTACATGGACACGAGAAATGTCTCATTTTCTTGTAGCGGTTGATCTTTAGATTCAGGTAAATCCACCTTTGGCAGTTTGTTGATTTGTCCATTTGACGTAACAAGAAACGGAAAAAGGCTAGCATTCTTGCCTTCAACAGCTACAACCAATAAATTATCATTTGGCTGTCACATGTGTTATTGTCAAACATGCCAAAATTTTTAAAGTTCGCATACTTACTGAAAATTTACAAAATCTAACATTCTCGTTAATTGTTTTTAAAATTTTAACAGGCTTATGATATTCTTTGACCTATTTGAAATAAGTGTTACAACTGCTCCATGATAATCTACATACCCATATAATATCTATTGAATAGGTGGAAACACTACTAAGCAATTATCGTTAACCCAATAAAAATTCAAAATAATATTTGACCGGGTTTTTTTCTCCATCAAGTCATAATGGGTAAAATACTCTGAGCTTTGTGGCTTGGACACATCAGAAGAAGCAACTGAAAAGACAACTAAACGCCTAGAATCATACTGAACAGCAATAAAAGTTCTCTTGATGGAAGCTTTGGCAGCACTGGGCACAATTCCTTTCAAATCTACTAGAGACGGCAGTCTATGATGTTGTGACAAAAAAGATATTTTAGTTTTATCATCTCGTGAAAATTTAGATGCTCACCTTTTTGCAATGGTTTCGCCTCTAACAAGAGGAATTAACATGAATTTTTTGCTGTTAAAAATTGCTATTTCACGATTGGTTTCGTTGAATGTTAATCGATTTTCTTCTGTTGTGAATGAAGCCGACACTCCTCCAAAGTTATCAGGAATATTGTTGAGTTGAATATTGCAGATCGGAGTGGACAACAATAAATAATGTTGAAGACTACCTGATGACGATTGTACATAGTCATTGGTGATGTTAAGTTGATCTGGAATATTTTGTTCTGCTTCATTTGTCGATGATGAAGATATTGATGATGACTCCGACACAAGAGCAGCGGAGTGGAGAGGTTTGTTGCTGTTGGGAGGTGAGGACAGGACAAAATCGTTGATCTTCATTTTTTTGAACTTTGTGTTTATTTCACTCGATTTGATTACACAAAAGACGAATTTACCAAAACTTGGTCTTGATGGAGAGTGTTTGAGGATTTCCGAGAGATGCAATAAACTTTTTGATTCCATCTTTAGTTATGGAACAATTCTTGAGATTAATTTCTTCGATAAGGGGACAGCACTTTGATATAATCAACAGTTCTCTATCCGTAATGAGGGAACCTAAGTTTTTCAAATTCAGTTTCCTTATATGCTTTCCAATTATTTTCCATATTGTAAGTTCTGTTTTAAAGTGATCATTAATATCAATATTTCCTTCATAAATCGAATTGTCAGCTGGATAATATTCGTCCCAATAAGTTTTTGGATAAAACTTCTCTAGGTAGGTAATGGAATCTTTTAACACAAAAGTAATTCGTTGTTCTGCGTAGCATTGTTTCCATGTGTTTTCTTTTAGAGAGTACGGAGTTCCATGACCTAGTAGAGTGTCTAAATCAACTTTGAACCGAATATAATACATTATGTCAAACAGCTTGTCACAGTCAGGTAAAAACGAAAGGTCTTTCTCCCAATTGGCCCATGTGGAAAGAGAATAGCGCACCAGGTAAGGCTTGGTGAGTTCAATAGTTAGGGAATGTAAATCGAAATTTAAGGCTCTAGTACATAGAATGTACATTTCAGGAATGTCGTATTGCCTAGAAAGTTGTGACAGTTTCTTGATATTGATCTTGTCGTTATCTATCATAATTTGCAAATCCATTAGAAATGTTCGAACATTCTTTGCTTGGAGATAGTTCGCTAGAATTGCTACAACATCGCTTGTATACTCCAAAGAAAAAACCCCCAACACTGCCTGGTGTAAAAATTTCCTTACATGGCGATTGTTTGATTCAACAGCATGTATCGGAAAAGAAATTTTCTTCTCTTGCCCCAACGACAACAGAGTAAGAGAAGGTTGCAATTTTTTTGATTTTGGGCTGACATTATTTTCCAATGACTGCATAATGGCTGGAATTGATATTGTGGGTATTTCTGAGCTAGTAGGTTTTTTGTGGGGGGATGAGTGTAGCTTATCTATCAATTTCCTGAGGGCCTCATCTTGTCTATTGTATTCATTTTTCGATTCAGAAATCATCGAGGAAATGACATCTTCGTTCAATGTGCCATGCCAGTATGAGTCCTCATGGAGATAAAGATTTTTGATAGTGTTTAAATGTTCATCACTTCCTGAGCACTGACTTATAATAGCCTGTTTTTCTTGACATGCTTCGTCGTAAGTCTCCATTTCCATTAGTAATTCAAAAGTATCCTGTCCAGAAGATGCTGCATTCAACATTGACATGGCGTTCTCGATTGAATCATTGAACAAAGATACGCAGCTTCGTATTATTGAGTCATACGAAGCATTGCAAATGTCCAATGCTGTCTTCTTTGTCTTTTGTGTACTTTCAGATGATTGGATAATTGCTTCAAATTTGTGAATAAAATCAAATTGAAATTCATCCCTTTCTTGTTTTATCAGATCAACGAACGATTCTGCCTCGTAAGAAATTGTAACAGATGAAGAAATCATCTCCAAGGTCTCAATAATGCTGATCATCTCCTCTAATACGTCTACTGAGACTTGATACTCTTTCCAGTCTATAGCTTCAACTAAGGCAAGATCTACTATTTCGTTTACAATGTTAGTGCAAACATCTATAGAGGTTGGCATGACAGCAGATTCAATATCAATAAAGCTTTTGAAATTACATGATAACTCAAACTCCTGCACAGGTACAGCTTCCATTGCCTGCTCTACTGTTGGCGCCTTGGTTATTTGTTTGTCCTTGTCATCCGTAGCAATTTTGACGTTCTTTTTGTTCTTATCTTTCTTAGATACTACAGAATAAATTAACTCCCAGGATGTGGCGTCAGTTATGGAGTATTTCTGAGATAGCTCATTAATCGAATTTTTAAGCTCAAAATTGGTGTTTGATAGATTTTTGGTGGTTTCTTTGATCAGTTGCAGGATGCTTTCGGACGTGCTTGGTGTAGAGACGTTTATGAACGAAACGTAGCCTTTCATAGCCCAATTTAATATTCTTGAAGGCCATCTAAACGGAAAGAATGCTTTGTGTGCTCTTGTTAGGGCATTTTGCTTTTCATTGCTAGACAGCCCTCGACCAATTTCATCCGTAGTACTCCCGTCTGGCTCTACTCCCGAACATACTATCTTATTTACATTGGACTTGTACAAACTTGTCACGTGCTCCCAAAAACAATATGTATGTATGTTCTCGAAACTTCTCAGCGATCTCCATATATATTTTCCAGACCAATTATCTCTGAGGTCATCCTCATCACTTTGGTCACAATACACTATTAAATATATTTTGTTGTTGGGATCCAAGGTGATGGATTCTAAATCATATAAATATCCCAAGCCATCAATACCAAGAGAGGATTTTAGCTCAAGTATAGCCCTATAAAATTTGTGTTCAAACTTTTCATACTGATCAATTGGAACTTCTAATGTCACTTGATGTTGATAGTCTGCCTCGATTGGTTGTCCAATCGCTGATCGAGCCCGTATAGTTTGCATCCACTCTAGTTTCTCTTTATCCAGAGCTCCCTTTGTTATCCTTACATGAGGAATCATCATCCGTTTGTTTTCGTCAAGTAATAGTCTGAAATCATTTTTAGATGACCAACACCACCGTAAGTATCCAAGATAAACACCATCCTCGAGAATTTTTGTGGATGTCATTTGTTTTGAAAAGGTGATAACATTTTCAATAAATCTTGGCCCATAGAAAGTATCGGACAATCTCTCAATTCTCTCATTATAATGGCTTAATATTCCAAGTCCTTGGTATAAGCGATGTTCAAACACAGTTCTCTCCTCCCAAACATAATTTGGATGGGTAATTAAGGACCTATCCTCCAAGTATTTACATGCAAGTAACATTGCTACTTTGGTTTCCTTCACATCTACCACCCTATCGTATAAGACGCCCAAACTAATATTGAATGTCGATCTTAACTTTTTTCCTGCACGAATCATATCGAGCTTGATGGAGGGGAAAACATTTTCAGGAGGGTCATCATAATTTGAAATCAATTCGGACCAGTTTTTACCTAAATCTAATAACCACTGAAAATCAGGAGAATCCATGGAGACAGTTGGGATTGAAGCATATGGAAACCTTAGTTTTTCGGATGGAAGCATGTTTGAACTGTCCATGAGAATGTGTGTATCTGTGTAATATATTACGCTTAAGAAAACTCCGTTGAAATACTTGGAAATATTTTCTTTGATTTGCTGACTTTGTTTTTCCATCTTCTTTTTTCCAATGTCGCTTGTAGGCCCTCCCAGGAACTCAGGAGGAAACGGCACATCTGGTAACTTTCCTCGTCCTTGCCAGTTCTCTAGAACTGAAATAAGAATTTGTATCTGCTCAATCACTAAATCCACTTTTTCTGCAACATCTCCATCTTTCATCATACCTCTCAGAGAAAGTAGCCTATCTTTAATTTTTTGCTCAAGACCTCCCTCACATTTTACGGGACATATAATCGCCTCATTAAATAATTCTAAAATCAGTGAAATTTCTTTTTCGTCGGTAGCAGAGGTATTTTCCAAGCGTTGATGTAACGCCTGAAGTAACGCTTTTCTATTAGGCGACTTTCTAATCATGGCTCGTAGAGTTACAACATCTTCTGGAATGATTTTTTTTGAATCAAATGTTAATGATACTAAGCTTTGTACGTCTTCTGTTGAATACGTCGTAGGGCATGTAGATTCAGCAAACTCTACACTAGCTAGTCTCATGTTCAAAATATCTTCATCAACCTTATGTTCATGAATTTCAAGTATGTAAAATTTAGAGCTTTTTGTAGTTTTTTCAACGATTTTTGATTCATAAAAAATACTTCCTTTTCTCCATCAATGCTTAATTCGAATTTTACAGTACTTCCAGGTTCCAACGTTTTGATGTTAAAATTGTCGGCAAGAGAGTAAGTTTTTGTGATAGATCTAGCATTTCCTGAAAAAGAAAGTCCTGTTCTCATGTTACTAATTGTTGCAACCATATACGATCCACACCAGTCTCTGGCCACAGCCATGATAATGTTATCTTTCTTATCTTTTTTCTTGGAGCTTGATCCTGCCAATATTCCTTCTACAGCTGCTAATACTTTTACATTTCCCATTCCTACACCCGTAAATAAACTGCTCTCGATAGATGCTTCTAATTCTCCTCGTTTTTGTTTTACAGGACCCGAGTTTTCAATTTCAATTATAGAATCTCTTTTTAAAAACAAAGTACCTCGCATAGTTTGTGCTTTTGGCTTCTCTATAGTGGTTGGTGTTACTCCCAGAACTGCCTCGCTTGTCACTCTCTCGAATTTCATTTTTGGTTTTGAATCTGTGGCAGTAACGGGTTGAGCAATATTGGCAGTTGCAAAATCTGAGAAATCATCGTCCCCCACTTCGCTGTCTGTTTCTCCAGAAAAAGAGCCTCTGGAAACTCCTTCGTTACTTGCTGAAGATGAAAATGATGCCCTAGAAACTGCTTCATTGTTATTCCCAGTAGAAAATGATGCCCTAGAGATAAACGATTTTTGTGAGAAGATTGATTTCAGACCTGCTTTGAAATTTGACTTTTCTTTGTGTAAAGTTGGTGGTGTGCTATCATTTTTCTTATCGAGAGACTTTCTCTCCTCTTGAGCTGGTGTGCTTGGAGTGGTAGGTGTCTTTGGGGAAGACTCTTGCTTGGACGTAACGGAATCGGCTTTGTCCATTGATGTTCGTGTGTTCTTGTCAATTGATGTTCGTGAAGTTGATGCGCTACTTGTTGTTGAAGGTAGGGCGTTGGTTGCTGATGATGAAGAGGTTGTTGCTGATCTTTGCTGAGCCTGCTGTTGTAGCAACTCAGCAGTCTCTTTCTCAACTTTTTCAAAATCCATGACAGGCAGCTCCCACAAAATTTTCCCGTAAGCTTGATTAAGATAATATTTCTTTTGTTTTTCTTGATCAAAACACTCCAAATACAGAAAACTGGAATTAGGTTAAAACATCAAGTTGAGGGGTTGTAACCTAGCCATCAGATCTTCCCACCTACCTTGTATCGGCAAAAGATTTCCCTCTGGGATAATAGTAAACTTTCCCCGATTCGTTATCCTCAAATCTCACAAAGCTTTCGTTGTCCATGTTGCAAATATTTTGTTTGAGGAAACCGTAGAAGCCGTTGCTCCTTAATATAATTTGGTTCAACACAGATCAAGGAGGCGAGAAAGACTAGCAAATATTTTTTTTAAAAGCGATGAAAAAATATTGATGAATTTTGCCAGCGTTTCCTTTTCTCATTCCATTCATTCGTTGGCTTATAGCACTCACTATAGAAATGTGTGTTGCGTCGGAACATTTGATTTGAACCATTGGTATCATCGAGGAGAGATTCATGTATGCCATGTATCATCTTTTAACAAGATTAGTGAAGACGATGAAACGAGTTTTCATGATTTAAATGAAAAACCTTTGATTAAACAAATTGCAGTGCTGGACAATAAAGTGGGAGTGAACAAATTAGTGTGGTCCGAGATTTTTAAAGAATTGATAGCATCAGCCAATCATGATGGAAGTAGGTTTCGGAAATTGTGAATTTGCTATTTTTTGATTGGATTTTTTTTCAGCTGTGACATTGTGGAATGTCAACCAAAGCCAAAAAGTAATTTCAATTCTGGCAGATAAGGGGTATTCAATTTCATGTGTGGATTGGAATCAATTTGGCGATTCTGCCACTCTGCTTCTTGTAGGATCTACATCCTCAAGGATTAAATTATTTGATTCGAGAAATTTTGAATATGTGGTGGAACAGTTTGCAGAACACACAAAAGTTATTAATGATGTAAAGTAAGTGTAGATGTCAAACTGGAACAAAATGGTCATTAATTGAAATTATAGATGGAATACTAACAATAAGGATGAATTCGCAAGTGTCAGTGACGATGGACTTGTTAAAATTTGGGATAAGAGAGTTAAGAATAGCATAAACACATTATTGGACAGAGAACAAGGAGGATCTCCACTCAAATGCTGTGACTGGCATAAGCAAAACGATTGGATTTTAGCAGTTGGTAATGATAAAGGCCAGCTTATAATTTGGGATACCAGAAATGATTTACAACCTATTCAAAGACGACAAGCTCACTCAGCATCTGTACAGTGTCTTTCATTCGACAGCTCAGACGTTTCTAGAGTAATGACAGGATCAAAGGATCAAACGTTGAGGGTTTGGAGCTCCATCACAAATTCAAAGCAGCAACAAGAAGGTATTTATTTAACACAAGAACACAAAATTCACAGAGAATACGTGCGAACTGTCGACTGGAATATTCACAATCCAAATATTATCACCTCTGGAAGTATGGATCAGAGCATGGTCGCCGTTCCTCTTGCATACATGACCAAGTGAGAGAATATGAAGTGGAAGGCTCTCTAGTGGTAAGTAGGACAATGATTTAAACACTGTTTCAAATTCACACAAATGAAAGACTGAAAAAACGAGACCTCAAACGTTGTCCAAGCTTTGAAAGATTCTGAATGGTGCTAATTTTTTCTCCTAAAACAAACTACGAAAAACCCATCTATTGAAAGTTTGGATGATCTTACCGACACTGTTCAGACAAAAACTTACTTGTTCGATCTCTTTGCGGATCAACACGAACACAATGCTCTCCAATTGGTGATGACTCCAAACCTCTATGAGGCCATTCAGGAAAAGTGTGAGCAACCTCAAATGCTCCATTTGATGCCTCCAGGCCCATCTCTGTAACTTTTTCATTCTCCTCTTCACACACAGAACAAGTGGAATATGAAATGAATTGAACGTTTGGGACTGCAAATTTGTTAGCAATACCAAGAACACTTGTCCAACAACTTACATTTAAAGCAGTGAGTCAACAATTTGAGCTGAACTTGCTGTAGCCTTAAGAGGCGATCCTTTTGGATTGAGCTACCATGACCGATGCCACTTCCAGAGCACGAGGGATCTAGCATGATGGCTTTAACATTCTTAAATTTTGGATCGCTAGGATCAGTTTTCAGAAAATCATCCAATTTACATTCAACATTTTTAGCTCCTGAAAGCATCATTCTATTACTGAGAGTTTCAAATCTTGATGTGTCTCTTTCGAAAGCATAAATTTTGTTTTTAGAAAAAAGAGCTGCCAAATAGCTAGTCTTATTACCTGGTGCAGAGCAGGCATCAATAAGACAATCAGATTTTCCAAGCTTTCCTGCAAGTTCTCTGTGAATAAGAAAAGGTGGAAAACAAGATGACTTGTCATGGGCAATAATTTCATAAGATTTGATCATGTCCATGTCATGCAAATGAGAGCTTGATGGATATAGAGCCAATAAATCAGGCAAATGATTGTCTTCAACTATGAACTTGTTCTGAGGAGTAAATGTTTCACTTTCTAAAGCGTCAGCAAAGCTCATATAGGAATACCCCAATTCTTGAAACTTTCTTATCACATTTTGTTTTGTTGTTTTCAATGTATTAATTCTGATATATCTGATAAGATCAATTTCTGGATTATCATGTTGATGGGTCTTGGATTTCGAATATTTGGGATCTACAAAACTTTCATTGTCAGAAAAACCAAGGCGAGTTTTTTCGTTTTGTAAAATTTTTTTCCAATTGTTATATTCTACCTTCCCTAGCTTGAACAATTCACTGTGAAACCCAACATCGTTGTTCAAAATCCAATAATAAAAACAACTACATACTAATTGATTTTTTCATATCTTGTCCACAACTCTTGAATCGTGTCATCTCCGCTCTTTTCTCCAATAATGCTTCATAAACAATAATTCGGAGCATCCCATGATCCTTCTTCAAGCTTGGTTTCGTTTTAAATAAGCCACTGCTATTAATTATTTTGTCAATGATATTATGATCTAAATGGCAATCAATTTAATAATCGATCCAAACAAATATTATTTAAATAAATTTGAAAATAATGCCATTAAATTCCATGTAGAAAATGATGAACCAATTTGAAATATTATTTAACTCATTAAAACATTGTTCGGACCTACATTTTAGTACTTCAATTCCTAAAGCAAATGTCATTCCTTTCTGGATAATAGAAGAATTATTAAATGTTAATGTCTGAATATTCCCTTTCCCAGATAAACATTGCTGAGTAATTCGTTCTACTTGTCGGTACACCTTGAACAATTGTCCAGGTGACATTCGGTTCCTCTCTTTTGGCATTTTTTTGAGATCATCAAAAACCTCTTCAAACAATTCTTTGACACAACAGTATGAGGTATCTTGAAGCAATGTGGTTGCTCTTGTGATTACCAATTATAAACACAACAATTCATAATACAGAATGCATTCCAATCAACTCTTTCGTTTGAAAGTGAAAGTCAAAGCCCAACTAAAAAATTAAATGAGTTCCTCTTCCTCTTCTCATAGCCCTTCCAATTTCATCAACCACCCATCATCTTCGGATATTCCGTCAATAACGACCTCGTCATCCGCAACGCTACTCAGCGAACTGACACAAAGTTTAAAATCAACAACACTCTCCTCAGGCACACCACCAATGAAAAACACTGGCAGCAACGGATTGATTGAAAGTAGAGAAGATCATAAATTTCAGAGGATAATACTGATTCATTTGAAAACAGGTGTAACGATATTTGATTATTGCTTTCCGAATGCTTGGAACGCAAAGAAGACTGATATTGGAGGTTTTTTAGCCTCTTGTTATCAGTTTGATGCTACTGTCAAAGGAGGAGGTATGTTCAACGAACGTTTGATTTGAACATAATCATTATTTAATTATCCAATAATAATACTAATTGTCATCATGAAATTATTCTTGCCGATCTCATCACAACCAGGAATTAGAAAAATTGTTTTTCAACCTCCAAGCGACAATCAAACATCTCATTCCTCAGGAAGAATTATTCGCCAAGCATCTGGTACATCTGCAACAACACCTGGACTCAATATGATTGGCTCCTCTTCAGCAACTGTGGGTGGAAAATTGAGAACTATCACTCCGACATCAACCGTTAGAATCAATGACAATCAAAGCATCACAACCACACCTACATCAACAACATCAAGTACTCCAGGAGGAGGTAACACAAGTGGTGGTCCACCTCATCATCATCATGCCAAAACAAACAGTACAAGTAGCATGAATATTCTTTCGGGATTTAATACAATCCGAAGGAGAAGTGTGCATCATAGATCAAAGAGGAATAGAAGAACTTGTTTGAATTTTGGAGATCCGATGGGCTTGAATTCATCAAATCTCATGTATATTGTATTTGGGTTGCCCAATGACCCAATTTCACCCGTTCTTGTCTCACATAGTCCCTCGTATTATGTAAATATTTCGACACAATTAGACCCAACATGCTTATGTGCAGTTTGTTTCGAGGGATGCAACGATTTATGGACCGAAATTGCAAAAACATTTGCCTCCGAGGCTGTTCGAGAATTTTGTACAGCACATAGAGATCTCTTAGAAAAGCACAAAAAGAATTTTGAAAAATTGAAAATTGAAGCCAACAGAGACGAGGAGTTGGAACGACAAATTGTCGAAGAATTTCAAATATTTGAGGAGTTAATGAATAAGACTAAACAACGGGTACTGGACGCGTTTGCTTCAAGGATTACTATGGAGTCCAACAGATCGAAAAATGGGGAAACCTCAATGTAGATTAACTACTTTACCAATTCAATAACAAGCTTAAATTTATTTGCCAACAAAAAGATGTGTATTTCGTTCAATAGCTCAATAGTAGGCCTTTTTCAAAATTTGGAGCAGCATTACACGTTTATTCATGATTGTTCATATTGCTTATGAGGGCAGTATATTGAGACAAGCGAGCTCTATTTTCTAGCTTAGTTTTGTATGCATGCAGTAAATCTAGCAAATCCTCTACGTCTGTGTCGGGCTTTTCAGGAAGTAATTTCCGTTTTTCCTTTTCATAGAATTGGATTTCGCGTTGTGAAGAGGATTTTGTAAGCATGGCACTGAAATTAGAATAGAGCTGATCCATACTGTTGGTGTCATTCATTACAGATATTCCACGAATGCGATTCATAATGTCATTGTCATACCCACACGATTGATACATGTGCAGGTGGCTTTGAACAATGTTGTAGAGTAAAGAACGTGGAACGAATGACAATGCTGAGTGCTCGTGCTGAATTCTGGCATTAAATAAAATCCAAGGAAATATCAAATTGCGAGTGTCAATTCGTGATGTGTAAGGAGTTTGAGTATTTTCATAATCCAGCCATGGGATGAAATAAAACTTTGCTAAATGGCCCACACATTCCCAAGAAATGGAATTTTCCAGAACGTGAGTCGATGTTGTGAGGAGTGAAGTCATTCTGGTGGGATACTTGGTTTGTCTCACTCTTGTTGGAATTTCATTAGGTTCAATCGGTTCATAGTTAGCACTTCTAGCAGAAGACACAATTTCATAATCCAACATTTTTAGAAACATTAAATATGCTTGTTTGAATTCAAAAGTGAAGGGAATGTTGATCACCAGAGAAGAGGTAAGCTTTTTAGGTTTTTTAGCTTTCATTGCAAGAACTCGTTTCAACTCATAAATTGCCATATCCATCGTCACTGTTAACTGTTCATCTTCTCCACATAATTGTCGATAGAAATCCATAGCCTCTTCCTCAGTTTGAATGTGTCCAAAAGTTGCTTCATACACACTCGTGCGAAACGATTTCTCATTCAAAAACTTTTGGAGAGGTCCACTGGTGAGTAAGGACTGAATGAATGGTTTGACATCTTCCTGAATACGTAAATGAAAAGAAGAGATCATGGCCTTACTTCTCGCAATGTTTCTTTCGGCAATCAGTTGTTGCTGCTGTTGCTGGTCTAAGCGATCTCCCTCTACTGCACCATGAACTCTAAAGTATAAATCTTGATCTTGACTCGAAAAGCATTCAAATCCTTCATCCCCTTTTTCAATATGCAAATTTTCATTCTTGTGTTTAAAAAATGTGTTGAATTTGGGCATATAAAGAGGATAATATTCATCCGTATTGAAAATTGAGTCATTAGAAGTTTGAGTACTGTGTTGAGTGGCCTGGATCGTTGGTTGCTTTTTCTTTTGTTTTCCTTTAAACTTTTCAACAAATTCGTGAGCACAAACAAATCTCTCCAATTCATCGGAAAGAGGTAATAACGTAAAAGTATTTTCATCGGAAGAAGTATCAAGCTGATGGGATGATGGATGCCACAGTGTGTCTTTATCACTAATTTTATAATATTCTGAAAGGTTTCTGATTTGATATTTAGCAATTCTTTCGTCATGTAAAAACGAAACAAAAGAATTTAACTTCTCCAAAATGAGAGCCTGTTCGGATTCATTCCAATTTCCACTACTCAAGTAATTCTCAAGTCCATTAATAAAACAATCAACGACAAATTTTGGAAGCAACTGTTCGAGTCTCAACCTTTGAGACGTAAAATCTTGGAGAATTCTTGCAGCATGGTCCATCTCAACGCAAATTAATGCATTTTTTTAATAATGTTTAAAAGTAAATAATTTAAATAATCTTTCTTTCACAAGCAGACACGTCTGAGGTATCAAGAACAAGAATTGCCATATCCTTACTCTTTGGATAGTTCCCGCTCGTGTAGCAGAAAGAATCTTCAATTTTTGAGCAGAATTGGCCTTTAGAAGAGTCAACAGAGCAGTGAATGTGTCCATGCATGGTCGCTAGTGGTTGGTAGTACTCAATTGATCTTCTCAACGCTCTAGATCCACAGTGACAACCACTAACATTATCTCCACATGTGTCATACGGAGGCATGTGACAAACCCACAGTTGCTTTCTACATTTTTCCTTAGAGAATTTAAATTTCTCAGCAATTCTTTCCAATTCTCTTTCAATAGAAAAAGCTTTAACAAGCTTTGGATCGTTTGAATCAAAATTAAATGATGAAATCCAGGAACTCCTTTGAAATGTGAATCTTCAGGGGGATTTTTTTCGACACAGGAACATTCAGGATACTCGCCATTGAGAATGATTTCAAGAAATTCGGTCTCGTTGAACGTTGTGTATCCTTTCATTCGAATGTGATAAGACTCAGTATTTTGTGCCAAAGTATCATTAATATTACTAGTATCAAATCTCTCAAAATCTTTCTTGTGACCCTTCATGAAAACAATGGATGAATACGCGAATAATTCCAACTCTGTTCCCATTATTGGGATTACCTCATTGTACAATACTTCAATATTTGGAATGTTTTTGGTCTTTTCTTTCATGAAGGCGACATCTGTGTACAAATCTGCATTTCCAAAACAAAGGTAAATTTTTCCTTTTTTAAATTGTTGCAAGATCGGAAGTAAATGATTCACAAAATAATCTTGATGTTTTTGAATTCCCTTATTGCTTTCAAGGTGAGAATACTCATCCAGATTCGAATGCTTTTTGTTTTTCAAATATAAATCTCCTCCAATAATGATACAATTAATACGGTGCTCCTCTTGATTGGCATAATCAACAAGCTTTTGGTATTGAAATAAATTACCGTGCAGATCGGAAGAAAAAACTGCTCTTACAAAAGTCATGGTATTTTTTTGTTGGACTCACTCAGTTTTTGGAGGTTCATTGTTCCCTGAATAGTGAACTCTTCAAATTAGAGTCATTTTCAATATTCAAGACAAAACATATTCAACAGGACCAACTGATTAAATTTGAAATTATCAATTTAAATAATTTGATTCAAAATTAACTATAAAAAATGTGTGCATCTTATCAAGTCCTATCGGAGAAGGATTTCAAAGTCATGCCTTGGAAGAACGGCATGGGAACGACTACGCAATTTTGTATTCATCCACGACATTGTGAATCTGTATCTGATGATTTTACGTGGAGACTGTCGAGTGCTGTGATGAATGGTGGAGGTCCATTTTCAATTTTTGATGGATATTCCAGAGTTTTAATATTATTGGATTGTCAAGAGATGAAAGAAGTTGATCATCACAGTGATGCATCAGAAAAGTATGCAAGCATGTCAGCTAACAATTATCAATATTTTCTTCAACACCATGAGAAGGATACAACCACCAAAGCAGAATTAAAATTAATGGAGCCTTATGTTTTTTCTGGAAGTTTAAAAACGGATTTTGAGATTGTTCGAAACACAGATTCTAATGTCGCGTTACAGATTACAGATTTTAACATCATGACAAAAAATGGTAGAGCTCAGTGTGACTTGGTGAAATGTGTCAACACCCACTGTGACAACGACAGCTTGATGAAAATTATGGAACTCGACCAAAATTCAGATATTTCAATTTTGGCTGAAGAGCGACAATGGAATCTTTTCATCTATAACGTTTCCAGATCATCCATACAGGTGAATGGTCTCAAAAAACCATCCAAAGACGAGTGGAATGGTGGTGTAGAAGAAATCTGTCCATCATGTTTGTTGTGGATTAATGTAAGCCCTTGCTCATTCCAACAACTAACCCACAATCTCGAATTATTGAGGTTATGTCAAAAACAAGATTCATCTCAATTCATCATTGCATGGTGTCTGAACATTCAACTAACACTCCATAAGACCTCTTTCATCAGACATCTGATAATTTATTCAAGCAAAACACCAACAATCTTACCAACTTGAACACCACACAATTCATACTTCTTGTCCTTCCAATATTGAATGGCCTTCTTGAATTCATTGGTGATATCTTTTTCATTGTGGAAAATGTTGATCAATTCATGAACAATGACCTTGACAATACCCAAAGGACCGCTTTGCAATTGAGCTGCAAGAGATTCAATCTTTTCGACAATACCATTTACATTACATCTAAATGAATTTAAATATTAATATTGAATGATCATGAACACAAATAACTCACCCCTTCAATGCAACTGCCAATTCCTTAACTCCTGCACCGAATTCTCTCAATCCAGTTTCGATCAACTTGACATTAATTCTTTTGAATCCATATTCAAGAGAGTAGAAGGCATCATCGAAATCGTTCAAAGTGATATAAACATCCTTAGTACACTCGGTGACATTACCAACTAATTTGAAAATATATCATGATTTGAGTGGTGTGATTTCACAAAAAAGAAAATATTCAATAGATCGCATGGTATGTGTTTTGAAATTTAAATAAAAATTCATGATTGCAGGAGGTTTCGTTTTGTTGAATCGCACAATGATCAGTGTCAACACAAAAAAACTTACCATCGGCTTCAATACCGAGAGCAAAGCCTTCAACGAAAGCAAGGACATTGAGTGGCAAAGATTTGACTGGTGACGTTGGCATGAATTTTCTCTGGGCGCTAACGACGACCATCATCATTAATACAGCAGCCAAGGCCACAAGAACGCATGAAACAATTTTCATTTTCCGTTTGGTGGTTTGTATTTTTTGTTTGATGAGAAGAAGGAGTTTTGTGGTGGGTGAAGGACCTTTGTGGTCTCCAAAGGAACTCCTGTGAGAGGAGAACGTATCGACTCAAAACGATTATCTTTCGGGAAAATATTTAATTGAAGTTTCACTTCATGAATTATGGTCAAGGTTATTCCAACAAGACACCAACAATCATGCCCACCTGTACACCACACAATTCATACTTTTTGTCTTTCCAGTATTGAATTGCGTTTTTAAATTCTGTGGTAATGTTTTGACCATTATGGAAAATATTAATCGCTTCATGGACGAGAACTTTCACAACACCAAGGGTTCCGGATTTGAGTTGAGCAATCAACGACTCAATTTGCTTAATAATGCCTTTAATATTGCAATCTTCGATACCTTGCTTGATTTCCTCAATACCAGCAGCAAGCTCTTGCAAACCAGTTTCAATGAGTTGAGGACTCATCTTTTTGAATCCGTACTCCAAAGAGTAAAACGCATTGTCGAAATCGTTGAGGGTGATGGTTGCGTCCCTCGTACAAGCTGTTACATTTCCCACTGTAGTATTAATCATGATGTGAGAATTGGATCCATGAAAACCGTGTCAGAAACGTACCATCAGCCTCAATACCCAGCAAAAAACCTTCCACAAACGCAAGCACATTCGATGGCAGTTCCTTTGGGATTGAAAGAGCCTTGACCTTACTTGCGGAGCTTGTAATCATCAGGACTGCCGTCAAGGCGACCATGATGAAAATTGCAAAAACTGAACTTTTCATTTTTTTTAAGGGGCCGTCCCTTAACAACCAACAACACAATCTAAGAAGACCACTTGATGAAATTATGAAGTTTCTTGTATTCATTTGTTGAAAATTGAGTTAAACATTTTCTGTACAGAAAAAAATGTCTTGCATCTTTGTATTTTTAGGGCAAGCAGGAAATCAAATCGGACATGAATATATGAAATTGCTGAATGGAGAGTGAGTATTGATGATGATGGAATGAAATAATGATGAAATTAAATGTTATGCTGGCAATTCCGATAATTACTTTTGATTTTATGAATTTTAATGAATTTTAAACAGAAAAACAGCAAGAAAATCTAAGGGATTTTTTGATACGTTTTTCAATACAGCTACCAACAAGGCTCGTGTAGTGATGGTTGATGCTGAGCCTAAAGTCATCAAAGCAGCATTGAGCGATGAACGACAATCCAAATTATCATTGTATGACACTAGGAATGTTGTATACTCGGAGGTAAGCTCATTATCATGATTCATACAAAACATATGATCTTCAATCCATCCGCATTGCTCTTCTCTAACAGAGTGGATGTGGAAATAATTGGGCTCTTGGATACAATTTTACAGGCAAAGTTAAAAATTTAACGAGCAACATTTCTCTCACAGAAACCAACACGCTCGTTGATGAAACAATGGAACGAATCAGAAGAGAAGTTGAAAGTTGTGACACTGTTCAGGCGATCTTTGTATTTCATTCAATGGGTGGAGGAACAGGAAGTGGGCTAGGTAGTCGTGTGATTGAAGAAATTAGAATCAAATACCCCTCTTACTACATCTTTACCATTTCCATAGCACCGTTCCAACATGGAGAAACTCCTCTACAACACTATAACTGTCTCCTTACCCTTAATCACATCCAACAGTATGCTGACGGTGTGTTCTTGTTTGTGAACGACGATTTACTTCGTTCCATTACCAAAAACGTGAAACGACAAAATGCTGGCCATTCTACGCTCATGGATGTGTCTTACTCTGTCTCGGATATCAACAAGTACATTTCGTCGAGTTTATGTGGACTATTGCTTCCTTTGTACTCGAAGGAAACCAAAACATATACCCCTTTCGACACATTCTCTCTTGTGAATCAAGTAATTCCAATGAAGGATGTCAATTTCGTTGAATTGCATACTAGTGCTTTATTAACACATAACGCAACACAATTCACTTCATGGCAATACATTGCTGAGGATTTAACCAGACATGTACCAATCTATGACCTCGAAAATAGCAATATCAAAACTATTTATGCTAAAGCTATGGTAAGAGGTGGTTTGCAAACTTCGCACGATGTAGATATTATCAAAACTGTTTTACAAAAACAGGCCTTTTCCCCAGTCGAATGGATGAAAGGTCGTAAAGAAGAATTTCAGGTACAGGTTTCAAGTGATGAAGCATTGAAAAGTTACAAACTTCCCTATTCTTTAACTGTTTGTGCCAATAGAACAAGCTTTATGCAACTCTTTAATCGAGTGCTCACCAAATCCTACACCATGTTGCAGTCGGGTGCATACATCAACTGGTATCAAAGACATGGACTTGAAAGACAGATTTCGAAGAAGCAATCTGCAACTTGCAAAGTGTCGTTGACAATTATGTCGAATTAATTTAAATGGTGGTGTTAGCACTTGGGTTATTGTCCAACAGTCGTATACCTTAACTTTATGGGTTTCAAACTCTTTTAGTACACAATGCACGACCCATGTCTCGACTCTCTGAATCACAAACCATCTGATGATAATGAGACGGCACTTCTTGCATTTCCAAGTTTATATTTTTTACAACCCTATCAAATGACCTTCCAAATTTGTCGCAAAATCAAAAAGGGTTTTCTAACTATCTAGATCTCATACTCGTACATGGTATGTGTCGAAAATGAAAGCATGTAAATCTTTTTTGCTTCATTAGTTGAAATATCAATCGGCGCTCTCCTACAATGGCTTTAAACCACACAAAGGCGACAACATGATTGGTCAGTTCACAACAGAAACATACCATTAATAAGTAATGACAGGAAGACGAATCTCGTATTGTGAAAAAAACAAAATTCATTGCAGCTCTCGTGGTAGAAGCAGTGATTGTTTTAAAGAACCTCCAAATATTCAACCGGAAATTGCAGAAGAAAATGAGTGAAGACACTATACGTTTTGTCGATGAGACCAAGCAAACACAAGACACTTATTCCTACCTGAAACCTATTGGCATTCGTAAACTTCGAAAACAAATCAATACGAAAGAGTTCAAAAAGAATTACTTTGTCATTGATACTAGGAAAGATGAACCCATGGTGGTCCATTACGATTCCGGGACTCAAGGAATTGCTCCAAACATGCAGTTGACCTCTGCCAATGCTAGTTCAGGTACCCCAAGCAGTGGCATGATTACTTCACCTCTCAAAACTCCAACCAGAACACCGACTTTTGAATTTCAAAACATGTGTTTGAATCAACCCACCAATCATGGTAACACTCCTCAACAATTGTCACAACACGCATTCTTCAATCCTTCTTCGTCTTCAGTGTCGAATCCTCTCATAATGAACCATCCTCATTCCTCACCTCCCACTCATGAGTTGTCCATGAATTATTTTGGTATGGATCCCATGTGCATGAATGTCAGCACGCACACACCTGCCTCTACACCCACCTCTGCGAATGGTCACCATGTTCAATTCTTGCAAGCACCATTTCTTCCTCAACAAACTCAATCCACATTGACTAGTAGCAATGCATGACCAATACTCTGTCTTCATCGTCCATGAAGAGAAAACACACCTCCTCAAGTAGTAGTAATAGTTCAACATCAAACATGAACTCGAGAAGAACACTCTCCATGCCAGACTGTTTGGTCAATTTCTCTCCCAATGATACGGCTATGAATTTTGTTGATTATGAATTGCAATCTTCATTGTATCAACAACAATTACAAGCCAATAAGAAATGTAAACTAGGTAATGAAGGAATCAGCCCTACACATCACCATATACTGAATGGAGAACAACAAATCATGTTCTCGAATCAAGCTTGGATGGACGGAACTGCAAATTTGAATCAACAACAAGCAATGATTCCTTCTTCACAAACATTTTTCGACTTTAATGCTCAACAAGATGGTTTATTTGGATTTGGTGACAATGGTCATAACGAAACGAGTTATCAACAAACTAATTCCATGACAAAACACATATCCCTTAATCACTACCCTCAATTACATCACACCCAAATACAGCTGCTTGAAACTCTTCAAATGATTCTCAATCAAAATCATCCTCAGCAACTTGAAGAGGATGGAAATGATGGAATGGTTGTTACGGCTCCACAAATTCAATCCAATTCTTCTCCTAATGAGCAAGGCCTTGAAAATTCTCCCCAATTCCATCAAAATATGATGATGGATCAACAGCAAGAAGTTGCACCATCACAACATTCAACATCGTTTGGTGTTGCTTCTTCTGAACAGCAACAACCATCAACTGAATATCAAGATCATCAACAATTGTGGAATGACATTGATGAGAATGGAATTTTCAGCCCAGTCGATCACTCGGAATTTTTGCTTCAAGATCTCTCCGGTGACAACACTACCACTACCCTCAATAACCTCAATACCTCCTCCTCTAGCGATAACAACATTATCGAAAACTCTTCACCCCAACCCTCAAACGAATAAGAACCTTCTCAATTTTGCTCTCTAAAGTTTTGTAATACTAACACCTCACTGCATATTGTAAATAATATGAAATAAATAATTTAGTCCTATTTAAATGATATATGATATATACAAAACATGTATGTGTCAGTAAATGGAAAAAGCTGTTAGAGATCTCTCCAATGAAAGGGGTTGTGAAGCAATTAATCTAGCATGGTTAGCATGAAAGATGTCGTCACCCAATGTTATCTCAATGAATGGATATACTTTCCCATCAAAATTGTTTAATGGTGCTCTCTTAAGGAACCAAACAGTATGTCCACAATACGATTTGAAATTCCATAATTTTTCTCGTCACCTCCTGGAGCAAAGTGATGAATAAAGTGATGAGTCTTCAAAGTTTGCCATCTTTGACTAGTAAAGAAAGTTCTAAATGGTTCAGGAGCTCTTGCTGCATTAGCAGCATGATGCAACCAATAATGATGCATGTCATAAAACACATAACCCATAAAAGCGCCTGCAATGACTGCATGAGCTGCATAACTTGGTAACACTGAATGAGCAGCAAACACAAATGGTGATGATAAAATCGTAAATAAGGCCACAGGAACTACCAAACGATCCTTATCCATTGGTAGCTTGTGATGGAATCCATGCAATAAAAAGTGAATTATATTGGTCACATAGAAACCATCTTTCCCAACCTATCGAAATGGAACAAGTACTTGTGTAACACATATTCCAAGACAAACCATATGAAAAATCCAATCATGAAACAACATGCCATTCCGAGCCATGAAAAACCCTGTAAATAACTCTGAGAGAGCATAAAGACAATTACAGGTAACCAAACCACCAACACCACATACCACTGAGTATGTGAGGTCATCTCCAAATACTTGTTGCTGAAGAGCGGAACGGATTCCTTAAAGTAAACAGGTCCCGAGTACGAGACCCAGTCAAAGTACTCTTTTCCGAGCTTACCAATTTGATCGAGGAGAGGTTTGGAGTAATCGACTGGGTCCTTTCCTTTCAACAACATGGAAATGGTTTCATCATTAGTAGTGGCGCCCAAAGCTGATTCTGCCAATGCTCCGGGTCCTTCAGAAGTTGTGGTGTTAGTGCAACTTTGGGTTTTGTTACCTGATTTGGAAATTTGAGTTTCATCAACTGCTGTTGCTTCATCATTCAATTTTCCAATCCTATATCTCTTCAACATGGAATAGGCTGATGAAGAATGTTTATGGAGTGAAGCATCTTGCAATACTTTTGTAATATCTGAACCTAGATAATCCAACAAAATGTCTGTACCTCCGGGATGAGTCTCGCAAAACTCTGAAATATCATAGACGTGCTCGTGAACAATCACCCAGGCATCGTGTTCCGTATTATGTTGAGCCACTTGTTCTTTGGTGTAGAAGCGTTCTTGAGTTGGTATCAATGAGTGGCTGCTATCGGGAGAGGAAGAAACCGAGGTGTTGGTGGTTTCACCATCGCGGGCTGTTTGAGAAGAGGTGATGCTTGAAGACCATAATGTTTGATGATGATGAGGTGAATATTGAGTGGAAATCATTCTCTCTCACGGTGAGTATGATAATGATGATTATGATGGTTATTAATGGTTCCGAGTGTTAGGTGTTTCAACGAATGAATTTCTTCGAAAACGCTTAGTAATTCAAAATGTTGCTTGGTAGGGTCCTCAATGAGTTACGAAATGGAATTGGTAATTGTTGTTTTCTTGTAATGATGGCAATGACTTTGATAGTAGTGTATCAACAACACATCAAGAAGGAAACTCTTCTGACAAACAGCGAGTACGGAAACAACCTTTAACTAGTCAATGGTTGGATTAAGAAAGTTTTTTTTGATGTCCTAAACCGTTGGCACCTGGCGTTGCGCAGATATAATTGTGCGCTTGGGGTTTCACTGCTAGTCCGTTCGCGATTAGAAAGTACTCCAACACATGAACGAATGGTGAAACGCAAATTTGAATCAAAAGGAAGTAGGATGACACTACTATTTGGTGTTGAATTAATTCTGTTTGTTCTAAACGAATGATCATTGATGCAGGCTGAATGTCTCTGAGCTGGGCTGTTAGCGGAATTTGCGTCTTCGATTTGTGAGCAAAAAGGAGCATCATTACGAAATGTGCGCTCATTGGAAATGAGAACGTTCTAATGTCTTTATTTGGACACCAAAAAGAAGTGAGCAACATTCGCAACGTTGTATTCTTGAAATACGAGCGAGAGGACATCACGATAACATAAATGGGTTTCATTATTATAATTTCTTGAGGGTTAAATGAGGTTGAAATAAGGTCGATCTTATTTCTTCTTTTGGTTCCATTGTAGCATGGCATCCTTCACAAGCTTGTCAACAACTTTTGATTTGTTTTTCTGAATCTTGGACGCACTTTTTGATTTCACATCCATGTCTCGTTCCTTAGTTTCTTGAGATGAAGAAGGATTGGGTGTTTTGCAATTCTTAATTCGTTGCAACAGTGAAACAGGTGTACTTGGCGTGAATGGTTGGAGAGATTGAGGTTGTGAAGATGTACGTTCTTCAACTGTTGGCTGAGAGGATTGTTTAGGAGTCATGTTGGTGTTTGTTTGAGATGATTTTTTAGAGGGTGTTGCTGTGGTAGTGTTATTTTCTTGGGAGTGTTTGAAAGAGGAAGCGCGTTCTTGGGATGATGACAAAGTAGGTTTGGTATCTGATTTTTGAGAGGCAATGGATGCAAAGGAAAAAGGTTTTGATGCTTTTTGGGGTGGTGCTATTGAGGTACTCTTCTCACTATTCACTTTTGTTTTGCCTGGTGTGACACTTTTCGATTGTGAAGATGGAGTTTGGGAAAGTTTGTCGTGCTTTCTTTCTTCTTGAGAAGTAATAGACTTGGGCTCCTCTTCTGGTTGTTCTAAGGTAGGATTTTGGGTAAATAGAACGTTGTCATTCGCTGTCTTCTGTAGGTCTTCATCCTCGTCAATCATTGCATTGTCATCTTCTTTTGTTTGTTCTTGATGTTGAGGAGTGGCTTTTTGGGATGATTCTTGTTGTTCTTCATCGATTTGAGTATCTTCATACGAAGCGTCCATCACTGGTGACACGTTTGCAATATCAGCCTGTTTTTCAGAAGAGAACAGGGGCTGCTCATTGAGCTCGTCAGATTCTATTGAGAAAATAAAATCTTCATCCTCAATCTCGTGTTTGTTGTCATCCTTCGTGTCCATGTGAACTTCTGAGGCAGCATTATTGGCTTTGCCGTTCACATTGTCAATAGGTTTGGTATCGTTTGTCACTGCATTGATGTTATTCGCTTTGCTCTGTGAATTAGCAGTGGTTGCGTCTACTTCCTCGACAATAGCAACCACAGATGGACTCGATGGCTCATTAGTATTTACAGTTTGGCTGCCTTGTGATGCCTTCTTTTCCATCTCTTCGATAGCATCATCAAAGACTGTATCATCATCTTCAGCGAAGATAATCACTTTTTCATCGGTAGCACTATCATCACCTACTCGGGGAAGTGTTAAATTGTTGGTACTTGCTTTTGAATGCAAATTCTTGTTGGCATTAAACGAGAGAGAGGAAGCCACAGAGTTAATGACGGAATTCTCCACAGCTTTCTTTCGGACAGATCCCGGAACAGGAGAAACAATATCATTGTAGTGCTCATTCTCACTCTTCTCTACTTGCAAGAATAAAGATGGGTTATTTCCACAAATTACTTCAATAATTTTAGATTTCACTTGTAATTGAGATGCAAGACCTTCCCAATTTGTGGGTAATTCAAATTTCACTGGCATTCCCGATTCTTTATCAAAATACAAGTGTTGAATGGATTTAATCGAAATACTATCCTCAGTCGGATAGAATTTTTCATACTCTCTCTCCAAAAACAATATTAATTCTTCATGATTTGATATGGCTGATGACGGAAAGGAACAGAACGCTTTTCCGTTGCTCAAATAAACGTCCAAATGATAATTTTGATTCGACATTTTTTTTGGCGCGTTGTGGAAGTTTTTTGCTTCTTCTCTTTGATTGAACTCGAAAATCAAAACCTGAACGAATAATATTTATTCCAATACATCATTTTCAGCCGTTGACAATCTTTTGGCAACCACTGTTTCATTTTGTGTTAGACATTGATGGCGAATCGAGTTGGATGATTTCTTTTGAGCAGCAGACGGTTTGTGTTTGCTGTTGGAGTAGCTAGAAGCTCTCTCAAGTTCCCTCTTGATCATTTCCTCAGAACCCATTACCAATGCGTTATAGAAGAATGAAGACTTGTCCTTATTGGAGGTGTTGAAAAGAGGAGAAAGGAAATAATCCTTTGTTGAATTCTCACCAAAGTACATGAAACCACACTCGTTCACTCGTGTCAAGTTGTTCGTGATTTTTGTGATGGTAATGCATTTCACACCCCAGACGTTATCGGCCACTTCAATGTTGGTGGTACCAGAGCTTTGGTCAAATCCTTGAGATTTCAAACAGAATATATATTCATTCTTGTCCGTGTCATAGAAATTACTGCAAAGAAGATTGAGAGTCTTTTGAGAGCTTCCAAATTTGAATAAGGAATTTCCACTCGAGAGATTAATCTTTTCTTCGTAGCAATAGAAATCTCTGCCTCCACTGCCTGAGACGCTAAAGTGAGGATCAAATAGTTCTGTACCTAATTGTCGGGTCATCTTGTTTTGTTTCTTGCATCCTTTCAAACATGTATTGAAGTTGCATTGCTCAAACATGTTAAACACTTCATGATGAGGATATGGAACGAAGGTTTGATATTTCCACTTGTATGTTTTTTCCAAAGATAGATCGTTCAACACTCGTTGGAAATTGTTCTTTGGAGAGCAAGCTTGTAAAGTAAAAACTCCTCCACCTCTGCTCAAATAGTCTTTGTGAATTTGAGCTGGAATGAGTTTGTTACTTGCAACAGCTTCAGTACTCGATGGAATGGTATACACAATTTCCCATGCTGGTGTATCATTTTCAAAGTCCTTTACAAATGAAAGATGATCCATTGAGAAGAAGAGTGCAGACTTCATCTCGACTTGGGTTTTGAAAAGAGGTTCAGTGGAAATGTCCATAGGTGAAGCAATGGCATGCAAATATTCCATGACTGCCTTATTGCTCAACAAGGCGTGATGTCTCGAAACGGAGTGACGGCTTTTGGAACTTTTTGATTGAGGTAAGCTCAACGTTTGAGAAGTTGAATCCACACTGAATTGATAGTGCTGATAGGAGCCACTGGTAGATGAAGTGGTCGTTGTGGTCGTTGTACTTTCAGTGTCAGCATCATCTTCTTCTTCCTCGTCTTCATGATTTTCCTCATCATCATCCTCATCAGCAGCATCATCCTTTTTGGATGCTTTCATTTCAAAAGCGTCACTTTCATGATTCGAGGTCATATTGGGCGAACTAGAAGCAAGGTTAGGAGAATAGGGAGCTTCCAAATTCACTGATGAAACAAGGCTTGAAGTTGGAGTCGATGGTTGTTGTTGCAACGCGTGATACAATTGATGACTGTGATTGCTTTGGTTACTGCCGACAAGAGTTGATGCATCGTCCAGAGTACTTGCTGACTGAACTGAGAGGGTTGTATTGGACGATGAGTTCAATTTTCCTTGCGTACTAGAATTGCTTGCTTGTCTTTTGATTTGAGTGGAATGGTTGATCATGGTCACAGTTCCACTGTTGATTGCCAAATTACTGTTATCACCACTTCCTTTCGATGATGATGATGGTATCGATTTCAAACTTCTCATTCTCTTTGCAACATGGCTCTTAAAGTCATCACTTCTGACAAATCTAGGAAAAGCTTCTCTCCGTAAAAAGCTCTCAATTTCCTTCTTCTTCTCGGCATACAAAGCCTGTTCATAGTATGCAGGATTCTGTTTCATTTGCAAATACAAAGACAACAATGGTACGAATCGTCCATTGCAGTCTCTCTCTAAAAACGATTTGAACAATGAGAGGAGTGTTTGAGAGGCTGAATTGGGAGAAGGCATATTATCACTGTTACTGTTGTTGGATAATGACGATGTCTTGGAACTGATAGGTGTAGGAGGAGTTGAGATGTTATTATTCGTGTTGGCAAACTCTGGAAAGTTAGTGAAGGCTAAGCATCGATCAAAGTCAAAGACATAACATCGAAAGAGAGAACGTTCCTCTTTCGTGAGTTGAACGTTGCTTGAACTGTTACTACTACTGCTGTTGTTTGTTGTAATCATTTTCTTCTTCTTGAGAGGTTGGTACGATGTTAGTGGTGTGATGTCTGAGAGAGAAAATATTCGTGTTAGGTATTTACAAGAGGCAACGTTGGGTGTTGTTTTTGTTGGTGTTATTTGTTTTTCTAGTTGGGTTGATGTTGAATCGTTGATAGGGACTCTCTTCAGGCTGCTAGTAGTCATCATGCACTTCAGCATTGTCCTAATGAGATTCTTCTTGTCCAAGGTTGGTAATACACGTCCCGATTAGTGAACAAAAGCGAACCGTCTTAACTTCATTGTTCATGTTGTTGGCATTCCCGACCCTAAAACGATTTTTTTAAATTGCAGGTGCGTTTCTTCTTTCATGACTGTACGGAACCATCTCTCATGCTATGGCGGCGCATCCGACGTTGAAGCGCACTAAAAACCTGTCAGATATTCGTCAAGTCAAAAATGAATATGAAAGCATAAAAAAATTTATTCGTTGAATGTCATGCAGTAGAATTGGTAATAGTTCTGGTTAGGTGCTAGCAGGATCTGTCTTCCGTGAGCTGTTCGTTGCACGCTGTTGTTTACAAGCTTCAGCTGAAGCGAATAATGGTGTAACGTCTATGGCCTCTATATTCGTTTCAGTTTGTCTGTTGTTGCAGTAAGAACCAAGTTGCTTCGTTCTTCAAACCTTGCAACAATCAGAAGAGACTCACTCATTTATTTTGATTCTTGAGTTACTCAATCAGCTGACGTGGGATTGACGAATATCTGACAGGTTTCTAGTACCAATTGCGCCGCCATAATACAGAATGGAGACCTCACGACGAGATTGGAAAGCTAATTTATTTTACAGTTCCTTCTTTCTTGTTTGATGAGATTCGAGGAGAAATTTTAAACTAATGAACAACCTAGGTAAGGGTATTACACGAACCAAAGTTTTAAACGAAGAGGATTGAAAATTATAGAGTAATCTCAAGGAAATGGACCTAACCAAGGAGCAAGAAAGAAGAATGGTTTCACTGTGTGCTGCTTTGATTGTCCCTGTTCAACCAGCAAAAAATGCCTCCAAAAAGAAAAAACACCTCTCGCTCCAAACAAAAAGAAGCTGAAGATCATCAGAACGACAAACACGTGAACGAAATTAATCCTTCATCCAATAATGTTGATTCCGATCATCACTCAGAAGCTGTGGAGAGTGAATCAAAAAAGATCAAGCTTTCGGGAGAGCAGACATCTTTGACATCCAATGAAGAAAGAATGAACGTTTTGACAAGTCGATTGGATAAATATGATGAAAAAGCTATATCGGAAATATTTGAAATTATTCAAGCGGAATTGCTGAATGAGAATAGTACTGTCTTTTCGATTTTAGAGTCATTCAAATTGATTGAAAAGTATGTTGTAGCTTAAATTTGCCTTGGGCTTATCCTTTCTCACATCATGCTCTTTCAGCTTCGTTTTCAAATATTTAGACGAGTCAAAACAGTCTTCCAAAGAATTCATATTAACTTCAATTGTAATAGCAAATCAACAATCGAACTTTAAGACTGTTGTTCAACATCCCAAGTTTGACATTCTATTCAAATCGTCTATTGCTTTGAATTGTGAAACAGCAACAGAAAAATTGATTTTGATTGTATTTTTGATCAATTGTTTCTCTCATATCGATTTATTGAGCAAGCTGTGTTTGGATTTAGTTTCTCTTCCTCTATGGAAACATGTCAACCCTTCAAAAAGAAATGCTGAGATTGAGAAACGTAATTTATCCAAGTATTGGAAAAAAATTTCAAGCAAAAAAACCGCTGAGGATGCTATGAAATCAGACTTTTTGCCATCTTTGGTGAGCCACTATCTAAATATATTGAACTCTCTCCAGTCAACTGATATGGAAGAAGATATCAAAGAAGCCAATATGATTTATTGTGAAAGATTTTTAGAATTTTTAATTGACTTACTTTCACAACTTCCCACAAGAAGATTTTCTAGATTTTACTTGTCTGATGCTCATGTATTAGAACATTCAAGACTTTTCATCAGATCAGGAGCTTCCTCCAAGAAGTTCTCACAACTTGTTGAAAATTTCGATTTTTACTTAAACTTTGATATCAATGACGATACTGGTGTTGCTCTTTCACCCATCGAGGCTATTGGTGTTCATTCCGAAAATATTCAAAACCTACAACACACTGCGTTTAGATATTTTCCAGAACAATTAAGGAGTCTCTACTTACAAGATATCAGCACAATCCAACAGAGAAATTTTCTAGAGAGTACTCTAAAGACACTAAGCAAGGATGAGCTATTAGAATTTGCAAAGAAGCTAAACTTTGTAGGCCCATATGAGACTGGAGACGACATTTCTCTCGAGTTGTTAATAGAAATCATCGTAGCAAATCACGAGAAAAAACTATCTCAAATAGAACGTATTAATAAGACACCTATCTATCCAACAGAAAAAACCATTTGGGAAGATATCACTCTGACGAATTCAGCTCCGCCAAACATGCTGTACAAAGGTTCAAACATACCTCTTCCCAAGCTAAGCATTCAATATCTTTCTCTTTATGATTATTTATTGAGAAATTATACACTGTATAGACAAGAGAAAACTTTCAGTTTAAAACGATCTCTGGAAAATATAATTTCTGATTTAAAGTATGTCAAGAACATTAACAGTGGAAAGACTGACTTTTTATCTGGATTTAGAATGGCATTACCTTTGTCCAAACCTTTTGAACTGATACAAGTAGCCGCTCCAAAAATTGGAGAATCTGTACCATCTCAAGTACAAGGTGTTATTTCTATTGATTTGTCACGTATTGAGTCTGAAGATATTAGAAAAGAATGGGAAAATATTCGAAAGAATGATATTCTATTCCTTGTGCACATCAAAGCATCTTCTCAAATGGCATTTGATAACGAGGAAAGGTTTGACAAGGGCTATGGAGTTATTTCAATCAGAGGCTGTGAATTAATCAGACAAGAAGATCAAGAAGGAAATATCATTAACGCCCAAACAAAATTGGCAGAAGAAGATGAGACTCTAGAATTCGACCTTTCTTCGTCTGTAAGAAAATTGGTGGTTCTCATGGATCCGGTCCAATACGTATTAGATAAAGCAGAGCAAGATAAGTCCAAGTCTGACCTTTACTCACAGTTTAATCTGGTGATTCGACAAAAACCGAAAGACAATAATTTCAAAGCGGTTCTTGAGAGCATTAGAAATTTAATGAATGAAGGAGTAGACCAAATTCCTGATTGGATTACTGACTACGTACTAGGATATGAACCATCCACGGAAGAGGAAGCTGTTGTTGGTGAAGTGACGGTAGATTTTAGAGATACCTTCATGGATGAGAATCATCTTAAAGAAGCTCTTTCGATCACAACAACGCCTCCATCTCCAGCATCAACAAATTACTTTAAAGTTTCCTTCCTGAATGGTCAGGCTAATTCATATCACCCTTACATTCCACGTGACGTAAGAATTCGCTCTAATAATGTTCATCAACATAGATTTAATACTCAACAAGTGAAGGCAATTACTTCAGCATTGCTACCTGAAAAGGGCTTGGTGTATATTCAAACTCCACCGAGCTGTGGAAAATACCAAGTATTGACAAAGATTATCGAGAATCTATACCTCAATCATCCACAACAAAGAATTGTGATTATTACAAGGTCGAACCTTACACTGAATGCTATTTTTGAAAATTTAGAAAAATCTAGAGTACATGAACGCCATTTACTTCGACTGGGAGGTGAGAAGAATGTTTTCAGCAAGTTTGGACGAGTTAATTACATGCTAGCACAACGCTTGGAAGCATTGAAAGCTTTTGACATTCTCGCTTCATCTCTTGGGATGGCACAATTCATCAATACCTCTTGTGAAACTGCTTCACACGTTTTTATTGGAAAAGTTTTCCCACGCTGGAAGGCCTTTTTAGAACAGGCACAACTTTTGAAAGAAAATTCAACCACGCCAAATGATCTTTCCTTCTTTGAAAATAATTTTCCATTCATTGACTACTTTAAGCAAGTGTTAGAAGTTGACAAAATTTTCCAATCTACTCAATATGATGAAAATATGAACAGAGCATGTGAGCTCTTTTCTGAAATTTCACTATTATTCGACATTATTTGTGAATGTAAAGTTTTTGAGAATGTGAGAAATTACCATGGAAGAAGCAATCATATCCTTACTCACCAGTCACGAGTTGTTGGAATGACATCCACTCATGCTGCCATCAAGAGAAGCTCATTCAAGCAACAACAATTCGACTATAACACATTAATCATTGAGGATGCAGCTCGAATTTCAGAAATTGAATCATTCATTCCAATGAGTGCTTCGTCTCGACTCAACAAAATCATACTCTTGGGTGACAACAATCAATTACCACCCCTTATTTACAACAAGCAAGTGGAGTTATTTAGCAACATGGCACAATCCATGTTCACAAGATTTTCGAGATTTATTGATGAAAGTAAGATGATCACGCTGCCACATGACGAGACTGAAATTTCTTCAAATTTGGTGCCACTATTCAAATGGAATTATCCTGAATTTATGATCATGTGATACCAACTGAAACGAAATTGAATGGATTCAGATTTAACTATCAAATGGTCAATATTGAAGATTATCAAGGAACAGGTGAAATTCAGCCATACCCACACATGTTCCAGAATTTAGGTGAAGCAGAGTATGCCATTGCTCTCTACATGTATCTTCGTTTAGTAGGTCATGAAGCAAACACCATTACCATTCTTACTCCCTATCAGGGTCAGAAGAATCTCATTCGATCCATTGCAAAACGAAGATGTGGATCTTTGGGAGAGCCAAAAAAGATAACTACCGTCGATAGGTATCAAGGACAATCGAATGACATTGTCATTTTGTCAATGGTTCGAACAACCAGCGCCGGATACATGAATGATTCAATAAGAATGGCTGTTGCTTTCTCTTGTGCGAGACGAGGATTGTTTGTATTGTGTCGAGTGTCAACATTTGCCACCTGTAAGCCATTCGCTGAACACTCTCTCATGGACATTTTCAGCAAGGATGGTCGATCAACCAGTGCTTTGCAATTACAAATTGACAATGAAACTGAGTCTGTGACAAATGTTTTTGAGTTGGGAAAGGTGGTGTTGAAGCTTGCACAAAAGAATGTCTAAAACAGTTTGTTGCAATTTTTCAAAATGTTTAGTGAGTTGACTTAATAAATTCAATGCCAGTTTGGTTTGTCATTCAACAAACTCGTCAATGAAGGCAAAGGATACGCTTTGGGAGGCTCTGACAGCATCACATGCAAAGGAGGTAACTTTTCTCTCATGACTGACATTGAATCCGTATGGTTGTTCAATCTTTCATACGATGGCGCGTGTTGATAATGTGAAGGGGGATGCTCTTCACAACACTCTTTCAACAACAGACTTGATGCTGACTGTCCTCCCCTAGCAACATGTTGTTGCAGTTGAACGATCGTATTAGAGACAGATCCGTACTCGCCCAGAGATGAAGAAGGGCTCGATGCAGGTGATTGATCACTGAATGGAATGGAAGGAAAATCACTTCGCCCACTCACTCCACTGTTGTACGGAAGTTGATTTGAGGTCAACCTTAAGGAAGCATTCGAAGGTGACACTGGTGGAGAATGACGACGAGGTTGAAATATGGAGTCACGCTGGAAACATCTCTATGGATAGTCATTCTCGTAAAAGTCGGTATGCTTTGCATGTCATTGCATGATCGTACATGTCCAACAGCCACCTGTTGTGTCGAGTACGATGGTTGAAGCACATGCCTAGTTGAAACCTCCTCACTCCTGATCGCTACATGTTGGTGATCATCATAATAAAAACGAGTTTTCACTTCTGGTGTCCTATTCATAGGGTTCATAAAGGTGTGCTGTTGTTGTGTTGCAACATCCACATGCGCATTAGGTGCAACAACACCTTGGTGTTGACAAGAAGCAGCGTGTATGGATGCTGTCATTTGACACAATGCAGTCTGAGACTCTCTCGTGGTACTTTGAGTCGACATCCTTGCAACCTCGTGTAATTTCGTACTGACAGTTGGACCTGTTTTGTGTTTTGGTTTTGAAATTCCTTTCGAGCCAGTGTTCGAAATTTTCTTCTTCTTATTGTTCTCTTTCAATGGATTCTTTTTGAAAAACCAATGAGAGAGATGATGTTCTCCCACTTGTCTTGTCTGTACTTGGGTACTATTCTTTCCAAGTGAAGTCGATGTAACAACTACAACACCTTCTTCTTCTTCTTGATCCTGACTGCATACACTGTCATCGGATGAAGAATTATTGTTGTTGTTGGAACAATTCAGGCTACCACTCACAGTGTATGATGAGTGAGGATGGCTGTTATTGGGCAGATGAGAATTTCCTTCTGCTACCATCTCTGCTTGATAGATTCTAACCTTGGGATCTTTAACAAAAAAGTTGAAAGACTTGGTGGTTGGTGATGATGATGATGATGGAGTAACATGGATCATTCTGAACGTTTGAAGGAAATATCGTTGAACGAGATGAAAATATATACAAAAAGATCTTGAATGGATAGTAGTAGAATATCAACGACGAGTGTGGTCAAAGAGAGAGATCTTATATCTTGGCGTCTATGATAAAATTGGTGATGATACAAAAGTTTGTTCTTGGAGGTACGCAATAATGGGGGAATCAAAAACGCGCACTTCCTTTCAAAGACTGTAACTTTTCGTTAACAAGTTTCTTCTATTGCTGGGAGCTGTTCCTGAAGGAATGTATGGAGCAATTGAACACTGTTTATATGAACAAGTGTACGATGAAAGTAATCTGATGGAAAATAACAACGCACAATAAGCGCTCAAAAATATGTTGTTGCTGCACGCAAGGAAAAAGGTGAACCTCTGTTGAGTGATTTTGTTTTGTGTCGTGCGTTGTTCTGTTATGAATATCGCAGGTAAGAGATGTCGTGCTTGGTGATGGGCTGTTTTTGTGTGTCCATGCGAGGACAATCGCGTGTGATGACCAGAAATGGACACGAGGTCGAAGAGGGCAGAGGATTTGTTGCAAGCAGGTTCATGACCACGCTTGATAAGAAAAGAACCAATGCTACTTTACAACATTGTGTGTTGTCAACTGTTGGTGGTTGGATAGTGTTTCATCCTTGGAAGTTGTCGTTATTTTAGTTATTAAATCTTTGTGTTGGTTCGCACTGAACACATGAGGAAGCATTAATTCAGGTTGACCACGCCTTTGAAGACCTAATTAATTATTTTAAAAAAGGAGATTTGCTTCTCCACCTCCAAGATTTTGTATCAGTTTCGTCATTTAAGGTGGTTATGGAAGAATTCATAAATTAAGGCAGTCGATTTTTCTTGTTTTGTAGCAGACAGGTCCAGCTGGATCAGAGTCATTTCAACCGATTCGACTCGGGAGACTGAATGAACATCAAAAGCGTTGTTTTTTTACATCCATTCAAAGAATGTTGTGGTTCTACCTTCACTTTGACACATCGATTTTTGATGAATAAGGTTCAAGTATAGCAATTGAAGAAATTGTTTCCAAATCCCAAATGAAACATCTGATTATGCGCGAACTATGAAATTTGACACTTTGCATTTTTTAAATCAAAAACAACAAATCTGTGTGAGATTGTACTGCCTCATCATCATCATTTAAATTTCATCAACAACAAGACTAGGATTCGCTCACACTATTTCATCGCCTGATGATTTACTTCATCAACAACAACATGATCACAACAACACCATGATGAAATCAAATCAATCGACTAGAACCCTTTCCATTATTCTCTTCTTCCTATTCATCATCGTCATCAACAATATTCCTCTCATTAATGCCTGGAATTACACACTTGGAACTCTCATTCCCAACATCCAAACTTTGTCCACACCTTCTCAATTAATTCTCGTGAATCCTTCGAATGGTGCTGCTCTCTCGAACTCCTTTTCGACGAATCAAATTCTTTTACAAGTCTTGATTCCGAATGAGAGTCCACAACAAACACCTCTATTGAATTATACAGGAACACAACTCTCCATGGGATGGATTGAACTAGAGGCTCTTTCATTTGTAAAGGATGATGTTTTGCCAATTGTACCTTCTGTGACACTTCCATTGCCTTCGAATAGTACGATCATTCCTCCAGCACCTTCAGTGATTTCACCTTCTTTATCCATTGCAGTACCGAATGTATCCCTCTCGTTGAGTGTGACCAAAGTAAATCGATCAATACTTTGAGTCATGAAAATGTCAGATCGAATGCCACGATGAATCAAGGAAATTCAAAAGAAAAATTTGAAGATGAACATGCTCGATCGCGTTTGGATCCCTATCGACAATTAGTGACACAGGTGAAAGAATGGAAAAACAAACAAAATGTATTATCCAATAACAAGAAGAATGATCGTAGACAGAGATTTTACACACCACTGACAGGTTATTATCCCGTTTTGGGAACTTTTGGAGGATCGCTGTCACCCAGCAATTTTCAAAGTCAAGTCTCGTATTTTATCTCACAAAAAGCTTTAAACTCGTTTCGATTGGACAATGTGACGAGTTCGAATGGTGTGAATTTGTGGAAAACCACTTCTGTGGAATTTACTGAAACTGTCTTTGGCTTGAAGGCAAAACAAGGTAATTGTAAGTAATGTTATGAAGAATGAAACAACAAACACTTCAAATTTATGATCACTGTAGCATCTCCACACACGATCTATGCCATGACAAGTGGCAAGTTATGGCTTGTGAGTAATGGAAATCTTTTTTCATTAATTACCAATGCAGCAAGTACAGAACAAGACTCGACAGATGGCACCTATGGATCTGCAAGTATTTACAGTGATGGAAATTATCAAGATATTGAAATTACAGAAGATAATGATGTATGTTTTACAATTTCATTGGAATTTTTATATTCGTGATATGAAATCATTGATTATTAGGTTTATTTTCTTGAGAAACGTAAATTGAGAAGACTTCGTGGTGGTGTCGTTACAACCCTCGTGAATTATGGTATCAATGTATTTTCAGATGGAGATGTTACCACTGCAAGATTGAATCAACCTTCATTTATGACAAGTGCTTTTGGAATGGTAAGTGATCGATGGTGTGAAATAATTGAACACTATACAGAGACTAAATTTCACATAAATGTGTCATGCTTTTCGTGGATTGAAACAGCTCTATATTTCAGACACTGGTAACAATCGAATTCGAGCGTTTAACATGACGAGTGGAATCTTGACCACTATTGCTGGATCAGATTCTGGTACTTCAACGACAGGTCTTACGGACACAACACTTGGAGATGCTCTAAAGTATTCTCTATCACAACCAAAAGGTATTGCTGTGAATAGGAATAATGGTGTGATTTACTTTGTGGAAGGACTTTCAATTCGAACATTGACTCCTCAATGTGATTCTGAAAAAGAGGAACCAATGACTGAATATCCATTTTGTAAATGCAAGAATGGACTCTTTTACAATGGAAGTAATATTTGTGTGTCGTCGCTATTGAATAATGGTACTTACCAAATATACCTATTACTCCTAGTTTGGTTCAAAATATTTCAGTATTTGGTTTTCAAGACTATGTCGTGAGACAATCACAATTCAAAATCTCTTGGACCGTTGAATCATTTTCGATCAGTGCTGATTTCCAAAATGCTATCAACAATTCATTTACAAACTACAAGTATAGTTTTGAAATTTATTCAGGTGAAAGTGAATTACTGTCCTCCACACAACGAACTGGACGAGCAGTCTATTTTTACTATAATCGACAATTTAGATTTTTACCACCCATTGTCATTGAAGCCATGCTGAACACAACCATTGGAGATCGAGTAGTTTTTAACATGGTCATTGAAAACTCTCAAGCTCTATTCTCTAAAAATTTGACTATTTTGGAAATGCCACAAATAACTTCCTCTCAAATAACAGGTTTTTATCCATCTGTTGGAGTCGCATTGACCACACCCTTCATGATGAATATAACTCCTATCAGTACCAGTGGAGTTTTTGCTCAAATGGCTCCTTTCAGTTATGCCTTTGGTTTTTACAAACCAATTGGAGATGAAAATTATATTCGAGTGACTGATTTTGTCACACCTGCCACTGATACGACTCCAATTTCTAAAACTTTCCCTTTACCATTTCTGGGAGACAAATAGCTGTCAAAAAGGATGTTCATGTAGTCATTTTCGTTCGAGATAATGCTGGAAAAATTTATCCAACAAAACCACAGTTACCTCACAATTGGATGCCCTTGTCGATCCACCTCCACAAAATCCAACAACTGAACAGTTGATTCTTATGGCTCATGATACTTCTCAGAATTATTCGAGCATGATTGATAAGATTGTTGTCACTTCTCAAAACTATGCTGTCACTCTTCCAGTCCTTTATCGTGCCTTAACTGCGAGTGTTCATGTTTCGAGTGGAAGTTTACATAAGGTCACTTCTAACTTGGCAACAGCATTGGGAGATACAATTCTAGAACAACAACAAGAAATATCACAATTTGGATATGTCAGAACCAAGACATTTGACAACTCTCAACTCATGTTAAATATCATTTCCCAAATGATTACATTCAACGGAACAGAAAATGTGAGAGAAAAGTTCACCTCATTACTTTCACAACAGGTAATTTCTCAAAGTTCCTCTCTTTCCAATGGTCGTCTCAATCCTTCTCTCGTTCTCAATTCAAAGAATGTCAATATTACTCTTTCAAAAGTGATTGTGGATGCTTCTGTTGACAGTGCTACCATCGAAAATAATAGTTCATACGGAGATATTTCATTAAGTTTGAAGAGCACAAATGGAGCACCACAAACACTTTCACCTCGAAATATTGGACTTTGCTTTGTTTCTCTAGTCACCACAGATCAATTTTTACCTCTTGAAGCATCAAGTAATACTTTGAAATCTCTTTCTAACATTTATGACTTTAAATTTTATGAAAATGATCAATTGGTTATTTTACAAAATTTACAATCACCCATTATTTTGAAATTCAAAGCGATGGAAAATACAAGCACATCATCTCAGAAACAATGGATTGCTTGTAAATATTGGGACGAGGTCAACAGAAATTGGAGTTCTAATGGGTGCCAATTTGCAGGTCTCGAATCGGCAACCAATAGGTTGATTTGTCATTGTTCTCACACGACCAAATTTTCCACATTTTTAGAATTTAACATGACACAAATCAATGACGAATATGGTATCGTACGTTCGAATATTATTTCTCTATTCACTGCACAGATCGCATTTGGATCGTTCTTCGTGTTATGTTGTTTAGTCATTTTTATATTTCTCATTATTTTCCGCAATCAACAACCAGTGAAGAGTCGATTAGTGACACCTTACTTGGGAATTTTAGCATTATTTGTAGAATCTGTACTCATTTATGTGACTCATCGATCCTTAATTGTTGCCAAATTCACTCAACCTATTCCATTAGAAATTGATGAAAATTCAGATGCTTCCTATTTCAATCATATTGCAACCATATTGGTGAACACTCTCAATTTAACAGCAATTTTCTCCTATTTATTACAAGTGTCACGAATTCAATTCATGCAACATCTCTATAGAAAATTACAATTCAATTATCATCATGAACCATCCAATAGGAAAACATCATTCCTCATTCGAATGCTACGAATCATGACTTCAAAAACTCTCTTTTTCACCAGTTTATTCATTTTCGCATTGATCAATATATTGTATTGGACCTTATGGGTGGTGTTGAGAAGAGTTTCAACCACAAGTACCATTTTCAATCCTAAAACCTATGTTTCTATTGTATCCATTTCATATGCAGTGGTGATATTATTTTGTAGTGCAGTCATTTCATTGATCTTGTGTTTGGATTTTATTCCATCCTTAATGAGAGAAGTGAAATTTCATTCGTCATTGAACAATTTGGAATCATCCAATGAAGCTTCACAACAAAAGACAAAGAAACACAATGTCCTGGCTTTAAAACCTTTGAGACCTATTTGGAATATGGATCGACCATTGTACTTTAGAATGGAAATGATATTATACTTGATCATGTTTGTGTTTTTGATGGTTCAACAGGGATTGGGATTGTATGTGCAGAGCGTTGGAGTGGTGAAGAAAATTCATTGCAAAACAATACTTTCACACAGATTCAATTCTTATTTGAAATTTTGTATACATTGAGTTACTTGTTGGTATTTGGAGGATTTGCGAGTGGCATGTCACTCTATTATAGAATTCAAAAGTATTCGAAAAAGAATAGAAATAGCTCTGGAGAATCCATTCCAAATGGAAGTAGTGGAAGTAACAATGCCATGAATTTAGAAGAAGAAAATGAAATGTTGACCTTACTTGCGATGAAAGAGGATGTGCCTTGTTTGAACGTTTTTGTGTGAAAGAGTTTTCTGTTGAGAATTTATATGCTTGGAAATATTTGCAACGTTGTAAAGACAAACTCTTTGGCCAAGATATCTCCGTCATCACTGAAATTGTTCTCACTCTGAATGACAATTATTTGCAAAGCGGAGCGGAATACGAACTCAACGTACCATCATCCCTTAAATCTCAATTTAAAGTGCTGAGATTGGCTCTGCAAGAGGCGACAACATTCGAAAGCAAACACAAAGAATTGATTGAGAAGGTTTACTCGGACCTCATTGAGAATTTGCAAATGAACTTGGGTGACACATTCTCAAGATACGAGAACACAGCTGAATATCTTTCATATAAGGAAATTCATTCCTTGCAATTTGAGCTGAATTCCAATGTCAAGATTGTGGAAGAATAGGTCAACGCAATGTATAAATAATAATTATTGACAATTTATGTATTGGTTAAATATTAACAAAATTTTTGGTGTGTTGTTGGTCAGGTGTTTAAGCACTCCAAACGTCTTTTTGATATCTTACGCCTAGTTTTTCGAGGTAATCCATGGCTGCCTTTTCGTCCATTTTGCCATACTTTTGAATACTGTTCAAGATGACCTTTTCCACGTCCTTGGCCATATACTTGGCATCACCACAAATATAGAAATAAGCTCCATTGTTCAAGAGATTAAACAATTCTTCACTTCTTGCCTCCAGTTTGTGTTGAACATAGACCTTACTGCCTTGATCTCTGGAAAAGGCAATATCAAGAAGGGAAATCACTCCATCTCTGGCGGCACTCTCCATTTCATTTTGATAAATGTAATCCTCTGCCTTCTTTCTGCAACCAAAATAGAGGTGACAAGTTCCTAATGCAACACCCTTATTCAACATGGCTCTTCGTTGTTCAAGGAAACCAACGAATGGAGCAATACCAGTTCCAGGACCAACCATAATGACTGGAGTTTTTGGATCAGAAGGAAGATGGAAATTGGATTGACGTACGTAAATGTAAGCTTGTTTGCCAACAGCCATTCTTTCAAGATATGATGAGCAAACACCTTCTCTTTGAGTACCGTTTGGAATCTTGTATCTCACAACAGCAACAACTGCAGAAATAGCTTCAGGATGCAATTGTGAAGAGGAAGCAATGGAGTAATAACGAACTTGCATCTTTGGCACAATTTCTAAGAATGCTTCAATTGGCAAGACAACAGATTTGAAATAGTTCAAAACGTCCAATGTGATACGGCTTTCCTCCTTCACAAATTTGTGATATTCGAGCTTTCCTTCTTCACTGTTCGAAGCAAGCAATTTGAGCTTGGCACGTTCGCTTTCATCAGTTGCAAAATGTGCCATTACCTTGAATGCCTTCTTCTTTGCGAGATCACTGAGCTCGAGGTAATAGGTCAAAGCAATTCTGATGGTCATGGCATCCTTTGGGAAGTAGCTTGCCAATCTATTATCCTTGTGATTTCTCAATTGGAATGGAGTATCAGCCTGTTCGTCACTAACACCTAATTTCTTGAGATATGCATTGACGAGAGCTTCATTATTAGCTGGATAAACAGCAAGATGGTCACCTGCTTCATATTTGATACCGCTTCCCTTGATGTTGAAATCTACATGAACTGTACTTCTGTTATCTGTTCCCGATGCCTTTAACAATTGTTCGTTTCTTGTGATTGTTGAAAGGAATGGATGTTTAGCGTCTGGAGAATGAGTAGTTGTCTTGAATGGTGTCATGGTAATTGGCTTCTTCAAATAATCTAGAGTGAACTTCTTCTCATAATCGTCCTCTTCTTCTTGAATTGTGGTTGAGAAAATTTCCGAAGCTGTCAACAACATGTGTGTCTTCCATTCTTCAAAATCTTCTTCGATATCTGCATCAGCATCTCCTTCACCCTTTTCATAGAATCTTTCGCCTCCTAATTCTTCAAATCGTTTATCGAAGAATCTGGCCATTGCTTGATAAATCTTGTATTGTTTGTTACCCAATCCGAAAACAGAAAATTTGACACCAGAAAGAGAGTCATTCGCAAGAGTTGTGTCCTTATAGTATTCATAAAAGTCACGTGCATTATCAGTTGGTTCACCTTCACCATAAGTTGCGACCAATAAAACAACAAGTTTTTCTTGGGACAATTCTTCTGGCGAAAAGTCAACCATGTCTTTTGAGATGGCATTGAAGCCATACTTTTTAGCATCTTGTGCTAATGTATTAGAGAATTCTTCAGCTGTACCTGTTTGAGAGCCGTAGAGAATAAGCATTTTGGGCCTTCCATCATCGACATATTCCTTGCTAAATTAAAAAGTAGTTCATAGAGTCCGATTGATGATGATGAATAATTTCATGAATGATGAGGAAGAATGTATCAAGTTACACGTGTTGTACAAAAGAATACAGAGATATTCACATCATGTGGTAGATCGATACAACATATGGATCATAGATATCATGGAAAATAATGTCCGGAAAATATTCGTGTGTTCATCATCACGAGTTGGTTCTCTTTGGAAATACTTACTTTTCCAAAACTTCTTCTTCGGCTTCTTCAGTACCATCCGACCTGAAAACAAACCAGTAAACAAAGAAAGCTCCAATCAAACCTAAAAGTCCATATAATAATATAGCAGCCATGTTGTATTTGAAATATATTTATCTACGGCAAAGATAGCGTTTGAAAATTCGGCAACGTGTCTCAAAAATAAGGGAGAGCTGTTTGTTGAAATTTTTTTGGACAATTTTCTCCTTCAATTTATTCTCGATCGGCCTAGAGATGATGAACGTCGGGGTTGTGTTCCGACACCAATTCCTCGTACACCTGCAACAACAAGGCAATCATACCAAGCCTGGAGGACCAAGAAGAGTTAAAACAGAGGACGCAGGTGCTGACTCAGTCCGATCCATTCCTCTTTGTGGCACAATTTGATTGAGAGATAAACACGTGTACGTGTGTTGTCCAGCAAATGTGAATTGTTCCATTGAGGAGAGAATTGAGGGTCATTGAATGTCATGAGGAGAATTATCGTGTTGTCGTCATGTTAATAATAATAATAATTGAACCTCTCTTTACTGGGTCTCTTGAAAGTACGTCTCTCGTATCAATTACTTGGTTTCAGAAAATAATTCTCTACCAATCAACATTCTTCTAATTTCACTGGTACCTGCTCCAATTTCATAAAGTTTAGCATCTCTCCAAATTCTTTCGACTGGATAATCCTTGGTATAACCGTTACCACCTAAAGTTTGAATTGCTTGTGAAGCCAACCATGTTGCCGATTCAGCTGCATACAAAATAGCAGCAGCACAATCCTTTCTCAATAATCTACTGCTTGCTTCTCTGTCACAAGCACGGGCAACTGAATAAACATATGAGCGACAAACACTGAGCTTGGTATACATGTCAGCAAGCTTTCCTTGCATTAATTGGAATTCACCAATTGGTTGACCAAATTGTTTTCTTTCATGGACATATGGAATTACAACATTCATAGCTGCTTGCATAAGTCCCAAAGGTCCTCCAGAAAGAATGCATCGTTCATAGTCCAAACCAGACATTAAAACTTTAACACCTTCGTTGACAGTTCCCAAAACGTTTTCAGCAGGAACTTCACAATCTTGGAAAACCAATTCACATGTGTTACTTCCTCTCATACCGCACTTGTCAAGTTTTTGAGCAGTGCTAAACCCTTTGAATCCCTTTTCAATAATAAATGCAGTAATTCCCTTTGGACCTGCATTAACGTCAGTCTTGGCATAAACAACCAAAACGTCAGCATCAGGACCGTTTGTAATCCACATCTTGTTGCCGTTCAAAATATATCGATCACCCTTCTTTTCAGCTCTAGTTTTCATAGAAACAACGTCTGAACCAGCATTTGGCTCACTCATAGCCAACGCACCAACATGTTCTCCACTGATGAGTTTTGGCAAGTACTTGGCTTTTTGTTCCTTATTACCAACACGGAAAATACGATCGACACACAAGTTTGAGTGAGCACCATAACTCAACGCAATGCTACCACTTCCAACTGACAGTTCTTCAACAGCCAAGGTATGTTCAAAAACTCCCAAACCAGTTCCACCATATTCTGGGTCAACGGTAATTCCCAAAAGACCCAAATCTCCCATCTTCTTCCACAATTCCTTGACCGGAGCATTATTGGTCTGATCCACTTGGGCAGCGATTGGAGCAATTTCTTCCTTTACGAATTGTCTAATACTCTCTCTCAACTGAAGTTGTTCTTCGGTGAGAGTACTATCAATAACGACATTGCTGAATTTTCTTACGCATGATGATGATGTAAGAACAGAGTGCTTGTGTAAGGTGCAATTGGTTGATGATGAAAGGATACGTTGAAGCGATTTTGTGGCTCTCATTTTTTTCAAATCAAAAATCCAACTTTATTCGGAGCCGTTTGTTACAACAGGAACAAGCATTTTGAAAACCATCAAGGTGACAAAAGCGGAACAGCCACCTTTGAGAATGCTGAAAGAGATGGCTCATGCAATCCTCAAAAGAGTGTCAATCCTTGAGAATTAAGTGATGTTTAGAAAACCAGTTTTGAGTTTTTACAGAGATGGTGACTGTCCAGCCTATGACATAACATCTCCAAAACATGATCAAAAAAACAAAGAATTGTCCCTTTCGCATCCTGTCATTTCTCATCTCTCAACATGTTTCTTTCTGCCAATACATCGTTTCATAATGCTGCTCTCATCCAACCAAGATTTGAAACCAATATTACTCAAACAAGACTTGATCCTCTTGTTCAAAGCGCAACAGCAGTGAGCATGTCCACTGCTTTTTTACTAGTGTTCTTGTTATTTGCATTCATCATTGGAGTTGTAATGCTTCGGGTCGAATCTCGAAAGCACATGAACAAGAATCAAGTTCTCATGATTCTTTTAATTTTAATTCTTTCATTGATTCAATGTTTGGTATTAGTCAGTAGAGATATTTTGGATCTCATGAATGTACGGATTCTTTCTCAATACGAAAGTATATTGCAAGAACTTTTCAACCTTATTCCATGGAGTTTAGGGATACTTTTCAAAACAGAAATTGCTCGATACGACTATTGGATGCTGGAATTCCGATGGAAGAGATTGTTGTCATGTACTTGTTTGAAAGTTGTGAATTATTCTTTGTTATTGTGAATTTAACGCTCATGATTGTCATTATGTGCTTTGTAGGAAATGTCTTTCTCAAACGGTGAAAAAGGCGACAGGATTGGAACATGAATATTCAAAGGCACGAAGGTTGACACTCGCCTTGAACGTTTGGACATGTATCGTTTCTGTCATTCTCGTATTCATTGCTTTCTCGAGTTCCATCTCTTACTTTTTCTATCAAATTTCATACATTCCATACATTTACCAAACTATCCTTCTAGTCATTGCGTTCATCACCTATGTCTTTCAATTGATCATTCAGACAATACTTTCCAACGTAAGTTCTTTTGAATATATTCCATGAAAAAGAAATCATTCTTGTTAGTATGTTGCCTTAATGACTCGAAATGTGATTCAAAGAAACACCTCGTCGTTGAATCACCTCACCGAACACTCAAAACAAGCCATTGTCAAAATTGTCGTGTTGCAATGTGGACTCACAGGTTGTGCTCTGATGCAAATTGCTGCACTTGCTTTTGCTTGTGCTGTGGATGAATTCTCCTATCTCGTGTGGTTTTATGGATTTTTAAACTCTCTGGAATCCTTTTATTTGCTTGTATTGGAATTGTGTTGTATCATCCAATATTTGCGTTTCGAGATCAGCCCCAACTCAAGAAAGAGCCAACCACACCAAAACTGCAGCAACATGATGTGAAAGCGATTCCACTGCATTCGAGTGTACAAGTTTGATATAGGGATATAAGGGTAAAATGGCACCTGTTTGGTCTCTAACACTCACAGTTGCTTGACACCAAGTTTATTCAACAAGAATAAAATCTTCTTCAGAAACGGCCAAATTCTCAATGTTCTTCTTAAATATCAACATGATATATTTCTGAGATGAATCTTTGCCACCTTCTCCAACGTCAGCACCATTCACAATTGCAATTTTCATACTGGTGATGTCAATACTTTCATCAAGATATTCAACCATCGGCTGTAATGGCTCTCATTCAATAACGCAAACGAACTGCTCCAAATTCAAAACCACGTTTGTTACTTAATTTGTTGACCATTTTGTGGATGTTTGGATTGGAAGCAGTAGTGAACGTCAATGAAACTAATCGGTTTCTTGGTGTGGCTTTTGAGATGGTATAGTCCATGTGTGAACAAAGTCTGTAAATGATTATTCTACTTGTTTCGTTTCAAATCTGATCGCAGACAATAAATCATCATTCATTCTAGACACATCATCAGGAAAAACGTTCATTGTTGATAATCCCGATTGTTCTTTAAATGATTTCACCTTTGCATAAAAAGAGCTTCTAGCATGATTTGGGTCGAAATTATATTCTTGTGCAAACAATTTAATGGCCGTAGTAACTTTCATTCCAACATTCTTCTTTGCAGCAACATATTGCAACAGTGCATCGATATTACTTTCTGTCATTGGAGAGGAATAATAGGACTCCTCTGCTTTGCTTGCTCGTTTTGCTTTCTTGATACTCGGCATGGATATATTATTTGAAAAGTCTTGTTGTAATCAATCAGCTCAGTAGTTGCAAGCACCCTTTGGAGTTTCTCAACGCTTCTTGATTCAATTTTACGATTTCATCATTGGAACACCAAATCAAACAATTTTAAAATGCTTTTAATAACCTAATTTTGAAAAAGAACAATGTGATGACCAAGACCGTAATTTATCAATTTTTCTATTTCTGTTATTTTTACCTCGCAATAGTATATTCTTTGCGACCTTTTAGCTCTCAACCTTTATAAACAGATTAAAAAATCATCCGTAGCTCTTCGTAATTAGTATTTAGCGGTACAGATTCCATTGCAATAATTTTTGCGAATTTTTTCTTGCTGCGTGCCGTTCTGTTTATCGTTTTATGCTTTTTATCCACACCAAAAAAAAGGCACGCCATTGGTTCACAACAACAAGCACAATGAAAGATCCGAACACAAGATATTCGTCTATACACACCGTCACATACTCGACCTCCACTCTTAAGAGACCACTTGCTGAGACTGACACCAAGGTCCAAAGGCAAGTCTTGTCGACTCGTACATCTTCTTTTGTTTCCTTCACCTCATCAAAGAACCATGATCAAGACAAGGAAAACGGTTCAAGCGACACCAAAAAGAGAAAAATAGCTGACACGGCAAGAAAGCCTTTGGAACCAATCCATATTCAACCAATGAACATTCCCCAACCAAGTACGGTAATATTTCGTCAGCCCGATCTATCATTCACGACCTTCTCAGGGACAAAACCCTCACTGATATGAACATTTCATCACTTGATGAAATCAAAGACAATTTTACCTCACCCATTGGAGATCTATTACGTGAACATGTCAGCTTGACAGATCTATTCATACCAGAGCTTTCTAACAATATCATCAAGCAAACACTTGCCAAGTTAGTAGGACCTTGTTATCCAATGGTCGGAACCATTACTCTCTACTCTGACAAGCGTTATGCATATTCATCTCTGTATGACGGCACAAAAAAGGATATTGCCAACACATCGGGTTTTGTGTTTTATTCGTACAACAGGCTGTCTAGGATTCTAATGGCAATGGGCCTTGGCAGAGCGTTGATATTCGTCAAGTTTGTCAATGGAAATGAAAACAATGCTGAGCTCATGGATTTGAAATTGAAAGCTTGTAACGATGGAATTACTTACAATGACGTACATTATACTTTTTTCAACGCTAGCAATTCATCTCTAAACACTAACGACGGAAGTTGTGTGTTTTTAGCCTCATGTATTGAAAGACCTTATTTAATTTCTCTTTTAGGAAACTTTGAAGAATGTGCAAAACAAGGAGTTGGCAAACTCATAGCTCGTATTGCCATGAGCAATGGAAAGAGCTACATGAGTAATGAACAGTTACAAAAAAGAGAAATCTTCATGCTGCAGGATGAGGATGAATTTCCTTGCGCGGATGGATGTGGAATGATGAGAGAGATAAATTTGAAAGAACATTAGAACAAACCAATGCACAACCATTTCATGCAAAGGAAGTAATACCTTATTTCAAAGAGAATGAAATTACAAAGATTTCTGCTATCCAGATACGGGTTCATGGTTTCAAAGGAGTGGTTCAAAAAGTGTCACACAAGCATTGGCGGGCCTTACAACAAACACATGGATTCACTGATGAGGTTACATGTTTAATGCGTCCCTCCATGAAGAAATATGAAACGAACATTGACATTTATCCCTTCATTGATGTTTTGAAATCATCTTCAGTCATTGAAGGTTCTGTGCATAGGACGTTCATGTCTTGCATGTTAAATCTGACCACCAAAAAAGACGAAATGAGTCAATTATTTATTCATTGGTTAGAGAAGTATCTTAGAGAGAAGATTCATCTGGATCGTTCGAATGCATCAGAACTTAAAAAGAAGTGTTTGAATTTATGCACCAATTATAGGTTCAAAACACAAATTGAAAATGGATTCGAGCCAAATTTCCCCTTGATTGCAAATCATATAGGTGATTCCATCACCAAAACGTGTGAAAAGCTGGTTCGCAAGAATCTTTCTCTCAAGATGCATCTAAAACAAACAGCAGTAAGGCTGATGGGAGTTATTGATGAGAGTATTGAGAACGCTCTACAACCTAATCAAGTGTTTATTCATTGTGACACTTTGACTTTAGAAAATTTGTACAAAATCAAACAAGCCATTATTTATAGAGATCCTTTGGTGTACGAGGGAGATATTCAGAAATTAGAGATTGTATTGATTCCTCCTAACGAATATCTTGCATCTCTGAGGAACGTCATTGTCTTTCCCAAAGTTGCAAAGGACCAATTAGCACCTCATCAGAAAATGGGTGGTGGTGATTTAGACGGGTAAGTACGACATGAATGTAACTACTGTAGTATATAGTTGCTTACATTTTGTTAAAAGCGACTGGTACTGCATTATCTTTGATCAAGAATTGTGTTCGTTAATGGATAAGGAACCAAATTTTATTAACTATGATGCAAACAAACAAGCACGGAAATCTCAAACATTCACATTGAGCTATGAAGAAATTAGAACTGAAACCATACGTCGTATTGCTCATAAATTTTGAAATCTCTACTCTAGACAAGCTGTGCATGTATATTCGACCTCATGAAAATGAATCACTTAAAAAAGAGCTTGCTAAATCTTATCATGATGCCATTGGATCAAGTAAGGGAGAGGCGATTGATCATTCTCAGGTTCTTCAATATGTCCAATTCCTCTATGGGCCATCAGGATGGACTTCCTTATGCAATGAGGTGAAATTCAATAATGGAAACGTGAATTTTGTCATTCCATCCCACATTGATCTAAAATGGAACTGTTTTGAACTTGGATTGATCCTAAAAGTTATTGACACTTACACCGTTGAAATGAAAAATTGGGATAACATCTCTCGACAACATGACTGGTTGAACTTTTTTGATGAGCTAGAGCTCATTTGGTGAGGTATAGTGGTCTTGAGGTGATACCCAGTCCTGAAGAAAAGAAAAGTTGGAAGTTAAAATTCGAAAAGGGCTACAAAGAATGGCAAGAACATTGGACAGCCGCTCTTCGTGACGAGCCCGTTTTAGCAATTTCTAAGGACGATAAATGTTTCTTGAGCTCTCTCAAAAAACATTTATCATCTGAACATCCACCACCAAATAATGTGGTTTTGAAGTGGACGACAAAGTTCGCCAAAGATGAAAAGGGCGAATTTTTACCATTCAAGCTTTGGTTTGGTTTCAAAAAGCCTTTGAAACTGATCAAGCAAAGAATTATAAGAGCGAATTCAGAACATGCGGTTCTTTCTTATTCACTCATGTTCCATTTACCTCAAGCTCGTTAATGACGCAACAAGGAGCTTTGTAAATGATTTCTCAGAATGATTTGCAGGAGAGTTAATATGTCAAGCTCCTACAAGGCAATAGTTCCATTTTCTTTTAGTGTGTTCATAAAACTCTCAAATATTGGATCATCGTTAGGTTCAGGAAACCCTTCTTTTCTATTCGCCTCGAACAGTTTCAAGGTATCAGCATAATAATATCTTGCTCGTTTTGAAATGTTTTTGGTGACAAGACTTTTAGGAAGTAAACCTCTAAAATCAGCTCCCACAAATTGAATGAATCGACATTGTGATCCAGGTAAATCTTGAAAAACCCATCCACCAATATTCACAGCAAATACTGTTCTTTTTAAAGGAGCAGCCTTATCGCTTTCACACGATCTCACACACAACATGGTGCACTGATCGGTACTGTCATTCACTAATGAGCATGCAAGAACAAACTCTCTTGCTTGAAATGGAAAAGGAAATGCATAAACCTCTTGGGTTATTGTGGTAGCCAAATGCTCTTCATCTTGTCTAGGTTGATAATCAATTTTTGAGAGGACTTTGGTGTTCTTATCGAATTTGAAACGCATTTTCGTGCTTAGTAGCGTGTTAATGACAGCACTCTTTGGATAGGGAAAGATGATATCATCTAATGAGTTTTCATGTTAACGCGGTGTTAAACATGGAAATGTTGGATATTCAATAATTGTTAGAAAATTATTGAATTGTTGGAGATGAATGTAAGAAAATTCAGTAAATTACTTGTACTTACATTTAAAAAATTGAACTCCTCCGTTAGTTGAGGATGTTGCTTCGTTTCCAAGAAGATACTGATTATTGGATAAGCTCACTGTATAGTTTGGTTTCGATATGAGTGTATTCCACAAACTATTGTTCTTTAACATCATGTTTTTGATTAATTTGCATTGTTTCACTGTAATTCTTGGAATATTCATTTCAGTGAGAGATTCCACAAAACTTGTGTGACTAAATGGCTTTAACTCTGCAATAGAATTCAGAAATGCAAACCCCTTCGTCTGAACCAACGTTTTAAATTCATTCCATTCCACAAATTCTTGAAATTGCGCATCTTTTAAATTCAAACTCAAATAATTTTCAATTCGCTTAAACTCAGACATGAACCGTTTGATTATGGCATATATTTCTTCTTCGAGCGAGTCTTCTGTTGATCCGTGATGGGAACGGCCATTCGAGCCCGTTCCGTTCATAAACTTGTCCTTCTTCAATTCAAACTCTTCCATTAATTTAGAGAAGGGTTCATGTAAGTGTAGAGGTAAATTGAGTTCAATATTGGAAAAGCTATTGAAGTATTTGGAATCCATTTCCTCAATCATTCGTAACATATTTCTGAGATGAGGTAACGAATTTGAATTTAGAACGTGATGGTGATGATGAAGGAGAGGAGGTGTGGTTTGAGAAACATTGCTGTTTGAAGAGAATGTATCCAATCCGTGATGATTAGAACCGTTAGAACCTAAACTTGATGATAGGGCTGATTCGCAATTGTTGCTGTTATTGGAAATGGTATCATACGATGATGTTGCTGCTGCTACAATACTCGTCGTTGAATGGAAACATTTCCTTAATTCCTTAACACTCATCATGAAGAGTAAACTCTCGGGACTTCTCTTTTCATTGAGATATTGCAGAAACAAGTTACAAGCTTCGGAATTTTCCAGAACAGCATCATAGCTGAAGAGGTAATCATTCAAATCATGTTGAATGGAAGTATTGGCTACATTCGTTGTTGAAGAGTTGTGGTTGGAATTTTGTTTTTTCGAGAAGGAAGAAAGGGCATGATCACTTCCGAGACTCTTTATGCTCGATGGACTGTTGCTATTACCGTAATCGTCCTGATCCACACGTGTGGATGAGGGAGAGTTGTGAGTATTTGCAAGAGGTTCTTGACTCTTCTTTCTCCTCAATAGGCCAAATCGTTTCCAAGCTGATGTTTGCTGTTGTTGAACACTAACATGAGAAGGAGAGGAAGGTGGTGATGGATAGCTGTAACTACTTGAACCACACGCAGAGGTTGGAGATGACGAAGGAGAAACCATCTCATTTCTCCCAGTGGGAGGAGGTGAAGAATAATTCATGGTCGTGGAATTATCATCATCATGAGAAAAAGAAGAGGCTGTGGTTGTTGTTGTTGGAACGACCATGGTGGGACATGATTTACTATGAATTATATTCATCGGGGATGATGATGATTGATTGAGCATTGTCATGATTTGGGAAGAAGTGATGGTTGGAGTGGAAGGTGTTTCCGAAGAAGGAGCTGCATTTTCACTCTCATCGGAGCAAGGTGAAGTTGTGAGTGTCATGAAATCCTGATGGCCACAATAATAATCAGCCACAGATTGAGAAGGAATGTTTTTCAGAGATTCGATTCGGACATGTTTAGATGATGAATGGCAATTGTTGGTGTCCTTGTTGTTGTTGTTGTGATGAGTATGGTTATTGCCATGATTATTATTAACTTGAATGGTGAGCTGATGATGATGAGAATCTTTCAATTGTCGAATGGCATTGACAGCAGCATTAGAATGGGTCGTGACAGAAGCATTGCTCTCTTCCGTTTTGGTGTGGGTTAATGGCAAATCGAGAGAAGGTAGTTTGGATTCCTCCAATGCTCGTTCTCTTTGCTTGCTTTCTGAAAGCATGTAAAATGATGTCAGTAAATTAACTTGTTGACTCTGTCTCGAGTGTAGTAACGAAAACAATCAAAAAGCAAAACAGGCAAATTACTTGGTCGCACTAAAGAATGTTTTTTTTTGTCTAAAAGAATTTTTTAGCAACACACAACAACTTTGATACGACAGCTAAAGAAGGGAGGTTTGAATATGATATCACTTTCTGCTGATAATGTCCTGACAAGAGTTGGTGGATTTTGAGTTGGTGGTTAAGGAGAGATTCGAATTAGAGTATGAATTGTCTAAGCTTGGAGAACGTCAACTGTCAATCAAAAAAATAATTAAATTGCAACATTTCCTCACTTCATCTCTCCCCAATTCTCTTTTACAACAACAACAATAAATAATAACATCACCACTACCCTCCATTCACATGACCGAACCAGTTGAAGATTTTGAGCTTTCTGACGACAACTCTTTGAAAATTATTGTTGTTGGTGATGCGAGTGTGGGTAAAACTTGCATGTTGATTTCCTACAGGTAAGTGTGTTTGAAGTGATACTTTTCATTGAAAACAATATTATTCTTCATTCATCATTTCACTACAACATGTATTTCATCATCATCATCATCATCATCATCATCATGGTGATCATTTTTCATCTCATTATTGAATCATACATTTTAGTAATAATGAATTTCCAACAGAGTACAACCCAACAGTTTTTGGTGCGTTTTTATATTTAATTGATGATTTTTATTATTAACTCGCGTCAAATAATGATTCATTCACGTTCACCTCAATGGATGTTTCAATAATTAATTGGTGTTGTTGGTTTCGCATCATCATCATCATTGGCATTTCATCTTTTTAAATTATCAATCACCTACAATTGTTGGACTTCAATACATTGATGGTACTACTACATCACACGATTCGGCCTCTCTCTTCTTGCCTGACTGTTTTCGACATCATCGGTTCACTTTCGTTCACATTATGGCCCTAAAAATTCTGATTGTTCCAATTTCACTTTCACGTCTTCAATGAATGTATGAACACCAACAATCAACAAATTGGACAATGGCTGTGGAACTCTTTCGACAACAAAATTGAACACAATCGACAACAACATACAATTTCGTCTTTCAACAGATAACTACACTGCCAATGTGGTGTACAAGGAAAAGACTGTGACTCTAGGCTTATGGGATACTGCAGGAACAGATGAATACGATCAATTACGGTACGTGGTTGTGTTGTAAATTTGTCGAGGAGAATTATATTGATTGCTATCAATTTTTATTATTTCAATGGACGCGATTGGTTCAAAATTTTCATATTCATGACAACAGACCTCTTTCTTATCCCGATACTCATATCTTTGTGATTGTTTTTGATGTAACCAATAAGGATTCTTTGGAGTCTGTCACGAAAAAATGGGTTCCTGAAATTAAAGGTAAGTATTTTGATCGTGTTGGGAGTGACAAACAGCTCAACTATTGCTTTTTAAATTGGATCTATTGGACGACACATAATTCCGATGATTGTGTGAACAATGAATTATTGATTGAATTTGTGCTGGGAATGCATTGAATCTAAAATTCTGCTCTGCTGCTGTGGAAACAAATAGAACACACAAAGGATCGACCAGGAGGTGTACCATTCCTGATTGTAGGAAACAAATTGGACTTGAGAAATGATCCTAAGGAAAAGGATAGATGTGTACCAAGGTAAGTCTTTTGAACAACTTTGGCGAATCTCTAACTCACGTGTTGCATTATTTTGTAAATTTCCAAAATATTTCTCAATGATCATTCAATGTTTAAATCATCACATACAAATAGATCTGAGGCTGAAAAAGTCAAACAAAAGACTGGTGCCGCTCGTCTGTTAGAATGTAGTGCTAAAACACAAGAAGGATTGAAGGATGTTTTTGAACAATGTATTGAAGTAGTCATAGAAAACTATATGAAGAAGAAGAAGGGTGGAAAGAAAAATGAAAAGTGTACTCTTCAATAGTCGTCGTTGTCACCTTCAATGCTCGAGTAATCCGAAACTTCACTTATCTATTACGGATTAATTATTGTATTACTGTAATTGTTGCATGCGCTGTTTTAGCAATGCAACCTGCTCACTTGTTGATAAATTCAATGAAGTGTCATCATTAATTGTCAATGTTGGAGTATTTGTCATAATGTTGGAAGCAGTTGCACTTGTAGTTGTGGAACTAATTCGAGTTTTGCTTGCCTCTGTTTTGAGTTGATTAATTTGTGACCGTACATGGTCAAACATTTTACACTCAGATTGGTGTGTCAAGATTCTTATTCTTTCATCCATCACTTTGTACGTTTCTCTTGCGATACGTTGTTCTATTTTAGCCAGAGAATTCTTGAATTTGTTTCCCATTTTTTCGTAGAACTTTGACTTGAACTCTTCAATTTCTTTTTTCACTAATGTGTCAACATTTTCCTCAACAGATTGCATACGCTTTTTTAATTCCTCCACTTCTTTCTGCACCTCTTCCAACCTTTGTGAAATATCTGTTACTTGATCTTTTGTGGACAACGGTTGTTGAGTTTTTCTTTTGTTGATTTCGCCAATTTTTTCTGAGAGTTCTTCGAGATTCTTTTTTGTTTTGGCTAAATTGGTTTCTCTTGACTTGACTTTCATTCTCCTTTCTTCTAGAATCAAATTTTCCTTCCCTGGGTTGTGGTCTTTTTTTGATGAGGATTTAAGGGAAACAGTTTTTGGCTCCACAACTTTCAAATTGGTATTTGTGATATCCTTTAAAGGAATTTCCAGTGTTGGGGAATGTTTTGTCGTCTTGATGTCTTTGGAAGGAGATATTTTCTTAGGTGAGGAAAGAGGAAGGTTTGTGTTTGAAGGCAACTGTTCCTTTTCAGAAGATTTGAACGTAGGCATGGAGACAGTTAACGGATTTCTGGTACTGTTAGATTTTTGTTTAAACGTTGGAATTGAGATGAGAGGAGAGGCTGATAACTCTTTCAATGAAACGTTTGTGCAATTTAGCATCATGGTGCCATTCACCAAGTAGTTGTCCACATTCAGGAGATGGGATTCGCTAGCATCAAACATCAAGTCGTCAAACTTGCTGCTAAATTCCGTGATCTTTGTGGGTGATGTGTCCAAAATGGGGTTAGGAGAGAGAGTCTGACGAAGAGCGTCCATTGTATCATCTGGTAAATCTGGTTTGAATTGTGGAGGTAACGAGGAAATAACGTCGATATTTGTTGTTGGAGAAATGTGTTGACGAGGGACTCTTTCAAGGTCTCTGCTGAGGTTTTTGCCTCTGAATTGGGTGGTAAAACTGAAGGCAGTTCCTTCATCACGAATACCTTATTAAGATAAACTCGATTTCCTCCAAACGTGTCCGTTACTGAAAATTTGAAATAGCAGAAATCGGAAGGAATGGACTGAATCTCAAACAAGTGATAAGAAACGTTCTCCTCAGCTCTGAGGCTAGACCAATGGATGAATGGCCCATCTCTTTCCCTTGAAATAAACATTTTAATCTTTTTCGGATTGAACACATATCTCTTTTTGCAGAACCATCCGACACATCCAACCGAATAAGCATGAGGAGGTAATTGAATAATACATTCTTGAGGTAGTCCAACCTCACTAATCCAAATATCATCCTCTTCCTCCGAGAGTATGCTATTGCAAGGATAATCTTCCTGCTCAGATGATGATGAAACAATACAAGCTCCTTTTCTTAGGCAGCACAAGTTGCTCTCCTCTTGAAGAGACATTCGCATGTGGTTGCTTTTTTTTTGTAAAATTTTGACCGCCAAATTTTAAAGTTGTTGGCAACGATAAGAAAAGGCGGTTAATAAGATATGATTATCAAATTCAAATAATATTTTACGTTGATTATACAGGGCTCCCCACAACCTGGCACTTGTACCCTTTTTCGACAGACGCAGATTCGACTCTCAAAACAGTTCATAGGAACATTCATTGCTTTCATTTGTTATCATATTCACAAAATTAAGAGTTGTTGCATTGGTCCTACTTTCCATACATCCGTGCGACGATGTCGTTGAAGGAAACTCCTTTTAACATTTTCTTAATTCCGTGCTGCCTCAAAGTATTAACTGATCACTTTCAGGCAACGTGATTGCCTTCTCACAACCGCTCATTGTAATCCTTTTACAACATTAAAAAAAAATGTCTCAACCTTCCTCTCCATCCAGCAACAAGCCTAAAAAGATCAAAATCAACTGCCCTTTGAATTTTGGTTCAGAATCAACTCTATGTTTGGAGAGTGATACATTAATCTCGAGCTCAATCTATGAAAAAGTTTCTTCTCTTCCCATTTTGCTTTCATCAAAGAAAGATAGTCTTCCTTTTCTTTTGAAAGATCAAGATTCTAAATTCATCTTTCCGAGCTCGAAACAAATTCCAAAAACAACTCTTGATTTGGTTGTTCCTGTGTCCAAAACATTACGTGATGATAGTGAAACAACTATGGCGAACAATGAGAGTAATCAAATCGAATCATTGGCCAAGTTGTGGAAGAATCGAAAGGCATACAAGGAATTATTTGCTAATCATTCAAAGTATGTGAAACCTGATTATTGGATTCTGTTTGCAAGCGATGATCAGGTATTGGCCAATATTGTGAAATCGTTGGAGCCTGATGACGTGAGATTGATGTGTAAATTCTTCAAAATTGAAGAGTTTTTGAAATCAAGTACGAGAGACAATGTCAGAGAGTTGTTGTGTGCTTTCTTGTCTCCAATCATCACACAGAATATTAGTGAGAAGGAATCCATGTTGCTTTTACAATTTAAACCACCATTGTTCTTGAATCCTTGCTCCAAAGAATTCTATATTGGTAATTTATATGAGAAGAAAAACGTCACAAGAATTGAGAAGAGTGACTCGTTGATTATTCTTTTAAGTTTAGTGGAGAAGTGTGCATTGACTCAACCATTGGACAACGCCGTGGTTGAATTATTGAGATTTAATGATGTTGGCAACACTGTTGAATTTCAAAACAAACTCTCAGCGTTTCAAGTAGATCAAGAAAAGAAGGAAAAGATTATGAACGCTCTCAAAAACAAGGATACCAAATTTATTGATCTGCTTGCAAAGGGAGCAAAAAACGCTTTGAAACTATCTACGGATGAAAAACGTGCAGAATTTGCGTCAGAAATCAAGAAGAAGGCTTGGGAACAATGTAAAGCTCTGTCAGCGTCAAAAAGTATTGAGGGTCTTTGTGATTATTTTCGTTTGGACATGTATGGCTCAGTAATTTCACTTATTGGTACAAGCGGAGGCCCAACCGGGATTCAAGTCGATCATGTTTTTCCTGATAATTTGGGAGGGCCAAATACGTTGGAAAATGCAGCACCAATTCATTGGAAAGCAAACAATATAAAATCGGACACTCCCAAGGAATTTTTAGATTTAACACCAGATGGCAAGGACTGGTTTAATGAGAAACAATTTATTTCATGTGCCAAAGAGTATGGAGTTTGGTGTTTACTTGGTTTAACACCATATGGCATTAAGGAAGAGCAAGATAAGATTAACTTGCTAGAATTGGACAAGAAAATTAAGGAATATCAACCACCGACCACTAAACGATCAGTATCGTCATCAACCATCGATCAACAACAGTAAATGAACAAGTATGCAATAATTTAAAATAAATTGTTATTGGTAATACATCATTGAACAAAATGTTGTCAGCTACTTTCTTAACAGGCCTTCGATAGTGGATCTATATCTATAGGCAGCAATAACTAAGAGAATGAATACCAATGCAAATAGAGGTTTTTGGTCGATGTGATCGTGAGATCCAGTTTGTGATCGGGATGGCTCACTTGGCTTCAAAGAGAAGTTAATGAGAGAGTGATATTTGGTAGAAGAGAGGGTTTCAACTTGAATATCAGAGCCGAGTGAAGCAGCCCCAGCACTTGAAGACTTGTCTCTTTGATTTTCTTCCTGTGCATTTTGCTCCTTAATATTTTTCACACCTACAATTGAGTGAGTGACAGTGTTAAGCTTTCCTGCTTTACCGGAGGATGTCACTCTTATATAGAATTTAGTATTATCGTCACGAAAATAGTTCTCAACGGGTAGGGTGAAATGGAAGAAGTTGGTGAGAGGAAGCTTTTGGGAAGAAATAATCTTGAATTGTTTGGCGTTAGAGCTTGTCAATAAATCAATTTCAACTGTAATATTGTCTTGAATAGAAATGTCGCTAGAAAGAGAGACTTCTCCAGAGAATTGTAAGGTAGTTTGCTTGAAAATGATAAAGTCATTTCCAAAAACGTCATTGTTGTTTTCCTTTTGAATCACAATCTGCTTTGGTGAGGATCTTTCGATGTTATGTTGAGTATTTCCAACTGTAATGTAGTATCTGATGTTTGGTTTCAATCCACGCAATCTGAACTCGCCTTTCTGATCAGTAGTGACTTCTTCATATTCTCCAGAATCTTTGGAAATGGCTTGTATGGTCACACCTGGTTCAGGCTCGTTTCCAATCGACTTGACACTTCCAAATGCAGAAAATCCGGTCTTCTTATATGTAAAAGCAATTTCTTCATCCTTTCCTTGACCTAATTCAAGATACTTTGAGCTTGGTTCAAATTCATATTCCTTAAGAGTGGCCTTGACAAAGTATTTATCAGGCAATAAATTGCGCACTGTAATCTTTCCCTCTGCTGGAACAATAGTATTGCTTCTGTGTTTGCTTGATACAATGGAAATTAAAACACCTTCTAGTTGGGTAGATACAGTAATAGATGCAAGTTTGTGTGCCTTAAAGTTGTTACCCTGGATTTGCTCGAATGAATAACCTTCAAGTTCTGCTGCCAATTTGTATTCAGCATCGTCATAGAGAGGTCCAATTTTGAAGGTACCGTTGTCATCTGTATATGCAACACGTTCTCCAGAGTTGACTGAGATTTTGACTCCCTTAATTTTTTCAGAAACGCTACCAGAAATGTATCTACCTTCTTTTCCATCAAATGAAGGAATTTCAGGAATACATTTACCACTCTGGATCATTTCCTTTGTAATTTTGAATACTCTTTTTTGTGGGAAGAATAACAGCGTGTCGCTTTGAGGCTTAATCTCAAAGGTGCTCTCTGAAGCAGTTGTTGTAAAGTATTGATAAATCAAAGAATTTGTACCTCTTGATGCTGTAACAGTGGATTTTTCTTGAGGTGTGTCGAGATTGGTAATGTGAACCACAACTTTCTCGTTCGATGGAGTATTAATTTGTCCTCTAATTAAGTACCCAGATACTTCCAAGTCAATAACTTTTGGAGAGGCTGTATCATACTCATAGTTATTTCCATCCTTAAACTTGAAGCAACTCTCTTGAATGGAAAGTTCATACACACCATGTGTAGGTACACACAATGAATTCATTCCTTTTCTCAAAGAGGTGACGACTGTCTTGTCTGTGCTGGATTTGAGTTTAGAAGAAAGTTTAACTCCTTCATGAGAAGATCTGACTGTAATACTGTATCCAATTTGTTCAAATAAAATTTCTTGATCCTTATCTCTTAGATCAACAATTACTTCGTTCGAGTTTGATTTCCAACATACTGTTTGCTGTTCAACACGAACAGTATACCTCGTTGGCAATAAATTTTCAAAGCGGACTGGAGTTGTTGTGTCAGTATCTTGTTGAGCAATCTTGCGTTTTTCCTTATCCAAAAGAATAACAGTAGCTTTTTCTGCTGACTTCAATTTGAGTTGAACATCAAGTTTGAAGAACGTTTGAGCAATTTGGAGACCTTTCATGGGTTCATTATGGAACTCAAATGTCAGAGGATGAAAATTAAATTGGTCACTGTCAGGCAAAACTTCCAATGATGCGGTAGTAGTGGCTTTCTTTTGAACTGGTACGTCAAAGCAGAAGTCATTCTTTGTAGATGTTTGCAATTTTTGGTCGGCAACCTTAAGAATCACTTGTCTCTTTTGACTCAAAGGAGTGTCACTGATTAAATTTCCACAAAGCTGAACGTGGGTTGGCTTAATGCTGTCCATTTGAGTTTTTGAAGGAAGGGGAGATACACTGACCTTTGGGAATGTGAAGCCCATGTATTCGGTCTGAATGTCCAATACTTCATTTCCATTCAAATCATCCAATGTAAAGAAGCCTTCATTGTCAGTCGATTTTTCCTTTCGTTTTTGTGTTTTCTTATTAATAATGGTCAACTTGGCCTTAGCTAATGGTTTATCTTTGGCATCAAGAACTTGACCTCTCACAGAAAAACCAGTTACTCTAAAGCTTCTCTTAATAACAACATTATTTGGGCTTGCAAGCTTAAAGCTAATCTCTGCAGGATCAATGTTGAATTTTTTGTATTCAGCGCTTACCACATAGTCTCCATTCACAAACACAGGCAAGCCCTTGAATTCAAATGATCCATTGCTATCGGTGGTCGTGACACAAATGCCATTTGCTGGGTCGCTAGGTTTTGTGCAAGGAAGAGAGATTTCTTTGTTAATGCGAGTAGGTTTCTTAAGATAGACGGTAACACCAGCAATTGGTAAGTCACTATCAGAGCCTTCAATGCTTGATGACAGCACAACTTTTCCTGCAGCTTTAAAGCCGCCAATCACAATTGGCTTACCAATGTGAATGGATCCATCTTTGTTCACTGTCAAGGAAGTGGAAGGAGAAGAAAAGATTAATTCTGGATGACTTGCAACTAGCTCATAATTGCCAGGCAATACTTGGTCAAAAGAGAGAGCTCCATCTTGTTTGGTTGTTGATTTTCTTTCGGCTTGATTTCCTTTTTTCAATGTAACTTGAACGCCAACAGGTGCTCCCTCCAATAATACTTCGGAATCTAACTGTTGAACTTTGATGGCACCACTAGCTGTGATTCTATATCCAACAATATAAAAGTCTAAATTCTTCTTGGAGGCTAGTGTCTTCAAATTTCCTTCAATACCTTCGGGTTCAATTGAAAGAGCCTTGTTGCTTGAAACAGCTTTCAAAGTATAAGTACTCTTATCATCTTCGTCATAAATCGGAAGAAGCCAAAATCCCGATTCTGGTGATACTTCAACCTTTTCCTTTACGTAACCCTTGCTGTTGACCAAGTGAATTGAAATTGTGCTATAATCAAACGAAGTATCTTTCAATTCATCCTTTGTTTTGATAAAGCCATCAATGGTCGTCTGGGCATTGATTGAATAAATTAAAAAAGAAGAAAAAAGCAAGAAGAAAATGACTGATGATGCTGTCCGTGCTATTGCTCTCTTGTGCATTTTTTATCTTTTCACAAATATTTCCTGCAAATTATTGTCCACAAGCCTTCATCATACATTGATCAACAACGATTCCGACATAATTTTAAAAAACAATTGACACATCTTGCAAGAAAGAATTGACATTTAAAGTCTTCCAATGTTGGCCAAAATGGTGGTCGATCCGATTGCTCTATCAGTGTTGATCCATTTGCTGCTACATACCTTTCCGCTAACAGCGCGTTCTTCCCGCCCTTACTCGCTACAAAAATACACTTTTAAAAAAAACACAAAAAGGTTCACTCAACAACGCTCACATTTCAAACCACCACACATCAAACATGGGTCAAAATATTGATAAGAGAAGCTATAGGTGAGTACTTTATATTTGATGATACTCAAGGCGACTAATTCACTATTGCCTAATTCACTACTTTTCCTCCACAACAGACGAGAGCATAGCGAGCTTTACATGAAGCTCATACAATATTATAGAGACGGAATGGATGATGATGCACAGAGCCCAACTTCTTCCGAGCAACAAGCATCGTCAGAGGATGTGGTCAAAGTCTTTATCAGAAAAAGGCCAATGTTTGAGAGAGATCTCAAAGCAGGAGAGTACGATGTAGTAACGTGTAAAAAGCATGACATTATCGTTCATGATTGTAGAATGCACCCGTCGATGAAGCCTAATCTTGCCTATGTAGAATCGTACAAGTTTCCCTATCCAAATACGGAGGTGTTCAACGACCAATCTTCAACGGATCAAGTGTATGCTTCGGCCTTGAAACCGTTAGTTGACTATGTCGCCGGTGGTAACGTTGGAACCATGTTTTGCTTTGGACAAACAGGAAGTGGAAAGACTGTAAGTATTTCTTCAACCGATTCGCATAGATTCATCAATGAAATGTTTGTTAATAATACTAGTTCACAATAACAGGATTGGTGAAGCTCTTGTCAAAAGACCTATTTACACAATTAGGTAAACAAGGAAAGTTTAGTGTGACTGCTACCTGTATTGAACTTATTGGCGAGACAGCCTATGACCTGTTGAGTGACCACGCTGAGGTGGCCTTAAGAGAAGGAAAAAACGGAGAAGTCGTTATTTGTGGCAACAAACTTTGTGCATTGAATAATGGATCTGAATTCAATGAGTTGTACAATTATGCAGCAAAGTTGAGAGAAACTCATGCAACCAAGGTGAATTCCAACTCTTCACGATCTCATTACATTTGTCGAGTTTTCATTGACGACTCGGCTACTGGAAAACAATTTGCAAGACTTACTTTGTGTGATTTAGCAGGATCTGAAAGAAATGTAGATTCCAACGAGCATGACATTGAACGACTTAAGGAAACAGCTCAAATTAACAGTTCTCTGATGGCCTTGAAAGAAGTCATTCGATGTGTAGCTCTTAACAAGGAAAATGAAGGAAGCAAGGTCCACATTCCATTCAGAACAAGCAAACTGACCAGAGTGTTGAAAGACTGCTTTGAAATTGATGAAAAAAAGAAGCGTCCACACACTGTTGTTGTTGCAACTGTATCTCCTCTTGCATGTGACACAGAACATACAATCAATACTTTAAAGCATACTTGCCTCATGATGAGCAGTGACAGCAACATGACAGGAGAGAAAATGGTTGTTCAAGATGTTCTTGGTGCTGATCCTTACCAAAAGAAAACCAATGTTTTGAAACCAATAGCCAAAATGACCTATGAAGAAACTTTGGAATGGATTGGTTCTATTCAGAAAGGAAAATTCAAGAAGCATCTCACCAAATTCCCAACTTCAATGGATGGTAAAGCCTTATCTCGATTCCCTGACAAGCGATTGCAGCAAATCCTTGGAAGTGAATCACTTGGTTTGGACCTCCGAAAGGAGATTATGAATTACACAGATAAGTGTAATCAACAAAAGAAACAACAAGCAGAGGAGAACCGAAACCTCTCCAAATAACTTTCTCTATCTTACCTATTTATTTATAAATACAACTTTCTATTCAAAGATTAAGCTTAATGACCTCATTATTATCATTCTCAAAGGGAATTCTTGTCAAGGTTACCTTTGAGTTCTCAATTTTAGGTAAAACAGATATCGTGGATGGTATTGATGTTGTCGGACTGGCCTTGTCGTCCCATTTTAATACCAAAATGTTTGGGGGTTCTACATTCGTTTCATGCCCTTCATGCACGTTCAAGATATCGTCCACTATTTTACGAATTTCTTTAACTTCAACAATTGGTAAATGCACAACCATTCTCGAATAGTGATAAAATGGATCGTTCAAGGAGGTTTTTAGTCCCTCATCATTGGGATCAATTTCAATAACATCTTCAATTGGCTGCACTGGATGTTCTGAATCTGTAGTAGTTGTATAAAATAGAGAATGAAGAGGGGATGTGGCAGATGAGAGACCAAACCTCAGTCTATGTCGTTGCTTTTCATTTAAACACTCCTCCACAAGACTTATTCTAGAAAGTGGAAGAACTGCTAACAAACCCTCAACATCATTGAAAGGTCTTCCTTTTTGGAAGTTCACAACACCATCTTTGAAAAGCTCTTTCAAATGCTTAAAGTCACTTGCACATGGAGCATAATGACACTGATATGCCCATTCCCAAGAAGGAACTCCAAAATAGTAATAATGAAAGATCCAAAACAATGCACGAACATATTCAGACACGAGATGCTTGACTTGCTCGCCACCTCCTTCTACCGCATGATCATAAACAATATTCATCTTCTTCTTGTAGTAATTGGTTTTCCACTTTTCAATGTCCACATAGGGTGGAGGAGGCATTCCTTCCTTCTTTTTTAAAGAAATGGAATTGGTAATGACTTTGAATTTCTTCACACGTTCTTCCTCTTGGCTCATCTCAAAAGAAATGTTGTGCTTTTTTTGATGACTATAATCCTTCTTTTTCCATGACTTTTTCGATACTTTGACAAGTTTGCTTCCTGTCTTTGTGGAGACATTTCCAAATAGAACTAATTGATCAATGGTTGTGGTCTGAGTTTTTTGAATTACATTCTCAACAATGATACTGAGTCTGCTCACATTTTGGAATGCGTTGAGTTTCAATTTGAGTTCACAAGTCTCGAGTGCATTCAAAAGGTCAGTAGAGGAAAATTCTTGAGCAACTTTGTGAGTTTCCATTGCGACAAAATCCACATTTTGATTCACAAAAAGCTTGACTACCATTCCATTCAGTTGTTGTGCCGAATTTCCAATTCTTAAAATTAAACTACAAAGACTCAATGGTTGTTTAAATTGAATATCAAACATGATTTCAGAATCAATGGTACTTTTCACCACATACTGAGAAGTAAAGGTACCAGAGACACTTTTTGTGATGGATGACAGCAATAAAAACTGTTTCAAATCTTGTGTTGCATTCAAGCACATGAGATTATTCAAATCAATCATGGACAGCAAGTTCTTATAATGCTCTGGATTGACGCTGGATGAAACAAGCTCAAGGTCACTGTCATCGGTATGACCAGCTTTTGGTTCTTTTTCTTCCTTCTTTTTCTTCTTTTCTTCCTCAATTTTCTTTTTTTGGTTTAATAAATCTAACTCTCTCTTGAGACGATTGGTGAGAACTCGAACTTCCAATTTTCCAATGACTTGTATGAACAGTTCAAGTTTGTCTAAATCAATTAATTTTGAAGTGTTACTAGTGTCTGATATGTACTGGAACTTAAATACAGTAGTGAATAAGCTTCGATAGACCTTGAACAAATATCCCAATGCATTTTCCTCCTTTCCTATATCTAGTGTTGGAAGTGCTGTGACAAAATCATTTCCACAGAGAAAAAGCATTAGAACAAAATCGTCAATCACTCTATTCAAATCAAACTCAACAGGAGGTGAAGACTTGTCCTCTTGATTCTTCATGTAATCTGAAATTAATTTTCGCACCACAGAAATGTCAACCACATGGAACTTGTGATCGAACCGATCCTTATCATAACCTTTTGCTTTTTTAAGCCTTCTCTTGATTCGCCAATTATGATAGAGTTGCTGTGAATTTAATTGTACCGATGACGTCCAATCACGTAAAATGTAGAATTGTTCTTCATGTGTCGTTAATGCAAGAAATATCAAATCTGAATCCATTCCATAAATCATAAATTTTTCATTGCTATTCACACTAGTGTTCACATTAGTTTTAGATTTTTGTAATTCTCGAATGTGTGCAATAATTTTGTGTTCACCTTCTCCTGGCACTGAAGAATCAGAAAACACAATATTTTCAATACTTCTCCAATGTTGATCATCTTGAAGTTTTCTCTTGATGAAAAATTGTAAATGCTCGGATAATTGTTTCATGAAAGAGGTGCCGCTCGTGATTGAAATGGAATCGAGTAGAGCATCCTCTTTGCTACTGGCACCAACTGTCGAATGCGCAGTGGTTCGTCTTTTTGGCAATCCAGTACTATTCTTAAAGGATACCCATCTTCTTTCTCGTTGTTGATTGATTTTTGCTGCGGGTGCAACACCATCCAGAGCAAAATATAAAGTCTTACAAGGAGGAAATCGATACACAATTTCTTCAATATATAACATGATCGAAAGAATAAATCGTTCAAACGTTAATTCTAGCGTCGTATCTTCCTCGTGAGTGGATGGATCAGAGCTTGATGCATCTGATTTTTGTTCGGAATCCTTTTGATGTGTATTGCTGCTTGTTTGAAATAATTTATCCAACACTTTTGTTTGTAAATTACAGTCTTTAAAGGTGTGAATAATTCCGTTAAGATCAAGAAAGAGATGATCAATGGGAAATTTATTCTCTTGCTTTGAGTCAAGAGAAGAGGAAGGAACCACTTCCCGAATCATCTCAGGGCATTCCTGTAAGAGCCAATAGAAAAAGAATGGAACGCCCATTTTTTTTAACTTTGCTTTCCACAAACAAAGTTCAATTTCAAAAAGTGGTTGCTTTATTGTGATTGGTGCAACCTCAAAGATCCAAAAACCATGAATTGAATCAACAGGTATTCATTCGATTCTCAATAAATCAGCCTGAATTTGACTCGAGAAGTGTTATTTTTTCTCATACTTTGATCCTTGATATACCCACAAATGTTAGACATAATTCTTTCATCTAGCTCAGTGACGATTACAACACACAGCGATATTGCTCAAAAGATTTTTTCCAAACAATAACTAACGTTACTGTCTGCTCATACTTGCTCAATAAACAAGAAACAAAAGGAGTCGCGGTCTGCAGGACTCGAACCTGCGCGGGTCGCCCCATTTGATTTCAAGTCAAACGCCTTAAGACCACTCGGCCAAGACCGCTGTATGCTTCCACAAAAATGAAAGCTAAATGAGATCGTTCAGGAATCGTGCTCAAAATAAATCAGTCTAGAGATCTAGACAGGATCGTTTTCGACCATGGTATTCAGCATGCTTGATCAAATAATAGTTTTCGTAGTTCTTGAATTCTTTGTTGCAAAAAAATGAAGGTAAACGTGCATTTAAAGGTGCGTTTTGAAAATTGTCGTGTTGTTGGAAGCATTCAATGATCAAATCAATAGGAAAAAACCTTTTCAGTGAGTTGTGGATCGGGTGAACAACGAGTGATATGGCTTGCCCATGTTGCTCTTGCCCGATACGACAATAGTTTTGGATTGGAATTGGGAGTTCCGAAAGGTTTAAAAACTGATGACGGAGAGACTCTCGACTCGGAAGCAATTATTCATGAAGTGCTGGAAGATGGACAACACGTTTGGGTGGTCCTTAAGGGTGAGTTGTAATTATTCTTCTTCCATGAAAATACAAAGAAATATACAATGCTCCTCTGATCGAAATTTTAATTTTGTATTTTTCTGAAATTGGAACAAATTTAATGGAATGATTTCAACAATTACAAAATTGAAACGATTGGAATTTATGATGTTTATAATTATTGAACAATAGGTTTTGAAGTGAACCCAATCAAGGTGGCAAACAATTAATAATCTCCAAAACCCACTTTTTGTATTTTCACTTCTAGACTTCAATAGAATAATGTAAATAATCATCACACACTTCTAGAAAATATTTTAATCACTCTCCATGCATTTTGAAATAAAGAGTTTTACAAACTCTATTTAATAAACAGAAACAAATCAATTCTTCAATAATGAAATTTTCTTGTTGAAACAAAAATGAACACAGTCGTTACTGGCCAAAAGCTCTTCTATCTCGTTGATGCCAAGAACCAAATCGTAGGAAGACTCGCCTCTAAAATTGTTCCCATCCTCATCGGTAAACATAAACCCATTCATTCACCTCATATGGGACAAGAATGTGGAGACCATGTGGTTATCATCAATGCCAAACATGTGGCTTTTACCGGAGATAAATGGAAACGTAAAATGTACAGATGGCACACCGGATATGCTGGTGGATTGAAGGAATATACGGCACAACAAAGACATGAACGATTTCCTACCTATGTTCTTGAAACAGCCATCAGGAGAATGCTTCCAAAAACCTCAGAGGCAATGCGTAAAACGAGAATGAGCCGAGTACACATCTATCCAGAGGATACACACGGTTTCGAGGCTCAACAACCTATTCCTGTTGATTTACTCGGAGCTGATGCTGTTTATTCCCAATTGGATTATTAATTTTGCCAGTATCATCTTTGATAGTACAAACAAACACGCAAATATTATTATGCTTGTAGTGATACTCTTATTTTCATCATCACTCACAACAACTACATGAACAACACCTTCCTTCTTGCAACACTCATCATTTTGATTGAATAGCAAGCACACATCCTACTCTCCCCTTCACTCTCTTCCTTCGTTAATGGGATAACCACAATAAAACCCTCCAAAATGCAACCCCATTGGATATAATGACTGTTCAAATGATTTATTATTATTTACAAATCTTTTAATTAAACCAAGGCAATTGGCTCAGATACTTGTCCAAATGTTTTACAAAAAGAGTATTCGTAATGGACTCTTGTGTCTTTTCCACGGGATTGAACACCACCAATTCCACATATAATTTTGAATAAATTTCTTGTAAATTGTTCTGAATGTTTCCGACATTGGGATCAGTCATGAGTATGAATTTGAGTCCGGTTGGTGATTCAAAAAAGTGTAATTTGTAATTGTTCGTTTTAAAACTTTGAAATTGGCTTTCTCTGCAGTTATGGTTGTTGGTGGGTTTTGTTGATGTCAATCAAAACAAATGATCATTTCACAAATGATCATCATATCACAAATGTCATCCAAGTGAAAATTAACATTCAAGGACATGACAAAATTCCAATAGTGAAATTGGGTCATTCATACGGATCCGATCGACATTCATATCATCATCACATAAAAATTACAACACATACGGTTTTGGTGAAATACCTTCCACAAATCTCTTCATTGAAAACAAAAAACCATACATCAGTTTCATTTGTGACTGATGTTTGGATTCACTGTTCTTTTTATATTTATCGGAGGTGTTCCATTCCCGATAGAAAATGCAATCTCCCATACGATTAAAGATACAACAACTGTAAAGCATTTTTTTCTTCTTAAAAATCCACACACATGACATGGTTTAAAATTGTTTATTTCTTTAACTTGTTCATGAGTGCCATCAACTTGTCTTTGGTATTTTCCTTCAACTTTTGTTTGTCACGAGCTACTTGAGGTAGTGTTGTTGTAGTCTCCTTTGTGTTACTTGATGCCTCAGTAATGTTACTTGTTGATTCTACAGCTGCACCATTCACACCATCTGATGAAGATGACGAGACACCATTTGTAGCAGCTTCTTTCTTTAGTTTCTTATTTGCTTGTTGTCGTTGTCGTTTCTTCTTTCTCTTCTCAGCTTTGGAAATTGTTGGTTGTGTTGGTTGTTTTGGCTGTTTTGTGGTCTTTATGGACTTTTTCTCAGATTCTTCCTTTGGTGTGGTTTCTGTAGAAAGGTCATGGCTGCCTTTGAGTGACGCTCTGTCAACACCTCAACGCTTGTTCTTTCTTGTCCATCTTGTATGGTGACCAATGATGCTGCTGTCGACTTCTTTAAATTCTTTTTTCTCTTTGCCTTGATAGGTTTTCGTTCTTCCATTTCATCATCTTTTTGTGGTGTTGTGGATGATTGGTTTCCTTTTTGTGGTGTTGCAGCAGCAGTGGAACTATTTTGTGTTTTCACCATCTTTCTTCGAGGACCATCTGCATTTCTATCCTTATTGTACTTTCTCTTGTGAGAAGCATTCGATCCACTTCGATCGGAGAGTATTTTCAAATCATCACTCTCAGATTCTCTTACAAAGGTTCCTACTTGACTGAATTTGGCTAATTGTCTTGTAAGCAAGACATTGATACGACCTCTTGGAACAGGTGTGCTTTCATGTGCTTTATAAGCCATATCCACACTCACACGACTTGGTTGATACAGATATGAAGCAACATTGGCATGTAAGACATTGGATGGTGTGATGGATGGATCGATGGTGTTGAATATTAACTTGGTTTTGCTATTGTCAATCTTTTGGAACATGCCAGAGAGGATGCTGTTTTGATTGAAGGAGAGTGAGATGGGTTCGTCACTCTTCTCAGCAATACTTAACTGTTGCCGTAATTCTTGATTCACATCTGAATCGGTGGCTACATAAATGACATCATGTCCAATCGAATTCTTTTGTTTTTCTTCTGGTGATAATAATGGATCAATCTCTTTTGAAATACTCTTCACCAGTGACATGTCAATAGAGGGAAGAAGAGAAACTGCCTTGTAGATAATTCCAGAAAAATTACCATCTCTCTTGAATGAGGAAGGGAAAAAGGCATCCAATCGCTCATCATTCAATATATCCAAATAAGTCTGTGGTAAACAATTGCCCATACTTTCTTTTGGTAGAATGCATAGTAATTGTTCGTAAGGTGTCAGTGGTGCACCCTTCTCGAATGTAGTAATTTCCTTAATTAATTCTTCATCTTGAAGATCTTTCAGAAAATCTGCAACGTCACACAAAACAGGACCATAGTGGAAGGGGAATCTCCAAGTCCATGAAGGTGGATCATTGTACGAATAGTAAGTGAATGACCACACAACACCTCGTAAAAATTCCTTCACTAACTTCTTTCTAAATTCTGGTGAGCTGTCCCAAACTTCTTTTCATAATATTCCTTATGGATTTCTTTCTTGTACTTTAAAATCAAGCTAGTAGGAATTTCATCAAGCACAAAATTGGCATTGCTTAAGCATCGATTCAAAATGGATGCTTCGTCGTAGCTTTGATTGATGGATGAATTCTTTTTATCAATGCTCATGTAAAAGTCTTTCAAAATTTTGTAAACAGTTTCATACGAATCATGAGAGATTGAATTCTTTGAAACTTCTTTCCACACCTTGTCAAATTTAGCGTCTTGTATATGTCCTCTACTTCCAACAATTTGATTGATACCATCAATGATATCTTCATGTTGAAAAACGTCTTCGGCTTGTTTTTCAGTTGCCTTTCTTAAATTACTGCTGTACATTTTAACAAATAATCCAAAAACAGATTCATCTCGAATTGAGGCAAGTGCCTTGACAAAATTTCGAATATTGACCTTCACTCCTTGCTTGTGATCAACTAAATAATATGCAGAAGGGTCAATACTAGATCCCTTTCCTTTCGTGGTAGCAAGACATTGAATTAAATATTTAGAGTATGCAAACATAATGATTGAGGCGGCATGATTATGCATGACTAGAGAAGGAATGTTTGGTAAAAAGTCATTTCCAACAGCCATTAATAGTAAGACGACATCTGATACTAGATTCTCATTACTCCATGCAACTTCTCTAGCTTTTCGTGTTTTGTCAAGAGTGATAATTGATGAAACAACAATTCGAGCAAATAACCTTCCCAATGCAGAAATATCAAATATTTCCTTTTCTCTTCTCTTGTCTCTTATATTTTCCTTGTCTCTGTAACTATAAATATGTGGTAAACCAATCAAAGACGTAAGCATGATTAAATCGGCGTCTAAACCATGCACTACATGTACCATGTGTGAGAAAGATTTTGGATTGATTGCTTTTTCTTTTTTCATATAGCTCAAAATTTTGTGTTCACCTTCTCCTGGAACGCTGCTGTCACTCACGATAACTTTAACATTGGGAAATTCTTGAACGATCAAATCAGCTGCTCGATGTACTGTTTCCATACATCGAACCATGAAGGGTGTTCCTGGAGAAATGACATTGTGATCCCAATGAGTTTTCTTTGCTTCCAATCGAGCCAAGAATCCTTGTGGAGCTGATGGTTGTTCATCATTGTTTGACTCCTTTTTCTCTTGCATGGATACATCTTCATTCTTTTCTGAACTCGTTTCAGGTGCAGCTCATCCTTCATTTCATTCTTTCCATCATTCTTGTTCTTTTCCAGTTGTTGCTTAAAACGTTCTTGGATTTGACCAATATAATTTGATCGAATTTCATGATCATTGACAGCCACAAATCGACGATGGCGTTGTTGTTCTTGTTTTGCTGCAGGTGCAACACCATCTACGGCAATAAAAAACAAATTCTTAGGTGATACTGTTCTTGCAAGGAAAAGTAACTCATCAACAATTCGTTGCAACATTTCATCTTCATTTTGAGGCTTTTTACCAACTTGTGGATGACAACATGGATGAATTAAACCATTAAGATCTATATAAAAGTTATCCACTTGTCGTTTAATAATTTTTTCAACGTTTGGTTCCTTGTTCGGAATTGGAAATTGAATGGTTTCAATATCTTCGTGAGGCTCACGATCATCATGTTGTAATTGTTGTTTGTGTTGTTGTCGTTTGAGTCCTCTCAAAATGTTGGTTTCTAACCAATAGATAAATCCCGGAACACCCATGTCGTTGATGATGATCCAACGAGAATGAAAATTGTTGTTGTGTTTTTTAATGAAAACGACTCAAAAGTGTTGCTCTTTTTTTTTGAAGTTTTTTTTTCAAATAACAATTTGAACTCTGTATCTTTCTTATCGAACCAGGTGCAGTGATACTTCTCGTGAGGAATAAAGAAATAAGTTTTAATTGAAAAGTTATTCATAGGGTTTATGGACCCAAAGGACAACAAGAAAAAATGAGCAAAACGAAAAGCTCGGTCATTTTGGAAGAAATTCATGAAGAATCATCATCACATGATGATGACGATGACATCCCCGATTATTCTCAGTGGTCTTTTAAGAAAGAAACAAACAATACTCCTATTAATTTATTGTCATATGGAAGAGATCAAGCGTCGGAAGAGAATGATGAGGAAAAAGATGAAGAAATTCCGAATTACTCAAATTGGTCATTTCAAAAGGAAAAACGCCAGCAACCTAATGTGAGAAAATTTGTACCTGTAGAGGATGAAGAAGTACAAGAAGAACATAAAGAGCCTCTCAAAGATAAACTATCGGATCAATTACAGCAATCTCTTGCAAAATTTCAAAAATCTAGTGATGATGAAGAATTTTCCTTTATTCCAAAAAAACAACAAAAACCAAAAAACAAGCCTAACATTGTGATCCAGAAGGATAAAAACAAGTATGATTTTTCAGATATTTTATACAATTTGGACGAAGATGAAGAGTCTGACACCGACACTGAAACACTTTCTTACGAAGAATGGAAACAAAGACAAGAATTTAAAACCAGGAACAAGGGACCTTTTGATTTGTTGGAATCTTTAAAGAAAATGAGTGATAGTATTTCACCACTTGATAAACCACTTAATCCACAAATGACAGAAATGGAGCATAAATTAATGGTAAGTAAGATTAACAGATCATTAACAGAGCAAATTGGATTAACAATTACAGCTGGAATGGATGTTTCCTATTTGTAAATACAAGCAAAAATAATTTCTCAAATATTTTCAATTTATTGGAATTTTCTATTGAGAAGGGAATTGCTTGAAGATGAGAAAGATGATGTTCGTTTCTTTGGAACCTTCATCATGTTTTGTGGCGAGCTTGGTGCACTCTTGTCGTATGGTATAGAAGCTGTGACGTATGGCGACACGAGAGGTTTAACTTCAGATGCTATCAATTGAATTGTCTGTAGTAATAGTTCATCCAATTTTTTGATTTCTTCCTCCTCACTATTTTCTGAGTTATCATAAGTCATTCGGTATTTGCTTGCTGTTGATAATAAATCACTATCTGTTGCTTGATCATCATACTCGGTTGATATGTTCTCAGCACTGTCTTCTGTAATTGTTTCATCATCTGAAATGTCAAACTCCAAATGTTCAATATCTTGTACAGAGGAAATAGCCAATTCAGGATATGAGGTGATTCGTATCGTTGTTGGAGAAGAGGGTTCTGGAGTAGAGTGAATTTCTTCAACTAAATCCAACAAGTTAATTTCTTCTTCATGAACAGGAAGTACACTATAGTTATAAATGCTTTGAATCACATTGATACATTGTTTGATACCGGCTCCAGCATGATATCCAAACAAATATCTTGGAATGTTATTGTTCATACGTAATTGCTTAATATTCAAATTCTCTGCAACACCTTTTTGATTCCATTGAATGGGTTCTTTTCTTTCTTTCTCGGAGCTGTTTTTAACAGTGACATCTAAAACACGAGTGGCTTCATACCATAATGGACCTTCCAACATTTCTATAATAGTTGCCACAAATCCATTCTTCTTTCCAATGTTATTCTTTGAAATATTTGCATGAAGGAGCAATGAATGCAAAATGGAGAGAACTGATTTTTGATAAAATTTTGGTCCAAACTGAAGTAGTTCAATGAAAAAGTCAAAAACTTCCTTTTCAAATTTGGGGAAAAAGGCCTCAGAGAATGGTCTACGAAGGTCAAGTAAAAATTTGTCAGATGAAGTATAATAACCTTTCGAATACCTCGAAAATACTTTTGCCAATCTCTTGAGAGATGCATTTTCGCATACTTCCACAATGTTGGATGCAATGGCCCAGCACTTGAGTTTGTTTGTATCATCAATGTGACAACAAAGTCTCGGTAACAATCCAATCATATTCCTCATGATAAATCTAATATAAGGTCCAGTATCAGTCATCAAGTCACAGTCAATCTTGAAAAATATAGCCAAGAGCTCAAGAGTTAATGGTTCAGAGAAAGGATTGAGAAGACCTTTTGTCAACAAATCCTGAATGTCTGTTGTAGGTGAGAGAATCTCAGGTCTGGAAGCAATAATCACATTTCTGATGGCATCATCACTAATATCTAGACGTTTTAACACTTGTGTTAACAAACGTAAAGCATACACATAAATATGAGTAACGTCACTATAGAGTAGTGCTGTAGAAAGCCAAAATATTTGTGGGAATAACACAAGTCGGGTTCTTTCCATATGCTTTACCACAACTCGAATCGTTTCAATAATCTCAACGACAATAGCAATTTTGGTCGTGTCGATTGGAATTGACTTGTCAATCTGGAGGGCATCACCAGAATAAAGTTCTTCCAAATACTTTTTCAAATCTTGTAAAATAATGACAAAGTCGCTCTTTCTTAATTCTGGTCTTAGCGTACGATAAATTTGGTATGAACGGACGACATTGTGAATGGAACTGCTTCTGGTTGCCCAAATGAGCGATTGATAACCCCATTCACTCTTAATATTTGGTTCATTCTTCAAAATAAAAACAACTCGTTCCACAAGAGAAGTCAATTGCTTGACGTTGTCACTCACTGGATTCATGCTTGGCTTTTCATCAATAGATCTTTGCGCATAGTCACCCAAGTCATCTTCCAAGTTGGAGAAAAACATGGCACTTGTGTTACCTGCAATATGTCCCAAAGTCATGTCATCAATTGTGATGTTATCTCTTGTCCAAAGGTACTCGTCTGTTTTGCAATCTAACAAGAAATGAATCAAATTTTTAGCTTCGAAGAGGTGTTCGTTTTGTTCCAAGGTTCCTCCATTATGAGGTAATTGTTTCACAACCAAACTGTGAACAAGGTGAACTAATAAGAGCTTTGCATTGTACGAAACCAATTTGATTTTGTGATCCATTCTGATAAACATATATTGAAGGATGAGCGGAAGGTGTTTTCTGAAAACAGCAGCATGATCATATGCAACCTCACTCAGCAATATGAGAACCACGTCCGAACGCACGAGGGGTGGCGTTGCTGAACGACTACCTTGTCTCTGAGTCAAAACAGCAATACTTTCGATATTCGGAGAAATCTCGCGATAGTGCTTGGAAAGTGGAATATCATCTCTCGATTTTTGAATGTATTCTACCACAAGTGAGTCAACCACTTGCTGTGGTCCAGCACAAGCGCAATAGTACGATATCTTTTGTGAAATGGCAAATAGAGTTTTGCAATTAGGAGCGTCAATCGAGAATTGAGTACCTCTTTCGGTGAGATAGATCATTGCTTTTCTAATGTTTGATGGGTCACTTGAGAGTCTCACCCACATTTCTTTACATTCTTCAGGAAATTGCTGGGCATAAGTTTTTGTAATGTCAAACATAATATCTAAGATTCTTCTACTTTCAGGTATCTTGGACAGAAGTATATCATCATTGGGCATTGAGCTGGAACCTCTAAATGAGCTTAGAAGTTCCAATTCATCAAGATTCAGATATGGGATCCATTCAATTAATGATTTAAGAAGAGATCTTTGATCACCAGGAAGTAAATAGGCCAGCCTCTGGAATACTTCTTCTAACACCCCGTAGGCATGTTGTGGATGATCACGAGCAAGTTTTGCAGCAAGGAATACTTGATTGCTGAAAAATTGATCTTCCAATCCACTAGAAATGTAGTAAGGATAATTTCCACTCTCTGTGTTAGAAGAGAAAAATCTCTGACTAATGAAACTAAGAAGTCTATATGAGATATTTCGATTCGACAGTCTCTCTGAAACAGATTTGAATATGATCAAGGTCAACATCACTGGTACTGAGCAAGCCATTTCACATCTCTCGAAAACATTACATATTGCCACAAAATATCCCTTCGATAACTTTTTGCTACAATTGTAGCATTGATCCACGAAAATATCAAGCAGTGATGGATTGGACAATAAAATATTTTCAATTGCCTCAATTCCCATCTTTCTATAAACTAAGGAACGTGAACAAAGGATCTCATCAATCCACTTTAGAATTGTAATGCCAAGTGATTCTAGCTCAAAGTTTTCAGGCATTATTATAGTTGGAGGGTTATTACGGAGAACTGTGTCAAGAATGGAAAGAGAGGATCGAATTGAAGTGCTCTTTTCTCGAATCACTACGGTTGTCGATTCGTCATCAGCAGTGTCTTCATCTTCAATAGAATCATCGTGCAGCTTTGGATTTCTCTTGTTTTCCATACGGGTCATGGAACTCCAATTTTTCAGTATCTCCATATTTGTTTCGAAAAACTCTCCTAGTAACAAACCAGCCACAGCCCCACACGATCGAAACTTCATTCTGGCTGTCTTCTTTCTGAATATACTTCCCATGTTTCTCTTCTCTTCTGGATCTTTGAGTTTCTCAATGGTAGCAGATAGACTGTTTAACTCCTCTTCTTCTCGTTTGATGCTTGCTTTTCCATAGCCAGTCCATTGAATCACAAATAAAACAAGTTCCTTTCTCAAGTTTCTGTCAAAAGTTCTATATCCTGCTTTGGGAGAATAATAGTATAACTTTCTCGAAATGTTGTCAATGACAATAAATAAGTGATGTCTGAGTGATTGTAAGTCAATGTTGTACATGTTTCCTGGCTGTTTGCTATACTGAATCTGTTCTTCAACGAAAGAAAGAAATTTTTCTTTGATAAACTCTTTTTCCTTCAATGTTGTATCGTGAATATTGCTTGAAAGACGGGAATACACTCTTGAAATTTGTACTCTCAAAAGGTCCTTTCTTTTTCTGTTCTTTTTTTGTTTGTCAATAGAGTATGCTTCATTCTCAAGAGGTTTGATATTATCGAGAAGAATCTCCAATAATTCATCGGGAACAGCACCTAAGGCGTTCACAGCTGCTGTTGATTGCTTTTCATAATTTGATTTCAGATGAGGATAAATCATCTCATATAAATCTTTGGCTGAAGAAATTCTTGGCGTTCTGAGAACACCCTTTGATGATTGTTCTTCCTCTTCATGAGGTCTGAAGAGAGATTTTCTTGCCATAGCACAAGCAAGATTCACAAAATGGCTCCACAATTCTACAATTCTTTGGATCTCGCTTGTGACTGTCATTCTTGTATATACGCTATCCAACAAATTGTTAAGCCTCATAATTCGTTTTGTGATTTGTCCAAGAGCAATGTAAGAGGTAGGTTGGCAGTAGATTGATAAATCTTTTCCAAGTAATCGTAGCATGTCTGTAAGATAATCAAAGTATGACAATGATGGATCTTGGATGAATTTTTCAAAAGTGTCAGGCATTGGAAGCTCTTCAATTTTCCAAATGTTTTGAATATTCCTCATTCCTGCCTCTTCAATAAGATCTGCTACTGTCGCGGTTGCAGTATGAGTCTTGTTTTCCTTCTCAATAATTCTATGAGCAATAGTTCTAACAAGAGTGAAGATTCTTAAACTAGCAAGTCGTATAAATGGATTAAGATTGCATAGCAGCACCACTCCTACAGCTTCGATTGGAGCGGGATCAAAGTATGTACTATTGGCTGTGGCTTCTGGTTTCAATTTACCAAACACTGTTGGTCTCGTCATGGTAGACTCTGGTGTAGGCGGATTGTTAAGATTCGCAATCCATTTTTCAAGAAGGAATAAAAACTTTTTTAAAACAGATTTCAATAGGTCAGCTCTGAAATCGTCAATAGCCACAATCATTTCAGCAAATGAGTGTATCAACACTGGCCTTAGATCGGTATGATAATCCATTAATTGTAACATTGTCTCCCATGAAACATCTCTAATGTCACCATACTGATGGACAATAAATCGACACAACATATCACAAAGCTCTTTTCTGGTAAACTCACAAGGAAGAACTCGCGGAATGCATGAAATCGAAGTAACAGCAACACGTAAACTGGCATACTTGTCTTTTGAAAGATTTTCGTGTAACGGTTTTGTGTGATTCGATTGTAAAAAGTTTCCGTAAACTTGGATGCATAGTTTCAGTATTCCGCTCAGCCTTTCTGACATTTGTTCTTGGTATTGTTCGAGGGCATCAATGATTTTTTCTGTTTTGGCCAAAAAGTTAGCTCCATAATAGGATGAAGCCTTAGATCCAAAGCTGTTACTTAATGTTCTATAACTTGAAAATGGTGAAGTCATTCTCATAGAATGAGCAGTGAGATCTTTGTCATAGTCATCACCTTCTGTTTCATTGCTCGATCTACTGTGTGTTCTGTCCAATAACTTGTGAACCCACGGAAATTCGGACGCCTTCTCATCTGTTCCCAGCAGAGAGGAGAGTTTTTTCATATCATTCACTTCAGCAATAGCAAGGAATGCTCGCAAAGCTAAATACACAGTTCTATTAGAAATAACAAAATCAGTATTGATTCAACTACCGGCTTAGTCCAGTATAATACTTACTCTGGTAAAAAACTCACACTGCTATCAAGCTCCAAATTCTTGAGAACCATGTTTTTCATGGCATAGTCCATTCTACTATTCGATACCATGACTATTATATCTACGGAGGCATCATAAATGCTGTCTAGAGCTGGTATTGAAGGTGGTACTTTTTTACCACTCAGAATTATTGCTATCGTCTTGCTTAGAATGTCTATTACCATTGATTGATCTGTCTCGTTTGAAATTTTCAAGTAATAACCCATAACATGCAGCAGGCAGTCAAGCCCCATCAATTTTGTGCTCTTATCTTTGCATAATCGGAATACGTCTGTCAAATATTCCTTGAACGGAGTAACAAAAACGGCTTTGGGGTTCAAACAAAGCACAGCTGCTCTGAAAGGAAATGCGGTCTTGTTAAAAGTAAATCAATACATGATTTGGATATAGAATAAAAATACATACCGTCTGATAAGACGCTTTTTTGCACATTTTCTTTGCAATAGAGAGTAAGTTCTTCAGTCCAGTTAACCAATCTCGATAATCAATGCCATTTTTGTACTCAAATTCTGCAAGAGGTGAGAGCATATTTGTTAAAGCCTCTGCACATGCTCTCTTAATTTCAGATTTCTTGGCTTTTGAAAAGAAGTCAGTAATCTTTTTCAGCAAATTTACACTCTCGTTCACTTCTGCTGGTTTGGATAATCGTATTTTCACATACTTCAATGCTCTAATAAAGCTTGCTGCTTCATATTTATATTCCAATCTGGCATTTGCTTGCTCTAAAAAATTATCTGAAATTTTTTGAAACCATTTAACAGACATTAAACCAATAATTTCAGCGAATAAATCCAAAACTTTTTTCTTGCTTTCGACAAGAGACTCTAATCCGGTGGTAATATTTACATGGGCTTTTTTAAATCTATCCATACATAAAAATTCTATTTGTTCGCAGTTTTTAAGTGAAAGTTCTGGCTGTCTAAAAGACCCTAACGTTAACAGAACTGTTAAACTTAAAATGTAGTCAGTAGCCAGCTAAAAGTTTTGCAAAATTAATATTTTCTCAAAATATTCTTTGAGATCCCTTACCTCTTTTCTTTCTTTGAAATTTGCGATCAACGTCTCTTGTTTAGCAAGAGAAGCTTTTTTAGAAAGATTTGTCAGTTTCTCTTTCATTTTCTCTTTCACTATTGTCGTAGGATTACAATCAAGATGTACTCTCCAGTTAATTAGTGCTTCAATCATAGTATTCAAATGATGTTTAGATATCGCAGAAAAGGCAGATAACAGCTGTTCAAATGATTGACTCGAGTATATACTGGAAATTGAATCTGTTCTTCTGTGTGAAGACTCAGGAGAAAATGACATTAAGGAGGTGTTCGACAATGGAGAAGCGCTAAAAATTTCTGAAGCTCTAGAACTGGTGTTTACAGTGACGTCTCGGAGCATGATAGAGCCCCTAGATGATCCTTCATACGAAGATAACTCGTTACTATATTGTAAATCTATTGCTGATTGAATGAATTCGTTATATCCATTTGTTGCGTGACTAGAGCTGTTCCAATTTGTGGATGTTCGTGGTGCTGCATGACTAAAAACTCTAGAATCTACTATGGATGTGACGTTGTCGTTCACCTTCTATTGAAAACAGTGTGAGTGGATTCAATATAATAAAATTTACCTACATTTTCAAAAGCGAACTCGTCAATAATTTTCAACGCTTGTTCCTTGAATTCTTGAAAGAAGAGCATCAAAACAAATTCTGTAGTGTCTATTTTGTTTGAGGATGAATTAATATCATCGCTCAGCTGGCCTGTACTTGATACAGACGGTATTGAAGGATTTTCTTTGGGAAGATTGACATTGGTGGGTGTTGATGTGTTGCTAAGAACTGTACCTCTTGGTGATACAGACATGGTGGTTGGATATAAATTGGGAGTGTTGTTTTGAGAGTTGGGTGTTGTGATTGAGAGCTGTCCTTTCTGATTGTTTGGGGTCGTTGGTGTGACCTCAATGAGAGGATTTGCGTTTAACTCAATCGTCAATGGTGTGTTGGTTGGTAATGCTTGTTGATTGTTGCTTGTTGGAAAATCACTCACTGAATCCAGACTAGAAACAGATGATGAATCATCATCTGAAACGAGGTCAGCGACGTTGGATTCCGGAGAAGCTGTTCTGTCCATGATGATGACAATAATTTGTCGATTATGATGATGGAAATTGACGAGTCGTAAATTGTAAAAATTCAGGAAAACAATCTTCCAATAAATAATATTATTGTTTAAATATAATGATCCACTTCCAACAACTATGTGGTTGTTATTGTTGGTTTTGTTGAGAGCTCCACAATGATGATTCGGCTAACAATTATTTACAATAAATAGATCTATGTCGGAATCGCAACAAGGTCTCTATTGATGAATCTAGCCTGTTGGCTGTTCTACTATGAAGACCGAAAAAAGAGTTGAACGTTCTCAGACTATGATGCAAGAGTGTATTGGTGTTGTCGGATCAAACCAACAGCTGTGATAAGATGGGCTGTTTTGTTTGATGATTTTTTTCTTAAAACTTGTTTGTACTCCATGATCGATCCAAATGCACTGTAATAATATATAGGATGCCAAGAAGAAGATTTTTGTCGGTGGCTCATTCACATTGCCATCATGAGATGGTGTTCATCCTCCTTTATGATAGACAGCACTGGTTCAACGAAAATAAAAGGTTTTAACAAAAAGAAAAAATATTTAAGAGAGCATTCATCAAACACAACAAAAATGCTCTCCAACAATCACCCGTTTGCTGATGATGAGGATAATGATGATCAAGATGATAATTCTAGAAGACAAAATCAACTTCATCATAGAGAAGATTTCTTTGATGAATTTGGAAATTATCGGGGTGCTGAGTTAAGCAGCAGTGAGGAAGAAGAGGATGAAGATTTGGAAAATGGAAGCCGATCCATTGTTTCGGCCAATGATTCATCAATATCAAGACCATCAGCTGTAGTACTTCATGAAGAGAAACAATATTATCCATCAGCAGAAGAAGTATTTGGTGAGGATGTGGAAACAATGGTGGAAGATGAAGATAGACAACCACTGGAAAAACCAATCATCGAACCTGTCAAAAAGATGGTGTGGAATTTGGTAGAAAAAGAATATAATGCTCCTCAACCTGTTAATTTCTCTTGGGATTATTTGCTAGAATTGATGAAAATTCCTAGTTCGATTAGAAATGTTTGCCTTGCTGGGCATTTACATCACGGAAAAACATCATTCATGGACCATCTCATTCGTTTCACACATACGAACTACACCAATTATTTTGAAAAAGATTTAAATTATACAGATATTAGACCTGATGAGCATAGAAGAGGACTTGGCTTAAAGTCATCACCAATGTCACTCTTATTAGAGAGCACAAAATCAAAGTCTTATCTTGTCAATATTATGGATACTCCTGGTCATACAAATTTTTCTGACGAAGTCAGCGCATCAATGAGAATATCTGACGGTGTTGTTCTAGTTGTTGATGCTCTCGAGGGAGTAATGTCAAGTACGTCAGATATAATCAGACAAGCAGTGCAAGAAAGATTACCAATCGTTCTACTTATTAACAAGCTTGACCGATTAATTTTAGAACTTAAGCTACCACCAAACGATGCCTACCATAAGCTAAAACATACAATAGCTGAAATTAACTCAATTTTGAAAGACTCAATTAACGATGAGCTGCTGAAACAAAGTTATGCTCACAGAGATCATGCATCCAACTCCAGCGGTACTGATACTGATTATCCAACGACTTTAATATCTCCAGACATTGGAAATGTGTGTTTTGCAAGCTCAAAGACTGGAGTGTGTTTTACATTGGAATCATTTGCAAAAATTTACGCAGACAAACGAGGCGGATTTAGCTATAAGGATTTTGCAAAGAGATTATGGGGTGATTTGTATTTCAATAGAGAGACAAGAACCTTTTCAAAGATTCCTAACGATCTTGGAAAGAGATCTTTTGTTGAGTTCGTCTTGGAGCCCCTTTATAAGATTTATGCTCATATCGTGGGTCAAGATCCTGAAGAATTAGACCACACTCTCAGAAAGATCAACATCAAGCTAACTTCTGAAGAATTGTTATTAGACCCAAATCCACTGATGAAAGCTACATTTAGGGCATTCTTTTCTTCACCTTCGGGATTTGTTGACATGCTAGAGAGATTTATTCCATCACCAAACAGCACTGGAGGAAATAAGACAAAAGTGGAACACTTTTATACAGGAGATTTGAGTACTCACTTCGCAAAAGACATGATCAACTGCAATTCAAAAGGTGACTTAGTAATTTATATCACAAAACTTTTCCCTAGGCCTGACTATAGCTCTTTTGATGCATTTGGTAGAGTAATGAGTGGTACAATTAAGAAAGGTGATACAGTGAAGGTTCTAGGAGAGGGTTATACTCCAGCAGATGAAGAAGACGTGTCTATTACCGACATATCTAATCTTTATATTTATAATTCTCGATATAGAGTCAATGTTGATAGCGTCAGCGCTGGCAATTGGGTATTAATAGAAGGAATTGACTCAACTATTAACAAAACATCTACAATTTACAGATCTACAGCACACGAAGATACATTTATTTTCAGACCATTATCATTTATGAATCAACCTGTGATAAAGATTGCTGTAGAGCCTTTAAAGCCATCAGAATTACCTAAAATGTTAGATGGACTTCGAAAAATTAACAAAACCTTTCCTCTTGTAACCACAAAAGTGGAAGAAAGTGGAGAGCATATTTTACTTGGTACTGGTGAGCTCTATCTTGATGTTGTCATGCACGATTTGAGATTGTTATATTCTGGAATTGAAATCAAGGTTTCTGATCCATCTGTCACTTTTTGTGAGACAGTAGCTGAGACATCATCAGTAAGATGCTCCACCCAGACTCCCAACCAAAAGAACAAGTTTGTAATGATTGCAGAACCTCTTGAAAAAGGTCTTTCAGAGGATATTGAATCAGGAAGAATCAACCTCGACAAGATGACCAGTGAAACAAGAGAACAAATACTGAAAGCTAGCTACGATTGGGATGAATACACTGCAAGTAGAATTTGGGCTTTTGGTCCAGAAGACAATGGTCCCAACATGCTAATCAATGAAACTTTTGAAGGAGAAGTGGATCAAAAATTATTAGCATCTGTGAAAGATTCAATTGTTCAAGGTTTTCGATGGAGCACCAAGGAAGGCCCTCTTTGCGACGAACCTATTCGAAATGTAAAATTTAGATTACTCGAAGCCACTCTTGCTGAAGATCGAGTTTCTCGAGGAGGTGGTCAAATCATTCCCACAGCTCGTCGATGTTGCTATTCGAGTTTCTTGCAAGCAACACCTCAACTCATGGAACCCATTTCTATGGTGGAAATTCAAACACCAATGGAGTGTTCAGATATTATTACAAAGATTTTGGAACGAAGAAGAGGACAAGTGCTAGAAAATAATGCAAAACCAGGAACACCGTTCTTCATTGTAAAATCATTTGTACCTAGTATTGACTCTTTTGGATTGGAAACTGATTTGAGAATGGGAACTAAAGGACGAGCGTTCTGTCTTTCCAAATTCGACCATTGGGATATCGTTCCTGGTGACCCATTGGACACCTCTGTGGTGATTACACCACTCGAGCCAAGTCCACTATACGCGTTGGCTCGTGAATTTCTCCTCAAGACTCGTAGAAGAAAGGGTCTCAGTGATCAGATTAGCAAGTACTCTGAAACTGAATAAATTTACATGTGGTCACATTTATGTTATCTATTATGAAAGGAATAATGTTTCTGAGCTAAATGCACATTCAAATGATTATCAAACGGAGCGGCTCTGTTCCTTCTTTTCCTTGTTTTTCTCAATTAATTCATACAGTAATTGCTTCAATGTCATCTTTTTCAAATAAACTCTAAAATAAACATCTCCTAAAGAATAGCTATCATCGTAACAATAGAGGATTTCGTGGCCCAAGGCGACTGGTTGTGGATACATCATGTCATACAAATACGGTACAGTTACTGTTGTGTTCCAATATTGAGAAAAGAATGAATGATTCAATACCTTCTCTAGTGCATTAGTGTCACGTCCCACTTCGAGTAAGAACAAACACAACGGATTGGCTTCATACAATACATCAAAATACACTCTCTTGAATTCTTTGTGAGATTTTTGTTTACGTATGCATTTGGGGAATTTTTGACTCGCTTCTTGCAAGTCGAAACTATCAAAATGATCCAAGTTTTTGTGAGGAAGATGAATTTTTTCTAATGACAACCTTCCGTCCGTATCGAATTTAGAGAGTATTGTTTGTGTATCTTCCAACATTGTAACCAACTTGTCATCAAAATCTCGAAATATGTGTCTATCCCAAATTGAAAATAAAATGTTTTTCGTACATCGTTCTGTGAACGATTTTGAAATCAACCCATTTTGAGACAAGTTCAACAAAAACTCATGCCCTGAAACACCCAATACCGTTCTTATAAGCTCTTTCTCTAAATCTTTCTCAAAACGAGCTTCTTTTCCAAATTTTTCATACACTTTGCGACATTGAAAAACTGTCTTAAGTCCTTCGTTTACATCTGTGGGTTTAAAGTCAAGAAATTCACAAGTAGGGGTTGCATTAGAACTTGAATAATAAATTAATCCAATCTTTGTACGATATTCATCTGAACTTTGTGTTATGAATTTGACAAGAAACTCGGTCTCAAAATATAGTGTGTTAAGGTAATATTCTAATAAAAATAATTGGTATTCACTGTCAATGTAAAGAGAAAATAATGAATTCTTGGATGAAGGGGCTCTATAGCCATAGCGAGATCTAAGTTTTACATATTTGTGCAAAGGTCGTTCAAAAAGTACATTATAAGTCTTTCGAAAATGTTGTTTAAACTTCTCGAAAATAAATATTGCCATATATCTGTTCGTATGGCTAAAAGTATCTCTCAAAAAACGTAATAAGAGCGTTTTCATGAATTTAGTTCGCTCTTTAGATGAGAATTTGCATTGTAAATAATGTGTTATTCCATCAAAAATAGAATCCAAAGAAACATGTTGTGACAGAGTTTCAGCTTCTTCATTTTCAAGCATCGAGGCAAATACGTCTGAAGTGGCTCGTAAAAAATCAAGAATGACCCAATGTTGATTATGATGTTCTCTAAATATGGTCCAATCAAACACCATTCTTTGTAGTGATATCATATTACTTTTGTTAGTGTCTTTCATATTTAAAATAAATTTCCAATATGAAATCGGGTGATCGGTCTGCTGCAACTGAGAATAAATTCCCAGACCTTTGCGTATACGGACTCTATGAAAATCGAAATCCGTCAAATACTTGAAAAATTCAACATGAACAAGCTCACTCAAAAAACTCCAATTTCTTGTTGCAATATTATTATTTGAAACCTGCGCTTGAATGGAGCGTATCAACTCTTGTTCCTTAATTCGTGAAAAAGCAGAGACAAATATATATTTGATAGAGAACTCTCTTTTCAATGCTTTTCTCATACATGCAGCGTTGTGAATCATAAATTCATGTTCCTTCATGGACTTTTCTTCAATCCAAATTTCTAATTCGTGATTCAATTTCCCAAGAATTTTCGTGAACACGGGATGAGTTCTTCTTGTGCATTTGCTCACACGTGGTGTAGGCAATTCTCTGAAAAAGTATTTCCTATAAAACTCGTCCAAGGTCATGAGAGGAACACCGTGTATTTCTCTCTTCTTGCCATCCCGTTCTTGTTTTTCTAAAAGTCTTGTATTGTTCTTTGGATCCTGTCCTTCAAGAGAGAGATGATGATTCATTTTGTGTTTCCTCCAGCTGCAATGTACGAAATACATCATGCCACATAATTGCCTCTCCCAAAACTCATCATTCAATTCCGTACATTCTCTCCAATGTCGGTTCAATGAAAAGACTTTTACGTAATCTCTCGGATGAATGATGAGAAAATCAAATAGGAAGAGAATTAAATCTTGATGAAGATGATTCATGGACGAGCTCGGGAGAACACTGTTCTTCTTCTTGTTCTTCTTTTTGAAAAGTACAAATGTTTTCCCTCTCTCTTCAATCTCAAAATTCACTTCGATCTCTAGCCTCGTTCCTTCCGATTAAATGAAACATCCATAATTTGATGATAATAATATTTTTGTCAATAGAAATCATGCAAGGATTGATTATTGAAAGATATCAGTAATAATAAGAGTAGTGTTACGAGTTGTTTTAATATCCAAGAAGAATAAATATTGGATAATTCAATGACCAAAATCAATTTCAAACAACAAAAAAATGTCTTCGTCATCAACACCTTACTTTTTTCGTTTTGCAAAAGACCTCTCGCAGCTTCCTTTCCGAACAATGGAATGGAAGTACACATGCCTTTCATTGTATAGACAAATTTTAAAACAACATTCACGAAAATTGGTTCCACAACAGCGATTCCTCGGAGATGCATACGTAAAACAAGAATTTAAATTAAATAAAACAGGAGATGAACAATATGCGAGACCTTTTGTTGAAGAATGGATGCATTATTATAATATTTTGGCAGAGTCGGAATCACCAGGAGAGATTGGGCAAGAGTTTCCTCATGAAGAATATGAAACAATGTCTAAAGAACAACAAGAACAGTTTTTAAAATTAAAAGAAGAAACCGAAAAGGTTAGAGAATATCTGAAAGAAGTTGCAAAACCTGATTGGAAATCAGCTACAATTGAAAAGAATTAAGTTGCAATTTTCTAAGGAATTAGTTTGCTTTTTAGAATCATAGTGTTGATAATTTTGAAAATTCACAAGAATATAAATTTAATGGATCTTAAATGTTATGGTCATTCATCATGTTGAAATGATCAAGTTATTCCAACATCAGAGTGTCACAATACGTCTTTGGAATCGATATCAAAGATACCAATCCATCGACAGAGCTTTGAACGAGTCTTTCATTCTACTCTACCTACTCTTCAAAACTAAATTCTTTCTGTTGTCCAACACGCCAATTTTCTTGTGCCCATCTTATTTTCTTTGCTTGGTTTTCGCTGATAGATGCTACAGGCGTCATTAAAGGATAAGGAAGTGATGGTGCAACTAACAAAGGTCCTCAAAATAAAAAGAATGTTTTACTGTTGCTTGATGGTTAGAAGAATAAATGAATTATGTCTCTTCTTGTAAGATTCACCTCCAAACAACAAAACATGAACTTGTGAAGTAAGAGTCTCACCTGTACTTGGTGGAAGTATTAACGATGTGAAATGACCTCTTCCCTCATTCATAAATTCTTTGCCTACGTCATCATTAGCTGAAATAGTAATGCTGGTCCAAGAAACACGTTCTCCTACTGTTTTAGTCTTGAATCGTGTTAAATCCACAAAATATATGTCCTGTAGAAAATGATCTCTAGATCCATCAAAATAATTTCCTCCCAACACAAATAGCAAATCATTCCATAAGAAAAGTCCATGTCTATTTCGTTGTCTCATTGCATTAACCTGTTTCTTATCACTATTTTCAATTAAACAGGTCCATAATAAGGTTTCCATGTCAAAGCTCCACAAGTCATTCAAATATAATTCACGCCCGCATGTGTAAAATCCACCACACACCAATAAGAATCTATCCTTATACATTTGTGATGCATGCCAACATCTACTCTTTGGTGGGGAATTTTTTGGTTTAATTTCTTTCCACGTCTTGTTTTCAACGTCCAACATCCATAAATCATTCTTGTAAAGATTTTCTTTCAATCCAAAACCAGTTTTTCCTCCGAATACAATCATGTACTTGCCCTTATAGGGTAGTGCTG